CTCTCTCTCTCCTCTCTCTCTCTCTCTCTCTTGCTCCTCTCCCATCTCTCGCTCATCCGCATGCCATCTCCTCCCCACAACCGACGAGGGTCTGGCGGAAGGGGTTCGTCTCCTCTCGAAGAGTGCGTCTCCCTCTCCTCCTCGGCTTCTCCGTATCTTCGGTCCATTGTCGCTGATATTCCTCTCTCTCGTTATGCAGGCGCCCCTACAGAGGCAACGCGCACCGATCGCCTGCCGTCCTGCGCTCTCAGCAGCGGGAGGTCCCGAGGGACGAGATAGACGATGCTATCGATGGCGCTTGGGACGACCAGGAGGAGGAAGAAAGGCGGCGCGAGGAGAGAGAAAGGCAGCGCGAGAAGGAGCGCGAGGAGAGGCGCGCTCGGGTGCATGAACGCCGGGCGCAGGAGCGCGCGGCCCTCGAGGCAGGAATGGCAACAACTCTTGCAGGTCGCCAGGCTCTCGCGAACCGTCGTGGAGGGGTTCGACGTCCGTGAGCTGAGTCTACTATCCCTCTAGGCAAGCCGACTTTACTGACCGCTCCCTTACTTGCTGGACAGCGCCGGAGTTGCCCAGGCTCAGCAAGGACCTGCTTCGTCCGTTGCTTCCGCTCACCAACGCCCTTCGGCAAGCGAGACACTGATTTGTTCCTTGCCTCCCTCCCTTCCCTTCATTTTTCAGAGGCTCGCAGGACAAGCGCAGCAGCGACGAGCATGTCGGTTTCCACACCGACTCTGAGGGCGGCGAGCAGGCGGGCTGGAACCCGGAGTGGGACGATGCTATCGATGGGGGCTGGAGCGACGAGGATGCCACCAACGCCCGGGCGGAAGAAGCTCCTCCGCACCAGTCTCGCCGTTCATCCCGCGGTGCTCGCCGCTGAGTCGCGCCCCTTGGTCGGCCGCTTTCGCTCTCCCTCTCTCTCTCCCGCTCCTCTCCCTATTCACACGCCTCAGTCTTTCTTACTTCTTGTCCAGCTCTCCCCTCCATCTAGATTTTCCATCATCCGCCCACGGCCTCTCTAATGCACCTTTTCCTCGATTGCGACGTTCTTCGCTGCTTTCGCCGGCAACGACAAGCAAACATTGTGAGAGGCAGCAGGCGTGAACACAGGAACTTGCCAGCAGGCTCGACTTGGCGTCGACACGGAGAATCCGCGGACTTGCGAAGGTCATGGCACTCTCCCTCGCTCTTTCTCTCTCACTTGCTCTTCAATCTGGTCGTGAGGCCAGCCTCTTTGCCGCTAGTACCATGGCTTTGCGTAGCGACGGTCATCCTCCCCGTACCTCGTCGAGGAACCCCCCTCTGGCTGGAACAAACCATGAGTGGGTTCGGTCCTTTCCATCCCTGCACCGATTAACTGCTTCTGACGTCGAGAAACCACGTCCAGACGACCCTTCGCAGGCGCGACGGCGCCGAGGTCGCCAGTCGTCTTCCGCCCTCCCACCAGCGACCCCAACCGCAGTCCTGACTGGAGCAAGGAGCTCGACGATCTCGTCGACGATGCTTACCCGCCTTGGCACGAGCTTCACGCACCTGAGCGAGTCGACAGGGCGCGCGAGTTGGAGGCGCAGGGAGAGCGGTACGTTCAGCAGTTGCTCTCCTCCCGCCATCAAGCTATCTGCAATCCTCCCTGCCGCTCGCCTGTCACTGACGACTTTTGGTCTGCACTCCAAGTGACATGCACAAAGAGATGGCGCGTGCCCGGGCGCGGCATGAACACCAGATGCTCTTGCCGGGCACCGAAAGCGTTATCCGCCGACTTCGCGCTGGACGTGCGGCTCAGCGCCCTCCTGCCCAGCCCCTCCAAGCGTCGTGAGTTTGCCTTTTGACCGTTGAGCCTCCCATTTTCCATCAGCAGGTTGCGCTAACTACATTCCGTCGCCTCCTGCCAAGCTCTGCTGCCGCTCCGCGCCGTCGCACACACGGTCGACGCCATTCTGTTGGGGTGCAGACCGACTCGGATGACGAGAAGAAGAATCGCGGTCGCCAGGAGTCGCAGCAGCAACGCTGGGACGCAGGTTGGGACGATGCTATCGACGATGCGTACAAGGAGGAGGGAGGGGGAGAGTCCAGCGACGATGACCGCACCCCTCGGCAGTCCATGGTGGGCAGGAGGTAAAGATTGACACTCGCAAGCGGGCCTTGGCATGGAGGCTGTCGTTCGCGCCAGTGTCTGCCTCACTTCCACTCTGCCTTCTTCCGTGTGCAATCCGTGTGTATTCCCCGGCGTCACACCGAGCACGTCACATCGTTCCAGCTCTCTGTGGATACATTCGTAGCCTCTTTCTCCGTCCTAGCCGTCCTAGCCCGCGAGATCTGAAGCTGCCGTAGCGAATCCTCGCAGCAAGTTTCCCTCAGCGCGAAGAGCAGCTTCTTTGGCCGTATCCCCCTGACACCTCGTAGCGCCGTGGCTTGCTTAGACGGAACGGAGAGCGAGCAGCAGGCGTGTGGCAGGCGTGAAGGAACCAGAGGGAGGACAGACGGAAGGTCCGCGGACGCGCAAAGCGTTGGAAGACCTCCCACGCTCTGGTTCCTTTCCTTCCCTTCTCCTGCACCAGCCTGTCCCTTCGCACTTCAACCAGTATGCCCTGGCGACCCAACGTATTCAAGTCGAAGAAGGACAAGAAGAGCGGCGGCGAGTCGTCCGCGGGCGACCGCCGTCCTGGCACTCGCGGCGGTGAACCTGGGTGCGTTCCCTCCTTCGTCAATCAGAGTGAGAGATAGCCACGCTTGACGCCTGTGAAATACCCAGCTTTAGCCACAAAGCCGAGGCGACGGGCTACTGCCCCCAGTCAAATCTCGACGTCCACCCTGGGACGCGGGTCTGGCTCCCTGAGGAGATCGAGGAGCGCAACCACCCCGGAAGGCGTCTTATCATCCCTGAGAGTCCCGCGGACGAAGAGCCGTCGCAGCAGCAAATGGACCGGTAAGATAGCCCGCGGTCGTCACTCCATGCGTCTGGCCATGGAAACCAACCGTTCATGCGGAGCACAGGTTTACTGGGTTCGACGAGAGCCACCCAGACGTAGGTATCCAGACCTCTGACGAGGAAGGCGAACCTCGTCGCCGTTCCTCCTTGCGCTCGACGTCCGACTCGCCCAAGAGCCCGCGCACCCGTTCCGAGACCGGCATGCCCGAGCGCAGGCACTCACAGTCTCGTCGTCGTGACAACGAGGACGATGAAGCCAGTCAGCCGACCTTGCGGTCCGGCCGCGGCGCGCTCATGTTCAGGGATCCCTTCGCGCAAGACAAAGGCGAGAGCAGCCGTCGTTAACGCAGGAGTAGCTGCGCCGTATTGTCATGTGACTGTTATGGATGGCGCTTAGAGCAGTGAGCTGGAGCGAGAGCTGCTGAACTTCAGGAGAAGGTCGTCCCCAACGACGGTGGTGACTTCGCCTTGGGCTGCGAGCGCGACTTGATCCCTTGCACGACCGCCTCGAGGTGCCAGAACCAGCTGTTACCCCCGCTGATCCGCTCAATCCACCTCCTCGCCCGAAAGCGAGAAATGAGCGACCGTATTCCACAACCCGTCCTCCGCTTCCTGCCCCTCCTCACCCTCGATCGCAGACTCACCGCGCACCTTCTCCCTCGCCTGCACGAGCTGATTCGTAAAGCTGCTCAACTTGGCGCATGCGCCGACCGTGCTGGACCCGACGCCTGGGACGCCCGTGAGGAAGATCTGCGCGCGCATGGCGATGAGTTTGTCGAGGATGCCGAGGAGGCCTGAGTCGAGTGCGTCGAGGGCGAGGAAGGTCGCTGAGGGATCCTCCGTCTCGGGGGAGGTGAGGTTCGAGAGTTGCGATGCCAGTTGAGGGGGGAGGACCGTCTCGAGCCCGCCGCCCGCTTCATCCATCTCAGCCTGCAACTCGGCCTGTTCCTTCGAGAACGTCGTCAACCTCAACTCCATCTCTCCTTTCAACTTCGCCCTAAAGTCCTTCAGGAATCGCCTCATCGCCGCATGGTGCTGGGGCGTAACGACCTTGGCGAACGTGCCCGAATGCGCGGCCTCTGTCTCCCCAAACGCCGCAGGGTCGAGCGCCTCAATCGGATAGTCCGTCGCGAGGTAGACGTTCCGCAGCTGAGGGTACTGGTGCTTGAGAGCGCCGAGTTTCGTGACGAGCGAAGAGGCGCAGGGAGAGAGGTTCGAGGGAGAGAGGGTCTCGGTTCGCCAGTGGATTGCGACGAAGGGCGAGAGGCGGGATGCGAGGAACGAGGCGAGCGACGACCAGGTTTCGGCATAGGGGAAGTGTTCGAAAGGAAGCGGCTCGGCGATCGAGTCGGATGAGGCGAAGGTCGAGGCAACGCTGGGCGAAAGCATCGGGAACCGAAGCTCATAGTTGAACGCCAGGACGTCCGCCAACTCGTGACCATCCGCTTCGCGCGAGCTCGAGGCGCGAGACGCGCGCGCCGCAACTTCAGCCGACTGGAGCGTGCGCACGACGCTCTCGCCGAACGCGAGCCGGCTCGCCTCGTTGCGGTGGTAGCCTTCGGGCGGGTAGATCGCAAGGGGCGAATGTCCCGCAAAGTCGAGTCGGGTGCGGGGCGCGCGCAGGCAGAGGTTTCGGTTCGGTTTGGAGGGGACGAGGGTAGGGTCGCTTGCTGAGTCTATCTCGACGGCGCCGGAGGTGTAGGTCGCTTTCGCATTGGCCATCGTGACGACTTGAGCCGAGGGAGGGAGGTCGCGCCGCAGAGTCCAGGCGATAAAGTCTTCTTGCGAAATAGTGGGGATGCCGAGGTCCGAGAGAGAGGTGGGCGAATAGTAGAAGGAGAAGGGGTTGCGGTAGCAGGTGCCGAGGCGGGATTTCGAGACGTTGGGCAGGATGAGCGTGCGGTTTAGGGCGAGCGCGAGAAGGCCAAGCTGGTAGAGGTGCTGTTGCGCCTTGGTCTCTTGTTCACCTGCGTGCGTGCGATCGATTCTACGATCAGCTCGGAAGCCAGAGGTGAGCAAGCCGAAAGTGAGACGCGTGAACGCACCTAGCCAAGCCGGGACCAAGAACTGACACGGCCTTCCTCCATTCGCGCCGCACACCTCCTCATCCAGCACATCCGACTGCACGCGCTGTGTCGGCACTGGCGCCGTCGGATCGGGCTTGACATACTCGGGGATCTCGACGACGAGCGGCGGCTTGTCGAGGTTGGGTTTCGTTCGGGCGCGGTACCGCTCCGCCTGGCGATTGTCGTTCCCGTCGTACGCTGGCTCGGCTTCCTCGTCTGCGCCGTAGTGGATCTCGAGCAGGCGAAGTTTCTCGAGTGCTGAGCGGTCGACGACGGGAGGGACGTCCGGGTTGTCGAGCAGAGCTGCATCGTCTCCCTTTCGCCAGTCGAGGACGCTCCACCCTCGGCTTGGAACTGGCAAAGATACGCCCGCTGGTGCGCTTCCCGCCGAGAACAACACGACGGCACCGAAGCTCAGGCCCGCGAGGACCATCCACCTGCGCACGCCCGTCCTCCCCGCCCCTCCGACGAGCCAGCTCGCTGCGTCGTGTGCCCTTTCTATGAGTCCCCTGCCTGACTGTGACGCTGTCCCAGATGGCCTGCGCCTGGGTGTGCGGGTGGGAGTGCGAGCGGATGCTGTGGGGGATGAGGGCGAGACGGAGATTCGGTACGAGTTGGAGGTTGTTCGGCCGTGCATGGTCGATCCTTAGCCCTCTGTAGCACCGTCTACGAGTCCGTTTTAGCGAGTGAGAGAGTTGAAGGTGAGCGAGCTGAGCGGTCCTTGTCCTCGAGGCGGTGCGCTGATGAGAACGCCCTCGCCAACAACGCACCGTGCAGCTTGGCAAGTAAGTCTACAAATGCAGTAATACAATCATTGTATTTGTCCATCCAACAGCGAGTCACTCTGAGCGAGTTGCGAGGTGCACTCTTCCTCATCAGCTTGGGACGCTCTTCGCCTCGACCCGCTCACCTCGCTCGCTGCTGGCACTCGCAGGGGCTGCAGAGTGCACGCGTTCACTCTCGCACTCGCTGCCTTGAGCCACACACGAACGCAGCGCTCAGCTCGAGCGACCCTCGGAGCCTCGCATCTCGCGCTCGTCCTCCTCGACTTGTGCCCCGCTTGCCTCGCCCTCAACTCGCCCGAGTGACCAGCCAAGATGGACATCGCCAACCCTGTCGCAACGCAGGTCACCTCGCTCTCCTTCTCCTACCTCCATGCGCCAGACATCCGCCGCATGTCCGTCAAGCAGGTCGTCAACCCCGTCCTGTTTGACAACCTCAACAACCCGAACGCTGGAGGACTGTACGACCCTGCATTCGGTCCGTTGGGAAAGGGAGACATGTGCGTTTGCGTGGCTTTCCCCTCCTACGAATGACTCCCCAGCTCACCTCGTTCCTTCGTTCGCACAGCTGTTCGACCTGCCACTTGACCTCCTTCGAGTGCCCCGGCCACTTCGGCCACATCGAGCTTCCCGCACCCGTCTTCCACCCGCTCTACATGGTCCAAGCGTTCCAGCTCCTCCGCGGCACTTGCACCTACTGCCACCGCTTTCTCGTCGGCGAAATCCAGGTCCGTCGCGCTTTCCCCTCATCCTCTAGGAGACCCGGAACTGACGCACGTGTCTCGGACGAACGCAGCTCCTGAAGCAGATCGCGCGCCTGACCCTCCTCGAACACGGCCTCGTCACTCACGCTCTCGAACTCGACGCACACTTTCAAGGCCCCGCACCCGCCTCAAAGTCCAAGTCCGCCAAAGCCCGAGCCGCCGCCGCTGCAGCAGACAACGTCGAAGATGCGGAGCAGGGCGAGTCGACGGACGAGACGGCGGACGAGTTTCGTGCGCGGTTGGATGCGTTCGTGCAGGGCGCACTGAGGGCCGCGAAGAAGGGAAAGGGTGTTGGGATGGAGCACCATGGGAGGGACGAGTACAAGGAGAGCGGGACGGCGTTCGATGTGAGGAGGAAGGTCATCGCGCAGTTCCTCAAGACTTTGGGTGCCAAGCGACGCTGCGAGCACTGTGGAGCGTGAGGCTCTACCCCAGCTCTCGTCGCGCGACTCCTGCTGACGAGGGATTTCACGCGCAGCTACGCCCACCGCGTCCGCAAGGAAGGCCACACGAAGATCATCCAGTACTCGCTCGTCGCGAAGCAGAAGGCGATCCACAAGACCATGCGTCTCAAGGCCCCGAACGTCCTTCGCGAGGCGCGTCTCGCTGGAATGAAGGCGAACGGCAATGGGAAGGCCAAGATGGAGGTCGATGGCGAGACGGACGAGTCGGAGGATGACTCCGAGGAGGAGGAGGAGGAGGACAAGGAGATGCATGTTGATGGCGCCGACGAGGTCGAGGAGCGGGAAGAGGAGGAGGACGAAGACGCGATCGGCTCGGTGCGCGGCAAACAGACGGAGCGAATCGTCACGCCCGACGAAGTGCGCGCGCACCTCCGCCGCCTCTTCGCCAACGAGCAAGAACTCGTCACGCTCATCTACGCCCCTCACGGCCCTCTCTCGCGCGCGTCGTCGTCCCGCATCCCGCGCTCGTCCCCCGGCCAAAAGCAAGGCGGCAAGCCCGCCGCGTCGGCCGACATCTTCTTCATGGACGTCGTTTCGGTCCCCCCTTCGCGCTTCCGCCCCGCCTCGACGATGGGCGACCAAGTGTTCGAGAACCCGCAGAACTCGCTCCTCAACAACATCCTCCGCCAGTCGATCGTTGTGCGCGACTTGAACGTCCGGCTCCTCCAAGCTCAGACGCAGCCTGACCATCCCGACTTGGTCGGCGAGGATGGCAAGCCCCGCGTGACGATCGAGCGCATGACGACCATGTTGTACGAGAGCTTGATCGACTTGCAGGTCACGGTCAACTCGATGATGGACGCGGGGAAGAACCCCATGCTGGTCAAGCAGGGCAAGTTGCCGACGCCCGGTGTCAAGCAGCTCCTCGAGAAGAAGGAGGGATTGTTCCGCAAGAACATGATGGTGCGTTCGCGCCCAGACCCCTTCGCTTGTCGTCCCGTTGCTGACGCGAGCGGTTCTCCCGCAGGGCAAGCGTGTCAACTACGCCGCACGCTCCGTCATCTCGCCCGACGTCAACATCGAGACGAACGAGATCGGTGTCCCGCCCGTCTTTGCGCGCAAGCTCACCTTCCCCGAGCCGGTCACCGACCACAACTACCAGCAGCTCAAGCAAGCCGTCATCAACGGGCCGCACCAGCACCCGGGCGCGAGCTTTGTCCAGATGGAGGACGGGAACCTCATCTCGCTCGACCGTATGTCGCTCGAGGACCGCACGGCGATCGCCAACAAGCTCCTCGCGCCCGAGACGTCGACGGCCGGACAGCGCCTCGCCGCCTCGTCGCGACCCGACGTCGGACTCCCTCCGACCCGCACGCCGCAGATCAACCGCAAGGTCTACCGCCACCTGCAGGACGGCGACATTGTAATCCTCAACCGTCAGCCGACGCTTCACAAGCCGTCGATGATGTGCCACCGCGTCAAGGTCCTCAAGGGCGAAAAGACGATCCGCATGCACTACGCCAACTGCAACTCGTACAACGCCGACTTTGACGGAGACGAGATGAACATGCATTTCCCGCAGTCGCTCATCGCGCAGGCCGAGGCGCGCATGATCGCCAACACGGACAACCAGTACCTCGTCCCGACGTCTGGCAACCCCTTGCGCGGCTTGATCCAGGACCACGTCGTCGCTGGCGTCTGGCTCACCAACAAGGATACGTTCTTCACCCGCGACCAGTACTACCAGCTTGTCTACGGCGCACTCCGACCCGAGAACGACTACACCGGCGAGGGGACCGTCAAGACTGTCCCGCCTGCGGTTTGGAAGCCCCGACCGATGTGGACTGGCAAGCAGGTCGTGCGTATACGCTTCTCCTCTCTTCAGCTTCAATCGCGACTGACCGAGCGACTCCCGCAGATCTCGACGGTGCTCAAGAACATCCAGCCGGCCGACATGTGTGGCATCCACTTCACGTCGAAGGGCAAGGTTCCCGGCTCGGCATGGGGCGTCTTTGCGGAGGAGGGCGAGGTCCTCGTCCATGACGGCGACATGCTTACGGGCATCATCGACAAGGCGCAGATCGGAGCCTCGCCTTTCGGTCTCGTCCACTCCGTCTACGAGCTCTACGGCGCGTCGACAGCCGGCAAGCTCCTCTCGATCCTCTCGCGCCTCTTGACCAAGTTCCTCCAGAGCCGCGCCTTTTCCTGCCGCATGGACGACCTCGTCCTCACCGCCAAGGGCAACCACGACCGCCGCCGCATGCTGCAGACCGTCAACGAGAAGGGTCTCTCGGCCGCGCTCGACTACACCGGTCTCGCCAGCGCCGACCGCGCTGACCCCGCGACTGCCGACGACCTCCGCAACCGCCTTGAGGAGATTCTCCGCGACGACTACAAGCTCGCTGGACTCGACGCGACGGTTGAAGGCGAGACGAACCAGGTCACGACGCAGCTCATCAAGACTTGCCTGCCGAACGGTCTCGTCAAGCCCTTCCCGCACAACAACATGCAGACCATGACGGTCTCGGGTGCCAAGGGCTCGAACGTCAATGCGTCGCAGATCTCGTGCTTGCTCGGCCAGCAGTCGCTCGAGGGTCGCCGCGTCCCCGTCATGGTATCCGGCAAGACGCTGCCATCGTTCAAGGCGTTCGAGACGGCTCCTCGCGCAGGCGGTTTCGTCGCAGGCCGTTTCTTGACCGGCATCCGGCCTCAAGAATACTACTTCCACTGCATGGCCGGTCGCGAGGGACTGATCGACACGGCCGTCAAGACGTCGCGTTCCGGCTACCTCCAGCGCTGCTTGATCAAGCACTTGGAAGGCCTGCGCGTCCACTATGACCACACGGTCCGCAACGCCGACCAGTCGGTCCTCCAGTTCCACTACGGCGAGGACTCGCTCGACGTCACCAAGCAGAAGCACCTGCTCCAGTTCGAATTCGCCGTCCGCAACATGCAGTCGATCATCAGCCGGTACAACCCGCGCGACGCCCTCGAGCGGACGAACGATGTCGAGGACGTTCTCCCCGACGCGATGAAGAAGTCCCTCAAGAAGCCCGACACGCACCCTCCCGTTCTCTCGCTCGCCTCGCCCTCGACCGTCTCTGGCGCCGTCTCGGAGCGGTACGCCCGAGCGATCGAGGACTACGTCAAGAACCCGAAGCAGCGCCTCCTTCGCCCGAAGAAGAAGCGCGACATGGCCGACTGGCCCGCCCACATCCGCCGCGACGACCTCGTCTCGATCGAGCACTTCCGCTCGCTCATGAACATGCGGTACATGCGCTCGCTGGTCGAGCCCGGCGAGGCGGTCGGTCTCTTGGCATCGCAGGGTGTCGGCGAGCCGTCGACCCAGATGACCCTCAACACGTTCCACTTTGCCGGACACGGTGCCGCCAACGTTACGCTCGGTATTCCCCGTTTGCGTGAGATCGTCATGACCGCCTCGCAGGACATCAAGACGCCGACGATGAACCTGCCGATCGTCGAGTCGGTCTCGGACGCGCGCCTCAAGACGTTCTGCCAGTCGTCGACTCGCCTCACCCTCTCGCAGGTCGTCGACGACGTTACCGTCGAGGAGCGCTTGACGCCGAAGACGAGCGACAACAGCTACACCCGCTCGAAGCTGTACACCGTCCGCCTCAACCTCTTCCCGCGCGCCGACTACGAGGCCGAGTACAGCGTCTCCAGCGAGCAGATCCTCGCCGGTATTGCCCGGACGTTCGTCCCGCTGCTCGACAAGGCGATCGCCAAGGAGATCAAGCAGAACGACCGCGAGCTGAAGAGCCAGGCCGCCGATGTCGGGCGAGGAAAGAAGGAGGGCAAGCGACGAGGAGGCAAGACGAGCGGTGCGGACGAGGACGGCGCTGGAGAGGAGGACGCTGGCGTTGTCGGACGTGACGAGGGCGAGGTCATCGACGGCGATGCCGATGACGAGCGACGAGGCAGGCAGGCGGACGACGAGCAGAACTACGACGACGAGGACGAGGGTGACGAGGCCGCCGACCCCGAGGAGGAGCTCGAAGCCAAGTTCAAGTCGGACGCCGAGGAGGATGAGGAGTCGAGCGATGAGGAGGACGACGACCCCGAAGCTGTCGCGCGCCGATCAAAGGCCGAATCGCTCGAGCGCATGAAGCAGTACGAGCGACGGGTATCCGGCTCGTCGCGCTTCATCAACAAGCTCGTCTTCGACAAGGAGCAGGGCGAGTCGTGCGAGTTCGAACTCGAGGTGCGTCGGCGCCCTCCTCAGCCTTTGCTGTTATTGTCGCTGACGAGCTTCCTCTCCGCAGTTCTCCTCGCAAGCCGCCAAGCTCCTTCTCGTCGGTATCGTCGAGGAAGTCTGCCGCATCGCCGTCGTCCACGAGGTCCCCGGCATCTCGCGCTGCTTCGTCGCCAAGGCTGCCAATGCGAACGCCGCCGCCCAGCGCAACGCCGTCACCGAGGGTGTCAACCTGCGCCAGCTGTGGCAGATCGGCTACGGCATCGTCGATCTCAACAAGCTCGGCACGAACGACATCGGCGCGATCTTGCGGACGTACGGCGTCGAGGCGGCTCGCACCGCCATCATCAACGAGATGTCGGCCGTCTTCTCCGTCTACGGTATCGGCGTCGACTACCGCCACTTGACCATCATCGCGGACTACATGGTGCGTCGAGGTCGCTCTCCGCCTGGACCCGGGGCTGACCTCTTCTCCCTGCAGACGTGCGAGGGCGGTTACAAGCCTTTCAACCGAACAGGTCTCGGCAACAACGCGTCGCCCCTCACGAAGGCGTCGTACGAGACGACCTCCGCCTTCATCGCCGAGGCCGCCCTGCATGGCGACTTCGACAACATGATCAGTCCGTCGTCTCGCGTCGTCGTCGGACGACCACCCGAGGCGGGTACTGGAGCGTTCGCGATCAGGAGTATCGTCGAGGCGGCAGCAGGAGCAGGAAGTTTGGACGAGATGTAGCATTTTCGCAACCTGCACTTAGACTTTTCAGCATCCTTCTCGTCCGTCCCTCGCTGAGATGTTCCCTGTATGTCTGCTGTGCTCAAGTGCAGCCAGTTGCGCTCGCTGAGTGTCTGCTAGCTCGTCGAGGAAGCCCGGCACCGCCTCTTCGACCTCGATACTTCGCATCCTCCCGCAAACTCGCTCGCCAGGCTCTCTGACGACTCAGACAGTCTTTTTGAATTCGTCTCAAGTAACCCCACGTCACTCGCTATCCCACCGCGCTCCTCTCCCATCCTTTCTCCCTCATCTCCTTGACAATTCTCCGCGAGATGGCGGCGTCTGGACCGCTGCAGCTCACGCTCGGCATCATCAAGCCTTCTGTCGCAGCCCATCAGCCACACGTGCAAGGTGCGTCGGTGCTTGCGACAAGCGTACGACCGCTTCTGACCTCTCGCGCCTCCTCGCAGAGATCATGCAGACTATCAAGCGGAGAGGGCTGGAGGTGCGAGCCATCCTTGACTATGGGTTGAACGGATGGTGAACCCTCGAATGCAGATCGTGCGGAGCAAGCGGATACACTGGCAAGAACGGGAGGCTGAAGAGGCGAGTTCCTTGTTTCCGGCTGTCCTGGGCTCTGACGTCTCGCTGACATGAAGGTACTCCCCTTGCAGTTTTACGGAGAGCACCGCGGGCGATTCTACTTTCCTCGGCTAGTGAGCCTGTCTCGTCGACGCTTTCTCTCCTCCGCCTCACCGCGTCGACTTTGCGCAGGTCCAGCACGCGACAAGCGGCCCCTTCGTCGCCCTAGCGCTGTGCGCCCCGGACGCTATCCAGCGATGGCGAGGGCTGATCGGGCCAACGCACGTCTACAAGGGACAGTGGGAGAAGCCGGAGACTTTGCGAGCGAGGTACGGTCTAAGCGATACTCGGAACGGCTTTCATGGTGCGTCGTGCTTCCTTCCTGGCTGTCGACGTACTGCCTGACGTTCAAGCTGTCATTGCAGGTTCCGACTCGCCCGAATCAGCTGCGAAGGAGCTCTCGCAGGTCTTTGAGAACTGGGACACGACGTGGTGGATCGACCAGCGAAACAAGGGCGTCGAGTTCTTGTAGCGGAGGTTGCGCAGCCAATTCGATCCTCGGCGGCGCAGGTCAGCTGGCAGAAGGAGTCGAGACGAGGTGAGAGCGAGACGACCTTAGCTCGCTTCCTTGCGTGAGCGAACTGCTCTGCGAGTCATCTTAGAGTGAAGAGCGCCTGAGTACGGATAATGCAGCAATTCGGATCTCGCGACGTTCCATCGAGGACGGCCGCCACAGCTTCGAGAGGGACGATCACCGCTCTCGCTTAGGCGGCTCCTGCTGGGTTTCCTTCTGCTCCTTGACGCTGCTAGAGTCTGCGCAGCATGCAGGCGCGAGGTCCTGCGCAGCCGCAGAGCGCTGCCATCGACACGGACCTGCTTCGCCTGGTCGGGTCGACTGCGCTCCAGCAGAAGCTCGACACGATTGTGGGACCCAAGACGCTCATCTTGACGCCGAGTCTTGCGGGTCCGCTTGGTCTGGTCACCGAAGTCGGCTTGCTCAAGGTGCGTTCGCTCGCTCCCCCACCTCGTCGCGCAACGCTGACCTCGTCTCGCAGAACAACCATGCCGTGACCAAGATGTACTGGCTCGAGGCTGGTGCACTCTCGCAGACGGAGCGGAACATTGTCTACCTCTGTCGACCGGAAGTGCGGCGGATGCGGATCATTGCAGGCGAGTCCTCCTGCCTCCCTTCGCGCTCCTCCTCTGGGGAATTGCTCTCCCCGGACACAATTAGTCCAGTCCTTCTCGCCCTTTACGGGTAAATTCGCCACCATGAAGGCTGGGTCAGTCTAGGTCCGGAAATCGTCAAGTCCGTTCGACACCGCTAAATCAGCCATTCGCGCTCCTCGTTGAGCATCTTTCGACGTCTGGTCTCGTGCGGTATCTTGTGGACGACACGCAGTCCATGCGCAACCCTGAACATCGGTGCTGACGGAAAGTCGGCTCGCGCAGACCAAATACGAGCGGATCCGCAGCCGAACCAGCACAACTACCACCTCCTTGTCGTTCCTCGCATGACTGCGCTCTGCACCACCGTTCTCTCCGACCTAGGCGTCCTTGGCTCGCTCGAGATCCAGGAGTTTCAGCTTGGGCTCATCCCGCTGGAGAAGGATGTGCTCAGTCTCGAGTACGAGGACGTATGGCGGAAAATTGAGCTCGTGCGTGGCGTCAAGATGTCTGGTGATGCCTGGAGCTGACGCGGCTGTCGAGCAGGACGGCGACAATGCGGCCATCTTCGACCTTGCGAAAGCTCTCATGACGATTCAGCGAGCTTTCGGTCCTATACCGCGCCTCATCGGGAAAGGAGACTCTGCACGGGTACGTCAAGCCTAGCTTTGGCAGCAGAATGGTCGCGCTTACACCACTCCCTCGCAGCGACTGGTCGACCTGCTCAAGCGGTTACGGAGAGAGCAGCCTGCTTCGACGCCTTCTTCTGCACCGCTTGCCAATGGCACGATAGATTCGATGATCGTCATCGACCGACAAGTCGACATGGTCTCGGCGCTGTGCACGCAATTGACGTACGAGGGCCTCGTCGACGAGGTCGTCGGCATCAAGCACTGTGCGTGCCTCCTTTGCCTGCTCAGCACTCCGTAGCTGACTTGAAGATTACCTGCAGCACACGTCGACGTCGATCCGAACCTCCTGAATCCTGCACCTGCCGCCTCTACCTCGACTCCCTCTCAAGCTTCTTTCGGCGCCCTCCCGCCTCGCAAGCGAAAACACCTCCTCACCGCTACCACCGACCCGCTTTTCGCCGAATTGCGCGACAAGAACTTCGCGGTCGTCGGGACGATCCTGAACCGGACAGCGCGGCGGCTGAACGAGGACTACGAGAAGCGGCATCAGGCTAAGACGGCAGCAGAGCTACGGCAGTTCGTTGGTCAGCTTGGAGGGCTGCAGAATGAGCATCAGGCGCTGCGGTTACGTAAGCGTCCGCTTCATCATCTCGACTAGACTCGGCTGCTCACGCTCGACTTTCGCAGATACAAGCCTGACGGAGCAGATCATGGCGTTGACGGGGACGGACGAGTTCAACGTCGCGCTGGAGGTTCAGCAGAGTGCGTACTGCTGCCTGCTTCCCGAGCTCGTCGCCTACTGACCTTCCGCCGGACAGATCTCGTCGCCGGCGTCGACCTCGCGGCGCAGGAGAACTCGATCCGCGTTCTCATCAACCAGGAAGCGCCCGTCAAGACGGTCTTGCGACTCCTGTGCCTGTATAGCATCGTCTCGGGCGGTATCAAGCCGAAGGTGCTTGAGGAGTTCAAGCGTGATATCCTGCAGGTGAGCATCCGAACCTGCTTGCACACGTGCGAAGCGCGCTAACTCTGGCTCCGCAGGCATACGGCTTCGACCACCTCCCCCTCCTCATCTCGCTCGAGCGGCTCAATCTTCTCACCCGCCCGCCTCCCTCCTCCCGCTCGACGCCAAAACCCCCCTTCGTTCTCTCCCGCAAACCTCTCCGCCTCATAGTCGATGACGTCGACGAGCAGAACCCCCAAGACCCGTCCTACGTCTTCTCAGGCTATGCGCCGCTGAGCGTACGGCTCGTGCAGTGCGCGCTCGCTGGGGGGTTGGGCGGGACCGGAAGCAAGATTGGAGCGGCTCTCCCGGGCGTGGGAGCGGGTGCGGCAGGTGGGATGGCGGGTGTTGCGATGGGGCCAGCGGGCTTGAACGGCTGGAAGGGAGTCGAGGAGGTCGTCAAGGCGCTGCCCGGTGCTACGATCGATGAGTGGCAGAATATTGACGATGGACCGAAAAGGCGTGCGTCCGATCCTTCCCTCGATTCGCGTAGTCTGCTAATCGCTTGTGGATTACAGTCGCTCCGGGCGAACTGCCTACCACGATCGTCTGCTTCCTCGGCGGCATCACCTTCGCCGAAGTCTCCGCCATCCGTCTTCTTAACCGGCAGATGCCATGTGCGTTTCGCGTCTCCCTCTCCACACGCGAGGAATGCTGACGATGGACCTAACAGCCCGCAACCTGCTCGTCGTGACGACCGATACCGTGACTGGCAGCTCGCTCCTCACATCGCTCATGCCTGAGCACACGCGCAACCCCCTCATTCCCTCCGCCTGACCTGTCGCAGAAGTAGGAGATAGAAGCAGTGCATCCCTTGTTGTCATGCTAGTCCGCCCGCAGCCTCTCGATCTTGTCAGCTCCGGCATCAAAGCGAGAGAGGAGCAAGTGCATGCGCTTCTTTACAACGACAAGATATGTCACTACGCTCAACTCGCTCGCGCCTACCGCAACTCTCCCACCTTGGGCCTCCCCTCCTCCGCCCGCCGTCGCCGATTTCGCGCCCTTGTCTCGTCATCTTCGTCCGACTCCGAGTCCTCCGAGAGCGCTACTTCGCCTGTTCGTAAGGCGTGTCGGCGGACGAGCGATGAGCCGTGCTCCTCGACCAGCCTGTTCAGCCGCAGGTCAGCTTGCATTCGATCTGGCGAAAGTCGGAGAACGGGGAGCGCACCGCCGGAAGGGCATCCCACAAACGCAAGGAATCAGAATCCTCGTGTTGTCCGTCATTGGGTTCGGATCAGTCGGAGAGTAGAGCGGGAGGGTGAGCGAGTCGAAGAAGCATGCGCACTGCGCACAAAGCCTCCTCTTGCGTCAGTCTGGCTCTGTGCTTCGGAAGAGGGAGGCGAGACGAAGGGACGCACGGAGAATATATTCAGTTTCTGCGTCAGGATCGTCTTCTTCCTCTCCCCTTCTGCACCTCCTCGCGTCCAGACGACCTCGATTTGCATATCGTGCCTCATCCGGATAGGCGTGTCTGTCCCTTCTTGCGTCGTCGGGCGGACCTCGTTGTCGTTTGGGAGGCGGCCGAGATGTCGGAGTCGGTGCTCGGTACCGGGAGTGAGGGTGAAGAGCGGGGCGGACGAGGGCGCAGAGGGAGAGGCGAGTGTCGGCGAGATCGGAGTGGAGGAAGGAGCGGGAGTGAGGGAGGCGTTGTTTGGTGGGTGAAGCGCGTCGAGGGTGAAGACGGGCTGGACGAAAGGTTTAGTTGTGCAGGAGTGGCCGGTCGAGGGCGACTGCAATTCGGACGTCTGCAACACCTTGACTCTGACCGCATGGACGACCAGCTCGGTGTTCGGTGCGAGGAAGTGCATCTTGAGCAGCACAAGTCCGCCAACCATCGCGTACTGGCTCTGGAACTTGAAAGCGTAGGGCCCGAACTCTTCCGTCTCGCCAACCATACGCATGTTCAGAGGCGGCGGAGGTCGTGACTGTTCTTCGAGGCCCGGGTTGACGCAGATGTAGATCCGCCGTTCGGGAGTGAGGAGGTCGCTGCCTAGTGGACCGAGGCCGCGGGCGACGGCTTGACATCCCGCTCGCACGCGGCCATAGATGGAGCGTTCGTAAGGAGGCGTGCTGGGCGGAATGTGCACGATGAACTGCCAAGCGAAGGTGTAGTTAGCGGAAGGAGCGGAAGTACGGCTCTCCGTCAGCACTCGCCTCGAAGGTGTGCTCGCCCTTGTCGAGCTGCATCTCCTCGCCGTCACGGACGAGCGACACGGTCCGCTCCAGACAGACGCCCGACTCGTAAGGCGTCGTATCGGGCCAAGCGATGTCGTACCGCGCGAAGAAGCGGACGGAGAGGTCCTTGATGGCCCGCGCCTTGGGTAGCCAGAGAGAGACGTGGCCTCGCAGTCGCTCAGAGTCGGTCGGAACGCCTTCGGCGGCTGGATGGACGAAGAAGACGTCTTCGATGGTGGATCTGCGAGTATGGTCTGGGTCAATTCGCGCCAGTCCCTTCCGTCTTTTCCGTCTCTAGGGGGTGCTCGCCATCCTGAACACGATGCAACACCTGGGGAGACGAAAAAACTGGCGACTCACATGCGCAACGAGGGCTGAGCGAGTCCAATCCTGCCAAAGAACGAGTTGCCCGAGCTTGTCGCTCGCTGGCTCTGCGCGGGCCTGTGCGGGTTGCTCTCGACCCAGAACGGCGCAATCTTGCCCTGTGGACCCTTCTCGTCCTCGTCGGCGGGTGTCTTTCCGTTCGACATGAGGAGGGTGTGGTTCGACGAGCGGAGAGCGCGGGAAGCGGCGGGCGGGCTGTACGGGTGAGTAGCAAGACCCTGACAGTAGTAAGCGGGCCTTTGAGCCGTACGAAGCGGATGCGAGTGTGTCGTCGTCGTCCAAGGTCAACTCGATCGCTCTCGTCGTCCGCGGCACCCTTCGCTCGTCTCACAAGTCGCTTACAAGGACTCTGCGCGCCTCAGCATACTCACACACACTCTAGACACGCCCTACGACCACCGCCAACCCCGCTCGAACCGCCGCGAACCCCTCTCGCCTCCTCAAACGCCCATCGCAGCAAGCACCTCGTCGACGATGACCTCGCCCAAGCAGGAGGGCGCGTTCAAGCGTCTCGTCCGGTCTCTCTCGCGCTCATCGCCTCGCTCAGAGCGCCCGCAACCGCAGCAGCGCAGCTCGTCGCGCGGGAAACGCCTCGACGACATCGCCAAGTACGCGCCGGCCAACAACGGCGTCGCCATCCCCAACGCTCTGCCGAGTCCGCAAGGAGTGTCCTACAGCACCAGCCCACCGCCTGGTGAGCTTGGAGACGCGTTCGCCTTGCCCTGCTTCGCCACCCCTCACCTCTCCTCCCCGGCTTGTCAGCGGAGTTGCCGGCGAGATGACGGAACGTGCGTTGACAGGAGGACGTCTGCCTGGCCCGGACGACGCACGGTGTCGCGTCCAGTTGCCGGCGTTTCTTTTTTGGCGGGCAGGGACTCCGCTGGATTCGCCTTCGCAGCAGATCTAACGTTTCCGGGTCGAGCGAAGTTGACGCTCTTTCCCTCACTGTCCGCAGACAGCTACTTCCCCCGTCCTCCCTCGGAAGTTCTGAACGACTCGGAGGCGAATGGCAGGGAGCGACACCCCGACTCAATCGGCGCGCGGTACGTCGCTTAGCTCTGAATTCCTTATCCCACCTTGTGCTGACCAGAATTGTCAAATAGCGCCTTCGACGTCGGCGAGTCGACCAAAGGCATGGCCGCCCCGGGCGTGACCTTTGCCCCCGCCGCTCCCGGCACCGCAACGAAAGTCCGCCCGGACAGCGAATTGGACGGCTGGCGTCCGCCTCCTCCGCGTCGCACGACCTCGCAGCGCGTCCGTCGTCAACCTTCGTCTGGCGGCGGGAAGGGCGAAGCGAATGGAGCGGGAGGGGGACTGAGTAGGCACCGTTCGGGCGACAGGAAGAAGGGCGAGTCCATCTCGGCCGCGGCGGAGATCGACGGCGTCCCTGTTCCGACGCTCCCTGCGACGCCGGGAGTCGAGTCCAACGGCGTCGGTGAGCAGGTCAAAGTTGGCGACCGCACGCTCGACGCGGGCGAGCGCAGGGGTGTCACGCTCGAGGACAGGCCGCTCAGTCGGAACGCGTCGCAGGGACTCAAGCGCACGGCAAGTCAGTGGAAGAAGGCTGCGCAGAAGGCGTTCGAGCCCCTCCCGAAGGAAGAAGGCGAGAAGCGCGTGATCGTCCTCGTCGCCGACGGGACGGAGGAAATCGAAGTCATGACCGCGTACGACGTCTTCGTCCGCGCGTCACTCAACCCCGTCCTCGTCTCTGTCTCGCCGCAATTCTCGCCGTCCAACTCGCTCCCTCACATCACCCTCTCGCGCGGCGCGCGCATTCTCGCCGACACCCAGTTCGAGACGCTCAAGGAGGAGCATTGGGATCTGTTCGACGCGGTAGTCGTGCCTGGCGGAGCGAAGGGCGCTGAGCGCCTCAGTAAGGAGAAGCGCGTGCAGGAGCTGTTGTGGCGGTTTTGGTCGGAGCAGAAGCTTGTCGGCTGCATTTGCGCTGGTGCGTGCCAATCCTTCAAACGTTCCTATCGCGTGCTGATCCCATTCTCCGAGCAGGCTCGCTCGCCGCTCTTTCTTCCCAGATCGGTCTCGGCGGCGCGCTCACCTCTCACCCGTCCGTCCGCTCGCAACTCGAAAAGCACTACGACTACTCCGACGACCGCGTCGTCGTCGCCGGAAACCTCGTCACGAGTCGTGGACCGGGTACGGCGCTCGAGTGGGCGTTGCAGCTTGTCGAGATGCTCTCGGGACGGAAGAAGAGGGACGAGGTTGAGGGTCCCATGATGGTTTAGAGGAAATCGTATGAAGGTTCTTGACTCGCAGTCTTACGCACGCACGCACATTACTAGTCACTTGAATAGCTCCCACACAGACACTCATTTCGCCTTTCTTTGCTGTCCCTCCCTATTTCCTTCGCACACGCTTTTGACAAACAAACGATTCTGATGGTATCTTGGGATGCATGCGAGGTAGAAGCGACAAAGCGAGGGGAAAACGAGGGAGAGAGTATGTACAGTGCGCGCAGAGCGGATCTACTCCTGCTCGAACTTGACGACCAAGTCGAGCGAGAAGGGCAGCCCGGCGTCGGTGACGGTGACCACGTCTCCAGACTGCATGAGCTCGGCGAGCGTCTTCTCGAGGTTGGGGCGCGTCGCTTCTTCGAGCTGAGGCGGGGCCTGGAGGTAGAGCGACTTCGAGGCGAGGCGGAGAGATGGGCGGCGGATTTGGCTGCGCGTGCGATGATTGATCAGTCTCGGCTTTCGCTGCGAGGACGGGCGAGCGGAACGCACAACTCCTGCCTCTCGAGCAACATGTCGATGAGGTCTTGCAGCGAGTTGGACGGGTTCTGCGAGACCGTGACCTTCTCGCCCCCGCAAACGGGGCACTCGGGCTTGCGCTGATGCTCGAAGGTGTAGGTGTAGATCGACTCGTTGCCCGTGTACATCCTGCGCAACGCTGTGAGCGAGAGTCGGAGGAAGGGGAGGGAGAGAACGCACATGTAGTTGTTGAGGTACGGGTTGGTGCTCGTCGCGATCTTGAACGCTTCGTTGCAGCAGGCGGCTGTTGGGCGAATGCTTGAGCACCAGAAATCGCATTTGTGATGACCGCAACGCACCGGAGACGATGGCGTTCGTGGAAGCGATGGCGGGGATGATGCGCTTGACAACACCCTGCGTCAAGCTCCAGGTCACGCCGGGGATATTGAACTCCTCCGCGCGCTTGCGAGCCGTGTCGAAGAGCCACTGGATGTGTTCGGGGTCGTCGTTGTCGAGCTTCTTGTCTGCCCGGCGACGGGATCAGGGGAGGCTCTCTCTACGGACAAGCGAGCAACTCACCCTTGAACACCTTCGGCCATTCGAGGATGCTCGCCCACTCGATGCAGTGTTCGGGCTGGCGAGGCGTGTTGGCGATGGTGCAGATAGGGAAGGCGGTCGGCGGGGTGAGCATGTCAAGCGAGCATTCATAGCAAGACGTGATGGTCGGCAGAATGACACGAGCTTGGCCCTTGAAGCCTGTCGGGCGTCCCAAGATCAGTGAAAGCATCGTGCAAGATTACGAGGCGACGCACCTTCCGTCCCGCCGTCGATGAGAGGCTTGAGGCTTTCTGGCACCTCCGGGTCGACGAGGTTGACGAGCGTCGCGCTGATCCACCTCCGCGCGTCCACCGAGTCGAGACCGCAGATGACGATGTTGAACTGCATGTAGTAGTCGTCGTCCTTGTCCTGGATCTTGCCGTGGTAGCTGGCGAGAGGGGAAAGGGCGAGTCTCCAGGTCAGCTGGGCTTCCGCCGGGCGTCGAAGGGCCAATAGTGGACTCACGGCGTCACCTTGCACCCCGGCACGCGCTTCATGACAAAGTCAGCCGCACACTGCGCCTTCGACTTGCCGACATCCTCAGGACTGTCGTTCGGAAGGCAAGTTCAGCGTCAATACTCGCTCACTCGCCCTCGCCCCGCTTCCAGACGCACCGGAAGAGGAACTGGCGGTTCAGGTTCGAGACGTCGATCGTGTCCATGTCGATAACGTGGATGTCGGCGAAGCCCATGAGGGCGAGGTTGGCGAGAATCTCGCATCCGAGACCGCCGGCGCCTGCGAAGGGGCGCAACACGTCCGTGGTGAGCTCTGCAACGGGTCATATGGTCGCGCGAAGCCGTACGCACCGATGACGAGCACCTTGCACTGGTCCCTCAGGAAGGACTGGACCTCTGCTCCTCCCTGGAACGACTCTGGGTCGACGTACGGCCCGGCACGGGTGAGGACCCTGTCAAGGTGAGCGTACTTGCTGACGACCATCTCAGCAGAGCAAGCAAGAGTGTTCAAGCGTGAGGTGCGGGTGGGGAAGAGGGGTTCGTCTTGGACTACACGCTGCCACACTGCTGACTGGCTTGAAAGGACTGCTGAGACGCTCACAAGGACCCTGTCGCCTCAGCACACTGACCCAGCGCCGCTCCCACTCCGCTCACCCACCTCTGTCTCCTCACATCGACTCGCGATGACAACGCTTCCAGTGCTTCGCCGCGCCCCAATGAACTACAGCGTGGCATTCGTGTACCATTGGAGCGTCCTGCAGAACCCTGTCCAGCCGACTCACGAAGCGATTGGGCACTTGTCGGCGTGTTGGCGTCTGGCGGAGCGCATTGCTGAGGGAGCGACGGGCGAGCCGAACGCGCGTACGTTTCGAGCCAGGAGCGAAAGGCTGAAGGTCGTGCTGACACAGGGTCGCTTCCCCCGCAGAGCAATACCGCGACGACTGCACCGACATCCACGCTGCTCTCAATGACTTGCTTGCGCAGCTTCAGGCGGAAGGCGGAGAGGCGGGAGGCGAAGGAACCCTTGCGACGTTGCTCACGCAGATGCAGCAGATCAGCGAGTCGCTCCAGCGCATCGAGAACGAGCAGGCCAAGGTGCGTACGGAGGTTGCCCTCGCGAAAGGGCTTCAGGGCTGACCGCTGGTCGTGCGGTCTCTCAAACTGCTCGAATTGAACAGTTGGCAAACTATATTCGCGTTCGTCACCACCCGCAGGACGCCAAGCTCCTTCCCATCCGCGATTCGGTCAATTTTGCTCTCCCTCCGGTGTGTCGCTGGATGTCCAAGCCGCTCAGTTCTTCCCTTGTGGATGCTGATCAATGCATATCGTCCCTTTCAGCACACGCTTGACAGCCTCTGCGCTATCCACGCCCTTCAGCTTGATCAGCTCACCGCTTGCCTTGAGCACTACGGTCTCCCGCCTCCCGAGTCAATTCTCAGTACTGAATACCAGCTCGAGGATGCAGCCAAAAGTCTCATCGCCTACGTAACCGGTCTCTGATCAAAGGGTAGGAGTCGGTGTTTCGAGCCGCTTGTAACGTCGCTTTCGCTTGTACCTTCCGTGCATGCAATCTCAATCTTCCACGACTCACGCTTCGCAGCCAGACCGTCAGTGAACTCGGCCAGAGGTCTTCCGAGTGTTCTCCAGCGTAGCCAGAGAGAACAAAGCGGAGTTGAGGAGGCGAGAGAACGCTTCTCCTCCAGGGACTCCTGGCTACAAGACTTGCAGGGCTCGCTAGACTACCAGAGTTTTGCCCACATCCCTCTGCACAACCGAAGACTCGCCCTGGCCCGCCTATCGCCATCCCTCTCCTCCAAATCCTCATCTGTGAACCGAAACGCGCCCCTTCGAACGCCTCGCACAACGCGTCCAGCGGGGGCGGAACGGTGGAAAGGCGCTGTGACAGCTGCAGGACATGGCGCCAGACGTGATCGAGCTCAGCGATGGCAGCGACGATGACAGCGGGTTCGCTGAATTCGCGCGAGGTGGGGCGAGTCGAGCGGTCTCAACGAGCGTACCAGCAGCCAGGTGCGCAACAGCAGTAACCAACGAGATAGTTATTGAGCTGATCTCAGCCTGTACAGATCGGCCAAACGAGCTTTCGACCTCGCTACCTCCGACGACCTCCCGCCTCCGACCGCCTTGTTCGGCGCCAGTTCGCGCGCAAATGGTCTGGTGGGAGGTCAGGCGATGGGAAGGAGTGCCAGCATGACGGCTGGGACGGGCAGGATCGCGCAGGTGCGTCCGTTCAATCCCAAGGAGCCTTTCCTCTTTGCAACGCTAAACGGAAGCCCCCTCCTACAGAGCGTTCCCCTCCAGCGCGCTCACACACTCGCACAGATGAGCGATCTCGACCCCATCCTTACCTCCTCCTCGCCGCATCCCATGCGCAACAACTTCGGCCTCCTCTCCTCTCCAGCCCTTCCTCCACCCGCTCGTCCCGCTCAAGACATCATCGACATTGACGACATCGACGCCGATGAGCAACTGCGGCTGTGGAACGAGCTGTCGCAAAGCGCGAAAGCGAGTGCTGCCCCGTTCATGACGGACAGGGAAAAAGGGAAGGGGAAGGTGCAGGCCCTCGTGCAGGAAGAGGAGGACTTGTGGGCGGACATCTTGGCGAGTCCTGCGACGGATGTGAAAGGGAAGGGCAAGAAGGGAAAGGGGAAAGGGAAGGAGAAGGAGCGTTCGCCGGACGAAGGACCCGCTCGTAAGCGGTCGCTGAGTGCAGCGGTGGGCGAGGAAGACGGGATTGCGGCTGCGCGAAAGGGCAAGGTGCGTTGTCTGGGGATCTGCTCTGATCTTCGCGCCGCGCTCACCCTTGCCCCGCAGACCTCGCGACTTTCCGCCGACGCCGCTCCTCCAGCTCGTGCAACGTCCGCTGCTTCCACCTCGACGTCGGCTTCGACCGCCGGCCTATCGAAGACCGCGCTTAAAAAGCTCGAGACTGCCGACCGCATGCGCTTGCGCGAGGCCAACACTCTGCGAGCTGGCGACAAGAAGGTCACGACTGCCGAGCTCACCGTCCACATCTCCGGTACTGCCTTCGCAAATCCCGACGACGACTCGTCCAGCGAAGATTCGGACGACTTGTATGGCGACGGCGGGCGGAAGAAGAAGGGCAAGACGGCGAGACAGAAGTCGAAGCCGTCGCCTTGGCTCGAGATCACCCGCGACGTCCAGGAACGGCTCAAGCAGTACGACTGTGATGTCGAATGTCCCGAGTCACCGAGGCAGGATCTTGGATGCGAGGGAGCGGTGAGGTGGACGAGGTTGTGCGACAGGATGTGGAGCGAGGAGCGCAGGATGTACGTCCCGCTCAAGGACAAGGAGCGGATCGTGGTCGAGGAGGATTCGCGCTTGATTTTTTTGTGCGTCACTTCCTCTCTCGCTTCACCCCGAGCGATACTGACGCCGCTCCCGCTACAGGACCGCCCTCGACCTGTCCCGCCACATCGCCAACTCTACCCTCTCTACCCATATCTCGACCATCCAGTCCCGCCTTCCGCCTCACGTCAACCTCTTCATCATGCTCTTCGGCCTCAACACGCTCTACCGCGACATGGAGCGAGCGAGGCAGGAGGCGTACCGCAATTCGATTCGTGCGGGACAAGCGGAGGGAGCGGATGCACCAACGAAGGGTGTCAAGCCTGCTGGGATCGGCGAGGATCAACCGAGTCGGGATGATTTGGAGCTGGAGCTGATGAGGTACGTCAAGTCGCTTTGTACGATGGACCGGCTGCTTGAGGCCCGTCACTGATGCGAGAGACGACCTCGGCATGTAGGGTACAGGTCAAGTCCCGCTGCATGATCGTCAGCGTCGACAAGGTCGCCGAAGCGGTCGACTGGTTCGAGCAGCTCACGTTCGACATCGGCCAGAAGCCGTATCAGTGCGTCTCCTCTTCCACCTCTTCCCGCATCGACTGAACCGTGCACTCTTGCACGCAGACGTCTCAAGCACTCGCACATCTCGATCCTCGGCACGTCAGAAGACAAAGTCGTCTCAGGCAAGGACCTGCAAGACACGTACATCCGCATGCTCGCCTCGCTCCCCAAAGTCACCGAGTCGGTCGCCAAGGGGATTGTCGCCGAGTATCCGACGCTGAGGGCGCTGTACGAGAGTTGGGATCGGTGTCCGAGCGAGAGGGACAAGAAGGAGATGCTCGTCGGAATTGGGGTCAGTCGCTGCCGGTTCTGCCTCCTCGTCCTGGCAGATGCGAACTGACGAAGTCTTGATACCGGGACGTCGCGCAGAAAGGGCGCAACCTTGACGGCACAGCGACGAACCGCGCAATCGGCAAAGACCTGTCCGCCTTCATCTACAAGGTCTTCAACTCCCGTAGGTCCTTCTTAGTCGCCCGTGACGGACTCCGCTGACGAGCACGATCGCGCAGGCGATCCGACCATGTTCCTCTAGCCGTCTGGACAGCTGTAGCCCTCCGCTTCCCCGTTTCGTGGGCAACGTCGCCATCTCTTTCTCGCCAAGACGTTGCGTGCAATGCGAAAGCTGCGATAGAGTACAACGAGCTGCACCGCTCAGGTCTACGCCGACACCTCCGGCTGCTTCGCCTGCTCCCCCTCGACGGGCTTCACCTCGCTCACCTCGCTTGCCTCGCCAGCCTCGGCAGCCTCCATCTCCGCCATCGTCTGATCCGCCTGTGCCCGAACCCACAAGTACCCGCGCTTCTCCTCGCTCGAGTAGTAGACGAGGTCGCGGCGCGCAATCGGGTCGGCGTCGCGCGGGATCTTCTTGCCCTTCTTGATGAACATGTCGGGGCGGACGAGGGCTCGCTGCGTAACGAGTTCGTGTTAGCGACGCAGGAGAGGAGAAGAGCTGAGGCGACGCACGAGAGTGAGCCGGTTGTAGTACCGCGAGATGATAGTCCCGCCGAGCTTCTCGATGGCCTTGATGGCCGATTCGGACGCCTTCGAGACGGTGATGTGCAGATTGGGGGCTGTCAGGTACTCTGCGCCCTATATACCCGAATGCTGTCAGCGAGTGTCGGGAAGCAAACGAAGGGAGGAAGTAGAGCTCACATCGCCGAGCAGCTTGACGCCGTCCTTAATGCCGTGCACACACCGCGACTCCTTCAGCTCCTTCATTGTGATAGGCATCGACGGGTCGATCAGGCCACGGTCGATCCAGTGTTGCAGCCGGTTGAGGTTGAGCGGGACCAGCTTCTCCTTGTTGCTGCGAGCGCGAGCCAGTATGGGTTTGGCGTCGGCATAGGGGTGGGGAGAGAGCGAACGCACATGTTGGTGAATCCTCGCTTGGGGTACCGCCGCGTCAAGGGCGTCTGACCACCTTCAAAGTGTGCCGCTGGCTTGCCATTGCCCGAGCGCGCCTTCTGACCCTTGTGACCCTTGCCCGACGTCTTTCCCAACCCTGAACCACGTCCACGTCCAACACGCTTGCGCTGCAGAGCCGGACGAGAAGCGATGTGAGCGGGTTCGTCGCGAGGAGAGGGAAGCGAGATGAGCGACGGACCGAGTGGGTCGAGCCAGGCGCAGGGGACAGGTTGCCGAGATTGGACGCTTCTGTCGCGTATGTTCGCGCTGCCCGTACCCCTCGTGAGCCTGCGCGTGCGTCGAGTGCGGTGTACGGGGCGCGGGAAGAAGTCGCTTGAGGGCGGTGGACGACGGTCGAGAGGTGGGCGCAGGCGGCGCGCGCTGGCTGGACGGGCGAGTGTGCGATGCTGAGTCGCTGCAGCAGCCGTGTGAGCGACATCCTGGCCAGTCCTAAGCGAGTCGAGGTCAAGTGCGAGGTCAACGTCGAGGAGGAGGACGAAGGGAAAGGGTCGACCACGACTTTGACGCCGGCTAGCAAGGATGGGCGCACAAGGGTCGAAGCCAGACGTAGAGCAGACCGCTCCAGGCGACACGTCCTTCTTCTCGAACCGCGACCAGCCCATCCAGGCGAGTCGCACCCTCCTCGCGATGATGAGGGCGCTGGCGAACGCTGCAGCGCACGGGGGACGGCATTGACAGGGTTGTACTGACTGCTACGACGCCCTTACACAGTTCTCCGAGTCGCTCATCAACCACCTCTCGTCTCAGTCGCTCCCGTCCTCCTCCGTCCCCTCATCTCGCCAAGCCGCCCTCGACCAGCACATCCAGCAGCGCATCACCTCCGAGCTCCAGCACCTCAGACAACAAGAGCAGCAGGTTCGCGACGAGATCGAGCGCGCGCTCGAGAAGGAGAACCTCGACCGCGAGAGGGGGGCTGCCGAGGGCGAGGCCGCAAAGGGGCTGAGCCATTCGGCGACGCTCATGAAGGACCTCGAAGGATTGCTGGAGAGGAGCGCCGGCTTGCGGAAGCAGCGCGAGGAGACGGACGAGTGGAGGGCACTTGACGACGGCAAGAAGGCGTTGCACAAGTGCTTCCTGTGCGTCCTGCTGCGTCTCTTGACGCTCTTCCTGTTGCTGACAGTCTTCTCCGTTGCAGCGAGAACGCCAAGAGCCCGCTCAACTGCCGAGACGAGGCGGAGCGGTTCAAGCAGGCCGTCGCAGGTGTCGAAAAGGTGCGTTCCGCCTGAGACCTCCGCTCCTTTCGCTCCCGCTGACGCTTCGTGGATTTGCAGGCGTTCTTCGCGACCGTCAGCGCCAACTAGACTCGCCCTTCTATCGTAGACCCTCTTCTACCTCTGCTGTTCTCAACTCGCCGTGAAACCGCAATCCAGCTGTGCATCTGTACTCCCGCGTCCGTCATGAGAGTTTTTGTATGGGTTGTATAGCGGCTGAGGATGGCTCGTCTACGGCTTGGCGAACTTGTTCGTTGCGTCGATGAGGGCCTTCTCGATGCCTTGCTCCATCGCGGAGTGGCCGGCGTCAGGTACGACGATCTGCGCAAGAGAGAGGAGCGTCAGTGCACACGGATCAGTTGAGGCAATACGGAAGCGAAGTCGAGAAAGCAGATTCGAAGGGAAGGGGGGGCGGGAGGAGGGAAAGAATCGTCTCGACTCACATACTCCGCTTCAGGCCAAACCTTGTGCAAGTCCCATGCGGTCTTGGCCGGACAGACACAGTCATAGCGGCCCTGGATGATGACAGCAGGAATGTTGCGGATCTTGTCGATGTTCTCGCGCTGGAGGAGCTGGCCGTCTTGCATGAAGCCGTTGTTGACAAAGTAGTGGGCCTGTGCGAACGCCGTCAGTCTCGAGAAGTGGGCGCAGCATGAGGGAAGGCAGGGCGAACCTCGATCCGAGCAAACTTGTCGGCAAAGTCGGCGTCGTCAGCCTTGTCGAGATACTCCTTGCTCAGGTGCAGTCGCGACGTCGCCATCTCCCACCTCGACCATGCGCGACCTGCCTTGGCGCGGACGGCATCGTCGGTCGATGTGAGGCGCTTGCTGCGAGAGCAAGTCGGTCAGATGAGCGAGCGACGGTGAGAGGGAGAGTGCGAGCGCACTAGTAGGCACTGATCATGTCGCTGCGCTCCTCCTCCGGGATAACGTCGATGTACTCCTCCCAGTCTGTCCGAGAAGACAGCTCAGCAACCTGCAAGGCTAGCGAGAAAGGCGACGACGCTCACACTCGGGGAAGAGGAAGCTCGTCCCGGGTCCCTGGTAGAAGAAGAGAAGCTCTTCTCGTCGCAGCTGTAAGGGTGAGGGGTCAGCCAGGTCGGAGGATGTACGGTTCGAGAGGTAGTGCGTACGGTGAAAATGCCGCGAAGGGTGAGCGACTTGACGCGGTCCGGGTGCGTCTGGGCGTAGGCGAGCGAAAGCGTGCTTCCCCTGCTCCACAACATCCGTCAGCGCCCACTCAGCGAAGGTACGGAACGAACGGAAACGGGCAACGCACCAGGACCCGCCAAAGACATGCCACTTCTGCTCGATCCCGAGGTGCTTCCGCACCTTCTCAAAATCCTCCACGAGGTCCCACGTCGTGTTCTCCTTGAGCTCAGCCGCAGGAAGCGACTCTCCCGACCCACGCTGGTCGACGAGGATAACGCGGTAGACGTCCGGGTCGAAGCGCTGCGCGTCCTTGTCGTCGCAGCCTCCGCCGGGACCGCCGTGTACCATCAAGACGGGCTGGCCCTGCGGAAGAGAGGAGCCAAGTCAGCTTACTGTCGGGAAAGCGGCGCGAGGTGGGGAGACGAGAGGGCGAGGGAGAGCTCTGTACGCACATCTTGGCGGCCGTACTGCCTGACAGAGATCTTGTGCAAGTCAGAGACGGACAGCAGCTCGGTTTTGTAAGGCTGCGAGCAGTGGAGGCGCGGTCAGGCGGGCGAAGGAGAGCTGAGCGGGGAAAGCGTGGCGGGCCAGCGCACCTTGATGGGCGGGAAGAGCATGGACATTGTGCGAGTGTGAGCGTGCGTCTGAGTCTGAGCTGGTCTGAGCAAGCGTGTGAAGCGTGCGAGCATGAGCAGGGGAACCGCGCGGGTGTGCCGACGGACGAGGTCGACTGCTCGCTCTCGTTTGGTGAAGCTGTGACCGCAGTTGCACGCTCTGGAGGAAACTCTTGACGCATCCCCGCCGACCCGGCGCTTCCTCCAGTCCTTGCGAGCGAGATCCCTCTTTCCTCAATTCCCATCAGTCGAAGGAGAGAAGTTGGCGGACAGCTCGTCGTCGGGCTCAATCAGCACACAGCCGTCGTTTCAGAGTAGCTACGAGGAGGCAGACGAAGCGAGGCAGCCGGAGATGGCGAGACGGCGGTGGGAGAGGAAGTCGCGTGGATAAGGCGTCCTCAGTTGGTGTCCTTGCCCGACATGTCGCGCGGGTAGCAGTTGAGGTACTTGCTGCGCCACTTCTTGTACACTTCCTCGTCGCCCAAGCCCTTGCGGTCGATGACAAAGTTGATGCGCTTGACCACCTCGTCGAACCCCTCTTCCTGCGTCGGCTTCTCCCACCGACTGTACCAGTTGCGGAAGTCGTCCTCCGTGACGAAGCGCGGGCGTTGACCGTCCTTCTCCGCGCCGTAGAGGTGGAAGAAGACGGAGTTGTGCTTGCAGAGGTGTTCCACCGCGACAAAGTGGAAGCACCGCACGCGGTGGTTCGACTTCGAGTAGGCGCGGACGAAGCGAGCGAGTGTGCTGCGAGTCCCGGCGCTCGGCATGAGGGCGTCGACGACGACCGACTTGGGCTTGACGGTAGCGCTGAGGAGGTGCTGCAGCGTGTTGGTGTCCTCGGGGTCGGTCTGTTCGAGGCAAGTCGTCAGCAGGCAAGCTTAGTCGTGGACAGGCTCGCAACACACCAAGCGGACGTAACCCAGCGGCTCGAAGTAGCGGCGGTAGAAATGCGTCTTGCCGCTGCACGGCGGTCCGACGAAGAGGATGACCTCGGGCGGAACTTCGTCGATTCCGACGACGAGCTGCTTGGGGATGAGCGGTGTACTCGTAGGGAGGACGAAGAAGTCTGGCGCCGCAAGAAATGAGTCGCGGAGAAAGCGATGAGAGCGAGAGAGCGCACCAGACTTGTACTTCGCGGCCAGCCAGCCATGATACTGGTACTGATTCGTGTCCTCCGTGCCGGTGAAGAAGTTCTTGGGGATGTAGAACTGGACGCCGATGTTGTCGGCGAACTCTGCGGAAGCCGAGCGAGGTCAGCGAGGCGAGAGAGGCGAGCGAGGGCGGCGCGCACTGTGGTCATAGTCCAGCTTCTGTCCCGCCCTCCCCGCCGCATCGCCGACGAAGAACGACTCGCCGAGGTCTGCGCAAGTGCAAGTCAGCAAACCGAACAAACAGAGCGTGGGACGGAACGCACCGATGACCTTTCCTCCATTCCAGCGTTTCTCGAACTCCAACCAAGCCGCCGGCGCCGGAAAGCGGAAAGGGTCGTACTGCGTCGACGCGAGGAGGCGGACAGGGAGGTTCAAGTCGCGCAGGATGTAGCCGACTCGTTCTTTGAAATCTTCGAGGCGGTTCTTAGTCGGCGTCTTGACGGGGGGGACGTCGGCGAGATCGTTCCACTGCCAGTCTTTCGGACCCTGCCACGAGTAGGTTGGCGCCTCGAACTTGACAAGGCAGTGGTCGAGTGCTACAGAAGCTCGCATGGTCAGCGCATGAGTTGGAAGCGAGCGGAGATGAGGGGAACGCACCGAAAGCTGCGATCTTCTCGCTCGGCTGGGGCTGCCCGTATGTCGCGTGGAGCAGCGTGCTGTTCGCGCCGCTCTCCGTGCGCCACTGGACCTGCCTGTCGGCTTTGCGCAGGGTGGGCGACGCCTGGTCCTCCTTGCGGAGCACTTTGGCAGGAGGGGAGGCGGTGGCAGCGTGCGAGGGAGCGGGGCGCTTGCCTGTGGGTGTAGGAGGCTTGTCAGCGTGTGTATAGGACGGCTGGGATGGTCTACACGCACTGGCTGACGACATGCTGGCGTGGTCGAGGTGAAAGAGCGCAAGTCTCCTCTCCGCAGCTACTCGACGGACATTGAGAAGGTCAATGCGCGTGGGAAGAGCTCGCCGGACTCTCCTGGGACAACAGAGAGGACGACAACAATGCACAGCATCACCCCGATACGCACCACTCCGAGCGGCTACACCAGGAGCGCCCGGATACTCGACACCTCGCTGCTCGTCAACCTGTTCCCGCTCGCGCTCAACACCTCCTCCGCCTCATCCGCGCTGTCGAGCGTAAGGAGTGTCGCAATCTGCTGCAGTCGAGAGAATGACTCGCGGAGAGAGCCGGATGCGAAGGGCGCCTGGCCGGAGAGGTAGGAGAGGATCGTGCGGATGTCCCGGTCGAGGCGGAGGGCGCCGAGCTACAGGCCAGACATCAGTATCGCACGTAAGATAGAGTGAGAGAAGGACTGCGCACCTCGGTGAACTTCATGCCTCGCACCATGCTCTCCCACGGCCGGACGAGGACGTTGACGGCCGTCGAGAAGAACAAGTTGAAGTTGCTCTCCGTCAGCGAGTCCTGCAAACCACAACTAGTTGAGAGATACTGTAGGGGCGAGTAGGAGAGGGCGGACGCACCCTGTACGCGCTCATCAAGGCATCCCAGCCTTTGACGAAGCGTTTTCGCACATCGTCGCGGTACTCGGCCTCGCTATACGCATCCTCATCAAGCTTGTACGACACATCCTTGTACACCTCGCTCAGCAGCGGCCGCAACTTGGGCCGGACGAGCTGGTTGAAGAGGTGATCCAGGCTGGACTTGAGGACCGCTCGGAACTTTTCCTCCGAGTTGCGCAGAAGCGAGAGCGAGGTGCGGGCGCGTTCGAGCTCGGAGAAGAGGAAGAAGGACGACTCGAGCGCTTCGGAGGCGAGGACTTCGGCGAGAAGGCGGGAGGTGTAGGACGCCGCCGTGTCGAGGTTGTTGAGGTAGACCTGCCGGAAGAGCCGACCGTCAGCAACATCCTTAGAAGCGAGCGCGAGTAGGACACACGATGAAGACATTCCTCGCCTCCTTCTCCCGCCGTTCCCGCTCCTCCTCCCTCGCCCGGCCGCCCATCGCCGCAACGCTCCCAATCCCACTCACACCGATCGCCATCCCGCTCTGCGCCGTCTGACTCGCCGCAAGGTCCCTGAACGCGGCCTCGATCCGCGCCCGCCAGATCTCGGCCATGTCGCGGTCGAGGACGGACCGGAGCTCCTCATTCATCGCGACGTGGTTGTCGATTTGAGCGGTCGAGACGAGCCGCTGGATCGTCTTTTTTACGATGTAGAAGATGTCGTCGAGCGAGGAAGAGAGGTAGGGCGTGGAGGAGAAGTCGGGCTCGTCCATCTGGTGTGCCTGCGAAGCGGGAAAAGCGTCAGCTGCCGTCCAGTTCGGTCCAAAGCAGGCGACTCACTCGCTCGATAGCCGTCCGCAAGTACCACAGTTCGAGGGGCATGTACGTCTCTTTAAGCTGCCTGGCGATCTCCTTGCCGAGCGCGCTGTTCTCCGCAACCTCGAGATCTGCCTCGTCCGTTGGCGCGACTTCGGGCTGTCGAGCGTTCGGATCAGCTTCGAGAGTTGCTGTAGCAGTCGTCGACGGGGGCGGAGCTGTCGCTGGAGGAGTTTGGGGTTCATCGTCCTGAGGCATCGTCGAGTCAGCGAAGGCCGGAGTTCTGAGCAGCACGGGCGAGACGCACCTTGAGCGTGCCATACAGAAACCTCCGCAGCAGCTCCCATCGCCCGCTCATCATCGTCAACTCTGTGAGAACGGCATCAATCTCCCGTGGATTGATGTCTCCTTCCGCCTGCGCGACTCCGTTCGCACCGTCGAAGCCCGTCTGGGCCGTCATCGGGCTCGTCCCCTTTGGCGCCGCCTTCTTCAGCACACCGACGCCCGCAAACCGATGATCCCGCACGTCCGCGACCTTCTTCCGGATCCGCCGCTCTTCCTCCCAGTTCCCCAGCACTCGCAGACCTAGTCGTTCGGTCTCCGTCATCAGCGAGCCGGCGACTGACATCATCTTGCCCTCGCCATAGTACTTCTCGACGACGGGCTGGTGATGGGAGAGAATGAGGGCGATGGCTTCGAAGAGAGTCGTGAGGAGGGCCGAGAAGTGAGTCGGTGATTGACCTGCGAGCGACTCGTCAGCACCGGATCACGCAGCAAGGGGGCGCCGACGCACTCTTCGTGCTCAGCGCGCCTGTCTTCGCCCGCACAATGCCTGCAACCCAGTCGGCGTACACCTCGAGGCCTTTTTCCTCCTCCTCAATCATCGGGAAGAGCTTGAAGAAGCGATTGATGTTGTTCGTGTCGTTCACTTCGGCGGCAGTTCGGAAGGCGGTCACGAAGGTTTCGAGAAGGGAGGCGCGGAGTTGGGCGAGAGTTGCGGAGGGAGTCGAGGGAAGGTCCGATGTTGGCTGGAGGAGCGAGTCGATCAGCACACATAGACCTGATGGATGACATGTCACGCACCACGACAGCCTCCGCGAAACCGCTCGAGACGATGTTAGGGTCGATAGCCCTCGCCCGCTGCATGCACCGAGTTGCGGCCTCCCAATCCTGCTTCTGCATCGCGATGTCGAGGCTGGCGATGGCCGTCTTGAGCTCCTGGACGGCCTGCACCATCTCAATGCACTCCTTGACGCGCGACTGTAAGAGACGGGTCAGCGAAACTTCCCTCCCTCTCATGCAGGAGAAAGCGACAGACCTGCTCCTCGTCGAGACCCCGCACCTTCGCTCCTACCCGGTCTGCTGTCTCTGCCACCGCTGCGATCTCGCCAGCCATATGCTCTGCTTCGCCCTGGATACCTCCCACTACCTCGGACAGCGAAGCGAGCGACTTGAGCTGGTGGGCGAGCCGGCTCCGCGACGAGATGAGCTGCGTGAGGCGCGCATCGAGATTTGACTCTTGTGCGACAAGTGCCGACAAGTGTCGCTCGACGTCTTGCCGTGTGAGGAGCGAGGCGGGGTCGGTTCGTGAGGGTTGTGGAGCGGGATGGGATGGACTCGACGGAGCGACGGCGGCGGCCATGGTTAGCGGCGGTAGTCGAGTAGCCCCAGTCCAGCTCTAGCAGCCGTCTCGAGCCAACAGACCGCTGTTTGAGCCGAGCGGGTGAACGGGAGGATGGCAACCACATCTCTCGCCAGAACGCCTCGCTTCATGCTCGCCAACACGGCTAGGAGGCGTGTCTGAGTGGCTTGCTATCTTCCGAGACTGCTAGTACGCCCCTCCGCGCTGCCACCAACCGCCCCATTGTCTCCACCCTCCCGCCCATCCTCATCAGTCCTTGCGAAGTCAACCCGTCGTTACGACCGGACAACCGCTTAGAACCGCTTGCAGACAACCGAGACGAGCGCGAGAGCGTAGAGAAGGTGCAGGATGGGTGTCCAAGGGCTATGGTCGCTGTTGCAACCGGTGGCGCGGCCAGTCACCCTGGAGACGCTCCGGGACAAGCGACTGGCGATTGATGCGAGCATGTGGATCTACCAGTTCCAGATGGCAACGAGGGACAAGAAGACGGGAGACACGCTGCAGGGCGCGCACATCAGTACGTCCCGCGTTCGCCGCCGCTTCCCTTTGTCAAAATCGACATTGACATCTCTCGCCCGTCTTGCGCTGCACAGTGGGTACTTTCCGCCGAATCATGAAGCTCGTCTTCTACGGTATCAAGCCTGTCTTCGTGTTCGATGGAGCTGCTCCGTCTCTGAAGAAGCGAACCCTGGTCCGTTCGGAAAATCCTCCTGCCTGTGCCGTAATAGCAGCTGACATCGCTCTTCCGGCCGTGTGCAGGAGAAGCGCAGGAAAAGGAAGTCGGGCGCAGGACGTGACTTGGCCAAGACAGCGAGGGAGTTGTTGTCGGCTCAGCTGCGTGGACACGCTGTCGAGCGGGAACTCAATCGGCAAGCTTCGCAGGCCTCTCTCTTTCCGAGGAAAACTGGCTGATCGTTCTCGTGCAGTCGCAAGAAATTGCGAAAAGGCAAGGAGAAGGCGACGGACGAAGTCGACGAGGACGCTGGGACGGGCGACGAGCTCGGCGAGAATGTCGCGTACCTTGAAGACCTCGATGCACCGATGTCGCAAGACTCGCCTGCGAAACAGCCTTCGCCCGTCAAGGCCGACTCCCCCGCCTCTCCCGCCACGCCCACCAAGACGCCTCGCAAGAAATACGTCTATCGCGACGAGTACGCCCTGCCGAAGATCGATGGTCCACTCGAGTCCCGCGCGGACATTTCCGACACTCGCATCGCGACGGAGGAAGAGCTCCGCGAGTTCATCGAGGACCTGCGACCCGAAGACCTCGACATCAACAGCAAGTTCTTCGAAAACCTCCCTACCGAGGTCAAGTACGAGATCCTCGGCGACCTGCGTATCAAGACTCGACAGGTCAACCACCGACGAGTGCAGACTATGCGCGGCTCGAACGCCCACGACTTTTCTCGCGCCCAAATCGACCACTTGATGGAGCGGAACGCCTACACGCAGAAGCTCCTCTCCGTGACGGACGAGCTCGGCAAGTCTGCCCTTGCGATTCCGACGAGGGTCGCCGGCCAGCGGAATCGCGAGTACGTGCTCGTCAAGCAGGACGTGAGCAAGGGCGGAGGCTGGGTTCTCGGTGTCAAGAACCCCGAGATGTCGAGCAATCAGCCGATCACGATCGACTCGACGACCGACGATAGCGTCAGTACGCATACGGATACGGACGAGTTTGAGGAGGTCGGGTTCGACTCGCCGGAGAAGAAGCCCGTCGGCCTGCCCACTCCGGACCGCGAGGCTCGCCGTGCTCTTGCCGAGGAGGCTGTTCGCGCCCGTCTCGCTGCGCAGGTCCCCCTACCTGCGGCTGATCCGTACCTCGACCAGCCCGTCGCCTCGACCTCGCGTGCGGCAGGTCTGTTCCAGCGGGACGGGCTTGCAGACGAGGAAGACGCGGCGTTGCAGCAGGCGCTGTACGAGTCGGCCCAGACGGCACCTCCACTTCCCCTCGGCGGCGGCCGAACAATGCACTCCTCCTCGACTGGTCGCACAAGCAAGAATGGCCGTGCTCGCGCTCGACCTATTCCTTCTTCATCACGCACTGCGATTTCCGTTACGATCCCGCCTCGGCCGACTGCACCAGCAGCTGAGTCGTCGCTCGACGCTACGGCGGCCATGGGAAACGACACGGACGACAGCATGGAATACGTCGATACCCCGCCTCAAACGACGAACGGCGAGCCTGCGGCCCGTCCAGCAGCAGCAGCAGCGAATGGGGCAGTCGTATTGTCGGACACGGACGACACCGACGCTTTTGAAGAAGTCTCGGTGACCGAGCCTCGCCAGCCCGTCGCAGCGTCGGTACAGCCCCCGCCTGCAGCAGCTCGAGCGCCGTCTCTTCCGTCGCCGCCTGCGCGATTGCCTTCACCGCCCGTCGCGACTGCTTCAACTCAACCTCGCACGCTGTTCGACAGCATCCTCCCATCAGACTCGGACTCGGACGCCGACACAGAAGCTTCGCCACGGAAACGAGATTCTCGCCCTTTACCTCCCGCACCGCCCGTCTCTCGCCCCCAGCCTCGACCACGTTCACCGCCCGCCTTTGCGCGACTCTCACCATCGCCCGATCCTTTTGAGTCGCTCGAAAACGGCGGGTCAGCGCCTGGCATCCAGTCTCACGACTTCGCCCTCGAGCCTTTCGACACCGCCTCTTCCGCTCCCGCAAGTCATGCCGTCGCGGCTCAGCAGGCCGTCGATGTCGATCCTCAATCTCGGCGTGCGGCAAACGAGCCGTCTGGCGCCGTCGAGGACGTTGCTCAAACCGCCGTGGTACGTCTTGCTTCGCCGACTGATCTTCCGGACCCGCTCCCGCCGCTCGAGAAGGCGCTCGAAGCAGTCGAGACGACCGAGATGGCCGTCCTGCCCGACACGCTCGCGCAGCTGCCTTCTCCTGACCTTCCGCCGAACCCGCCCAACGCTGAGCCGATCGATCAGCCACCTGCACGAGAACAGCCGGCGCCTCTATACAACGCACAGGAGGCAGTCGCTGAGCCTCCTGCGGCGGCACCTGCGAACGCCAAAGTGACCGACGAAGAGTTCTTCTCCGACTGGAGTCGCTCGCCGTCGCCGTCGCCTGACAAGCGCGCGTCGACGTCCGCGTCGACCGCTCAACGAGACGCGGATGATTGGTACGACGAGCTCGCAGAAAACGAGGTGGACGAGGCTGTCGCAGCGATGGAGCGGGAAGAAGAGGCGTACGCGAACATGCTGTCGGAGCTGAGGAACGAGAAAATCGAGGCGATGAGGCAGGAGGCTGAGCGGGATGTCGCGCGCTTGACGGCGCAGCGAAACGCTGAGGCGAGGAATGCGGACAGCGTGACGAGGCAGATGTCGACAGACATTAGGGTGCGCGGTCTCGCTTTCTGCCGAGGTCTGCTCGCTGACTCCGCTTCTTCCACAGGAAATGCTCATCCTCTTTGGCATCCCCTTCGTCGATGCGCCGTCCGAAGCCGAGGCAGAATGTGCAGCCTTGCTCGCTCGCCAGCTCGTGGACGGCATCGTCACCGACGACTCGGACGTCTTCCTCTTCGGCGGCTCCCGCATCTACCGCAACATGTTCAACGAGGCGAAGTACGTCGAGTGCTACCTCCTGAGCGACCTCGAGCGCGAGATCGGCCTCGACCGTGGCAAGCTCGTTCGTCTCGCCTACCTTCTCGGCAGCGACTACACCGAGGGTCTGCCTGGCGTCGGTCCGGTCGTCGGTCGCGAGCTCCTGGAGGAGTTCCCGGGCAAGGACGGCCTCAAGGTGTTCAAAGCGTGGTGGGACAAGGTGCAAAGTGGCCAAGACACCGAGAAGGACACGAACACGAGTTGGAAGCGGCGATTCGTGCGTTCCCGCGCCGCTTGCCCTCGTCAGTTCCCGGCTGACTGTCTTGTGGCGGCTCCAGAAATCGCAACACCGCAATCTCATCCTCGACAAGGGTTGGCCAAGCGCCGAAGTCGTGCGTGCAATCCGTGCCTCGCACACACGGTAAGGCAAGCTGACACTCGACCTGCAGGCTCAAGCCTACTTCCGACCAGTCGTCGAGGAAAGCGACGACCGCTTCAGCTGGGGCTTCGTTGACCTCGACGGTTTGCGCCAGTAAATTGCCTCTTGTCCACCGGCGAGATCGTATGCTCACCCTCCGAACCTCGCAGCTACCTTCACCGTTCGCTCGGCTGGGACCAGACCAAGGCGGATTCAATCCTGCTGCCGCTCATCAAGCGCGAGAAGGAGCGGAAGGAAGGCACGCTCAAGTCGCAGCGCATGGTCACCGACTTGTGCGTCTTACGCGACCTGAAGTCGGACGCATGTTGACGTCTTGCTCGACCGCCAGCTTCGACTACAGCGCCGGCGACAGCTCGTTCTCGCGCAAGAAGCAGCCCAAGTATGCGAGCAAGCGCTTGCAGAACGTCGTCGAGGTGCGGACTTTCTGCTCTTCTAGCCAGTTCTCGCTGACTCGATCTTCCTTGCAGACTTGGAAGGCTACGCGCGACGCATCCCGCAGCCCGACTCCCGGTGCGAAGGCGGAGGCGAATGACGATGCGAAGGACGAGGAGGCAACGCCTGAGCCGCTCCTAGTCAAGAAGAAGCGAGGTGCGTTGTCGATCACCTATCTTGCGGTGTCACTTCGACTGACTGGACGGATTTGAAGCTCCGCGAAAGGCGCCCGCCGTCAAGAAGACGACCGCCGCCTCCCGCAAGCGCAAGGCCAAGTCGGCCCGCGACGCTCGCGCAGCCGCCAACGGTGGCGTCTACTCCTCCGAGGAGGACTTGCGCTCGGACTGGGAGAAGGAGCAGGGCGCAGGAGGCGCCAGCGGTGCGAAGTCGAGGACTCAGCCAGCGAGGAAGAAGCGTAAGGCGGCGGTCGTCGTCCCCACGGGCGAGACGGACGAAGACGAGTGATTGGACGTTGCCGTTCGCATTGTACATACCGCATCTTGTTGTCCCGCTTGTTGCAAATACTACTCGCATTGCTCCTTGTGCACCGCCTTATTGCCCCTCCTCTCTCTCCTTCGTTTCGTCGCTGCTTCCGCTTGCTTCGCTGCGTGTGATGCGCTGTGCATGACCAAGCTTCGACGCAGATCAACAGTCCAGGCACACAACTCAACCGTCCTCCCGCCGCTCTCCCCCTCGTTCACTCGCGAACCCACCTCTCCTGTCCTCCTCGAAGACGACCCGCAGGACCCGCGAGAGTACGCGTGGCAGTCGTACACACCCGGACAGTACCGCCACTCACCCAATCCGTCCTTGCTCGCTGAATCCCCCGCTTCGCCTTCATCTCCCCTCTTCCCCTCGTCATTTCTAGCTGCCATGTCGGGTCAACTCCAAGGCCAGTACGGCGGATACGGCCAGCAGCAGCAGTATCAGTATCAACAGGGCGAATACGCTGGCTCACAAGGTCCGGCGTACGGTCGTCCCCCTCAGCCCAACCAGGGCTTCGAGCGTCCGATGCCGCACCCTCAACGGCAGAGCAGCTACGGCCTTCCTCCTCCGATCAACACGCAGGACCCTCGCGTGCGCAACGGTAGCCAGCAAGGCTCGTCTGGGTCAGCGTCGCCCATCGGACCTCCTCCTGGACGTCCTTACCCCTCCAGCGGCCCTCCCTCTGCGTCCCGCCAGTCTCCCGTCCCGACAGTCTCGACGCAGTCCCACCACGTCCGCGAGGGATCGTCGATCACGCCGCAGACGACCCGTCCGACGAGCCAGCTTCCCTCTCACGGCAGCTCGAGGTCGCTGGCTTCGCAAGCCGCGCCGCAAACGATTGCCGGCGAGCCTCTGCACGACCTCGGCAGGGCCGTTGCTCTCCTCAAGAGCAGCAAGTTCTACGCTGAAGGTGCGTGGTCACGCTTGCACTTTCGCTACTACCGCTGATGTCCGTTCTCCTCGCAGGCTTCTTGATGAAGAAGGTTGAGGCGGGTCCTGACGGCAAGGTGAGCTACGAGACGGTGTGTACAGCGAGGTTGAGGAGCTGACGAGCGCTTGCTCATGCAGGCCCCGACTGGTGCGGACGGGCAGTGGGCGAAATGGTTCGTCCAGCTGAGCGGGACCATCATGTCGACGTGGAACGCCGCCGACATGGAGGACGCCGCTCGCAACAATCGAACGGTAAGTCACACGCCGGCGATTGTCTGAAGCCGCCCTCTGACTTCCCTCTCATCGCCAGGTCCCGCCGCAGTACCTCAACTTGCAAGACGCCTTCGTCCATCCTTTCCCGCCTCACGGTCGCGGCTCGAAGTCACCGACGCAGTTCCAGTTCGCCTTGAACAGCGCCGGCGCGAACAGGATTCTCTTCTGCGCGCCGAGCCTCCAGTCATTGACGGTGGGTCACAAGCCCGTCTGTCTGATCATACGTGCATATGCTGATCTCGCTTCCGCAGATGTGGATCAATGCCATCCGCCTCTCGACTTGGGAACGCTCCCGCTGCAACGAGATCTGGACAGGCTCGTTGCTCGGTCTTCGCGAGCCAAAGCCGCTCGGCTGGCAAGGCTTCGACGCCGGTCTTCCTGCGCCTGGCGGCGGCAAGGCAACGCCTGGACGCTTCGAAGGATGGCTCAAGGTCCGCTTACCGGGCGACACAGAGTGGCGCCGTGTTTGGGCTGTCCTGCTCCGCGGCAGCAGCGTGCCGACTCGTTCGTCGATGATCGGCGGTCCGGCAGCTGTGCAGGCAGAGGAGAAGAAGTCGCGGCGCTCGAGTCTGCTGAGCTTCGGCGGGAAGAAGGACAAAAAGGAGGAGGTCGTCATCGAGGACTTGCCGGGAGAAGGCGCCATCTCGACCTTTGCCTTCTTCGACCGCAAGCCGGGGAAAAAGGAGCTCCCGATTTGCATCGTCCAGCACGTCTTCTACAGTGAGCTCAGGTGCTCCCGACTATCGCGCTGTCCCGCTGATCCCGTTCTCGCCCAGTCGCCGCCATCTTTCCCGAGTCCGAGGCGCTCATGGAAGGCTCGACGCTCTTCAAGGTCGAAGGAACCTTCCTCAACCCGAGCGACAGCTACCTCGCGAGCGGATGGGGCGTCGGCGGACGTGCTGAGAAGCAGGGCTTTGCCTTGCTCATGCTCGAGGAGGGGAACTACCTCGACATGCTCCACTGGGTCGTCGGCCTCGCCGACGCCTTCAAGGTGCGCTAGGAGCTCTCCTAACTCCCGCGGCGATGCTGACACTTGCGTTCGCAGCTCTACGGCCGTCCCCGCAACTTCTCCTTCGACCCTCGCGATCCCAACTCGTTCTACTTCGCCTTGCCTATCGGTCCGCACCGTGACCGGCAGTTCCTTGACCGCGAACGTGCGTGCTCGCGGAGTTGCAATCGTTGAGGCTCGCTGATCCGTCGACACCCGCACGCAGTCGTCGACAACCTCAACATCAACGAGAACCGCCCGCGAGCAGTTCGCGCGACTTTCCACAGTGCGTTCGACCTTTCGCATATCGCTGGCAACCCTTCAGCTGACGACTTGCTCACTCTCGCAGACATCCTTTTCGACCGCATGCGCGGCGTCCGTCCGGCTGCCCTGGCCAACGAGCCGCCTCCTCAAGCTGGACGAGAGTCGCCTGCGACGATGGACGCGCCTCAACAAATGCCGGACGAAACGGAGGACGCCTCGCGCCGCTTCTCTCAGCCGCCGATGGCACAACCTCGGAACGACAGTCCGCAGCTGCCGCCGATCCTCCCAACTATCGGCGAAGGCTCGCTCGTTGACGACGCACAAAGTTCAGTCAGACCCGCCAACTTTGGTCAGCCGACTGAGCCCAGCCGCGGCGAGCACTACGAGCAGCCGCCAGAAGCCATGCACCAGGAGCGTCAGAAGGTCGCCGACCGGCACACTAGTCAGTACGGCGTCATTGAGGGCTACCTCGACCAACAGCAGCAGCAGCAGCAGCCTCAGCAAGCCGACACCGCCTCCTTGGCGGCATCTCAAGTACAGCCGCGCGCCTTAATCAGCGAGCAACCGGCAGACTACGCCTCGGGTCCGCGTCGACCAAGTCGCGACGCCAGCACCGCCGAGAACGAGCTCGGGACCTACGAAGCGTTCCTCTCGTCCGACATCGCGCGGGAGACGACGCCGCCGCCCGCTCCTCAGCACATGCCGCCGCGCTCCGAGCCTGCACAGCGCTCCTCGTACGCCGACCAGTCGCGCTTGGCGCCGATCAACACGGCGCCGTCCCTGTACCCTTCTTCCAACGGGTCAGCTCGCTCGACGCCGCTGCAGTCCACGACCGCCGCCACCGAGAACGCGCCAGGCCGACTAGGCGTCAGCCCTCCCTCTCGGGGACACGCCAATCAGCTAGAGATGCTCGATGCGTACCAGCAGTCGCCGATGCAGTCGGCATCTTCGCCCGTCGGCCGCCCTCTACCTTCACCGGGAGCTCCTTCTCTCGTCTCGCCGACGGGGACGGGTACCCCGGCGTCGCCTGGGCTTCCGTATCTCGCGGCTTCACCGCAAGCCGCGCAGGCTCACTTCTCCGCCCCAGTCGCAGCAGCGCCGCCGATCCCGCATGTCAATGAGACTGAGCAGCCTCGAGCCGCTCCCGCCGAAGCTCCTGCCGCTCACGACGCCCCTGAAGCGTTCAGCGCTCGACAGCCTACCTCCGAACACACCGTTGGCGCCGGACCTGTTCAGATGCACGACGGCAAGGTCGTCGACAGCCCGGAGAACCTGCAGCTGGAGTCGCCGACCGAAGGAGCCTTCACCACCCAGCCTCTCTTCGCCGGCTCTTCGCGATCTGCACAATTAGATCACGCGCACGCACCTGTCGCGCCTGTCGAGGAAGAGCCCGTCGCGCGTCGCGCTCAAACGCCGCCGCCCGTCGAAGCGCCGACGGCTTCGGCTGCTGCGCCTGCGCACGCCTCGCCCAACAAGCGCGCCTACGACATGCCTGAAGACGCCAACATTCACTCGGATCTCCTCGCCGCGCTCAACTTTGTCGACCGCTCTGAATCGCCAGAACCTGCGACGCCCCACACCATGTCTTCGGTCGAACCTTCTCCCATCACGGCGAGCAGGGCGTTCCACGTTGGGCCGCCGAAACACGACATGTTCCGCCCGCCGACGCCGAGCGACGAGAACTACGGCTCGGATGCGAAGGACGGACCGGTCGAGATCCTCGCCAACGGCGCAGCGCGTCCAACTGCCCAGCCCGCACCAGCAACGACCCAGCCGCCGCCATCGTCCTCTTTCCCTTCGTCCTTTGCGCAGAACAAGCGTGCTCAAGAGCGCGCCGCCGCAGCTCAGCTCGCGCAACAGGCTCAGCACGCCGCGCTGACGAAACCCGGGCGGGCGGCAGGCGTGACTGGGCAGCAGCGGAAAAAGATGTGGGAGGACAGCGACGAGGAGGAGGAAGAGGCGGACGAGTCCGAGGAGTCCGAGGAGCAGCATAGTACTCAGCAGGAACCTCCTCGCCCGGTCACGCAGTCCGCCTCGAACAGCAGCATCGCTCCCTCTCCCGCCCGGAGCCGCGTCGCCTCGCCGCTCCCGCCGCCCGTTTCCATGGAGGTCCCGCAAGACCACCTCCGCCAAGGTCGTTCCCCTCAGCGCTCTCCAGGTGTCGACCCCGTCGCTCGCCAGTCCTACCTCGACAACGGTCCGGGCCGACAACATCCCTACCCCCACACTGCTCCGCCAGCTTCCCCTACTCGCGACTTTGACGCCGAAGCCGGCCAGCAAACGTCTCGCAAGCCGGCTCTCAACCCGCACGGTCTCCTCGCGACGGGCATGCTCGAGAAGGAGGAGCGCTCAGCACGAGCGCAGGAGCACGCTGCTCGCGATACCGGCGGGACGCTCGTCAGCCTTCCCGCCAAGGCGCCTCCTCCTCAGACCGGTCTCGTCGGTGCGCTCACCTCGCATGAGCGGGAAAAGGAGCGGACCGGCGGCGTCGGCCGCGCGCTCACTGAGCAGCAGAAGGAGCGCAAGCTGGCCGAGCAGCGGCAGAAACAGCTCGACGAACTCCAGAAGCAGCAACTCGCCATGATGCAGCAGCAGATGCAGATGGCGCAGTTCGGCGGCGGCTTTGGCAATCCGATGTCGATGGGCTTCGGCGGCTCGAACCCGTGGATGATGCCGGGGATGGGCGGCTTCGGAGGTTTCCCTGGCATGCCTGGCGCAGGCTCGCAGGTCGGCGGTGCTTCTCCGCCTCTGCAGCCGCAGAACACGGGTGGCGGAGCAGACTTCGTACGTTGCGCTCCCGCCTCTTCTGTCAGCCCCTTGCTAACAGTCTCTTGCACAGTCGGCGCAGCAGCAAGCGGCCTTCCAGCAGCAGCAGGCGATGATGGCCGCACAAGCCGCCGCTCAGCAAGCTGCTCAGCAGGCAGCGCAACAAGCGTACCTCGCCGCCATGTCGCAGTTCTCGCAACCGATGGCTTCGCCTGGCGGCGCGTCGCCGACTCTCCCGCCCTCCTCTTTCCCCTCGATGCCGTCGATGAACTTCATGCCGACGCCGTACGGATTCTCGCCCGCATCGCCCACGATGGCCACGTCGCCCTCGTTCATGGCGCCGCAGTTTGGCGGCTTCATGCCCGGCCACGGTCAGCAGCCGAGCATGAGCATGTATGGCGGCGCTGGAGGGCTCAGCGGTGGTCAAGGCGGTGATGGCGACAACAACGCGGCGAGGGCAGTCAGTCCGCTTGACCTCGGACGGCAGCAGCACGCGAGGAAGGAGGGCAGCGAGTGAGGTTTCGGTCGAGTGGCCTCCTCGTATGTATCGTAGAGGTCGTCTTCGTTCTTGGTTTCTGTTCTTTCGTGCGCTCGTAATAGACACTCTCCGTGGCAGTTAGGCTCCCTTTCCTCCAGCGGGCCACGACGAGCAGAGTGTCAAGAGCATAGCAAGCCTCGAGGACGAGCTGCACCGTCCGAAGCTGAATCTCCACGCCTGCGGATCCGTCCTGGCGCACGGAGCATTCGTCAGGAGTACAGCAAAAGAGAGCGGCGGAAGGGCAAAACACTCAGCAGCGAAAAAAAGAAACGTCCTCGGACAGGTTCGAACTGTCGACCTCCTGATGTGCAGTGCACAAGGCTGACTTGTAGTAACAGTCAGACGCTCTAACCAACTGAGCTACGAAGACTTGCTTGTTGAGCGGTTCCTAACGTGCGTGTATAACCCGCATTGCGTTGTCGGCCCCTTTCTGACTGTCGTGGATCCAGCAGCCACAACTCTCGGCGGTGAGGACACGCCGCTGACATGTACGACGGTGTCAATGCAAAAGCGTAAGATGCAAAAAGTCTGCCTCCCTACGATGCCTCCGCGCCGTTCTCCTCCTCGGCTGGTCGCGACTCGCCCGACGGTTCCGCCAGAGACATCGTAGCCACATCGCCGCCAAGCGCTCGAATTCTGCGGGAGAATGCTACGTGTCAGCTCGAGGCGGGGCGAAGTTGCAAAGAAGGCCGCCGACGCACCGCTCCTCCTCCTTCTCTCGTCGCTCGGCCTCGGTCTTGAAACGCAGCTGCTCCAAGTCCCACTCCTCGTCTTCGTCCTCGTCCTCGTCGGCGCCAAGCAGCTCCGAGTTGTACGTGAACAAGTCACGTCCAGACAACCCAGTGAGCTTGCCAGCCGCCGCCGTCGCCGACTTGGCCGACTGGAGCGCCTGCTCCTCAGCCTCCTTCTTCGACACTCGGTTCTTCTTCCACTCGGCGAACGACTCCTTCGTGATCGGCGTGAGCTTCTTCTGGTCGAGCTTGTGTCGCTCGACCTCGAGGAACTCTTCGATCGACAGCGACTTGTCCTCCGAATCGTCCTTCTTCTTCTGGCTCTTGAGCACGAAGCCGGGTGGCAGCGCGTGTCGATAGATGCACTTCTCGCCCGCCGGGCACTCCCTGTCAAGCGGAAGAGTCAGCTCCTTCGTCGATGCGAAGCTGCGGAACGGCAGGCGAAACACACCAGAACCTGTGAAAGTGATTGCGAGTCAGCAAATACGCTCAGGACGCACGTCGAACTTGAACGCACCATCCGTAGATCTGCTTCTCAATGGCCTCAAGGAAGTGCTTGCACACAATGTCGGTCGTCGCCTTCGGGTTGCCCTTCTTCGAGACGGCGTCGCGCAGCTGCTCCTCCGTCCAGGTGCTCATGTCTGCGGCAAGAGTGCACTGTCAGGACCTCTTGTGCAGTACGAAAAGGGAGAGCGAACGTACCCTCGTCCTTGGTCGGATCCTTCTTGGCATCTCGTGCGTCCTCGTACAAGTTCGCCTTCGCACCCTTTCGGTCCTGGTTGAGGTCGTGAGAAAACTTGCACTTGGCGCCCTTCTGACACCGTCCGGCTTTGTGGAACGCGCAGAGAACCGACTTCGGGTCTGCGAGAGGTGGAGTGAGCGGCGGGAGGAACTGGAGGAATCGGCAATACGCGAACGCACCGACTCCGAACGGCACCTTGGGCTGCACGATGTCCAGACCGCCATACAGCTGCGCCTCGAGCTCCTTCTTGGCCTGTTCAGCCCTCTTCTTCTCTGCAATTCGCTCCTTCTCCTTGGCCTTTTCGAGCGCCTCCTTGTTCTTGCCGCGCTGAGCCTCCTGCTGGTTGATGATCTGGACCTGCTTCTGGACCTTGGCAGACTTGTTCTTGTTCTTCATGCCAAAGGTCTGTTCGAGAGGGTCGTCGCAAGGTCGTGTGAGGAGAGGCGAGAGGTTCGAGCATGGCGTCGGGGGCGGGAGAGACGTAGGAGGGCGGGAGTGTATGAGACCAGACGTCGGAAGGCGCAAAGCATCGATGCAGGAGTGGCAGAGGGAGGAAAGTAGGGCACTCGGGCAGTCAGCGTCATGAGGCGTGGGAAGCGGCGACAAGGCGAGGGGACCGCGTGGACGGACTGCGACACTCAGAGAGCTCTGTAGAACGTACCTTGTCGTCCTTGACCTTGGCAGGCTTGCCATCCTGCTTCTTGGGCGGCATTGTGGGTCGGTGAGAGTGAGCGGGCGCGGCGGTCGAGAGAGGGTGCGCTCGCGGGCGGGGGGTGTACAAGTGGGTTGTCCGGTCTGCTCAAGCCCGTCTAAGCGTGTCCAGGCGCAGCGAGAGCGCGGCGAGCGGTGTTGACAGCGACTTGGCCTGGTCGAAAAGAAGTTGGCGAAGGTGTTGCGCTCTTCCACTCGCTGGCACCAGCGGATGCTCAAGCTGGTCCGCTGCTTGAAGGATTCACTGCTCAGACTATCGACCTACGCACCCAGAATGTCCACCCAGCGCTCCCACTCGCCCCCGACTCCCTCTTCCTCGACTTCGACAGATGAGCCTGTTGCGAAGCGGCAACGCATCGAGAGCGGGGTCGCAGACGGCGAATCGAACGGCGTGAATGGCAGCTTGGCGGCTGAGGTGCCGACCAAGCGGAAGCGGACGCTCCCGTACGAGAAGGGCATGCACCTCGCGCCGATGGTACGAATCGGTACTCTGCCTGTCCGGTTGGTGTGTGCGTGGATTCTGCTCACTCTGATTCTTCAGCGCGAGTCTGACAGTATGTCCGACAGCCTTGGAGTACGGCGCGGAGCTTGTCTGGGGTCCTGAGATCGTTGACAAGGCGATTATCGGTTCTGAGCGGAGGGTCGACCGTGCGTGCTTTCCGCTCTTCTTGGTGCGGATTGAGCGCTTACCAGAGTTTTCGATTCGCAGCCAAGACGGGTGTCGTCTCGTTCTTCAAGAACAACCGCTCTGTCTTCGAATGTCACCCCATCGAGAAACCTCGTCTCATCTTCCAGCTTGGCAGCGCTTCGCCCGAGCTTGCCGTGCAGGCGATGAAGATGGTTGAGAACGATGTCGCGGGCGTCGGCTTGAATTGCGGTTGCCCAAAGTCGTTCAGTCTGTCGGGCGGGATGGGCGCTGCTCTGCTGAAAGACCCCGAGCGACTGTGTTCGGTGCGTTCGCTTTTTTCAGGTGAGATGCACGAGAATCGTGCTGACCGCCCCTCTTCACAGATCTTGAAGGCCCTGGTCGGAGCGACCGACTTGCCCATTGACGCCAAGATCCGCCTCCTGCCCAAACCCGCCTCTTCAGCTTCCGCTTCCCCCGCACAAACACCCGCTTCACCTGCTACGCCTCAAGACTCTGCACCTGCTTCCCCCTCAGCAGCCGCTCCAACACCCTCCGCCGTTCTCGAGCCAACCGAGCCTCTCACCATAACCATCCCTCCTACCGAGCATGCCTCGCCTTCCGAGCCGACCATCCCGCTAGTCGCCCAGATCTTCGACACCGGCATCGCGAACCTGACGGTGCACTGCCGGACGCAGGAAATGCGGTCTCGCGAGCCTGCTTTGCACGACCGGATGAGAAGCATCACCGAGATGGGTAGGGAGCGGGGCGTGCCCGTCGTGTGCAACGGCGACGCGCTAGGAGGGGGGCAAGAGGCGAAGTGGGGAAACTTCCAGGAGTTGTGCGAGAAGACTGGTGCGTTTGTTCCCTTTGCCCTCGAGAGTTTCATGCTCACCTGAACTCGCCCGTGCAGGAGTTTCGTCTGTCATGATTGCCCGAGCAGCCGAAGCGAACCCTTCGTGCTTCGCTTCGAACGGCCTCGAAGACCCCATCAAGGTTGTCATTCCCCGACTCCTGCGCATTGTGCGTCTCCCTTGTTCTCCTTGCCGCCTCGGCTCGCTGACAGAACGTATCTACAGGCCGTCGCGACCAACAACCACTACCAGAACACGAAGTACATCCTGAACGCAATGGACCTCTACTCCTCCCCGACTCCTCCCTCGCGCGAAGTCAACCGCGACCTGAAGCAGCGGATGAACAAGGCCAAGACGTACGAGGACATGTGCGCGATCTTTGGCATCTCGGAGGAAGAGGTGAAGCGGATTCGGGAGACGGGCGTCGAGGAGTTCGTGCCGGGGTGGGTCAAGCGGAGGAAGGAGATTGTCGAGGCCGAGGGAGAGTTCTGAGCGGATGGAGCAGCGGCCATCGTCATATTCACTTTAGACTCTTGCGTTTGTTGGCCTACACGTCCTTTGCAACCCGATACAGTCCCTTGACCTCGTCGTCTGCCTCCAACCCTCAAGCCAGCTCAAAGTAGCGCTTCAACTCCCAGTCCGTCACCGCCCTCGAGTAGACCCCCCACTCGTTCAGCCTCGTCGCCGTGAAGTGATCGACGAACTGATCTCCAAGCACTTCTCGCGCAAGACTGCCCATCCTCGCCATCCGCTCGGCCGCCTTCTCGAGGCTATTCGGTAGGCGCTCAAAAGAGAGCTTCGTCGCGTCGGATTCGGAGAGGTTGGCTGTTGAAATGGGAGGGCAGGGGAGAGCGGACTTGTTGCGAATGCCGCGGAGGCCGAGTGCGAGGACGGCGGAGAAGGCGAGGTGAGGGTTCATCTGCGAATTGAGCGAGACATCAGTCGATGCCGGAGAAAATCTTCCGACAAAACGTCGGAAGCGGCACTCACATCGGCGCCCGGGACTCGAACCTCCAGCCGTGTCGACTTAGTGTCGCCCATCGGCGGGCTGACGATCCGTACGCTCGCAACGCGGTTCTCGTAGGCGTACGAGACGGTCGTCGGCGCCCAGTAGGACTCGACAAGCCGCTTGTAGCTGATCGAAGGATAGAAGCGGTCAGCGGAATTTCGGGTTGGAAGCGACTGACCAGGCTCACCCGTTGACGGTCGGTACCAAGCACGGCATCTGTACGCGCGAGAGCATTAGCACGAGCGCGTCATTACAGGAAAAGGCGGAACTCGCGATGTCTGGCAAGCCCTCGAGCACTCCCGCCAAGAACCACTCCGCCTCCTGGCTGATTCGCTTCGTATCCTCGTACGCCGCGTCTTCCCGACCCTTCTCAACCTCCTCCTCCTTGACCGCAAAGACGTTCCTCCCGTCCTTGTCTGTCAAGCTGATATGGATGTGCCCCGAGCATCCGGGCTGGTCTCCGTAAGGCTTGGCCATGAACGTCGGCATAATGCCGAACCGCAAACCGGTCACTTTCGCAGTGTACTTGAAGAGGAGGGCGTTGTCGGCCATGCGGAGGACAGGTTGGTAGGCAAGGGCGGACTCGAAGACACCGGGTCCGGTCTCGGTGTGGTGTCCTGCGGAGAGCGTCAAAGTTGGTCAGCTGGACAGTCATGAGCTGACAAATACAGTCACGCACCCTCGATAGGGATGCCGAACTGGGCACAGTCGTCGTAGACGGCGTGGAAGTAGTCGCTGTTGGCTTCGGGCCGAAGGAGCGAGTAGCCGTGCATGCCGTCCGTCAGCGGCTCGAGTCGGTGGAAGTCCTTCTCGTGCAGTGACTTGGGCGTCTCGCGGAACTGGAAGTACTCGTACTGCGGCAACGAATCGAGTCAGCGCTTGCGGAGAGGAGAAGGCACGGTGGGAGGCTCACCTCCGCTCCAGCCATCGCCTGGTATCCCTCCTTCTCCAGCTCGCCAACGACCTTCTTCAGCGTTGCTCGCGGGCATGCATACAGGCCTTCTTGCGTGTCGGGGTCGTGGAAGGTGATGAGGAAGAAGGGGAGGGACGGGGTTCCGGGGGTGCGGCGATACGAGTCGAGGTCGATGCGGGCGAGGAGCTGCACGACGAACTCGTTGGTCAGTGATGAAGCGTACGGAGGCTTCGAAGCGAGCGCAACGCACATCCTTGTACCCGTTCTGCAGGTTCGAGATGCCCAACTCTCGCTCGTACGTCTTGTCGTGCATGTCCCAACCAAACGTCACTCCGCAAAAGCCAAAGCCTACGTCGTACGGAACCCATCAGCGCCTTATACTCGCAGGACTGCTTTCGCGGAGAGGATGTGGGGAGGCGAGGAGGAGGAAAACGCACCCGACTTTGCCGCCGACAGGAACTTGTCCTTCATCATGATCTTGCCGCGCAATACGCCGTCCACGTCGACTCCTGCACGCCGCGAGCCCTGGTCAGCGAGTTGTTATCAGCGGGGACGATGACTGCGGGAGGACAGCTCACCCGCGACCTGGACCTTGTCGTCGTTGGCGAGCAGCTTCGGCAACTCCTCGATAGTGATGTTAGAGCCAGCCATCGTACAAAGCGAGCACTTGATGGCGATGGGTGAAGTTGAGAGATGACGGCGAGGAGGGAGTTGTCCTCGACCACTCGCTTGAACCCGCTATTCTGCTGGCTTGGTGGACCCTTCTACTTGCTGGACCATGGCAAAGAGCCCTGCCAAGCCGCAGAACCTCGACTCGTTCTTCAAACCTCCTCCCTCGAACAAACGCACCGCCCCACTTCCCTCGACTCCCAGCAAAGCGCGCAAGACTATTGGCGGAGACGTGAAGGACGGCAAGGGGAAGGGAAGGGCAGTGCAGGACCTGGGCAAAGTCGTCCTGGACGATTCAGACGAGGACGAGCGGATGAACGGCCAGGACGAGGAGGACGACGGCGACGACTTGGTCATCGTCGAGCCGGACGGGGCGGGAGAGAAGCAGATCAGGTTGGGAAAGGTCAAGGAAGAGGTGGACGAGCCAAAGCCAGCCAAACCGCCGCCTCCCGTCGCCTCCATCTTCCAGAAACGCACACCTGCCTCTCCCAAATCTCCCGCCAAAGTCAATACGCTCCTCTCGTCGCCCAAAGTCGAAGTCGATGCAGACACAAAGCCCGACATCAAGCCGTCGCCGACGAAGAACATCGCTATCTTCGATACCGCCGCAGCATCCTCCTCAACGGCCGCAGGATCCGAGGCGGGGCCGTCTTCCAGCACGTCCAAGCCGCTTGATACGCCTCTCTTCACCTTCTCCCCAACGCAAGACGTCTCGTTTGGCTCGCACACCCGCGTACCCTTCAGCTTCCTCTCCGACGCCCTTGTCCTGATCAGCAGCACCAAGTCGCGGCTCTTCATCCAGCTGGTCTTGACCAACCTGCTCAGGACCGTCATCGAGCTCGACCCAGAGAGCCTCCTCAGCGTCGTTTACCTTTGCAGCAACCGGATCGGCCCTTCGTACGAGAAGGACACGGAGCTTGGGATCGGTTGGCGTGAGTCGCGCGTTCCCAATTACGCGGCAAGGTGTTACTGACGATCTCTTGCGCACAGAGGTGCTGAGCAAAGCGATCAAGGAGACGTCAGGCGCGACTGCTCAGAAGCTCAAGCAGCTGTCGAACAAGCATGGCGATCCCGGAGACATCGCTTTCGAGGCGTCGAAAAGCGTCCGACTCCTCGTCAAGCCTACTCCGCTCGAGTGCCACGGGGTCTACAAGATCCTCACGCAGATCGCCAAGCTTAAAGGGTGCGTCGCGACCGCATTCCTTGCGACTGTCGGACTGACCTTCCCAAAACTCGACAATGCAGTACTGGCGTCCTCAATCAGAAAACCTCGCTCGTCAAGAAGCTTCTCCTCTCCTCGTCTGGCGAACAAGTTCGCTACATCGTCCGCATCCTGGTCTCGAACCTCCGCATCGGCGCCGTCCGCCTCACTCTCCTCACGGCTCTCGCTCGCGCTTTCTGCCTCTCGAGGCCTGGGAGAAAGGAGCCATCCGAGGAGAGCGAGTACTGGATTACGGCGAAGGAGCGGAAGGAGATGGCAAAGGTCGACAGGGAGGAAGAGGAGAAGGCGAGCGCGAAGAAGGCAAAAGGCGGGAAGGGGAAGGCTAAGGAGGAAGAGGGCGGCGGAAAAGCGGCGCCGAAGATCAAGAACAAGCCGAAAGCGCAGAAGGGGCAGCTCGAGCTCGAGGTGGACGAGAAGCTCAAGCGGGCGGAGGCGTGCGTGAGGAGGGTTTGGGCAAGGCATCCGAACTTCGGGCACCTCGTCGAGGCGTTGCTCGAGGGCGGGTTGGAGGAGTTGGAGGAGCGCGTGGGCTTGAGTGTCGGTGAGTCCGCCTGTCCGTGACCTCGTCGCAGGTCACAGAGTTGATGAAGTCGCTGCTGCAGGCGTTCCTCTCGAGCCCATGCTCGGCTCCATCACCCGCTCGCTGGACGACATCTACACCCGTCTCGGCTCCCGCCCCTTCGTGTCCGAAGCCAAGCTCGACGGACAGCGCGGCCAGATCCACGTCTGGGTCGGCGATTCGCGCCCTGGAGGAGTTGCCGAAGGCAGCGGGAAATGGTTCGTCGACGAGGAGTCGGGCAGGCGAGCGTGGGTCAGGATGTTCTCGCGTCATCTCGAGGACATGACGGAGAAGTACCCTGACATCGGCGGGACGATCTTGGTGAGCTGCCCGTCCAGCCAGCGCGCGTGCGTAGACTGATGCGATAGACTTACAGGGCATCCTCGCTCGAGCCGAAATGTCCGAGACGCCCTTGCGCAACTTTGTCATCGACTGCGAGGTTGTCGCAATCGACCCAAAGACGGGCGCCTTCAAGACTTTCCAGGAGCTGTCCTGTGCGTATGCGAGACGTGCGGGTTAAGGGCAGAAGGTGATTATCCTCCTCGCAGACCGCTCGAAGAAGGACGTCGAGCTGGGCGACATCAAGGTCCGCGTCGGCATCTACTGCTTCGACCTCATGTTCCTCAACGACGAGGTGCGTCTGAACAGCTCATTCCCTGCGTGTCGAACTGACCGTCATTCGCCTTAGTCCCTCCTCTCCCGTCCCTTCCGGTCCAGGCGCGACACGCTCCGCAGCCTCTTTCCGCCGCTTCAGCCGACCGACCCTCGCTTCGCTAAATGGGAGCTCATTCCTTGCTGCACCGACAACGACCCGGAGAAGGTCCGCGAGTTCTTCGAAGAAACGCTGAAGATGAAGGCCGAGGGCATCATGGTCAAGTTGCTGGACGAAGCGGAGGTTGAAGTTACCGATGCGGGAGAGGGAGAGAACGGCGCGAGTGGAGCAGACGGCCAGGACGAGGAGATCGACTACGCTTCCGGCGGAGAGGCGTCGAGTAGCCGTTCGCGCTCATCGTCCAACTCGCCGCGTCCTCAGCCGAAGAACGGCAAGACCGGCGGCAAGTCTCGTCGCAAGGTCCTTCCTGCGTCTTACGAACCGGACAAGCGCGCCGACTCGTGGCTCAAGGTCAAGAAGGATTAGTGCGGCGACTCCCGAGCCTAAGCAGCGAACGCAGCTGACTTCTTACACCCAGCCTCGACGAAGTTGGCGATTCGCTCGACCTTGTTCCCATCGCCGCTTGGTGGGGCCAGGGGCGGAAAGCGGGCTGGTGGAGCCCTTTCTTGCTTGGTGCGTTCGTTCGCTCACTCGAGCAGAAGTAGGCTTTGCTGACCGAACTCGCAGCGTGCTACGACGAGGAGACGGGCGCCTACACCGCTGTCACAAAGTGCTTGTCTGGCTTCACCGAGTGCGTCCGTGCCGCTCAGCTCGGTCACGAGACCTACTGACGCACGATCTACAGCGCCTTCTACAAGGAGATGCGCGAGAAGTACAACCCGGAACCCGAGAATCCGCTCACGAGCAAGACTCCCTGGCCAGAAGTCGAAGCTGGTTGTGTGTGTTGCCGCACCTCTTTTTCCTTCTCCTGCTGACATCTGACTCTACAGCGCTCTCGCCCGACATCTGGTTCAAGCCGAGCGAGGTGTGGGAGATCCGCGGCGCCGAGTACGCTGCCCCCGAACCCGAAGCTGGAATCGCGCTGACATCGCCTTTGGCAGCTTCACCCTTTCGCCGGTCTACCCCGCGGCCCGCTCTCAACTCGGCAACGAGCGTGGCGTCTCCATCCGCTTCCCTCGCTTTATCAAGATCCGCGAAGACAAGGGAATCGAGCAGGCGACCTCGGCGGAACAGCTCGCCCAGCTCTACGAAATGCAGGGCGCTCCAGCGGGTGACGGAGGAGCGTCGAAGCGTGTGCAGGGCGACGAGGCGGACGAGGCTTGAGGAAAGAGATTTACCGGAAGGAATGCTCGTTAGCGGCGTGTCTTCGCTTGTCCCGCTTGCTCCTTGTTGTCTACTTCTACGCATGTTGCTCTCCTGTACTACGAGCTTCAGCATCCACCCGAGCGAGTCGTTGCCTGGATATCCGCAAGCATCCCTTTGCCCTCTTCCTCCCCGCTACTTCTCGTCGCTCATCCGCAAACCGCTGTCTGGCGTGCCTGAGATCTTTTGCTTCGTGACTGGACCCGTTTGCACGCTCGCTCGCGCCTCACGAAGCTCGTCAACCTCCCCCCACCTCCTCATCAACCAGCCGACGACGCACCCGTCATGACGGCCGACAGCAGCGCGGGCGGGCTGCAGCGGACACGCCCAACCGAAGGGGAACTCTTGCAGCGCTGGCAGAGCTACATGGGCGACCCGATGCTGTCGCTGGCGGGGCTAAAGCAGGAGGCGGTCGAGGGCAAGGTGGAGGAGCGAGGGCTGAGGTCGCTGACATGGCGGGTGCGTCTCCAGACCATCCACAGGATCTCAATGAAGCTGACCTACCTACGCCGACAGTACTTCTTCGATCTGTTGCCGGCTCCGACCCCCTTACCCTCGACTCCCTCCTCATCCAGCTCCTCCGCCCTCCCCACCTATTCGCTTTTGCTCTCTCAGTCTCGCACAGCATACGATGAACTTCGCGAACGATACTTGCGAGCGCCGGACGGGCGATGGGTGGCAGATGGGGCGACTGGCGAGGCAGACGGTCCCGCGTCCGGTCCTTCCACGAGCAAGGCGAATGGCGCTGCGGGAGGACATCTGCGGAAAGTCGAGGTCAAGGCAAACAACCCGCTGGGACTCGACGAGGAGAATCCTTGGCAGGCGTGGTTCAAGGATCTCGACTTGCGAAAGATGATCCGGCAAGACGTACAGCGCACGTACGTAGTCTCGCTGCTTACGGTGCCGAGCTTCACGCGCTGACGCTTAACGAATAGCTTCCCCGAGATCGACTACTTCCGTCAAGCAGCAACGCAAGACCGCCTCACCGACATCCTCTTCATCTGGTGCAAGCTGTCGCCTGAAATCGGCTATCGACAGGGTATGCACGAGCTGCTCGCCCCGCTACTGTTGCATGTCGACTTCGACTCGCTCCCATCGACAGGGGCGGAAGACTCGCTCGCCCACGTCATCTTGTCGCGCGCGCACGTCGAGCATGACACTTGGGCACTCTTCTCGTCCCTGATGCGTTCGGCAAAGACCTTCTACGACCATACGCCTTCCGTCCCGGTCTCACCAAAGACATCGGCAGCCTTTGGTGCCAGCGCTGCACCCGCCCAAGCGTCGCATCTCGTTCAGCCGATCGTCGCGACGGCGAACCAGCTTCAGTCGCTCCTCAAGACTCTCGACCCGTCCTTGTACACCGCCTTTGACCGACTGCAAGTCGAGCCCCAGATCTACGCCATTCGGTGGCTCCGGCTGCTCTTCTCGCGCGAATTCCCCTTCGCCGACTCGCTCCTCTTGTGGGATGGCCTCTTCGCCCGCGATACAACTCTCCAGCTCACGACACACATCGCCTTGGCAATGCTTTTTCGCATCCGCGACAGCCTCATTGCGGCTTCGCGGGATGGGTACGGCGAGTTCCTCCAGATCCTCCTCCGCTACCCCGCCTGTCCCGACGGCCTCTTCCACACATCCACCCTCGTCCAGCAAGCCCTCTACCTCCGCGACAACCTCTCACCGTCAGGCGCCTTCTACCTCCGCCAGCAGAACCGCGAACTCGATGTGGCGGTTGGTCAACCCGAGCCCGAGGACGACTTGGAGGAATCGCTAACTGGGCGAGCGAACGGTGCAACAGGCTATCGCAGGTCGCAGACCGCTGGAGGCGTACAGGGACTCGGCTTCTTGAGCGAGAGCGGGCTTGGCGACTTTGCGAAGGGCGTGTACGGGCGAGCGGAGGCGCTCGGGATCAACAAGGCGCTGAGAGGGACATTTGACGAGATCAGGGTGCGTTGCCATGCTTCCCCTCGTCATAGTACGTTTAATGACAGTCCTTCGATTGCAGCGCAGCGTTGCTGAAGCTCAGGCGCAGGCAGAAGAGCGTCGCAGACGCCAACTCGCCGGCTTCTCGCAAATCCCGACTCGTCCGCCGTGGGACCCGCAACGCTCGCCACCGCCACCGCCTGTCGCCACGAAAGACGCCTTTTCCGACCTCGCGACGATGCGAGCGTCTGCGTCCGCCATGTCGCAGGCCGTCGACCTCTGCATTACCGCCTTCGAGGCAGCTCTCGTCATGCCATCACCAGCAGCTTCGCCTCGGCCTGGTGATGTCTCGAACGACGTTGTTATCCAGCAACAACCCGCGAAGGAGGTTGGCGCGCCGCAGATGATGGCGCTCACTGCGCTTCGACACGTCCGCGACGTTCTCGGCGGCCAGGCGCACGCGTTCGACCCGTCGGTACTCGAGCCGCTGCGACAGACACTTCGGCCTCAGCAGTCGGCGTCGCCCTCCACGAGCGACCCGTTCAAGGTCGACGGCAGTGTCGTCTCGCCCGAGGCGGACACGACGAAGTCCGTCGCTGCGCCAGCACCCGGTGCCGTTTCTCCGCCATCTTCAGCTTCTCAGAACACTTCGATGTCGCAGACAGCGGCGTCTCCGCCTCCGTCCGCGCCGCCTGCCAGCTCCTCGCCATCCCTGCTCCTCGGCGATCGCACAGACAAGCCTTTGCCGTCTCTCTCTCGCACCCCGCACGCCAAAACCTCGAGCATCGCCTGGCGAGGGTTATCAGCGTATCCACCACGTCCAGCAGAGACACCGGCTTCGCCGACTACACCCTCGCCTTCAGCACCGGCTCCTCCTCGACCTTCTTCTCCCCCCTCGCAGACTTCCTCGCCGCCGAGCCCGTCGACTCGCAAAGCCGGCGCAGTCATGTCGGACCCGCTCGGCTTGCTGTAGCATCCGCCTATCGCGCCATGTAACTCGCGCTGCGTCGACGGCTGGCCGTCGCTCGCCTCGTATCTTTTCACGCATGGCTCCTGCCGCTCGCTTGGTCCTCCTCGCGCGCGGGGCAGTGTACATATCCGGCCCGAACAACGTCAATCGCCAAGCACCCCGCCTCGCTTCCCACGACTGCTTGAGCCACCCTCTCGCGCCTCTCGTACGACAAACCTTTTCCTCACCTTCTCGCAGCGGCGAAATCGCGCTGCAACAGGAACTGGCACACGCGACAGCGAGACCGCGAGGTGTGGCGTTCTTCGGAAAGCTCGCCGGGCTTCTCCACGGCGGGGCTGCGACAATCGAGTGCCGGGGAAGGGCAGGTATCGTGAGGTCCGCGGACTGTCGGCGGAGGAGAGCTGAGGAGGAGGAGGAGGAGGAGGAGGAGGAGAATGGCGCACGGCTGTTCGCAAAGGAGCGAATGGAGCGGTGAAGCAGCAACGAACCCATGATTTCACCGAGTTCGACGGCAGGACAATAAGCGAGAGATTAGCCCGAAATAGACCTTGCTCCGGACCGCTCTCCTCTTCGTTCCTGGGCGTCGCCCCCTCGCCGCTGCTCTCCTCCACCTTTTCCCTTCTTCCATTCTCCCGCTCGCGCTTATCGGGGCTGCTCCTGCGACTGGCCATGGCTACCTCTCACGACCACTTGGCGGATGTCGAGCTTGGCGACATCAAGGGCGGTTCAACAACGCTCAACCGCACCAACTCGCTCTCTAAACACGATGGCAACGGCGTCGTCCTTCGGGGGCTTGACAGCGACTCGCCTGACGGGAGCGTCCACCGTGCGTACTGTCATGCTATGCCGTTCTCGTCTCGTCTTCTAATTCAATATTGCTGTTGGCGCTTCGCAGGCAACCTGAAGGCTCGCCACCTCCAGGCAAGGATCCTTATCGTCTCGGAACGTCATGCTCGGTCGGCTGACATCTCGCTCTGCTATGGCTGTAGATGATTGCTCTTGGTGGAACTATCGGCAAGTCCCTGCACATGCCGCTGGTGGGCGAAGTCGACTGACCTTCGGCCCCTTCCCCTGAAAACAGGCACTGGTCTGTTTGTCGGTGCAGGAGGCGCTCTTGTACGTCTCTTCTGGTCTTGTTCTGCGCTGTTGAAGACTGACGCAAACCTTTCGTAGGCGACCGGCGGACCCCTCGGAATCTGGCTCGGCGTGAGTCCTTCCGACTCGTCTCTTTGGCCCGACCTGCTCGTGCCTGCGACGAACGCCGCCTGGAGCCTGCTATCGTCAAACGATGCCACAGGCGCGCGTACTGACGTGCCGCACTTTCCCATGCGCCGCGATTCCCTTCCACTTTCAGTACTCCATCATGGGCTTGTTCGTCCTCCTCCCACGCTCATTCCGCTCGATTGCTGACCGTTGTATGCTTGTGCAGCACTGTCGGAACCATGATGGTCGCGCTTGGCGAAATGACGACCCTGTACCCGGTTAGCGGTGAGGCACCGGCAGGATCTCGCTTCCTGACGCCTCCTCGTCGTTCTGACGCTTCGTATTCCATTCATCAGGCGCCTTCACGCACTACACAGCGCGCTTCCTGGACCCTGCAGCCGGATTCGCCTTGGGATGGAACTACTGGTGAGTTCGAGCAGGAGCGGAGGAATCGTCGTTCGGTCGCCTGCTCACCTCCCACACTGCACACAGGTACTCTTACGCTATCACTCTCCCCACTGAAATCACCGCCGCCGCCCTTGTCATCCAGTACTGGCGCGACGACATCAACGGTACGCAAAGACCTCCTTTCCTTTCTGCGTTGCTGACTCTTCCGCTCTCCAGTCGCCGTCTGGATCACCGTCTTCCTCGTCGTCATCTGCTGCTTCAACTTCCTCGGCGTCCGCGCATACGGCGAGGCCGAATTCTGGTTCTCGCTCATGAAGATTATCACAATCCTCGGCCTCATTCTGCTCGGAATCGTCATCACGGCTGGTGGCGTGCCCGGCACGGACCCCATCGGCTTCCGCTTCTGGAGGAATCCGGGCCCGTTCCAGCAGGAGAACGGCATCCCCGGATCCAAGGGTCGCTTCCTCGCCTTCTGGACGGGTGAGTCCGCGTCCGCCCGGTCAACGAGCCGCTGCTGACGCCCTTCCACCCGCAGTGCTCGTCCAGGCCGCGTTCTCGTATCTCGGAACGGAGATTGTCGCCCTTACCGCGGGCGAGGCTGAGAACCCGCGCCGCAACGTCCCGAAGGCCATCCGCCGCGTCTTCTACCGTATCCTCTTCTTGTGAGTTGCGGTTCAGCCTATCAGACAGTGTCGCTGACCTTGTCGTCGCCGCGCTAGCTACGTTATCGGCACGTTCATCATGGGCCTCATCGTTTCGCCGAACGACCCCAACCTGACCAACGCGAACGGAGTCAATGCGTCTCCCTGGGTTATCGCGATCAAGAACGCGGGCATCAAGGGTCTTCCCAGCGTCATCAACACCGTTGTGCTCCTCTCTGCCTTCTCGGCAGGCAACTCGGACTTGTACGCCTCGTCGCGTACGCTGTACGGTCTCGCGTGCGACGGCAAGGCGCCCGCCATCTTCCGCCGCTGCACCAAGAACGGTCTCCCCATCTACTGCCTCATCTTGACCGCCCTCGTCGGCCTCCTCGCGTACATGAACGTCTCGACCGGCTCCACGACCGCCTTCAACTACCTCTGTGCGTACTGCGCTCCCTCCGAGTCGTCGCGGGCTCCCCTAGAGTCGTCGCGCGCGTCCTCCGAATGGTCGCAGGACGTCCGCTGACTTCGACTCCGTCGCCTCCCGCAGCCAACCTCTCGTCCATCACGGGTGTCATCACCTGGCTCTGCATCTGCGTGTCCTACATCCGCTTCTACCACGGCGCCAAAGCCCACGGACTCGACCGCAACGACTTCCCCTACAAGGCTCCTCTCGTGCGTCTCGCCCTCCTCCTCCTCCTCCCACCTTCGCAACTTTTGACTGACGGTCGTATGGGCGCGCAGCAACCCTGGGCTTCGTACTGGGGCGCTTTCTTCTTCTTCATGGTCATCATCTTCAACGGATACACCGGTGCGTCACTTCCTGTCGTCAAGCTTCTGCCCCGGCCCTCCTGACCGTCTGGCTTCGCCTCCGTGCAGTTTTCCTCAGCGGGCAGTGGTCCACGGCCAATTTCATCGTGTCGTACATCACGGTCGTCATCTTTATTGTGCTCTGTGCGTCGCTCTGAGCTCCCTGGCGTCGACTTGGCGAGTTTCCGCTGACCAGGACCTTCTCTTCCGACTCCTTCCCTTCCTCCGTCTCCCTCCGGCCCTTCACCGCTACACAGTCGTCTTCTGGAAGCTCTTCAAGCGCACCAAGTTTGTCCGCATCGAGAACATGGACTTTGACACCGGTGCGCTTCGCTTCCCTCCCTCTCCCGCTGACGACGTGCTGACGAGGCTTTCCGTGACGCGCAGGACGCCGCGAGCTCGACCAGATTGCGGAGGACGAGGCGGCGCGTTACAAGGCGCCGACTACGTGGTACGCCCGCCTGTGGGACGCGATCATGTAGAGGGTTTCCGTAGCCCCCGCCTTCGCCACCTTTCCGTCGTCCGCTCGTCTTGCTTTTCTTGTCACTCTTAAGAGGCCCTTCTCCATACCCTACGAGACTCTGCGCTATGCAGAGATCGTCGATTCCTCACCCCTTCCCTCCCTCTCTCCCTCGTCTCCCCGTTTTCTCGTCGCTTCGTTCTTGTTCGTGGATGTGGTCTTGTCATGCCCCTGCAACGTCGTTTCTACACAACACACAGGCTGAAGGACAGAGAGTAAGCGCCGTCGTTGTTCGTTGGCTTGCGTTCGTAGTCGGCGACTTGGCCGCTCGCTCGCGCCGGCGTTCTCTTGCTCCCGAGTCCCGCTCACGCTCGCTCACTCTCTCGCTCTCCAACAGCAGCGAACCAGCTCAGCACAGCTAACAACACACGGCTACACTCGGAGCCACACTCGCACTCTCCCAGCCACCGCTTGTCCCGCCCTCGCACACCTCCTCGATCCCCACCTCGTCCCGCCTCACTCTCCCACCCACCCACACGCTCACAATGGCCGCCATCGCACCGCCCAGCAAGACAAAGTACCTCACTGTCCCAGAGACAGCGACAAAGAAGGACCAGCTCAAGGTCTTCTCAAAGGACGAGGTTGCAAAGGTCGGTTTCTTTCACGCGACAGGACGGGCGAGAAGGGTGCGGGGCACGAGGAGGGAGGGCGTGCGGGTCAGTGGAGGTGTCGTACGCGAGAATAGGGAGGCTGCCAAGCGGGTTGAGCGGCTCTGCGAGGGACGCCACCGAGTGGAAGCTGGTTTCGACCGGCCACCGCCTTTACCGAGGACGAGGAGAACTCGCTCATTGACACTCGTTCGCGGCGCACACAGCACAACAAGGAGGATGACCTCTGGATCATCGTTGACGGCGCCGTCTACGACCTGTCCAAGTTTGTCGACTTGCACCCGGGAGGCGCGCATGTCCTCGTCCAGGTCGCGGGCAAGGGTGCGTCCCCGCTTCTCGCTCGCTCGCCTCGCTACCGACACATGCACTGACGAACGACGACGTGCAGACGCCACCGAGGCCTTCTTTGGCATGCACCGCAGCGACGTCCTCGTCAAGTATGGCCGCTACGTGATTGGCACGGTCGAGGGCCAGAAGCCTCGCGTGATCCTCCCGACGCCGGGCACGCTCTCTCCCGTCCCTTACGCCGAGCCGAGCTGGCTCTCTGAGGGCTACTACTCGCCCTACTACAAGGACTCGCACCGCTCGCTCCAGAAGTTTATGCGCAAGTTTGTCGACGAGGAGGTCAAGGACGATGCCAACATGCACGAGCTGGACGGCAAGAGGCCCACGGTCGAACTCATCCAGAAGATGGGCAAGCTGCACATCAACGCCATGGTGAGCGCGCGACCTTCCTTCGCTCCGGTCGATCGCCGCTGATGAGGCCTCTTGCTCGCAGCGCATGGGCCCGACCAAGCTTCTGCACGGCTTGACCCTTCCCGGAGACGTCAAGGGCGACGAGTTCGACTACTTCCACGAGTGAGTATCCGCCGCCAAGCTCGTCGTTTTCGACTTGGCCTCACCTTGTTCCCCTCGCGCAGGCTCATCGTCACCCAGGAGCTCTCGCGCATCGGTGCTCGCGGTACGTACGAGGCGATACGCGCGAGAGCGAGCGGAACTAACGCGCATTGCGACTGGCAGGTTACGCCGACGGTCTCCAGGGCGGTATGGTTATCGGTGTACGTGCGGGTTTTGCCAGCTCGCTTCTACTGCCGTCACTGACACCTTTTCGACCCACAGCTCCCTCCCGTCATGAACTTCGGCTCGGACAAGCTCAAGAAGGAGATCATCCCCGACGTCCTCGCCGGCAAGAAGTGGATCTGCCTCGCCATCACCGAGGCCTTTGCCGGATCTGACGTCGCGGGATTGAGGACCACGGCCAAGAAGACGCCGGACGGCAAGCACTACATCGTCAACGGTACCAAGAAGTGGATCACCAAGTGCGTTCCACCGCCTCGCTCTCTTTCTTCTGCAGAGGCTGACGCAGCCATGTTCCCGCCCGCAGCGGCCACTTTGCCGACTACTTCTCTACCGCGGTCAACACGGGCAACGGCCTCTCGATGCTGCTGATCCCGCGCGGCGAGGGCGTCGAGACCAAGCAGATCAAGACGTCGTACTCGACGACCGCCGGGACCGCCTACGTCACCTTTGACAACGTCAAGGTCCCCGTTGAGAACCTCTTGGGCAAGGAGGGCAAGGGTCTCTTCGTCGTCCTCTCCAACTTGTGCGTCACGAGCCGTCTTTTCCTCGTGTCTTTCGAGCGGCGCCGCTGACACGGCCTCACGCTCGCGCAGCAACCACGAGCGCTGGGTCATGTGCTGCGGCAGCGTTGCCGGCTCGCGCATGATCGCCGAGGAGTGCATGAAATGGGCCCACCAGCGCCGCGCGTTCGGCAAGCCCCTCATCACCCAGGCTGTCATCCGCGCCAAGCTTGCGAGCATGTTTGCCAAGATCGAGGCGCTCCAGGCGTACCTTGAGAACCTCAGTGCGTAGCGGGCGACCTTTTCTCGGCTCACCTTTGCTCCTCGAGACACGGAGGCTGATGAGGGATTTCGCCCACGCAGCTTTCCAGATGACCCACATGACCTACGCCCAGCAGGCCGACATCCTCGCCGGCCCGATCGGTCTCCTCAAGGCGCAGTGCACCCGCGTCGCAGGCGAGATTGCCGACGAGTGCGCCCTCTTTCTCTCCGACCGTCTTGCGAGACGTTGTGGGCTGACTTTCGACGTATTCCCGCACACAGCGCCGTCCAGATTCTCGGTGGTCGCGGTATCACGCAGGGCGGAATGGGCGTCTATGTCGAGAGGTTCCAGAGGACGCAGAAATTCGATGCGATCGTGCGTGTCCTCTTTTCCCTGGCGTTGTTTGACCGTGCTGACGCTCTCGTCTTGATCACAGCTTGGTGGTGCCGAAGAGGGTGAGCTGACTTTCCACTTACTTCTGCCTCATACTGCTTCTCCTCTCCGTCCGTCCCGCTGACTCGCCTCCTCTCTCTCACAGTCCTGTTCGACCTCGGCGTCAGGCAGGCCTCGCGCAAGATGCCCCAGGCTGTCCTCTAAGCGTCCTCGCATCCTCGCCTGGCCTCACTCGGTTATCAACCCTCATCGCTTGTTCCCCTCTCCACTCCTCTGCGCGGTATCGTCCCTTCTGTTGTGTTCTTTCGCGCCTCGATCGGGCCAGTTTGCTGGGCGTTTTGCAAGGCATCCCAAAGTTGAGCAGTTCATCTCGTCGTCCAAAGTCACCTGCCTCGCTCGCTACGTTTGCGAGCTCTGCCGTCCCAGTACCGAGTGGATAGTCGCTGCTCAGACGCGTTGAAGTATACCGTGAGATTCGCCGGTCGCTTTCCTCCAACTTCGCTCGCAGGCTCCCCCTCGTCCACACTTGCTCACCGCTCTACGGAGCGACTCCTGCTGCTCAATCGCTTCTGTGTGTTAGCTAGACCTCTGTACGCGCTCGTGCGACCCGCACGATCCGCTCGCCGTCGCGAACGATGTCGCCCAACTCCCATCTCTCGTCCTCTCACAGCGCCCTGACGGCGCAGTCTGCAGCGTCTCCTCCGGTCTCTCAAGTGACTGCGGCCCCTACGGCTCGCCGCGCACCGATTACGCAGGAGGAGGACGAGCGGTTTCAGCGGTTGGCTGCGTTCCTCAAGGCTCGAGTCGGACTGGCTGGTCCTATCGGCACTTCCGAAGCGACCTCTGAGTTTTCAAGGGTCTCGACTATCCCTTCTGTTTCGTCGAGTCCCGCGCGGGATGCCCGCCGGGAGTTGGAGGAGCGGAGGAAGAGGCACGAGGAGTACAGTGCGTACAAGGCGCGCGTGGGCGGGTGGGCGAAGACGGTCGTGAAGAACGAGCCTGATAGGTTGTTCGGAAGGCAGTGCTTGTCGGACGAGCCAACGTATTTGGTGGACAAAGGCGGAGACTTCCTCGTCAAGGTTCGTCTCGTCTTCCTGCCCGCATCGACTCCGCTTCTGCAGCTTACCCGACTACTCGCGCAGCACCAGATTCTCGAGTCGACGGGCCTCTTCACGAACCCTCTTTGGGAGCTGAACGGTCCGCACAACCTCTTCCTCGGTTCGTCCGTTTCCGTTCCCACACTTCCTTTCCCTGCCATCTCACTGACCCTTGCGCAGTCGGTCGAGGTCTCCGCTACCAGGCAGACAAGCTGCTGTCCTGGGTCTTGCTGTACGAGGAGCAGACCGCTTCAGCATACACCGAGCTCGTCCTCCTGTCCGACGAGCGGCGGCGCAGCAGGCCTGAGCGGGAGCGAGAAATCTCTGCGTTGGGTGCCGTCTCCAAGGCTGCAGATTACGCTGTGTCGTCGCACGCTAATGCCCCTGATTGTGCAGAACGACTTTTTCGACGAGCTTGTCAAACGCGGGATCAACAGGCCGCACTTCCGCTTCCTTGCGCTACGACCCGATCAACTCGGAACGCTTGAGCAGTCAGGAAAGCGTACGTTCGACCACGCTGTCAACGGAAAGTCTGTCTTCCTCGAAGTCTCGACGGACGGGAATCTTTACCTCCCGACGACGGGCCAACCTTTGCCCGCCTTCTCACACGACAACAACCGAGGCTTGCGGGACCAGCTCTATCCTCCGGCGGTCGCTCTGCGTGCTACCGTACCTCTCGCCTTTTCCGGCGTTCTCCAGACTTGCCAGAACTTCCCTTCCTTCAGATCCGACATCTTCGCCAACCTCAAGCTCTTCAGCATCATCTTCAAGCCTTTGACCTCGGACTTCCAGGACGAAGAGCGTCACGACAATTGCGACGCAGACGCTCATCTCGCTTCGGCCGTCTCAACCGCCGCCTCAAGCTCTGCGTGCTTGTCCATCCCGAATGCGAGCGCAGTACCCAGCACGACTGACTATCCCGTCGACGCTGCGGCGAAGGTTACGGCATGGCTTCAGTCGTCGCTCTGCGATGGCGCTTCCGACGCGATGGCTTCCTTCCCCGACCCGTCATGCCGTAACAAGCGAACGCAGACTTGCAGGGCGTACAAGGCGATCTCGTCTCTAACGACGGATTATGTGCGCTCGGACACCACCTGCTCAGACGAGAGCGAGGAGTGCGCCAGGGCCTGGCTCAAGTTCGAAGATTCGCACGACATTCCTCTGCGTACGTACTGGCCCTCCTACCTTCACTGCGAGTACCTGCTGATCCTTGATTCCTCATGCAGTGCAGCGACTCGCATACGACCCTCGCGTTGACCTCGGGTTCAGGCTTCGTCTCGTAGCCAAGCTCGTCTGTCCAGGTGCGCACCTGCGCTCGCCCCTTGCCGCCTGCTACTGCTGACGCCTCGACATTGCAGGACTCTTCCCGCGTGGATGGCAGTCACTGCTTCCGCCTTTCGCTGCCGAGGAATCGCCAAGCTGCCTCACCAGCCCGGATCAGGCTACTTTTCCTCGCCATCTTCTTCCTCACGGCCCAACAGTCCTTGACATGCCAGCGACGTCGTAGACACGACAGAGCAGCAACGGACAGGACCCGCTTTGCTCCGTCTTTGACTCGTAGCTGCGTTGCCGATGCAAGCGCAGACTCGCTTGACCTGCGGTATTCGCAGCCTGTTTCGACGGAGGGGTTCCTCCTTCGGCTCTCATGAGACTCCAGGCGGTCATATCGCGTCCAGGTCTGCAGAGGTTCAGCAAGAGCCCGAAAGGACACCCAGCAGAGCGGCAGCGCCGTCCTCGAGAAATGCGAGAGCGTAGGAGGAGAACAACGCCTCGTCCTCACCCGCGGCTGCTTGGGTAGCCTTGCCAAGCCGCACAAGACTCACAGCAACCCTCTACTGTTACCCACACACCCAACGACGGCGAGTTGCCTCCGAATGTTTGCTTGTTGACCGACCTCGTCCTCCTCGCTCCTCTCGCCCGCGTACACTCAGCTCGAACTCTGCCTGGGCCAGCGTGCCACTGCTCTACACGCTCGCACGAGGCAGCCGCACACGATGCCGAGCACGCGCCGCGCCTCCAAGTCGCCCGCTCCCCCCGTCCGGCGCTCATCTCGCCAGTCGACGCCCACCCGCGACATCGCCTCGCCGCCGCCGTCGACGCGCACGACGCGCTCCTCTGCCGTCGGACTGCCAGCTTCTGCTTCGACCCCGTCCCTCTCCGCTCTCGTCCCGCCGCACGACGACAGCACGCCCACGTCACCGGGTCGAGGGATGCGCAAGTCGGCTTCGACGCGCGCGCTGTCTCCGCGTGTTGCGGCAAGGGTGTCGCGCCCGCCGCTGCCGACGCACGCGGCCAACACGCTGTTTCCGAAGGAGAAGGAGGGGAAGGGCGGAAAGGCGGTCAAGACGCACAAGGTCAAGACGCAGACGCTGCACCTTGGTGAGGAGGGCGGAACGATCATGATTGCCAGGGTCAAGTGCCCCGTCCCGAAGAACGTGCCAGGGTGAGTTGCAAGGCAGGAGACTGCCGCGAAGTCGAGGGAGACTTTCGGCTCGCTCGTGCGGTTGTAAGCCGCGCCGGTGCGTCGAAGAGGACTAACGACCCCCCCTCTACAGCCACCTCATCAAGCGCTTCGATACGAACGCCGTCTCTGCCTCGTCCCTCTTCCGTGCCGCTTTCCCCACCGCGACCGAGGAGGAAGAGAAGCTCGAGATGCGCTGGATTGCGGTCGGCTCGCGAGGACAGTACGGAGACACGGTCAAGGCAGGCATGGAGCACGACGAGTCGAAGAAGCTGAGCGGAACGTGGTGAGCATGACTTTGTCCGTCTGAGATGCGTTTCAACTGACTGAACGAGGCTTGCAGGATTCCCGCCGCGCATGCGCACGCTCTCGCTACCGAGTACGGCATCGCACGTTACGCCGTGGACCTCATCGATTACGTCGAGGACGGCGAGCCTTCGAACCAGCCCGACACGCCCGAAGGCAGCTTTGACGACGTGCGTCTGCTTCCACCGCTCCCATTAGCCCATCGACTGATCTTCTCCCACCTTGCAGTCCCCCGCCGCTCGCTCTCCTCGCGCCAAGCGGGCACGCGTTTCCTCGCCTCTCGCAGGGAAGAGCGGTTCATCCGGCGCACAAGCTCTTTCTGGCGCAACTGGACCGGGCGTCTCTATCCTGCAGACCCTCTCGACTGACGCCGAGACGGGCGACATCACCGAGACGACCGAGGTCAAGCTCGACGTGCCGGCGGGCGACGACGTCCCGCAGTTCGACGCCTCGGCCGAGCACCAGCTGAAGGAGGCGCAGAAGCTCGTCAAGGACCTGGCGAAGAACCACGTCCTCGCCGACCTCGCCGACGGGACACACATCCCCGAACCGCACGCTTCGACCTCGACTTCGTCGAAGAAGCGCGCGCACGAGGTGGACGAAGACGACGAGCCGTTGCCAGAGCATGGCACGCTCGCCGATGCGCTCGGCATGGTGGACAACCGCTCATTCTTTGCCAAGCTGTTCAGGCGCAACCCGAAGAAGCGCAGGACGCCGGTCCAGGGCGGACGCGAGACGAGGGCGTTGCCGGCGCCGAGGGCTTCGGCGAGTGCAGACGTCCCGCAGGTCGTCATCCGGGAAGAGGACAACCTCGAGGAGGGCAGGAGGTGGGTTGCGGGACTCGGACTCGCCGTCGCGGTTGGTGCGACCGCAGCAGCGCCCTACCTTTTCGGTTGACGACCTCCTCGGCCGCCGCCGCCGCCAAGTATACCTCTTTCGATACCTCTATCCCTCGCTTCCTAAGTCGACGCCATCCGCGCTCTATTCCTCTCACGACTCCCGACTCGACTCGACTCGACAAGTATTGGGCTCTGTTGATTCCTTCGCGCCTTTCCTAACGACACGCTCCCTAGCTCTCCTCTGTACACCAGACTGCCTCTTGACGCCCATTCTCGAGGACCCGTCTCTGTAATGCGCCGTGCTGTTGCGATGCGCCCTTCTCGAACGAGCAGAGACAGCTCGCGAGAGGCTCTACCTTCTCGTTCGAGATCAAGAGTCGCCTGACGCGCCCCGACTCGGAGGGGATCTGCGCACATGCTTCTCTGCGAAGAACAATCGCCCGCTGGAGTGGTCAGCGTCGTCGTCAACAAGCAACCTCGCTTGCCTCGTGCCCTCGTCGTCTCGCTTGCCCTCCGTCCCCTCGCTCGCTCATCTCGCTTTCGTTCGTGGGCACCTGGCAAAGACTCTGGCGCCGCAGAACAGAGACAAGCGCTACAAGAGCCCATCCCACGAGTCTCTGCGCTCGCGATTTCACCTTGCCCCCCGCTCGAACCCATATCCGCGCCTTCGCTTGTCCTCACCCTCGCGAAACCGGTTGGAAGGGCTCTACACGGGACCTTTGAGGAGTACACGGTGCGTTCGGGTGAGCCCGAGGCGCTACGAAACAGTTGTGAGGGCGATCTGACCCCCATCTCATCATTCCAAACAGACGGAACTCTGGCCTCGGGACCTTCCTTCTCGCCCTCCGTGCGGCGCGACTCTGTCCTCCAGCGCTCAGGAGGCTCTCATCGTCGCTATCAACCAAGTCTCAACCCAATCCGCCGCTCGACGAGCAACTGGTCCTCGACTCCCCACTCTTTCGGTACCGTCTCCCCAGCGCCCGCTCAGCATGCCCCTCTTCTTCTCCTCCGCCTCCAAACGGCGCAAGTCGGAAGCGAATCTGCGCAAACCAAAACCAGATCTCGCCGCGCCTCCAATTCCGCCTTCTCTGCCCATGCCTGAGCGCCTGAGCGTCTTCGGTTCGCTTGAAACGGCTCTGATGAGCTCGGGCTCGGGAAGCGGAGAGCGTGGGTTGGAGAGGTCCCGGCCGGGCAGCGGGAAACGGAGTGTGAGCGAGCAGAGGAGCGAGGCGGGACTTTCGAGGCCAGGAAGGGAGGAGGAGACGCGCGCGAAGCAGGCGGTACATTCGGCCGCCCTGGACGGCCGTCTACAGCCTGGTCAGTCGACGAAGCAGCTGGACGCTGATATGCCGATCACGCCGCCGCGCCGCAACTCATCTCTCTTCCAACCTTCTCGCACGCATACCGATGGCTCCCTTCCTTCGGCTGCATACGCGGCTCAGCCGCAGACCACCGACACCATCAACCTGAATCCACCTCCCTCGAACGGTTCGACGCCGACCTTCGCCCAAGGCGAGCCCGAGACACCGCCAAAGGGCATCTCGCAAGCGCTCGCCTCGCCCACTCCGGCCCTCTCGCCGTCGTATGCGCCCGCTCTCCCTCTGTCGTACAAACCGTCGTTCGCCTCGAACGGCATTGTCGGCGTCCCGGTGTCTTCGTCCTTCTACGGCGCTCCTTCTTCACCGCCGACTTCTCCGCCTACTTCGCCCCCTCGATCCGCAATTCCACCTCGCCGGGACAGCCTGCTGCGTCCGAAGCCGTCGGCCGAAGCACACATCCCGACTGGCGCGACAAGGCGACGCGAGCGGACCGTCGACGGGTCGGTAGGTATCGGCGAGGCTGATCGACCTGAGCGAGACGAGGCGCCGCAGGGCTTCGCGAACGGGACGATCCGTCAAGCGAGTGCAGGTGAAGGTGCATTGGCTTCAGCTGGAGCGCTCTCTTGATGTGCGAGCTGATGGTTCTCATGCATGAGCAGATTCAGCAGTGTCGCTTGGCGCCGCCTATGTCGCCACCAGCCTGAACGGCACTCCGACGCAGCAGAGCTCGCCTCAGCCGTCCCTACCGCCTGGGGCAGCTCCTCCTTCCCCTCCGACCGCCCTGTCTGCCTCACCTCGTCCCGCCTACAACGCTCTCGCGGCGTTCTACGGCACCACCTCGCCTTCCCTCTCGACGCTCTCCTCCTCGTCGGAAGACGTCACGGCCAATGCGTCTACGCGCTTTTTCACCCGGCAGTTCTCGTCCGACGGGAGCTTGACGACGCCCAGCTTGTCTGCCGAGGAAGGCGATTCGACCGAGTCTAAAGCTCGCGTTTCCGTGCCTGGAGACGAGCAACCTACGCCACCGGAGTACGGCCAGAAGCTCGAGGCTTTGCAGGATGCCTTCGAGCAGACTCCGCCTCCGGTCGCCTTGTCGACCGCCTCGCCCGAGCCAGCTGGGACTGAGCACGACAGCACGACGCCAACGCCGACTCCGACACTCGCTTCTTTCCCCGTCAAGACGGCACCATCTCCGCCTGCGCCTGCGGATACGCCTGCTAGGCGGTCTCGAAGGACATCGTTGTTCGAATCAGCAACGACCACGGTGGTGACGAACGTGCCGTCACACGCGGACAGTCTGCCAAAGAAGCTCACGAAGAAGCCGCCCGGCAAGAACCGCGACTCCGTCCGGCCGTTGCAGCCTCAGCTGCTGCCGAAAATGTCGCCTACCTCGCCAGCTTCTCCCGTTTCGGCCGAAGCTGCACCCGTCAGCCAGCTTGTCGTCTCGCGCCCACCCCGACGGACTTCACTTCTTCCCTCGCCTGTCATTCCGCCAACCTCGCCTCCTCAGCCTTTCGCCCACTCACGCTCACCACCAACGTCTCCTCGAGCCCCTGCCTATCAGCGGCAGCCCTTCCCGCCTGAAGCGTCGCCGAAGCGAATAGTTCGGTCAGAAGCCGATGCGATTCGCCTTGCTGCACTCAAGGCGGCACGACAGCGGGAGGAGCAGGAACAGGTCCCAACCTCGCAGCAGGGATCGGAGGATCAGGCCGCCGCCACTCCGCTGACCGATGCGGACGGACGCATCCTTCAGCCCCGCTTCGAGTACGCCTTCGCAACCTACCCGCCGACCATCCTCAAGTCGCTTGTCGGCCAGATCCGCTACGCCGACCTCCTCTCGCTTCGCAATGTCTCGAAGACTATGCGCAGAGCGATCGACGTCGAGGGCAGGGAGCTCGTGCTCGAACGCTTCCTCGGCTCGCAAGGGTACCGGTCGCTCGCCTCGGCACCCGCAGGCCACAAGTACCGTCCCGATGCTGCAGCGGGCATGCTCAACCTCGACGTGCGCGATTTGATCGCCTTCCGTGCGGGCCTGCAGCTCGGCCAGGACGACTACTCCCGCCTCGCGAGAGCCTACACCGTCGACCCAGCGCGGTTCTCGACTGCCTCGCTACGTCTCGCTCGAGCCACGACTCGCGCCTGGAACCGAGTCGCACTTCGTCTACGGGCTCAGTCGATGCTGCCTTCGTCGTCGCTCAATACGCCTGCGTACCCGGTCTCGACGGCCAGCTCTCCCGCCTACAAGCCCGGTCGAGCCGCGTTCCTCCGAGTCTGGGTGCCGACGCGAGACGGCGGAAGTTGGATGACCGACAACGAGCTTGTCGAGTGCGAGAGGGAGGTATACCGGAGCGGAGTGTGGACGCAGCTGAAGAAGGGCGACGTCGTCGCAAACGTCGGGGTCGTCCTCCCCTTCGGCAACGTCTCGAAGCTGGTCTTCGATGGCAAATTCCTCCGTGATCTATCCTTCGCGTACGACGCCGTGGGACACTTGCCGAACTGGCTGAACATGCTCTCGTTCTCGCCTGCCTACTTCCACAACGTGATCGTCTCGTCGACTCCGAATCCCGTCATCCGTGCGTGTCGTCTGAGCCATCCTTCAAGCCCGATACTGACAAGCTACGTTGTGCAGACCTGTCGCTTGCCCCCTACACCAGCGCAGTGCGCGAGACCATGACGCTCTGCAAGGACAAGGTCAGCCTGTCGTCGCCGCAAGGCCGGTATCTCGTCTCGCGCTACGTCTACCGCGGCACGCTCCGCCTCGTTGCGGGCCAGATCATTGGCGACGCAGCTGGAGCAGGTGGACTCGGACCTGGCGGAATCGAGGTCGTCCACGAGGATTGGGCGGGACAGGTCGTCGTCGAGACGGAGGGGACGACAGAGCATGCGACGATGCTCCTTGCCAGGGTGCGCGCTCCCCTTCTTACTCCTGTTCTCGCTCGCTGACACCCCTCGAGCAGGTCGCCTCGGTTGAGCCGACGCCGTGGCGAGTGATTCGGGAAAAGAGTCGCCCGGGAAGGATCTGGCTGAGGTGTGCCTCTCCACCACGCTCAGCAGGACCACCAGCTGATCGATGTTGATTCACAGACCCGTGCTCGAAAACGAGACGGCGTGAGCGCGCACCTGGCCGTCAGCTCGCACCGGATGCAGCTCCTCGTCCCTCGCTTCTACGGCAAGCGCTGGTCGCGTCGCCTCAGCTATCGTAGCTAAAGACACTGTTGCTTGTCATGCCTAACACGAGAGTCTATCAATGCCGTGCCGAGACGTCGGTCTTGTCCGCCGCTCCTCTGAACGGGAATTCTCGCTCGTAGATCCACTTCCCGTGATCGTATCGCCAGAGCGTCAAGCCATCCGCTTCGCCTTCTGCACCCGTCTGCTTTGTCCAATCTCGCAGCTCGGCGAAGGCAGCGTCGACCTTCTCCTCCGACTCTTCCTTGTTCATCACGGTCCAATGCGCCTTGAAGCCCTTTGCGTCCTGCTTGCTTAGAAAGCCCTGCCACCGCTCGCGCAACGCCGCATGCACCCTCGCTCCCTCTTCCGTCCCTTGTGCCGGAGACACCGCAACTCCCGCCTTTCCCAACTTGAACGCCTCGCCCGTCGTTATCCGAAACGGCTCCGTCTGGCCCGCAATCTCCTCGAGCGTCTTTGTGATGCTGTCGAGTTCCGAGTGAGGCAGGGCGTGGAAGAGAGTGAGGTGTGCCGGGACTTTGAGGCGCTCGGCGGGAAAGTAGCGAGTTCGAAGGTCGTTGAGGGGTCCGTGGAGGGAGGGCGAGAGGCGCAGGGTTAAGACGTAAACGTGTTCTTCAGCGTGCGTGGTCGTGGGGCGGTAGCGGTGGGGCTTCGTCTGATTAGGATGAGGAGTGCGCCATTGAGGAGGAGGAGCGCCTGCCTTGGCGGGATGAGGGCCTTCGCGAGCGTGTGTGGCAGGCTGGGCGGTATGCATTCGTCGTACTGAAGTCGTTGCGATGCGCGAGAAGCGCTTGAACATGCGAGGGGCGGAAGAGAGAACCTTCGTCTCGACCTGTTGCGATCGAAGCCAGGCGGATGGGAGCAACGTCATTATTGGGACCGAGCTTCGATTATTCGCCGTCGACAGGCGTTGCAAGCCCGGTATCGACAGCAGGAGTCACGGAATCGCCCGGATTAGCGGGGAGGGGGACATGTCGTGCGCGAGACTTGCGAATGTCGAGGCGGGCGTACCACGTAGTCGGCGCCTTGTAACGAGCCGCCTCGTCCTCCGCGATTTGGTCGAGCTCGCGACGTCCTGCGCGTCACGGAAAGCCACGTCAGCTTGTTGTCGTCAAAAGAGGAGAGGAGGGGAAGCGCACCGGTGTCAAAGTCCATGTTCTCGATGCGGACAAACTTGGTGCGCTTGAAGAGCTTCCAGAAGACGACTGTGAGGTGAGAAGGAGCCAAAGGGAGGCGGAGGAAGGGAAGGAGGCGAAAGAGAAGGTCCTGGTCAGCGGAAACTCGCCAAGTCGACGCCAGGGAGCTCAGAGCGACGCACAGAGCACAATAAAGATGACGACCGTGATGTACGACACGATGAAATTGGCCGTGGACCACTGCCCGCTGAGGAAAACTGCACGGAGGCGAAGTCGGAGGGTCAGGAGGGGCGGGGGAGGACCTTCACCGCTGGAATCGACGCACCGGTGTATCCGTTGAAGATGATGACCATAAAGAAGAAGAAAGCGCCCCAGTACGAAGCCCAGGGTTGCTGCGCACCCACAGGACCGTCAGTCAAAGTTGCGAAGGTGAGGAGGAGGAGGAGGGAGCGGGAGACGCACGAGAGGAGCCTTGTAGGGGAAGTCGTTGCGGTCGAGTCCGTGGGCTTTGGCGCCGTGGTAGAAGCGGATGTAGGACACGCAGACGCAGAGCCAGGTGATGACACCGGTGATGGACGAGAGGTTGGCTGCGGGAGGCGACGGAGTCGGAATCAGCGGACGTCCTGCGGCGATTCGAAAGTGCGCCCGCGACAACCCGAAGGGAGCCCGTGACAGTTAGGAAGGAGCACGCAACGCACAGAGGTAGTTGAAGGCGGTCGTGGAGCCAGTCGAGACGTTCATGTACGCGAGGAGGCCGACGAGGGCGGTCAAGATGAGGCAGTAGATGGGGAGACCGTTCTTGGTGCAGCGGCGGAAGATGGCGGGCGCCTTGCCGTCGCACGCGAGACCGTACAGCGTGCGCGACGAGGCGTACAAGTCCGAGTTGCCTGCCGAGAAGGCAGAGAGGAGCACAACGGTGTTGATGACGCTGGGAAGACCCTTGATACCCGCGTTCTTGATCGCGATAACCCAGGGAGACGCATTGACTCCGTTCGCGTTGGTCAGGTTGGGGTCGTTCGGCGAAACGATGAGGCCCATGATGAACGTGCCGATAACGTAGCTAGCGCGGCGACGACAAGGTCAGCGACACTGTCTGATAGGCTGAACCGCAACTCACAAGAAGAGGATACGGTAGAAGACGCGGCGGATGGCCTTCGGGACGTTGCGGCGCGGGTTCTCAGCCTCGCCCGCGGTAAGGGCGACAATCTCCGTTCCGAGATACGAGAACGCGGCCTGGACGAGCACTGCGGGTGGAAGGGCGTCAGCAGCGGCTCGTTGACCGGGCGGACGCGGACTCACCCGTCCAGAAGGCGAGGAAGCGACCCTTGGATCCGGGGATGCCGTTCTCCTGCTGGAACGGGCCCGGATTCCTCCAGAAGCGGAAGCCGATAGGGTCCGTGCCGGGCACGCCACTCGCCGTGATGATGATTCCGAGCAGAATGAGGCCGAGGATTGTGATAATCTTCATGAGCGAGAACCAGAACTCGGCCTCGCCGTATGCGCGGACGCCGAGGAAGTTGAAGCAGCAGATGACGACGAGGAAGACGGTGATCCAGACGGCGACTGGAGAGCGGAAGAGTCAGCGAACGCAGAGAGGAGAGGCGGTCTTTTGCGTACCGTTGATGTCGTCGCGCCAGTACTGGATGACAAGAGCGGCGGCGGTGATTTCAGTGGGGAGAGTGATAGCGTAAGAGTACCTGTGTGCAGTGTGTGAGGTGAGCAGGCGTTTGTAGACTAGCGGCTCGAACTCACCAGTAGTTCCATCCCAAGGCGAATCCGGCCGCAGGGTTCAGGAAGCGCGCTGTGTAGTGCGTGAAGGCGCATGATGAATTGAAAGGAAGCGTCAGAACGACGAGGAGGCGTCAGGAAGCGAGATCCTGCCGTCGCCTCACCGCTAACTGGGTACAGGGTCGTCATTTCGCCAAGCGCGACCATCATGGTTCCGACAGTGCTGCGCAAGCGTACAAATAGTCAGCAAGTGAGCGGAACGAGCGGAAGAGGAAGACGAACAAGCCCATGATGGAGTACTGGAGAGTGAAAGAGAATCGCGGCGCATGGGAAAGCGCAGAACGTCAGTACGCGCGCCTCTGGCATTCTTTGACAATAGCAGGCCCAGACAATGTTCGTCGCAGGCACGAGCAGACTTGGCGAAAGAGATGAGCCGGGAGGACTCACGCCGAGCCAGATTCCGAGGGGTCCGCCGGTCGCCTACGAAAGGTTTGCGTCAGTCCTGTATAGCGTATAACAAGACCAGAAGAGACGCACAAGAGCGCCTCCTGCACCGACAAAGAGACCAGTACCTGTTTTCAGGGGAAGGGGCCGAAGGTCAGTCGACTTCGCCCACCAGCGGCATGTGCAGGGACTTGCCGATAGTTCCACCAAGAGCAATCATCTACAGCCATAGCAGAGTGAGGTGTAAGCCGACCGAGCATGACGTTCGGAGACGATAAGACTTGCCTGGAGGTGGCGAGCCTTCAAATTCCCTGTGAAGCGCCAACAGCATTATCGAGTTAGGAGACGACACGAGAACGGCATAGCATGACAGTACGCACGGTGGACGCTCCCATCGGGCGAGTCGCTGTCGAGCCCCCGGTCTGTAGCTTGCTGGCGACACGCGTCGCTGGAAGCGCAAGGAGCTCGACGCCGCAAATGCTGAGTGCTGTGTCTCGTCGTCGAGATATGTGAGCGGGCCAGGACGGCAAAGAGCGTAGCAGAGAGGAGGGGGAGCGGAGGACGAGCGGAGGAGGAGCGGAGGAGGGGGCCATCGACGCTGAAAGCGCCAAGGAGCGAAGCGCCGCTCGCTCGAAGCGGAGCCGGCGCCCACGCCGTGTGCAGTCTTATTCGTCGAGCCTGCTTTGTCGCTGGCGCCTTAACGACTCCGACCACGGTAGACGGCTCTTGCGAGAGCGACGAAGGACACGAGTCTGCCTTCGGGCTGCGCGAAGTGGTCCAACCAAAAGTCCTGCGAGCGATGCATTCCGTTTCCTCCTCCAAGCCAGTCTGCCTGCCCGCAAAGTCCGTCTTGACTCCTCACAAGGCGTCCTGTCGAGAGAGGGAGCGAGGAAAGGGGAGACAGCCTCAGGTGCAGCTGATGGTGCAGGGCTGTATCGAGCGAAGTCAGAGCAGGTCCGTAGCATAGTCAGGCTAGCCCACAGCGAAGACGAGTGGGTGGTCGCTCGTCAACCCTCTGCGACGAGAAGGGTCGTTCGTATCCACCGCTCCTCTCGCTCTGTGAAGCGCGCTTTAGAACGTGAGCAGTTCACTAACGCTTCGACAAAGCCGTGTACATGCGCTCACCGCAAGCTGACTCCTCTTTCGTCGCCCACAGCGGCCGACATGTCCCGCGTCCTGTCTGCACGCCCTCTCCCGCTCGCGGCGAGCCTGCGCCAGGCTGGAGCTGCCCGACTGCCCCGAAACTCTGCCTTGACCGCGCAAGCTTCCCGGCTGACCGCTCGCCGGGTGAGTCGAGCTTCCTCCCCCATATCGTCATGTCGCGGCACTCGCTGACCTTGCGTGCGCTCCGCAGGGCTATGCAACGGCGCCGAGCAACTCGAACGTCTTCCCGAACCCTGGACCTGCCGGCCCCTCTCCCTCGTCCAAGCCTCGCAAGTCGCTCACCCGCCGAGTCCTCTCCCCGCTCATCCTCCTCACCGTCGCTTTCTACGGCATCTCGGTCCCGCTCGGCTACGTCTCCTTGCGCTACCGCGACTTCCTCGTCGAGACCGTCCCTGGAGGCGAGCAGATTGGCGAGCTCCTCGACGAGTTGCAGATCCAGCGAGCGGCAGTCAAGCCGGGTGAGGGACGGTCCATTGCGACGGGCAACCAGTCAAAGGAGACCGAGTTGACGCGGTACGCCGAGTCAAAGGCCAAGGCGGAGGGATGGAACCTCAAGAAGGCCGAGCCGTCTGACCCGGCAAAGGCTCGCGAGGAGATCAAGCAGAAGTTTGCGTCGACGGCCAAGCACATCGAGGACAAGTCGAAGGAGAAGGTTGCCGACCTTGTCGAGGCTGCCAAGGCGCGGGCTTCCGAGGCGAAGCAGGTTGTCGTCAAGGCGGAGGGCGTCGTCGAGGACAAGGCGAAGGAGATTGTCACCGCCGCAAAGGATCTTGTTCCCGCGGCAGCTTCCTCGCCTGCCGCTGCCCCTACTGTCGCTCCGGCCGTCAAGACGCCCCAGGAGCCTGCATCGACCCTTCCTATCTACGCCCAGCGACCTCGCGACGTCGACGCCACGCCTGTTCCTCCCAAGCGGGCGAACAAGGAGGTCTACCAGGGTCCGCCTCTGCCCATCGGCTTCGAGCCTCCCGTCGGCTACGAGCTCCCTCGCGCGCCGCCCACGCCCAAGGGCGAGATCAAGCCCGCCACGCCTCCGCCCGCTCCTCTCCCTCTCGTCGCTCCCGCTCTCAAGGACGTGACGACCTCCGAGCCCATGCTCGGTCAGCTCGCCTCAACCATCGACAGTCTCGCCAAGTACGTCGAGAAGCACGACGTGACCGTTTCCGAATCGGCCTCGACCGTTCTGAACGACGCGCAGAAGGACATCAAGAGTCTCGCTTCGCGCCTCGAGGCGATCAAGAAGCAGGAGGAGGACAAGCTGCAGGCCCAGCTCAAGGAGCAGGCGAGCAAGTACTCGGGCATGCTGTTGAAGGCCGAGAAGGAGCTTGTCGAGCGCCTCGACACGCAGGAGGAGGACTGGAAGAAGGCGTTTGACGAGGAGCGCCAGCGTCTCGTCTCGGCATACAAGGAGAAGCTCGACACCGAGCTTGCGACGCAGCAGGAAATCATCAACCAGCGTCTCAAGGAGGAGGTCGTCGCGCAAGGCATCGAGCTCCAGCGGAGGTGGGTCAGCGAGATCAAGATGCGGGTCGAGCAGGAGCGCGGCGGGCGGCTGGCCAAGCTCGAGGAGCTTGAGAGCGGCGTCCGCAAGCTCGAGAAGGTGGCCAAGGAGAATGAGGAGGTGCGTCGAGATCTCGCTTCTCTACGTCCCATCCTTGCTCATTCTCGCTTCCGCAGGCTCTCGGCGAGGCTGTCCGTGCCCGCAAAATCTTCACCGCCGTCAAGGCGCTCGAGCACCGCATCGAGTCCGGCCTGCCCTTCACCGACGAGCTCGCGACTCTGCAACGACTGGCGAAGGAGACGAGCCCCCCTACGTCCGCCGACTCTCCCTCCAACTCGCTCCTCTCGCTCGCGCTCTCGACCATCCCCGCCGACGCCGCTTCGACCGGCATCGCCTCCTTCCCCGCCCTCTCCGCCCGCTTCTCCTCCTCCGTTGCCCCGCAGCTCAAGAAGGTCTCGCTGTACCCTGAACACGGCGGGGTCCTCGCGTACCTCACGAGCTACATCGCGAGCCACGCGCTGTTCGAGAAGGAAGGATGGGCAGACGGCGAAGACGTCGTGAGCACGATCGCGCGCGCCAAGTTCTGGCTCGCGAACAAGGACCTCGACTTGGCGACGCGCGAGGTCAACTCGCTCAAGGGTGCGTGAGTTCTATCGCCCCTGCACTGGCAGCATACTGACGGCCCGCTCGCAGGATGGCCGAAGGCGCTCGCGTCGGACTGGCTCCAGCAGGCACGGAAGCACTTGCAGGTGAAGCAGGCGCTCGAGGTTGCCGAGCGAGAAGCGACGGCGCAAAACCTCAGCGCGGTCTGAGCGATGCCCTTCTGCTTGTGCAAAAGGCTTGCTCGCGACGACCGGCCGCGCTCCGTACGAGGAACCTATGCAAAGTTGTGTTTAGACTAAGTCGCTCGAGCCTGGGGTGCGCACTTCTACTCGCAGAGTGTCCCTTGCTCTTCTTGTTGGCCTGAGCGCTCAGCTTGCCTGTCTACCTGGCGAGGACTGCTTGAACGAGGAGCGAGGCGAAGAAAGACGGATTTGCAGGCCACGCGACTGCGCGGAGTGCGCTGGTTCTCCATAGTCGTATGGGCTACTTCTTCTTTAGCTGTCATCCAGCCAATAGTCCCCGACTCGAGTGTTGTCGACGAGGTCGACGAGGAGGCGAGCGACCCGCCGCATCCCGCTCATCGCGCTCCCTCACGCTCGCTCGCTCTCCTAGACTTAGACAGACTCGCAGGGACACTGAGAAATGGCTGGTGCGCAGTCCGGCTTGAGCTATTCGCACCCCATCATCCTCCCGCTTCCCACATCTCGCGTCGACTCTCGGAACTCCACGACCAGCAACACAGGCAGCAGCTGACCCTCGTGCGCCGTGCAGGAAACCGCAAGACGATCCTCATCACCGGTGCAGCGGGCTACATCGGTGCGCATCCCTCGCGACGCCGCCCTCGCTCGCATCCCTCCGGCTAACCTCGCAATCCGATCATGTCCCGCAGGCTCGCACATCGCGCTTTCTTGCTTGCTTTCGGGCCAGTACAGCGTCGTGACCATCGACAAGTGCGTTTCGCGATCCCCCGGCCCCCCTGCGCTCTTACGGCGGCGCTGACCCTGCTCCGCCTTCCTTCCTCTCCTGGCCTTCCCGTCTCACCTCCTGCTCCGTCGCCCGACTTCCGGCGCCCTTGTTACGCTTGCTACCGCCAGCTACCACAACTCGTTCCCCACCGCTCTCAAGCGCGTCACCAAGCTCGCGCAGGATGCCCTTCCCGCCTCCGCGTCCGACGAGGAGAAGAAGGCGCTCGAGATTGCCGTCCACAAGGGCGACATCTCGATCAAGAGCGACATCGAGAACATTTTCAAGGAGTACGAGTCCAAGGGCGGCATCTGGGGCGTGATCCACGTCGCGGCGCTCAAGGCCGTCGGCGAGTCTGGCGAGATCCCGATCAAGTACTACGAGAACAACATCACCGCGACCATCAACCTTCTCGACGTGCGTAAACGCTTACCGGAGTTCTGGTGAGCGAGTGCTAACGTGACTCGCCCGCAGGTCATGGACCGCTACAAGGTCCGCAACCTCGTCTACTCGTCCTCTGCCACCGTCTACGGCGCGCCCGACAACGTCCCCATCTCTGAAAACTCTCCCCTTCGCCCCGAGTCGTGCTACGGCCGCACCAAGTTCATGTCGGAGCTGATCCTCAAGGACGTCTGCGACTCGAGCCCCGAATGGCGCGTCATCTCGCTCCGGTACTTCAACCCTGCCGGCGCGCACGAGTCGGGCGACATTGGCGAGGACCCGCGCGGACGTCCTGGAAACCTCGTCCCCCTCCTCGCTCAGATGGCTGTCGGCAAGTTCCCCGAGGGCCTCAAGATCTTCGGCGACAACTACCCGACTCCTGACGGCACCTGCGTCCGTGACTACATTCACGGTTCGCTCGCGCGTCTCTCCTTGGTAACATCACCGTGCTGACAGCTCTGTCGTGCAGTCATGGACCTCGCGGACGGCCACGTCGACGCCCTCGGCGCGCTCCCGAAGGACGACATCTTCAAGGCGCAGGCCGCCTCGACCGGTTTCGGCGCCTCGGGTGGAAAGTACAAGGCGTACAACCTCGGCAAGGGCAAGGGCATGTCGGTCAAGCAGATGGTTGCCGCGATGGAGAAGGCTTCCGGCTTCAAGTACAAGGTCGAGGTTGTCGGTCGCCGGTGAGTCGAGCCGCTGTTCGTCTCCTCCCTCCAGGCTGACGAGGTGTTACACAGCACCGGTGACGTCCCCGAACTCGTCGCCAACCCCGAGCTCGCCGAGAAGGAGCTCAACTTCAACGCCAAGCGCGACCTCGAGGAGATGTGCCGCGATCAGTGGAACTGGCAATCGTTCGTCCCGCTCTCTTCCCTCCCGCGACTGTCAGCGACTGACTGGCACTCGCTCAACCCCTGCAGGAAGAACCCCCAGGGCTACGAGGGAACTGCTTAGACATGGTTGCTGCAACGAAAATGGACCCTCTCTCCACTCTCCCTGTGTCTCTATCTCATCTGTCTGTCTATTGCCTCAACCAAAACAGCGGTACCCCTTACAGGCAGCCAGGAAATGCATGTGCAGTCTCTCATCATTCGTGCAGCCAGAACGAGAGTCGGATACGAGTTACAACAAGTCCTACGGAAACTGATGCGCCTGCGAGGGTCCGTGGCAGAGACGGCGACGACGATTACGGGAAAACTACCGAGAAAGACTGAAACCTGAGAACCCTCTACTCGCCAGCACCGGGCGTACTGACCGCGCTCTGCCCGCCCAGACTCGTCGACGATGCATTCGCCGAGGGAGGCTGCACCGTGAGCGAGAAGGTCGGTCCGCCCTGTCTCCGCGCCGAGCCTGTACCATTCCCGCTCGCCGCATTCGAGCCGCCTGCATGCGCAAAGTATCCTCCTGGACCGGCGAGGTTGACCTGGCTGCTGTTGGCGCTCTTGCTCGTCCGGAGCTTGGCGCCTGCGAGAGCCTGAGCCGCACCAACACCCGGGGTAGGGCTCGTCGAGTCCCTTTCGCGCGAGAAGCCGCCCGTCGCGAGCGAGTCCCACACGGCGTTCGAGAGCGCCGCAGCGGAGTGAGGGCCGGCTGAGAGGGGCGAAGGCGTGGCGATACCGCTTGAGGACGCGACATGGCGGAACTCGTCGGTCGAGCCGTCTCGACTTGCTGACGAGCGCGGGGTGAGCTTCGTGAGGACGGGTCGGGCCGAAGCTGGAGTCGTAGGCCGAGAGTTGGGTGAAGGCGGAATGACGACAGCCATGGGAGGGGGAGAGCTCGTGCGCGGACCGTACGAGGCGAGAGCTGAGCCGGAAGTCGAGCGCTGGAAGGGCGCGCCGGCGTTCGGGTCTTGCTGTTGCACCGCTGAAGCGGGGCGGATGCGGTCGGAAGGGTTGTTCATCGCGGGCATGTCGTTCCAGTGGCCCGTAGAAGAGGAGTAGTTGGCGGCAACGGTTGCGCTGCGGAGGAAAGGGGTAGACTTGGAGGATCGGATGGGTCGAGGACGGAAGATTTCGCCGCCGGACGGGTTGCTGACACGGGACATGGGGAGGATGGAGGCGGAGGGCGAGCGTGAGAGGGAGGACTGGCGGGTGAAGGAGCGGATGAAGGACGACAGGCGAATCGCAGCGTGCTGGAAAGGCGAAAGGGCACGAGTGACGGTGCTACCATTCTTCCGCCGTCCGCCTCGCGGGGGTGTGCGACTACCGCTCGATTCGCCGCTGCTGATCGCGTTCTCGTCTTGCGAGAGCAGCGAAAAGTCGCTTCGTCGCGGGCTGGAGCGTCCGAGAGGACCGCAGAACGATTTCCGTCTCCGCGAAGCTCCGGGACTGAGGCCGAGCAGCCAGAAGACGAGGAGGAGGACGAAGATGCCGAAGAACGGTAGGGCCGACGAGTCTTTGACGGCAGCGATGGTTGTGCGGACGTCGCCTCGCCACGATGGGATGTGGCCGGTCCAGCCCATACGGAAGGCGCCGTACGAGTTGGCGTAAGTTGACGGCCGAGGCGATGACGCTGGAAGCTCCGTCGTACCCTTCGAGACCTCGAGGACCATCTTGCCGAGCGTCCAGCTGATGGCGACGTCGTTGACCTCGTTCATCGACTGGAAGCTGGGCGGCTCGTCGAGGAGATTCTTGTCAATCGCCTTGCTGATGCCCTTCTCCGCCTGATTCTTGCCGTCGCCCTGTCCGCCGCGGTCGATGATGCGTGGGATGCCGATTCCTTCGTGCAGGACGTTGATGATCCACGCCGCCTTGAAGCACTGCATCTCTAGCCGCGACAGCTCGACGTTCGTCTTCCACGACCCGCCGCCCTCCTTGTAGTCGCGCATGATGTCGTCCCACTCGCGCCCACAGTACTCGATCGCGTGCTTCTCGAACTCGACATAGTCGTACACGCCATTCCCGTTGAGGGCTGCGCCCCAGACATCCTGCGTCGAGTACCAGTACTCGCTGATTCCGATAAAGTGGTTGACGCTGAAGTCGATAGGCGGCACATGGACGCCGTTGAAGAGACAAGGTTCGTCGGGGCAGTCGACCTCCTTGTTGAGGAGCGGCGCTTGTCGCTTCAAGCATTGCGCAAAGTCGCCTGTTCCGCGCGTCGTGTAGCCGGCATGCCGTGCTTCCGAAAGCATAAGGCTCTTTGGCAAGCATGGGTCGTCGACGAGGACGACTGGCCGCTCCGAACCGAGTCCTTCGGCGTCGCCTGGCAAGTCCGCCTCGTCGGTATTGCGGAGGTGCTTCTGGATCGTCTGATCAACGTAGCGGTTTCGAGCCTGATTCGTGCCGAAGCCGAGCCAAGTCGTGACGAAAACCGGATGCCGCACGTCCTTTCCGCTGAGGAGGCGAAGCTTGACTTCGACGAGATTGTCGGCATGCTTGATCTGCTCCGTCTCGGACGGCTCGAACGCGATTTGCGTCGATGCGCCGCCCATATCGAGAAAGCCGTACGTCGAGCTGTGCTTCCGTCGCTCGCCGGCTGCCGCATGCTCGTGCTTGTCGAAGCCGTCCATGAGGTAGTTGACCGCGACCCAGCCATACAGCCCCTCCTCCTCGCCCGAGATGATGCGAATCTGCTCGCCGCAGTCTGGAAGGTGGAAAGGAAAGGTGCGCAGGTAGTCGCAGGTCGACGAGAGGACGGCGGATTGCTGTTCTGGAGGGAGGAGGCGCATGCCGGCGGTCGCGAGCAGGTAGATTGGCGTCGAAGGGAGTTTGTCGGCGGGAATGACCGACGCAGCAAACTCGATGAGCGGTCGCAAGTAGTCGGGTACGCCTGCAGGATTCGAGCCGAATGTCGAGATGCCTGGACGACCGCAAGCTCGTAAGCCTAGTCTTTCCTCAGCTCCTAGCTCGCACGCACCTGGCTCAACCTTCAGATGCCACCCATCTCCCTCTTCGACACCTTTCTCGACCTTGCTCAGGACGTCGACACTCTTTCCCTTTGCCTTGCGGTCATGCTTGGCAATCTCGGGGTCGACCCAGGAGTAGACTTGTATGCGAGATCCACTGCTTCCTGCATCGATGACGACGCCGTACTGGCGACCTTGAGACCATGGCGGCGGTCGAGGCGGCATCGTCGAGAGGAGGAGGAGAGTCGAGAGGCAGAGACGAGGGGGTCACGGCCGGCGTCTGTGAGGATGTAAGCAGCGTCAGTCCACGCTTTGTGCAACTCGGCGAGCCGCCTGCTGCGCGACACCAGCTTCCACGCTCCTCCCGACTCCGCTGAGAGCGAGTCGCCCAACACGACGAGGCCGCCTCGCTGAGCGCACCAATGCTCGTGACTAGCAGAGTTACTCACAAGGTCCCTCAAGCTAACATGACCTGCGCTCCTGCGGTTTTTATCGAGTGGAAAGGCTGTCGGTGCCGGATAGCGGGGTCCTCGTCCACGTCGTCCTGAGCAAACTCAAAGAAGCTGACGGCTGTCGCAGTTGGCAGAACAGTCACAGGAAACAACCGCCGAAGCAGCGCAAGAGCAAAGGAGCGAACGAGACGAGTGGAAGAGGCTAACCCGGAACTTTCGCAGGCTCGCGGAACTCCGCCAACGACAACAGCATCGTCTGCAGGCGTACTGAGACGACATATGCTCCCAAAAAGCCCGTCCGTATTGACCCGTTGCAGCGATCCTCCCCTACGAGCGCTGCGGTTCCTCCGTCTCGAAAGCCTTTGCGAACGCTTCTGCCTCCTCCTGCCGCAGTCGCTCCTGCCGCCGTGCCTCTTCCCGCTGTGCCTCCTTTGCCGCCGCAATCGCCCGCTCCTCCTCCTCGAGTGCCTGGCGAGCCGAGGCGAGTCCGTCCCTCCACTGCTTCGCCTTCTCGCCCTGCTCCTCCACCGTGATGGGCCCTGCCCGGCCTCCAGCGACTGTCCCGTGCAATGCATCCGTGACCTGCCTCAGCCTGCGTGCGAGAGGCGGCTCCTGTCCGAGGATGTACGAGTTGTAGAACGACTTCCTCGGGTCGAACTTGGCGTCGGACGAGATGTTGTGCGCCGCGTAGAAGTTGGTCGGGTAGTTGACCTCGACCGACGTGAGGCTGGTCGTCTTTCGCCCACCCAGCTCGAGCTGCACCCGCTTCTTGTCGACGTCGGCGTGCGCGATAATGATGTCGCGGAGGTACTGCGGCCGTGGTCGACACTGGCTCGCGTTGACGGGTGTGAGGGTCTGAGTGATGTGTTTGGAGAGTTGCTGGGGGTCGTCGTTGGGCAGGAAAGTCGGCGCGAGGTGGTACAGCTCCGTGATCCGCTGGAGCTTCTCTCGAGGCGAAGCACGGGCGAGCTGCTTGTTGATCCTGCGCGGGTACAGGCGGGCGGCTCCTGCGGGCGCCGACGCCATCCGTGCGAGTGGTCCTGTCGCTGGCGCCATAGCTGGTCGAGGTGAGGGCGTGAGGAGGCGGAGGAGGAGGGGGCGGAGGAGATGAAGTCGAAGTTGCGAAAAGTCGCGGGCCGAAGCTTTGGACAGCTCGAATAGCTTGCAGAGGTCTCACTGTGACTCGCGGTAGACTCGAGAGACCCGGACGGTGAGAGACTCGAGCGAAGAGATAAAGTCCGTGAGGATTGCATTCCGCAGGCGTTCTATCGCGCACGCCTCGCCGAAGGATATGCAGGCTAAGAAGACACGTATAGGCGATAGAGAGGACGGCGGGACGTAGGAAGAGGCAGGTCTATGAGGGCGCGCGAGAGACGAAGGGGACGAAGACGGATGGGCGAGACGAGGTGTGTCTCTTTTCGGTCGGCGAGATGATATGCTTATGCGCGAGAGACGTCGCTGCAGGAGGAAAGAGCGTCAGTTTGAGCGGGGAAAGGATCAGCGAGGCGAGGTAGACATACCGGCCAAGAACCTTGGTCTTGAGCCAGTCGGTTCCGACGAGGAGACGGTTGCGGAGGGAGAAGAGCTGCGAGATGTACGCAGATCGCCAGAAGCTGTGGATACAGTCGTGGTCAGCGGCGTAGGGTGCAATCAAGGAGTGCAGACTGGACGAACTAGTAGGTCGCGAGACCGGCGGCAGCGAGGTTGCCCTGGAAGACGGGCAAGTCGGCGATAGCCTTGTCCGATCCGATGTAGGCGAGCGAGCCCTGGTGCGAGTAGTGGAACGGCGCGATATTGCTGGCGCGGATGACGGCATTGGCGAGCGAGTCGAGCTTGGCAGGCTCAGCGCCAACTTGCTTAGCCTGCTCGAGCTCGTTGAGGAGGAGCTCCTTCTTGTGCAGCTTGGAGAAGACCCTGGCGAGGTAGCGACCCTGCTGCGATGCGACCTGGGCAGTTGGGGCGTAGTTGGTCGCGGTGCAGTCGCCGAGGGCGAAGATGCCGTCGGAGCCGAGGAGACGGAGGTGCTCGTCGACGAGGAGACCGCGGCGCGAGTTCTGAGTGGACGAGAGGCGGTTCATGAGGTCCTTGGTGACCTGGCGAGCGGTGTTGCCGGTGGCCCTGGGAGCGACGACGTGGTCAGGCTGAGTCGCGGGGAGGACGGGAACACATGACGCACCAGACGAGGAGACCGTAAGGGTACTCAACGAGCTCCTTCTTCTCGTTCTGCGCGATGAGCTTCTTCTCCTGAACCTCCTTGACCATCGTCTTCGTCTGGACGTTGATCTTGTTCTCCTGGAAGGTCGACATGGTGTAGTCGCTGGGGACGCAGGTCTGTCAGATCAGTGCGACTGATAGAGAACGTGATCGGACGCACATGAGCTGCTTGGAGAACATGGGCAAGACGTTGGGAAGGGCCTCGATGAGGGTGATCTTGATGCGGTCCGCGAGGTCGGGGTACCACTGCGATCGACCGTTGTGAGCGGACGATGAAGAGTTTGACATGCAGACAAACGGAAACGCACGTTGCCAAGATCCTCCATCAAGAAGTCGTGCAACTCGCCAGCGTACTCGACACCGGTCGGGCCACCACCAACAACGACCTGATGACGATGAAGTCAGTACAGCTCTCATCCTTTCGCGGGGGTGACGAGGACTCACGAACGACAGCAGCCGGTCAATCTCCTCCTGAGTCTGGCCCGAAAAGTTGGCCGCCTCGATGCAGTCAACGATGCGGGTGCGGATCTTCTCGGCGTCCCAGACCTCCTTCAAGAAGCATGCATTCTCCTTGACGCCCTTGATGCCGAACGTCTGGTTCTCGGCGCCGACGGCGTAGACGAGGTAGTCGTAGCTGATCTCGGTGCCGTCAACCTCGCCCTTGATCTCCGAGTTGTCTGCGCGAGTCGAGCTCATTCAGCAAAGAGCGACAGCGTGACGATAGGAGGAACGACTCACCGACGAAGCGCACAGTCTTCTTCTCCGGGTCAACCTCGTAGACCTCTCCCTCGTACACCTCCGTCTTGCGCTTCAAGTGCCGCGTCAAGAAGCGCGTAGGCTCGAGGATGGATCGTGCGGAGAGGGTGCCGACGGTGACGGAAGGAAGCAAGGGAGTGAAAAGGAAGTAGCTGAAGATGCGAAAGGTCAGTCTCCGCCGGGTTTGGCGGGAGTTCAGTCGACACACTTGCGGGGGGAGATGACGACCTGCAACACGAGCAGTCAGCCTTCGTACTCTAGCCAGGCAGGCGACCCTCCACGAGGAGAACCGGGTACTCACGACGTTGTAGCCGGAGTTATCGAGCTCCTTGAGGAACGCGGTGCTCGCCCAGCCATTTCCGAGGACGACGACGGTCGGCAGCTTGGGGTCGTGAGGGAGCTGCTCGCCCGGGTGCCTCTGCTCGTAACTCCTCCAGACGACATATCCTCCGCCGGCGAGGATGGTGACGAGAACGGTGCGGGCAAAGGTGCGGATGCGGTTCTTGGGCTTCTTGGGAGGCTGCGAGCCTGCTGACGAGCCCGACGAACTCGAAGACGAGGCGACCTTGGGCGGGGCGTTGCTCGTGGTCGCAGAAACAGAGGAGGCAGGCGTCGCCGAGAGCTGGGAGGACGGCGGTGGGTTGGAGGTAGCGGTCGCGCTGGCGACATCAGCACGGCGAGGCTGAGTCGCAGCGAGTGCGAACGCTCGCCGACTGGCCCTGGCACCGGCAGGCGAGGCGGCAGCACTGACAGCGGTGATGAAAGTGCGCTGGGAAGCTGTCGCGCGACAACGGCGCCTGGGAGGTCAGCTCGCGCGCTGGATAAGGAGATTGAGCGAGATCTGGCGCACCAAGCACCCGCTGGAACGGCATCGCTGCGAGCATCGCTGTGGACGGGCGACGGAGAGAGCGTGAAGCTGTGCGGGGTCGACGTCGATGAAGACTTTTTCTCTCGAGCGAGCTTGACAGCGCAAGGAGTGACGCAGAAGGATCTGTCGAGTCCACAGGAGAAGAGGAAGAGCCGCGCGAAGGCGCGAGTGCGACAGTGAACCGCCCTCTTTCCCGCTGCTCTCCGTCATTTCGCGAAGAACCGACCAAGGGCCCGACGACGCGACTGTTGAGGATCAGATCTCGTAGCCTTGCTTGTATGGTCTGTCGGGCAGGACGTGCTGGACCCTACAGCCTGTGTCAGGCGCGCATGCCCCACACAATCGCGAACGGCCAGTCCCGGAATCAGTCCTCCTCAACCCGGACCCATCTTTCCCAGCTAATGAGGAAATCCTGCGACCATGGCAAAGGTGAGAGACGGCTGGAGGAAGTGAAGAGAGAGCGGGACAGACGTTGACGGTCTTGAGGCGAAGGTTGATCCTCGTCCGCCCCTTCTCCCGCTCGTAACGGGCGAAATAGCCCGTCATTCTGCAGACATGGGGCCAGGTCAGTATACACTCGTCTCATCTGAGCTTGCAAGCGGACGCACCCCTCGCTTACATCGCTAACGATAGCGACCGCCTCCGTCAACGTCGAGCAGACCTTTCCAACGCGACTCAGCGCCGCAAACTCAAGCTGCGACTGTGCAGCGTAGACGGGTTCACCAGCTTGGTCGACAGGCGTCGGTGAGCGGCGGTCGAAGGCGAAGAAGCGGAGATCGGTGAAGCGCGAGAGGGACGGGAGGTAAGCTTCCTGCGAGCGGGGTGACGATGGGTGAGCTGGGCTGGATGGAGGAGCAGAGGGCTCGACGCACGAGATCCTCGGGCCATTCTTCGCCCTCGTGGCAGTCGCCAGCTGGTAAAAAACAGGCCATCAGTCTCGTCAAAGTCGCTACGAACCTGGGAAAGCGGTGCGCACCAACGATCGTGAGCGCCCTCAGCTGCGGTACGACCTTGTGGAGCTGGTCGAACAGCGTAGGAGTCGGGTTGCGGCACTGGTACAGCGCGAGTCGGCGAAGGTTGGGAAGGTGTGCAAGGGAGGAGACGAGGATGGCGAAGTCGACGCTGGAGAGGGGTCCTTCGAGGAAGAGCTCTTCGAGCGGGAGGGTCAGGCCCGAATAGGAGAGTCGCTGCGGAGTACCATCATTCAGCTTGATGTAGCGCAAGACTGCAACGGTCGCACGCACGAGGATCTCGTCGGCGAGCTTCCGGAACGCGCTCGCTCCGTGCACCGAGTCGAGCGAGAGGTTTCGCAGCTGAGGCAGCATCGTCTTGATCGAGTCCATGAAGATCGCGACGCGCCTTGAGCTAGGCCAGAGCAGAAGCGAGTCGAGATTGGGCGTGACGTGAACGAGTTGGAACTGCTCGCAATATACAGCGTCAGCATGGACGGAGCGAGCAGAGACCGAGGATCCGCGCACAAAGCCAGGGTCGCTGTGCATGATCTGCAGCGTCTTGACTTTCGCGAGTCGATTAATTCGTTCGTTCAGGTTGAGCAACGGCGGCCAGCATGAGACCTGGTTCAGCCGGACTGCAGACAGTGTCGGCGAGGCTGCGATGATGTCGAGGAGGCGATGTCCGCCTGCCAAGGACAGCATGAACTCTTTGCCGAAGAAGACCTGGAGGGTAGACCGGGCGAGGTAGTCGAAGATCTCGAGAGCCACCTCCTGCTCGTCTGCAACCAGTTCGTGTTCGACGCCGAGCGGTCCGTCGTGCGAGTACACCTCGTCGAGCGAGAGAGCAAGGACGGGGAGAGGCGTTCCTGCTTTGTCCCGTTCCCGCAGGATGTCCCAGAATGTCGCCAGGCTCCTCATCTCGCGGTACTCGGTCGGCCTGAAGTGCGTCGCAGGTGTGTACCGCACTGTGCGCCAGATGAGCGGCCGGCATAGCTCGTTGAACTTGCGGTTCGTCGAGGCGAGGTTCAAGAGTTCGGGGGAGGGTCCGGTGGGAAAGGTCGGCGACAGGTTGCGCTCGTCGACGTGGGCGATGACGACGAGGATGATCTCCGAGGGCAGGTCGAGCAAAGGGAAGGCGAACTTGGTGTCGAGCTGGGCGTAAGAGGCGTCGGCGGGTGGGGGCTGGCACGAGGAGGGGTAGGAACGGCGAGCGCGCAACGTGGGGCTGGCGTCGTTTGACTGGTCGGCTGTGTAGCTCATTCTGGCAGTGTGTGTCGCAGCAGAACAGCCCAAGAGCGAGTCAAAGTGAGAGGCAGCTGACAGACCCGCGATTCTCATTAGCTCGAGTTCGTCACCAGCACCACCACGCTCACATCGACTCGCTGATAATGGCCAACATCTGGACAGCCGCAGCAGGCGACTTTGAGCGGGTCAAGCAGCTCGTCGAGGCCGGTGAGCTGGCGCCACTCGCTCTCTTCCTCCTCATCTCTAAACAGCCAGCGCTTGGCGAGGATCACCTGTGCTGACTTGGGATGGCTTCGTACGTCGCGCAGGAACCTCGCCGAACGCCCTCGACGAGAACTCGTACTCACCCTTGCATGCGGCCGCGAGCTGGGGACAGTCCGACATCCTGCGGTACCTCGTCGAGAAGGGAGGCGACATCAACCTGACCGACAGCGACGGCGAGACGCCTCTCTTCGTTGTCGAGACTGTCGGGATGGCGAAGCTTGTGGTCGAGCTTGGAGGAGACCCGAAGGTGAAGAACGAGGAGGGCTTGACTGTGCGTTCGTTTCGCTGTCCTGCTCTCGCTCCTTTGCTGACCTTTGGTCATTTCCCCCTCAGCCCGCAGCATCACTGCAAGAAGACTACCCCCACATCGCTCTGTACCTCCGCACCCTAACCGGCGAGACTGGCCCTTCCTCCTCCACCGACTCCTCCTCCGCCCTCGCCTCCTCCACCTCTTCCCAGCCCGACCTCGACGCCCCAACAAACGAACTCATGTCCGCCGTCCGAGGGATCATGGAGCGTTCCGAGCGGGGCGAGATCACCGAAGCCGAGACGGACGAGTTGTTGCGCGAGGTGGTGGAGCGGACCGTGGCCGGACAAGTTGAGACTGGACGAGCGATTGGGGAGCAGATGTTGGTGGACGAGGAGCAGGGCGATGCGGGACGGACGAGGCAGAGGACGGCGGATGAGCTGGCGCAGGGACCGACGGGTGGTGGGAAGCGGTCGCGTGAGGACAGGGACGACATTGGTCGATGAGCGTGCATTGCGATGTGTTTCCTGCGCGTGAACGGCTCGATGCGACGAGAGAAGCGTGACTGAGGTGTCGCTGTTGGGTAGTCGCTGGTTATTTCGTCGCGGAGACTCGCATCGCTCCGGACCAGAGGGGCACTGCATCATATCGAATACAAGAAGGGATCCTACGTGCGAAGAGGAGAGGAGAACGAGAAAGCCTGCTAAGAAAAACCAAGAATGCGAACGACACCAATTCCAACTCTTCCGACTTTCGTTTTGATGGTGCGTTCAGTGGTGAGTAGGCATCGCGGTCGTAGCGCGCGTGTCGATCGCGTCTTCGGCGCGCCAGTAGGAGGTGACGGTCTGCGCGGCGCACGAGCCAGGTCAGTTACGGGTAATTGGGAAGGGGAAGGACGGGAATACCTTGTTCTGGGTCCAGAAGTCGACGCCGCGTGGGCCGTCTGTGCGAGACGATCGTTGTCAGCTGAGGATTCGAGAAGCGAGAGAAATGTGTGGAGACGCACAGAGCGACGCGCCGCCGAGAACCGAGCCCTTGTTGCCCGACCACGAGAACATCGGGAGAGGGACGGCTGCAGGACGAGCGGGGGATTTTTACCTCATGTTCAAGCAGACAAATGCTTGTCGACGCAATCGAGAAGCGCTTCTGCCCCGAAGCGAGACTCACGGATGGGGACCTGCAACGACGCCGAAGTTCGTCAGTATCCTCCCGCTTTCCAACGCAAAGAGCAAATATCGACCTACGTTGATGCCAACCTGACCCGCCTGGATCTCCTTCTCGAACCTCCTCGCCGTCGCGCCCGAGTTGGTAAAGACGCTCGAGCCGTTCCCGTACCGGTTGCGGTTGATCAACGCGATGGCGTCGTCGAGCGTGTCGGCTTTGACGATGGTGAGAACTGGTCCGAAGATCTCTTGGCTGTGCGGGGCCAGTTTCAAGTTCGACAAGCAACGAGTTAGCGAGGCTGACACCGCCGCAAAGAAGAGAGCCGAAAAACGCACGTGTAGCAATCCATGTCCGTCGTGGCTTCCAAGATAGTTGGTCCAACAAAGTTGCCCTTCTCGTATCCCTTCGGCTTCGCGCCCCGTCCGTCGAGGAGGATCTTCCCGCCCTGGTCTGCGCAGGACTGGATGAGGGACTCGACGCGCTCTTTCGCCGCGGGGGTGATGAGCGGGCCACTGTGCATCACGAACCGAGTCGGTGAGGAGGAGGAGGGAGGGAGGCCAAGGGGAAGGGGGACGAACACTTCGGTTTCGGGGTCGAAACCGTTCCCGACCTTGAGCTTCTTCGCGCGCTCAACGAGTCCGTCAATCCAAGTCTGCGACTCGCCCACCGCAACGACTGCGCAACGAAACTGATCAGCTTGCGGAGTGAGAGGAGAGGGAAGAAAGGGCGAAACGAACGGGTCGAGAGAGCCATGCAGCGTTGGCCTGCTGCGCCGAACGCCGCGCCTACAATCGAGTTGAGCGCAAAGTTGGCGTTCGCGTCGGGCATCAAGATGCAGTGGTCTGTTCCCACAACCTCAATCAGCCTCACACCTCGTTCGAAAGGGACTTTGGAACGCACTCTTTGCTCCAAGGTTCGCCTGCACCCTCTTGCCGTTCTTGCTGCCCGTCTCATAGATATACTGACCCGCCTTGTCACCTCCAACAAAACTAATCGCCTTGATCCTCGGCTCCTCACAGATGAACTTGACCGGCGCGATCGTCCCATGGACGACTTGCAGCACGCCTTTGGGTAGTCCGGCTTGCTCGAGAAGTTCGGCGAGGATCATGGTTGCGCCTGGGTCGCGCTCCGAGGGCTTGAGGATGAGAGAGTTGCCGCAGGCGATGGACATGCCCATTGCCCAGAGGGGGATCATGGCTGGAGCGTGAGAGCGTCAGTTCCGTCTTGAGATGGCGCACGTGGGAGCGAGGGGACGCACCGGGGAAGTTGAAGGGGCAGACGGCGGCGGTGACGCCGAGAGGGACCTTGCGGACAAAGGTGTCCATGTCCTTCGAGACTTCGAGCTTGTCGGCGAGCAACAGCGAGGGAATCCCGCATGCGTTCTCGACGACCTGTTCATTCGAATCCACAACGAGTCAGTCCGCTACTCGAGCAGCACGCGTCCGACGCCTGGCGAACGCGAACGAACCTGCAACCCGCGCAAAACGTCTCCCTTGGCATCCGCAAACGTCTTGCCCTGCTCGAGCACGATGGACCTCGCGATCTCGTCGTGGTGTTCGCGGATCAGGGATTGGAACCTGTTGCGTTTTGCGAGGAGGACGAGGGATGCCGGTCAGTCGTTGTGACCCCCACATGAGAAGACGAGGCTGTTGAGGCAATCTCCCGTCACCAGGACGAGTAAGGACAGTCTCTGAGCCTCCAATGAACACCCAGTGACCCAGCTCAACGCCCTCGCCGTCGTCCACTCGCGAACCGACCGTTTCCGTCGGCGCCGGAGGAAGTGTCCCGTAAAGTCCTCGTCGCAGAACAGGACCCGCAGACTGACTTGAGCATGACAGCCTGTCGCTTGAGGATGCTCGAGTCCTTCCACTCGTCGAAGGCCTCCTCGGCCTTGTCCACCGCACGCTTGAGGACCTGCGGCGTCGACTCGGGCACACGGGTGAGGACTCGCTGGGTCGAGGGGTCATGGACGTCGATCCAGTGCGTCGAGTCGCCCGTCGTGTACTCCCCGCCAATCAAGTGTGTCGTTGCGCGCTGCCCGTCTGTCGCTGTCCCGCTCCATGGGTGGGTTGCGGCGAGTGCCTCGAGGTCTGCGAGGGCGCGGCGGGCGGGGGTGGTGGTGAGGGTGCGCCGGGTGGCGAGTGTCGCGAGTGAGCCGGTTGTGCGCAGCGAGTGGGACAGCATCGTAGCGAGTTCGGCAGTGAGTGCGCAGAGGGGACAAGGTGCTCGTCTTGCCGCCGGACGCTTCCCCCGCTCGGAGACGGCTGACCCGACTCAAGGGGGAACAGCGCAACTCGTCTTCACTCTCGCTTGAACTGCTTCACAGGCTCGCATACAGAGCGAGTGGCTGTATTGTAGGGAGAGGCAGAGCGGAGTCCCGGAGGGGCGGAAGCGGAGGCGAGGGAGAGGAGGAGGGTTAGTCCGCCTAGTCCTCCCGGCGAGGTCTGCTCGTCAGATTCATGTCCACAAGCAGAAGCGAGTGCTCGACAAGCAGAGACTGTCAAGTCAGCTAGAGAGAACCGTCGCGAGAGGGAAGAGGACGGGAGCAAAGGGAACAAGCAAGGAAAGGGCGCGTTCTGGCGCTGCACGACGTCTGCTATGTCGTGAGCAAGCGTGTCACAGCAATCAGGGCGTTACGGCGTCTCGGCGTCCGCAGGAAGTCCGCCCATGGCTGTGAACGAACTCGAGCGAGTTGCGAAGGTCGAGACGAGGCCAAGGACGGCTGTGTGTCGTCTCGGGGGCGTGCAAGCGCACCCGGAGCAGCATGGCCACACTGAACGAATCCCACAGAACCCCGCCCAGCCTTCCACCTGTCGCCGTGCGCGTGTCGAGGTTGCCAGGGTCGTGTCGAGTGCGAGGAGCGGGTGAGGGATGTGGTGTGTCGCGCGCGCTCGAGTGGGTGGCAGCGTGCATCGTGCGAGTGGCATCGAGTACGTTCCAGCAGTAGCATGCTGAGCCCGGTGGCGTCGTCGTAAGAGGTCGCGGTGTTCGCTCGTGTTCTCCTCGTCGCCCCGTTGTCCTCCCTCGTGTCCCTCTCTCTCCCTCTTCCCGCTCGAAAGGCTTGCAGGACAGGCTACTCTCCAGGGACGCCATGGCACGGCAACGCACAGCACTCGCAGCACTCCTCCTCGCCCTCGTCGCGCTCCTCTGCACCCTCGCACCCGCACACGCGCAGAAGGAAGACGTGCGTCCCTGCCTGTTCCCACTCCTGCGCACGCGAGGACAGAGCTGACACTCCCTCGTGACTTTCTACACCACCCACGCACCCCTGCACGCGCTCCTCGACACTCGACACCCCCTCCGCTCACCGCCTCCACGTCGACACCCTCGCACCCCTCGCATCGCAGTATGGCACCGTCGTGTGTCCCTTCGCTCCGTTCAGAAAGTATCCCGAGCATCGTGCTGATCCTCTGACACGCACACGCAGATCGGTATCGACTTGGGGACGACTTACTCTTGCGTCGGGTGAGTTTCAGGCGACGGACGTGATGAGGCGTTCAGAGGGGTTATTCTTGCGGGTGGAGCGGCGGAGCGCGCTGTGAAGGAGTCCCGGATGGCTGCGAGGTGCAGCGGAAGCGGCTGGGCGAGATGGCGGCGGAGCACCCTGTCGACGAGCGGGTCTCTCGAAGGAACACGCGCTGACCTCGCCCCCGTTCTTCCCGTGCGCGCCCCACGCTCACAGTGTCCAACGCAATGGTCGCGTCGAGATCATCGCCAACGACCAGGGCAACCGCATCACCCCGTCCTACGTCGCCTTCTCCCCCTCGTCCGGCGAGCGCCTGATCGGCGACGCCGCCAAGAACCAGTACGCCTCGAACCCGACCAACACGATCTTTGACGCCAAGCGCCTGATCGGACGCCGCTTTGACGACAAGGAGGTCCAGCGCGACATGACGCACTACCCGTTCAAGGTCAAGGCCGGCTCGATGAAGCAGCCCGTGATCGAGGTCAAGGTCGGCGACAAGAGCAAGACGTTCACCCCCGAGGAGGTCTCGGCCATGGTCCTCGGCAAGATGAAGGAGACGGCCGAGACGTACCTTGGAACCAAGGTCACGCACGCCGTCGTCACCGTCCCGGCCTACTTCAACGACGCCCAGCGCCAGGCCACCAAGGACGCCGGCACGATCGCCGGCCTCAACGTCCTCCGCGTCGTCAACGAGCCGACGGCCGCCGCGATCGCGTACGGACTCGACAAGACCGGCGGCGAGCGCAACATCATCGTCTACGACCTCGGCGGCGGCACGTTCGACGTCTCGCTCCTCTCGATCGACGACGGCGTGTTTGAGGTCCTCGCCACCGCCGGTGACACCCACCTCGGCGGAGAGGACTTTGACAACCGCGTGATCGACCACCTCGTCAAGCAGTGGAAGCGCAAGCACGACGGCCAGGACGTCACCAAGGACCTGCGCGCGATGGGCAAGCTCAAGCGCGAAGTCGAGAAGGCCAAGCGCACGCTCTCGTCGCAGATGTCGACCAAGATCGAGATCGAGTCGTTCTTCCAGGGCGAGGACCTCTCCGAGACGCTCACGCGCGCCAAGTTCGAAGAGCTCAACCTCGACCTCTTCCGCAAGACGATGAAGCCCGTCGAGCAGGTCCTCAAGGACGCCAACTTCAAGAAGGAGCAGGTCGACGACATCGTTCTCGTCGGCGGATCGACTCGCATCCCCAAGGTCCAGGAGCTCCTCAAGGAGTTCTTCAACGGCAAGGAGCCCACCAAGGGCATCAACCCGGACGAGGCCGTCGCGTACGGCGCAGCCGTCCAGGGCGGCATCCTCTCGGGCGAGGAAGGACTCGGCGACGTCGTCCTCATCGACGTGTGCCCCCTCACGCTCGGTATCGAGACCACCGGCGGCGTCATGACCAAGCTCATCTCGCGCAACACGGTCATCCCGACCAAGAAGTCGCAGATCTTTTCGACCGCGGCCGACAACCAGCCGACCGTCCTCATCCAGGTCTTTGAGGGCGAGCGCGCCATGACCCGCGACAACCACCAGCTCGGAAAGTTTGAGCTCACCGGCATCCCTCCCGCGCCCCGCGGTGTTCCCCAGATCGAGGTCACCTTTGAGATTGACGCCTCTGGGTGCGTTTCGCCTCTCCAGCTTCCTGTTCTGCCGCTACTGACTTGCCCTTTCGCACACCGCAACAGCATCATGAAGGTCTCGGCCGCCGACAAGGGAACCGGCAAGACCAACTCGGTCACGATCACGAACGAGAAGGGCCGCCTGTCCCAGGAGGAGATTGACCGTGAGCACCTCGCGTTTCTGTCGCCGCGCTTTGAGTCGGAGTGCTGACGCTTGACTCCACCGCAGGCATGGTCCAGGACGCTGAGAAGTTTGCCGAGGAGGACGAGCTTTTGAAGAAGAAGGTCGAGTCTCGCAACGCCCTCGAAAACTTGTGGGTCATTCCGCACGTACTGTCGCTCCCCAGCCCGTCCTGACCGCGTATTTGCACGTCCCGCAGCGCCTACTCTCTCAAGGCCCAGCTGTCCGACTCTGAAGGACTCGGCGGCAAGCTCGACTCGTCCGACAAGAAGACTGTCGAGGCCGAGATCAAGAAGGTGCAGGACTGGGTCGACAGCGAGGGCGCGACCGCTACCGCCGAGGACTTTGACGAGCAGCGCGAGCAGCTTCAGGCTGCTGTGGCGCCTATCACGGCCAAGGTCTACTCGAGCGGTGCGGGTGGTGACTCGTCGTCGTCGTCGTCCGGTGGGTACCACGACGAGCTGTAGGAGGGAATGGAGCAGTCTGTCGGAGAAAAGCATCAAGGAGGAAGTTCGTTTTGATGTAGTCGCAACCTCGTTTCCCACTCTTCCCTCTCTCTCTCTTTCGCATCGTAAATCACGCTTCCCGCATCGTTCTCTACTGCTTGCTCGAGAGGAAGCCCTGCAAGTCGTCTTCGCCGTCTTTCCCTCTCACGTCGCGCTGCGAAGTTGCTCTCTCTCCTCGACTTGCGCTCACTTCCCTCTCGCTGCCTAAGAATGGACAGCCCGCTACCGTTCGCTGGCTCTTCGAACTCTGCCAAGCGCCCGCTCGAACACCTCGCACGCACCGACTCGCTCTCCTCGCTCAACGCCCATCTCCAGCACGATCTCTCGCTCAAGTCGGGCTCAGCGACGCCGGTCTCGGGGGAAGGGTCACAGGGATTCGAAGGAGTGCAGACGGCTGAGACGAGCGTGCAGGCGAGCCCGCGGGACGTGATCGTGATTGACGACGGCGATGAGGTTCCCCTTGGTCGCGGGAAGAGGGTGAAGCGCGCGCACGTCCCGGACGACGTAGAGGTGCTGCACTTTTCGTCTCCTCCTGCCGACTCGAAGAAGCGCAAGGGCAAGGGAAAGGCCAAGGAGGCCGTTGTCATCGCGGAGGGGCCTGGGTGGTTCTTCTCGAGTACGAAGGACCAGTTCGAGGCGCGCATGGACAACTTCATGTACGTCCGAGTGCTCCTTCATTACGCGCGAAGAGGCTCACGCTCGTCCCGCAGCCTCGCCAATTCGAACCTCTTCCTTCCCTTGCTTCCGAAGGCAAAGAACAACTACGTCGCCTCGCTCCTCGCCTCCGTTTCGCCGCAGCCCATCACGCCTTATCGACCCGTTGCTCAGCCGACCGCCATCGCAGACGGACAGCCCGTCCTCAAGGACTACCAGCTCGCCGGCTTGAGTTTCCTCGCCTACCTCGCCGAGAACGGCATGAACGGCATCCTCGCCGACGAGATGGGTCTTGGCAAGACGCTCCAGACGCTCTCGCTCCTCGCCTACCTGAGTGAGCAGCACGGGCACAAAGGACCGCACCTCCTTGTCTGCCCTTTGTCGGTTCTTGGGTCGTGGATGAGCGAGATCGCGCGCTGGTTGCCGTCCTTCGTGCGTGATCAGCGTCGTCCTTCCTCTCGTACGCAAAATTGACGATACCACACGCCCCCAGACTGCGATCCGCTACCACGGACCGGCTGGCGAGCGTGAACGCCTCAAGTCGGAAGTCGCGGAGAAGGAGCCCGATCTCCTCGTCACGACCTACGAGGCGTACACGGCAGAGGCGATCTGGTTTAGGAAGAAGCGGTGGGCAGTCGTCGTGCTTGACGAAGGGTGAGTTCCGTCGTTGCGACAGTCTCGATTGCGAGCTCATCTCCGTTCTCCACAGTCACCGCATCAAGAACCACGCCTCGAATGCCGCCGAAGCTCTCCAAAACATTCCTTCCCGTATGCGCCTTATTCTCTCCGGCACGCCTCTCCAGAATAACCTCGTCGAACTCTGGGCTCTCCTCCACTTCCTCTTCCCGAAAGTCTTCAACGACCACACACTCAAGCCGTTCCAGGACTCGTTCAACCTCTCGCAAGGACTCTACGACCAGGCGTTCCTCGCGAAGAGCCAAAAGCTGCTCGAGCTGATCATGCTCCGCCGAACGAAGGAGGGCGTCAAGGGGCAGCTGAGCGTGCCGCCGCGCGAGGAGTTGACTCGTACGCAGTTTTTCTCAGATTTTTCCAGTCTCACAGCACTCATCTGTTACTGCCGCAGTCTACGTTCCGCTCTCGCCCGTCCAACGCTTCTGGTACATCCGCATCCTGTCGCGCTCCGACACGATGACCCTCGGCGAAGTCTTCGGCGACTCGACTACTTTCGACGCTGCCGCTGCCGAACTCGCCAAGCAGCAGGTCCTCACGGCGGAAGGGAAGAAGCGCGGACCGGCCGTCGCAAGGCTTGCGAGGCTGCAAAAGGCGCTCGAGCGTCGTCAGAGCGAGAGCGGCGCGAGTAGCGAGGCGGATGCGGACGACGACGTGATCATCATGGGCGACGAGGCGGAGGACGGAGCGAAGCAGGCGATCGCTCGAGCGCAGTCAGCTCTTGAGGACGCAAAGAAGTCGGAGGCTGGAGGCGGGTCCTATCAGAAGCTCATGAACCTTCTCGTGCAGCTCAGGAAGTGGTGCGTCCTCCCGAGTCTGCTCTTGCTGGATGGCGCTTACCCGCGCTTCATCGACAGCTGCGACCACCCCTACCTCCTGCCGAACAGCGAGCCCGACGGCGACCTCACGATCGACGAGCACCTCGTCGCTGCCTCCGCCAAGCTCGTCGCGCTCGACAAGCTGCTCAAAGACGTCATCCCGAAGGGCGAGCGAGTTCTGGTTTTCTCTGGCTACACCCGCATGCTCGACATCCTCGAGGACTTCTGCGCCTTGCGTTCGTACAAGTACGCGCGCCTCGACGGCAGCACCAGTCGTCCTCGCCGCGCCCTCGACATCCGCCTCTTCCAGCAAGCCGCATCGCCTTACCAGCTCTACCTCATCTCGACTCGCGCCGGCGGTCTCGGCATCAACCTGACAGCTGCCACGACCGTCGTCCTCTTCGACCAGGACTGGAATCCGCAGGTGGACATTCAGGCTATCGCCCGCGCTCACCGTATCGGCCAGACCAAGACGGTCAAGGTCTACCGCCTCGTCACGCAGGGTTCGGTCGAGGAGCAGGCCATGACTCGTCTGCGCAAGAAGCTGTATCTCTCGTGCGTCCTGACTACTCTTCCATAGAAATTCGTGGACTGACGGCCCTCCTCGATCAGGGCGAAGATCATGGACGGCATGCGCAACGTTTCGGATGCTCCGACTGACGAGGCGGTCAACGAGACGTCGCAGACGGAGGACGACGCGCCGAGGATGACGCGCGGAGGTGCGCCTGACCTGGACTTGATCTCGAATCCCGCAAGACTAACGGATTTCGCTTTCGCAGAACTCGCCGCCATCCTGAAGGGCGGTACCGGTGCCCTCGCAGCCAAGTGGGACACAGCCTCGGGCGACGCCTTCGACGCCTTCCGCGTCGCAAGTTTCGACGAGCTGTGCGAGCGCGGTCGACGACGCGACGAGGACAAGGAGGTGTCGATCAAGATTGACCTTGGCGAGCAGGTCAGCGAGGAGGAGATGGAGCGGCGACGAAAGGAGGAGGAGGACGCTGAGCGGGCGTTGCTGGAGGGTAAGGAGGCGGTGACGAGTCGCAAGTTTGAGGGCAAGCTGTATGCTGCCTCGAACGATGAGATCCGAAAGGGTACGTTCGCGGCCTCCTCTTCACGGCTCACGACTCGTGCTGACACCACATAACCCTGCAGAGTGGCAGAACTTGCAGAAGCGGGAGCATGTCTCGAGGACGGTCGTTATTGGCGGACACTCGGTCGCGAGGGAGACACTCGTGCGTCTTCGTCGCCGATCAGACTTGATTCGCATACTGACGACTTGTTCACCAGTCAAACGGCTCCTGGGAGGCGGTCAAGACGCTCACGTCTGATCCGAAGGTCGCTGCGCAGTTGGGCGACGCGAAGCGGACGAAGCGCAAGTTCGAGCACCAGGACGTGAGTCGGCTCTGTCACTCCTTGCGCATGGTTTTGGATGCTGATGCTCTCGATGGCAGGCCTGCCTCACATGCGGAGACGGAGGCGAGATCTACCTCTGCTCGGGCTGCCCTCGCGCCTACCACGCCGGCGACTGCTCGGGGATGTCGAAAAAGGACCTCAAGGCGGTTGTGTGCGTGTCGTCTTGACTGTATCACAGCGTCGTGCAGTAGGCTGACGAGACCCTTGCAGCCAATACTACTGCCAGCAGCACACTTGCTCGGTCTGCCTCCGCAATACGCAAGCTGCGGGCGGCCTTCTCTTCCGGTGCGTTTAGATCGTCCGTGCGCGCTTGCGACGATCTCGCTCGTAAGCCTCCAAGCATGCGATGGCTGACCCGTTCCCTCGCTCCTCTTCGCTTCTTTCACCGACGACAGCTGCCAGACCTGCCCCGCCGCCTTCTGCGAAGACGATCTCCCGACGACCGACCTCGAAGTCGTCGGCGAGGTGCTCCCCGAGTTCCTCCTCCTCGGCTACGGCAAGCGCAAGCAGGCGTACTGGATCCACTGCCCGTCGTGCGTCGAGTACTGGGCCGAGTACCCCGAGGCACACGCTGCGTGGAGGAAGGAGCAGGAGAAGATCGAGAAGAAGGCGCACGCCGAGGGTCACGTCTGGTGAATCGGCGGAGCGCAACGTTTGAAGGAAGGAACGGAGGAGCGGAAGGGAACGCCGCTTGGGTCTTGGGGTATTTTTTCGGTGCCGCTTGTCGCGCTTTGCACTGCACTAGACATGATTTACGTGACGCTCTTAGGGCCGTACGAGCGAGTCGAGTTGGGACTTAGCCGTGGCTGGATGAGGAGGCGGTGCGCAGACAGCAGACCGTGCTTGAGATGCTCACCCTCGCTCGCTCGCCACGCTGAGGCTGCAGGCTTACTCGGTGTACGCCTAGCTAGATTCGCAGCCATGGCACGCAAGAACGCGGCTCAGAAGGCGGCGCAGAAGGAGAAGCTCGACCAGCTCAAGGACCAGGACCCGGAGGAGTTCGCCCGCCTCGAGGCCGAGCGCGAGGGCAAGTCGAAGAAGCAGATGCACAGGAAGGACAAGCCGTGGGACGTCGAGGGCACCGACCACTGGAAGGTCGACCCGTGGGCAGAGGGCGAGATGCGGGGGCCGCTCCTCGAGGAGAGCAGCTTCGCCACGGTGCGTTCGCGGGCGGTCTGGGTCGCGAGGAGCTTCAAACTGACCTTCTGACCGTGCAGCTCTTCGCCAAGTACCGCGAGACCTACTTGCGCGAGATCTGGGGACATGTTACGGCTGCACTCGAGAAGCATGTTCGTCCGCATTCCTCGCTTTCTTATCTGCGTAAAGAGCGGTGTGCTGACAAAGAAGCATCGCTCCAGGGCATCGCGGCAACGCTGGACTTGGTCGAGGGTTCGATGACGGTCAAGACGACGAGGAAGACCCACGACCCGTATATCATCCTCAAGGCGCGCGACATGATCAAGCTGCTCGCCCGCTCCGTCCCTTTCCCCCAGGTGAGCCCGCCAGTTGATCGTGACGAGGCGGGAGAACAACCGCTGAACCCTTACCTACGCCAGGCGGTCCGAATCCTCGAAGACGGCATGGACTGTGACATTATCAAGATCGGCAACATCATCCGCAACACGGAACGATTCGTCAAGCGACGACAGCGCATTCTCGGACCCGGAGGATCGACGTTGAAGGTGCGTTCTCCTTGTTGCACTCTCTTCCTCTCTATGACCTGACTCTCCTTGCAGGCGATCGAGCTGCTCACGCAGTGCTACGTACTCGTGCAAGGCAACACTGTGGCAGCGATGGGAGGACACAAGGGCTTGAAGGAGGTTCGCAAGATCGTCATCGACTGCATGAAGAACATCCACCCGATCTACCACATCAAGGTGCGTTCCCTCTAGCGGTTCCCCTTGTAGTGAAGCTGACACGTGTTCGCCCGCAGGAACTGATGATCAAGCGCGAGTTGGCAAAGGACCCGAAGTTGGCGAGCGAGAACTGGGACCGCTTCCTGCCCAAGTTCCGCCGGCGGAGGGAGAAGAAGCGCGGTCCTCCTGCGGCGGAAGGGTCGGGCGCGAACGGCATCCCCGTCAACGGCGAGGCGTCGACATCGGCGGAGGCTCAGCCGCCCGCCAAGAAGCAGAAGAAGGAGAAGAAGCCCTACACGCCGTTCCCGCCCGCGCAACAACCCAGCAAGGTGCGTCTCTCTCGCTTGTCTGCCTTTGCAGCACAGTCGCTCACCTTTCCTTGTGCAGATCGACTTGCAACTCGAGTCCGGAGAGTACTTCCTCAAGCCGCGAGAGAAGCAGCAGCGGGAAGAGGAGAAGCGCAAGGCGAAGGTGCGTTGCCTTCCTGTCGACCCCTTCCTTCAACTACTGACGCTCGCGCTCTCATAGCAAGCGGAGGCGACCGCAGCTCGGCAAGAAGAGCGAGCGAAGACGTTCGTGGCACCCGACGAGGCGCCAGCACGAGCGGCGGTTGGAGCGGTGGGCGACGCAAAGGAGAAGAAGAAGCGGAAACGCGAGGAGTGATCGTCCTTGGCCTCGCTAGCTTGCGGTGTAACCCTGTTGTGCAACGACCTGCATCCCATATTCGCATTCTACACCTCGTCCGTCTCGTCCGCCTTGGCGAGCCTGATCTTGAGCGGCATGCGCGTGCCAAGCTCCATCTCGTTGACGACGAATGGACGAGTGATGACTTGCGCGCGGTGCTCGATCTGGATGTCGGCGTCTCGTCGGTCGAACTCGAAGGAGTCCACGAGAACAGAGAGGACGCTGTTGGGAGAAGAGTCAGCGCGGCCATCGTTTACGGTCAATGCGAGTGCACGCACGCCTTGAACTCGAGCAGGGCGAACTTGTAGCCGATGCAGGCGCGAGGGCCTGCGAGGAAGGTCATCAACCCGCTCCATCCGCCGACCTTCGTCTCAATCTTGTTGTCGTCGTCGAGCCATCGCTCCGGCCGGAAGTCGTCCGCATCGTCGCCAAAGATACTCTTGTCGCGGTTCGCTGCGTAGACGCCGATGCTGATTGACTGGCCTTTGCGGACGACGATGTGGTCGATAGTCTGCGAAGGGTCGGTCGCGGACTTGACGGGCACCGAGAGCGGGATGACATCGTTCTTCTGAGCCACGCGAGGGGTTGAGGAGAGGGGAGGTTCGAGGCGGAGGATCTCGCGCTGCAATGGACCCAAGATCAGCTTAAGTGCTTAGGAAGGCCGGAGACTTGAGGCGCACCGTGACAGCATCGAGGTACTCGAGACCGCTTAGCTCGTCGCTGTTCAACTCGTCGCGACCGTCTCGCTGAGCGAGCTTGCGAGCAGCGCGCACCTCGGCGCGCAGGCGGGCCTGCTTGTCCGGGTGGCAAGCGAACTCCCACAGCACCCAGCTCAAACTGTTGCTGATTGTCTCGTGGCCGGCGAAGAGGAAGGTCTGCAGCGGGAGCCGTCAGTGATGTCACGAGGTGAGCGTGAAAACCGCGCAGCGCACCGTAAGCTGTCCTCGCACTTCCTCCGGAGACATGGTGTCCTTCGCCTTCGTCGAGACTACGGCAAGGGCGTCAGCGCCTCGACCAGGTCCAAGCGAAGACGCGGACTCACGCAAGATTGAGAGCAAGTCCTTCTTGGGCAGCGCATCCTCCTGGTCCGCCTTCTCCATCTTGGCCTGGACGATCTTCCGACTCTCGACCTCGAGCGTATTGAGCGCCTGCTTGATCGACTTGAGCCGCTCGTCGGGGAGGTACTCTGCGAGCTTGAGGATAGGAAGGGCGTGCAGGCAGGCTCCGATGACATTGTTGACGAGGAGCCGCGAAGGATGAGGCTTGCCCGGTGCATCGCGGGGCGAGAAGAGGGAAGCGAAAGCCTGTGCGAGGGCGTCCGACTTTAGCGAGAGTGCCTGGAAGTTGTAGCCAAACCCGGCTATTCAAGCGCAACCAGGTCAGCCTCGTGCGGAAAGTCGTCGCAAGCAAAGGGGCGCGCCTTTGCCGAGCGCATCCAATGTCAAGCGAGTGAGCCAGTCGGACACTTCGATGACTGCTTCACCGTCTGGCTTGCCCGCCTGGTAAGCGTCGGCCGCTTCGTCGTTCTTCCAAGCCTTCGAGTCGACCTGCCCGGCCTCGACCATGCCTTTCCAGATGTCGCGCAACTGCGGAAGCACGATGTCAGGGAGTGTTCGCTGTAGACAAGATGACGCTAGCGCACCTGATGTGCGTGCTCGAAGAAGCCCACAGTCATCGCCTTGAGGTTCGAGGGAGCGAAAGCCGAGTTCATGAGGCGGCGCTGACGGCGGTGCGTCTCGCCTGCAAGAGGAGGTCGTTCAGAGGAATGATAGGAGCTCAAGTCATCGCGCGACATACCTTCGGCAAAGACCAGGCCCTTCCCCAGTACCATCGCGAGGTCGCCTCGAACGTCGTCCGGCTTGGCATAGTCGTAGGTGTGCGAGGTCAGGACGTGATTGAGCGCTGCTGGGTCTGTAAGGATGAGGCGTTCGCCCTGCAAAACGACTGCGTCAGACGAGCTTTCCGGAAGACTCGAGCGAGAAGTACGCACTCCCAGCAAGCCGCGATACCGCACGGCACCTCCGAACTCTTCTGTCCACCTTGCATGTGCCTTTCCCGGTTCTTCGTCGATGAGGCTCTGCAGGTTGCCCCACAGCGGATGGTCGGGAGGAGGGCCGGGAACGGAACGGAGGGAGGAGAAGTGCGGCGCAAGGAAGACTTTGTAGGCGTTCTTGACGAGGAGGCCAAGCAGGAAGGCTGGCAGTGCGAGGCTGTAGCGAGAAGTGGATGAGGGACGCTGAAGAACAAGTCTGGTGTCGTGTGGACAACGTACAGAGCTGTTCGAAGCGGGTGTTCAAGGGCAAAGCGAGCGAGCGAAGCGGCGGCGTCCATCGCAGCGGAGCTTGGTCAGTGCGGGTGAGAGATAGAAGCAAGAAGGACGATTCGGAGAAGCGTCGGCATCAGCCTCGTGAAAGAAAGGCCCAAAGAAGGCGAGCACTGGATGAAACGAGGGGGAGGAGACAAAGACGGCGCAGACAAGGGGTGGGCCACACCGGGCGAGGTGTGGCGCCCGGTGTGGCCGTGTTGTGCAGGTAGTCAGCGCCTCTGTGACAGCCTCGCACCCAGTCAAGAAGCCCTCGAGTGCCCACGTCGCCCACCAGCTCCTCATCAACTGCCCCTCTTCCTCATGGCATCCGCTCCTCCCGCTGAGCTGGGCGCGCACTGCTCGCTGCCATCGTGTAATGCGTTCGACTTCCTGCCCATTGTCTGTCCGCATTGCTCCGCGTCGTTCTGCGGTCGACACGCTTCGCCTTCCTCCCACGCCTGCCCGAGCGATCCCTCAACATCCTCACTGTCGCCAGACGAGCTGAATGCACGGCGTGCCGACAACCAGCCCTCATTCCGAAGCCTGCTGCCGGATCCGAAGCGGCACAAGCGGGAAGCGGTCGAGCCGAGTGAGGAGGACAGGGTCAAGAAGGAGGGGCAGCAGGCTGCGCTGGCAAAGTTGAAGGCTTCCTTCGCCAAGGGAAAGGCAGGGACGACGTCTACTCCTCCGACGCCCTCAGCTCCCGCGAAGAAGCCTAACCCGACTCTCGAGCTTATGCGATTGAAGGGACGAGCGGTTCCGGCGGATCCCAAGCACGTCAAGCGAGCTGGGGACGTTCCGATGCCAGATCGACTCTTTCTCAAGGTACAGTGTGCCAAGGAGGCGGCGAAGGAACCAGAAGTTCGTGAGGTATGGGTCAGCAAGGTGCGTTTGTCTCCTGCTTCTCACCCTCTTCGTGCACGGGCGAAGGCAACCGCTTGTCATTCAGTCACTGAATTCATTGCTGTGGACAGATCATTACTGCGGGCAAGGCGCTCGACCTCTTTGCGGACCTCTTCAAGGTGACGAACGACAACAACGCGACGACCGATCCATCTAAAGTTCGTTCTAGCGCCTTGCAACGCATGTCCTTGCGCGCTGAACTGACTGGCTTTGCGTCGCAGCTCCTCTCCCTTGGCCTGCCGTCCGACCCGCCTACCCGCCTCACCCTCGCCGAACCGCTCTCAGCGCAAGTTGCGAACGGCGGAACCGTCCAACTCTACAAGGGCTTCCTGTGGCCATGACCGGCGTCCATTCATTGTTGTTGTACTGTACACTGGCTGCAAAGCTTGTTCCTCCAGAGGCAAGGCGCGGGGTCTCTGCGAGAGAAGGCAGTTGCGAGTTGCGGTTGCTGACGAGCTCGAGAAAGCTTCTTTCTGCGCTTGTGATGTCCTAGGCTCCCCCTTCCATTCCTCCTCCGGTGTCGGCATCCGCTGTTCCGCTATTGGCCGCCTTCCCTCCCTGCGCCTTCGCACGCGCCTGCATCAGCTTCTGCCGCATCAGCTTCTCCTTCAGCTCGCCCGACTTCTTCTTCAGCTCGTCCTCGACGGCAGCCTGGCGCTTGGCGAGGAGTGCCGCCTTGAGAGTCGATTCGGACTTGTTCGGCTGCTTCAATTCCTCCGCTGCTGGAGGACTCGCCTGCTCCGGCTCGGGCGCAAGCGCGCGCGTCGTGTCGCCGTAGTCGCCGTAGTCAAGCTCGTACGAGTCGCCAAAGTCGAGTGCGAACCCGCCCGCCAGCTCGTCTGCGGCGAGCAGCTTCTCCTCCTCGAGACGGGCCATGAGCAGGTCGCGTGTCGCCTGGCTGTAGGTCGTCTGGCCGTCTGCGTCGGAGCCGCCGCCTAGCAGCCCGGCGCCGAAAGAAGCGAGCGAGTCTGTCTGAGCGGTCGTCGACGCGGCGCGGGCGGCGGCCAATGAAGCGGAGGCACGTGAGCGGACGAGGTCCTCGTAGGCGAGCGCCTTCTCCGCCTGTAGCCGCTGCTGCAACATCGACCGCAAATCCGTCTTGCCTTTCGCGCCGAGAGTGGAGGAGGTCGAAGGACCGTTGTTCTTTGAAGCGAGAGCCTGACGATACTCGGCGGTGAGGCGTGCCTGCAACTTTGCTCGGAGCGAATCCTGCAGGCTGGATGGTTCGGCGGTGCTTGCCGAGGCGACAGACGTAGACGACGGCGCAGGAGACGGAGCAATGCCTCCGAGCCGTGCAAGGAGGTTCTTCGCGGCGGGCGAGGCGGGACGATGCGCAGGAGCGGCGTCGTACGGCTCCTGCTCGATCGGCCGTACCGCTCTTCCCTTGCCGTTGTTGCGACCGCGCCCACTGATGGCCAACCCTCCGTCCTTGCGACCCGTTGCGTGCGTCTGTAAGGAGGCTTTGCCGTCTTCCGACAGCGTGACGACACGCCCGTTCCCGAGGATCCGGCGCGCAGCTCCGAATATGTTGAGCATCGGCCGTTGCGGAGGCTGCTGCTGTGCCGGATCGGCTTTCGCGGAGGGCGGCCGGTTGTGAGCCGGAGAGGCAGGTCGCGGCGTCGGGTTCGCAGAGAGTACGGGGACCGAAAGGGAGATGGCGTCGCGAAGCTCGGGGTCGACTGGCGGTGGAGGCGTCTCCTGGTCACGACCGTTCGCTGGGCGAGAAGGCGTGACGGAGCGGGAGCGTCCTCGCGAGGCGTACGTGCGAGACGGAGAGGGTGAACGGGAGTGTCTCGAGCTGGCGGGAGGACGAGATCTCGACCGTCTCGGCGAAGGTGACCGTCGTGAACGAGCGGGCGACGGTGGACGAGAACGGCTTCGCGATCGGCTGACGCTTCGGTCTCGCCGCCTTGCAGGCGAAGGTGAACGGTGCCGTCGGTCCCGAGACGGACTTTGACTCCGCGAGCGAGCCGGGCGGTAGTCGCCGCGGTATCGACGGTCGAGAGGAGGGGCGTATCTGCCTCGTCCCGGACGATCGCGCCGGCTCGAGCTGGAGAGATGGTATGAGCCGACATACCGCTCGTCTCGGTCGCGCCAGTCGGGTTCACGGATAGGCGAGGGAGAGCGCGGACGGTACCCGCCAGACCTTCGACGGCCGTGAGGGGGAGGAGACGGTGGACGGTCGCTGAGGCGTCTCGACGGCTGTCGCGACTCGTAGCCGGTATCACCTCTTCGGTCACGGAAAGCGTCGCCCTGGCTCGCCCGCCTGACGTCCTCGCTCGGTCGCTGCGGCAGACTCGCCGACATGGGCGGAATCGGCCTCGGTTTCCGCCTCTCCCGCTCCGCCTCCTCGTCTCGTCTCTTCCGCATATGCTCCTCGAAGCGAGGCGCCTGGCGACTCAGCTCCTCCGGGTCATGCACCATCTCCTCGAGCTCCTGTGCCTTTGGCACTTCCCTCGTCGGCCGGCCGTATTGGACGAAGCGGTCGTATCCTTCGAGCGAGGTAAACGGCGAGCGGGCGAAAGTGACAATCTCATGTACGAGATGCTGGGCATCCTGCTCAGACAGGAAGTCCGAGATGAGACGAATGGCGGCTGCCGAACGCAGGTCGAGCTGAGAAGCGATGGAGACGAGGTAGGTGGTGAGGAAGGCGACATCGACAGCCGGGAAGACTTGGAGCTGCGGGGTTGATCGGTCAGCTTTGCATCGGGCAGATGAAGCAAGCTGAACGTGTTGCGCACCTCGCGGCGGATGAACTTGATGACCCGAGCCTTGAGATCCGGGTTGCTGGCGAACGTCTGCGGCGTGAAAGGCTTGAAGCCGGTGTAGCGATTGCTCGCAACATGCTTCGCGTACAGCCCCTCGCGGTAGATGAACCTGCGCCGCTCGAGAGCCCGCTCCTCTTCCCGCTCGCGCCATGTCGTCTCGTCAAGGTTGTTGAGACGGGCAGCGGACGAGTAGCGGTTTCGACCGTACAGGGCGTGACGAGGCAATGTAGGATTAACGGCAGGTCGACGAGCGCCTCGAGGAGGGAGGAGGTCGTCTGCCGCTGAAGAAGTCGAGGCGATGGCGTGTAGTGGGAGAAGGTAGTGCGTCTGGTAGTCCTTCGACGAGCGGATGTTGTGGATGAGGTGCTCGATCGGGCCGAGGCAGAGGGGGCACTGCGGCGAATGGCAGAGTCGAGAGAAGGGGAAACCGAGGAAAGCGTCAGCTGGCGATACAACGCTCGGCGAGCAGAGTTGAGCTCACCTTTCGACTCTGATCTGTCCACGCTCGAATGCACTGCCAGCAGAACTGGCCGTGGTGGCAGGGGAAGATGACAGACTGCAAGCGGACGAAGGTCAGCTTGGTTAAACCTGTCCAGACTTGGACGAGGGCACGCACCCGGTTCTCGATAGGCGACAGACAGATCGCACACAGCTCCTCCTCGTCCTCTCCTTCGCTGTGACCGTCCTCCGGCTCGTCTCCCCTCTCGCCGTCGCTCAAGTCTCGCCGGTCGCGGGCATCGTCCGGTTCCTCGGCCTCGTCGTCGAAGCCCTCCAAGGGATCCCGCCGCCTTGACCGCGTATCCTCTGGGCTGCGCGACGTCCGAGAGTAGGATGCGCGACGAGAGTGGGGCGAAAGAGAGCCGGTCCGCTGTCTCTTGGAAGGGGGCGAGTCGCCCGCGCGTGGCATGGACGGTGACACAGAACCTGTCTGGCCCTCTCAAGCACAAGTAAGCCTTCTCAAGCGGTGAGCAAGCGATGTGAAGATGTCGAGGAGATGAGCGACTGAGTCGTCTGCCTCTCGCCATCTGCCACGACGCTCGGAACCTCGCAGAACTAGCTCTCACAGCCTGTGCGACCCTATTCGAGCATCTGCTGCGTCGCCTGAACCTGCTCAAGCACGCCTCCCACCTCCCCTCTCATCACTTCGTCTCCCGCTTTCTTCGGCACACACGATGGACGCAGACCTCGAGGCTATCCGTGCGGTACGTGGAGCTGCTCACCAAGTCCCAGGTTACCGCTCACGATTATCACCGACCCACAGAAACGCATGGCAGAGCTCCAGGCAGCAGGCGGTGGGGCCTCCCCCTCTTCGACGGGAGGAGCCGGACCTTCGGCAGGTGCTGGTGGCGGCGAGGAAGCCGCCCAGAGGGTCGCGATGGAGGACGAGATGCGGCGGACCATGATGAGCCAGATCCTGAGCCCCGAAGCGAGGGAACGTCGTGAGTCCCCCTCTTCTCGATCACTTGGCGGCAAACCCTGCAAACAGACGCTCGTGTGCTTTGCGAACAACATTGACGATGGCGTCTACCTCCGTACAGTCTCGCGGATAGCGCTGGTCAAGCCGGAGCGCGCAAAGTCGATCGAGCAGCTCTTGATGCGGATGGCTCAGAGCGGCCAGATTCGCGGCAAGGTCAGCGAGGACCAGCTCATCGACGTACTTGACCAGGTGGGCCTGCTTCGACGGCTCTCGTGCTTCGACAGTACCTGAGCTTTTCCTCCGTTCGCAGGTCGAGGCGATGGAGCGGGGACAGAGCGGTGCGGGCGGCCAGAAGTCGGGCAGCAAGATTACGGTGCGTGCCATTTTCAATTGCTTAGGGAGCGCCAGGCCTGCAACACCTCTGCACCAGCCTGACAAGCCTGCCACTCGTTCGTCTTCTTCTCGCAACAGTTCACGCGGAAGTCCGCCTTCGACGACGATGACGACGACTGGTAGCCCTTTCTGCGCACTCACTCGCGCTTGTACCATACAGCAACTCTCGTAACGAGCGGCCAAGCTAACGCTTTCTCCCTCTCGCTGCGACATGCACCGCCTCCTTCGGACCTTTGCCTCCACCTTATCCGGCCCCACAAGCAGGTGTTGCTTGTCTTCCTGCGCTCATAGGCGCATCTCGTACTCCAACCGCCTTCGCCGACATCGCTGTCGCACTTGCTTGCTCACTCGTCTCATCGCGATGGCTGCCAACGCTTCGTCCTCCGCCTCCACGCTCACCGCCAGCACAGACCAGCTCTCCCTCAAGAACGTCCGCGCCGTGCTCTTTGACCAGTTCGGCACCTTGACGGATTGGCAGGGGAGTATCTCTCGACTGCTGGAGGAGGAGGCGCGAAAGACGGACCAGTCCAGCGGAGCGGGTTCGAAGGGTGCGTCGTCGTCTTGCCTTTCTTTGCCGCCAAAGTTGAACCTGCGACATGGATTGTGAGCAGGCCTTCAGTCGATCGACTGGCTTAGGTTCACCCAGGTCTGGCGGGACGGCTACATGAGGCGGACGTGAGTCTCGCTGTTCGCGCCCGCTCCTCTCGCGCTGCTATTGGATCCTCTGTAATGGCAGCGGCTCACTAGTGACCAGCATGCAGGCGCGAGATCGCTTCAGGCGGGACAGGTCCTGGCAACATCGACGAGCTGCACCTCGAGGTCCGCCTTCGTCTCTCTCCTTCCGAACCCACTCTTGATGCGGATCGAACTGCTGACAAGTCTACGATGGAGCAGATTTTGAACGACTTGCTGGAGAAGCCGGAGTACGCCGTGGTGAAGGAGACATGGAATGCAGAGAAGCGGCGCGAGTTGTGCTGGCTTTGGCACAAGCTCGACGGCAAGTCGTCCTTCGCGCTTTTTTGCTTGACGCAAGCTGATACATTCTATGCGCTCCCAGCTTGGCCTGACTCGAAGCCTGGTCTCGAAGCCTTGCGGAACCTGGACCCACCGGTCCTTCTCGCTACGCTCAGCAACGGCACCCTCAGGCTTCTCGTCGACGTGGTGAGCTCGCACAAATGCGCTCTGTCTTTGCGTGTCCCTTGACTGATACGCGCATACTTGTTCCCTCAGACCCGGCACAACTCCCTTCCTCTTGACGCCCACTTCTCCGGCGACCTCCTCTCCTCGTACAAACCCAACCCAAAGATGTACTGCGGCGCCTCAAGCTTGCTCGGCTTCGACGAGGATGCGAGAAAGAGGGGAGAGGTGGCCATGTTTGCGAGCCATATCGACGACTTGAGGGCTGCCAGTCAACATGGGGTGCGTCTCGAGCTCCCCTGAATCGCGCCGGCCGCAAAATCGTTCGGTGAGCTGACGTTGCACCCTCGCTATCTGTCCTCTCCTTCATTCTGCCGACCGCGCATCCTCCTGGACTCGGCAGCTCCGCACGATTTACATTCGTCGAGCAAGTGAAGACGTCGGCATTCCTCACGGAGGTGCAGCAGTCAAACCCAAGAGTGAAGGCGGCGAGGTCGACCTAGTAGTTGACAACGTGGGCGAGCTCGTCAAGTATCTGAGGTAGACCTTCGCAATCCAGACTCCTTCTCTGCTCACTCCGGCTGCGCGCTCGTCTCAGCCGTCTGCACCCCTTCGAGCCCCTGTGACCCTTCCCCCAAGATCGGCGTCGCTGAGCCCGACTTGAGCGAGAGATCGTGCCGGAGATGGGCGTTGAGCGAGGCGAGCGAGTCGGTGCGTGCGAGGTGTTCGAGCGGGCGTTTGGCAGAGTTCGACGAGCCGGCGAACGGTAGCGGACTGTCCATCCTTGAGCAGGCGGGGCGAAGTGAGAGGAAGTCGAGGAGAGAGAGCAACCTCGCAGCGCGACGCAAGAGGGAAAGACGGCGAAGACGACTTGCAGGGCTTCCTCTCGAGCTAGCAGTAGAGAACGATGCGGGAAGTGTGATTTACGATGCGAAAGAGAGAGAGGGGAGAGCGGGAAACGAGGTTGCGACCACATCAAAACGAACTTCCTCCTTCATGCTTTTCTCCGGCAGACTGCTCCATTCCCTCCTACAGCTCGTCGTGGTACCCACCGGACGACGACGACGAGTCACCACCCGCGCCGCTCGAGTAAACCTTGGCCGTGATAGGCGCCACAGCAGCCTGAAGCTGCTCGCGCTGCTCGTCAAAGTCCTCGGCGGTGGCGGTCGCGCCCTCGCTGTCGATCCAGTCCTGCACCTTCTTGATCTCGGCCTCGATCGTCTTCTTGTCTGACGAGTCGAGCTTGCCGCCGAGTCCTTCAGAGTCGGACAGCTGGGCCTTGAGAGAGTATGCGCTGCGAGACGTGCGAGAATGCGGTCAGGACGGGCTGGGAACAACAGTACGTGCGGAATGACCCACAAACTTTCGAGGGCGTTGCGAGACTCGACCTTCTTCTTCAGAAGCTCGTCTTCCTCGGCAAACTTCTCAGCGTCCTGGACCATCCCTGCGAGCAGATCCGCCTTAGCCTTCCGGGTCTGAACGATTCGGGCGTCGTGTGCTCACGGTCAATCTCCTCCTGCGACAGGCGGACCTTGTCATCCTGGACGGCCCGCGAACGATTCGGTCTTGCTGGTTCCCATGCCGGCGGCTGAGACCTTCACGATGCAGTAGCCGGAGCATGAATGAGCAGTCCACAGACAATCAACGAAAATTGCCGGAGGATAGCGCGAGACAAGCCAGGGAGGAGGGGAACGCAGCGAACGATAGCAGGGTAGAGCGCGCAATGAGTGTTACCGTAAATAAGTTGCGCGGCCTAGCCAGCGGATCACATGGTCAATGCTGTCAACAGAATAGAGAGCTGGAGCAGCACGAGCGCAAACGAAGCAAGTGAGCGAGCCGAACAAGAGAGGACTGCGCCCTTCGCAAGCAGATTGTGCCGGCTCAGACGTCGTCTGCGATGCGGATGAGCACAGCAGCGACCTATTGTGACCCATGTCGATGCATTGCAGCCCTTCTTGCAGTGAAACTACGAGGCCAGCAGACTGCCCGCTGCTCCTGTCCGCCGCTCGTTCCTCCCGCTCGTCAGCCGCAAATCGCGCAAAAGAGGGTGCTCGGCGACAAGATCGGCGCACGGAAGCGAGCAGCGGGTCGGGGAGCAGATCAACGATCGAGCGGGAGGAGAGCAAACGCGAGGGCGCGTCGATGTTGACTGACGAGGAGAGGAGGTGCGGTGAGGAGGTGAGGCTGCGCTGGGCGAGTTACCCAGCCTTCGGTGCAGCTTTGACAGTCCCCAGCACACTCGCACAGCGGTCGAAGCGGCATCGCAAGTTGTGACGAGCCTCGGTGGCCGTTGGTGAGCGGGAAGGACGCGGTGTCCAACTCGACGACGAGTGGCTCGTTGTGCAGCGGGTGAGCGTGTCGGCGGATCAATGTGCGTGTGTGGGCCTGTCGAGCGTGTCACTCAAGCCCACGAGCGAGTGCTGAGCCGAGTGAGTCTGCACGCGACGAGGCGCCTTCGCTCGAAAGAGGGTCGTCAACCTCTGCCGCACCGTCCTCGCACCAGGCAGACTCGCTCAGACCGCCAGCTGGTCAACTCGAGACTCAGCTACACCATCAGCTTGCTCGCAGCTCGACCCACCCGCTACAGCCAGCGCGAGCGAGGTCAGTCCGGACCCATCTCACGAACCCGCGCACACCCTGCATCCGCCCTCGCTCGACCTCCGTGAGCAGTGCAGCACACTTGGTGAGTGTTTACAGGGCGCGAACAACGGGCCAGGCAGACGAGCGAGGCGGACGAGGCGCTGAGAGGGCCGGAAACGGGGTCGTCGGGAGGCGATGCACTCGATGGACAGGACGGTGAGGGCTCGCGGCGGCTTCGCGGGCCTCGCTCGAGCTGGGAGACGGCTCTGCACGGCTGTTCAAGCAGCCTGACGGGCGGGCAGGGCCTTTGGGAGTTGCGGGTCGCCTTGCATGCCGGACATGTCTCCATTTCTCCCGGATGGACGCGCCGGCTGACATTCCTCTCCTCCCCTCGTCTGCCCTACTCGACCGCCTATCGCATTCCTATCGTCACCTGCCACTCCCCTTGCCCCCCTCGACTCGCTTCGACGCGTCCCCGCTCGCCTGACCCGCCGACGTTCCGCCCGTCCTCGCATTCTTCCTTGATCCCATCGTTCCCTCTTTCGCCTGCGCGAAGACAGCGACAAGCAGAGAATTCGCTAAGGCCCCAGCGACGAACGCCCGATTCGACGCGACAGGAACGAGGGTTGTCGCAAGCAGCCTCCTGAGCTGCACCTCCTGTCCTCGTCGTCTCCTATCCGAGACGACCTCGTCAGCGCAAGGTTTGAGCGCAGATCGGAGTGCACCGGACACCATGGTCTGCTGCATCTCGCGCGCCGTTCGGTCGAATTGTCGGTGACTGACCTTTCCTTTGCTCAGGCTTCCACCGTCGCACCGACGCTGCCACCAGCCGCGCGTCTTTCCGAGTTCACCGCCTTCTTCGACGCTTTGTCGTCGATCTCGAGCGAAGACAGGGAACCGGACGCAACGACTGCCTCCCGCTGCCCTCCCTCGCCTCAACAGTCTCTTTCCCCCGAATCGCCCAAGTTCAAGTCGGACACCTCCTTCCCTCGCGCCCGCTCCGACTCGCTGCACCAAGGCTCGACACAAGCGGGTCCATCTGGACAACACCGCAGCCTCAGCCCGCCGCCACCTCTCCCTTCGGGTCCTTCGACTCCCCTCTCAGCAGCGCCAACCGACTACTTCAGCTCCTTCCTCTACTCGTCCACCTCTTCCTCCGCCGCTTCCTCCCTACATCCCATGTCCGCAACAGCCGACTCCTCCACCGCTGCACCAATCAAGTCCGTCTCGGTCCCTCACCACTCGAAGCAAGGCAAGCTCTGCCTGTTCGCTTGCCGCGTCGTGCCGGATCTTGGACCTGCTGCGGCGGTGCCGAGGGGACATGCGAGGAGGGGCAGTTTGGGAAAGATGAGGATGGCCGGACAGGACGAGCCGCATACGGTTTGGAGGACTTGGCAGGAATTTGTCGAGTTCAGCGCGAGGTGCGTTCCTTCGCTCTCTATCTCACCAACTGCATGGCTGACGCAGTGTTGCAGCTTGACCGCCGCTTTCCCCGACGACCGCCTCAATCCCGCCTCTCCAACGACTCTCGCTCCTCCAGTCCCGCGCCTGTCGAAGAAGGTCTCGCTCTTCGTCACTCGCTCAACGCACGCGCAACGACAGAACGAGCTCGACGCCTTTTGCCAGCGGCTCTTCGACATGCCAGCCGAGGTCAAGCAGTCGATGCTCGTCCGCGAGTTCTTCCGTTTCCGCCCCGACGACCGCCTCGGCCTGCCTAGCAGCGGGACACACAGCGCCGCGTCGTCTCGCAGCGCGCTCAACTCGCCCGCTCAGTTCGAGTCGGCTTTCGACGCCCCGCCTATCCCTGCATGGCTCGCTGCCGGCGACCCGGAGAACGACCTCGCCTTCAACGACGAGACCATCAAAGCGACAAACCCTCGCATGCTCCGTCCCAAACTCGCCATCAAGATCTCAAGCCCGAATCTGCGAGGAACCGTCCGCGGATTCGGAAGGGACGACGAGTCGAGCTTCCTCTCGCCCATCAGCGGCGTGTCGAACAAAGCTGGCGCAGGCCTCCTGCGACACTTTGAACCGCAGGACGCGCTCTCGAGGGCGGACAGCTCGTTTTCGATGGCGACTATGTCGAGCGCGCGTACGATCACCCCGTCACCTGTTGCGCCTGTCCCGACCGTCGCCGCAGGCAGCATGGCGCGGACGATCCGCAAGAAGGCCTCGGGCGGACTGCGACACATCCGCTCGCTTGGCGACTTGCGGTCGAGCAACAAGAAGGTGACTGCGATTGACGAGCCCGTCCCAGCGCTGCCAGCGTTCCCGCCGCTCCCGCCTGCCCCCTCGCCCTCGATGTCGCCCTCGATGGAACGCGCTGCGACCCAGCCACTGCCTGGACCGCACTTCCAGGCGCCTATCTCGTCCAGCTCGAGTCGCCGCCCTTCAGCCGGTCTTCCCTCTCCCTCGGCTCGCGGTCCGTACATGGCCCAGACGGCGCCGGCAAGGGAGAACATGCGACACGCTCGCGGCTCCAAGTCGTCGATTTCGTCGTTCGAGGACCTCTGGGGCACGGCCTTCCCCTCGACGTTCCGCCAGACACCCTCCGGTCGCGTCGAGTGCGTCCGAACGGACGAGTTTGGCCGCCCTGTGAACGGCACAAAGCGGTTGTCGGGCGTCGGCGTACCTGCGCGAACCAACTCGTTTGGTCACGCTTCGACTGTCCGGCCGCCGATGTACCGCCACGGCCGGCACACCTCGACCACCTCGGTCTCGAGCATCGACTCGGCTCGCTCGGGCGGCTCGTCGCCGTCCATGTCCATGACCATGTCGAGGTCGCGCAGCAGCGGTGGGAGCGAGATGTGCCCTACCCCACCGACGCCGGCGATGGAGTGGTCTGCCTCGAAGAGCTCGAACGAGGGCGGTCATTCGAAGGACAAGGTCATCGCCGGGAAGTACTACGTCGAGAACGGCGTCTTGCTGGAGAACAACATGGTTCCACCGCCTCCATTCTTCGTGCGCTCGCAGTCTTCGTCCCTCGTCTCTACCGCAAGCTGACCTTCCCAACCTGCGTGCAGCCTGTCCCGCCACCTATGCAGTTCGCCTACTCGCAGGACGGCCTTCCTCACACGCCCCGCTCGTCCGCGTCGTCGACCCACCGCACCGCGCTGCAGAATCACGCCCGCAAGTCAACTGGCGAACCTGTCCCGCCGACTCCTCGCTCGCGCAGCGGCTCGATGATCTCATCTCGCCGTGTTCCCATCCTTAGCCAGTCGTCGCTGGACCCGATCTTGTCGAGCCCGGCGGGATCATCGAACGCCTCGTCGCCATGTACGGTCGGCGGCTCGAACGGGGGCAGCTGGACATTCAAGCTTCTCCACCCTCAGGAGAACGTCCTCCTGCGCGTCTCGCGCGCTTCGCTCGTCGGCGACAAGCTCGACATCGAGCAGCTTCGCCAGGACGTCGTTGCCAAGTTCAAGGCGAGCGGCGTCACCCTTCCTGGCGGCGACGGCGAATGTGCGGGCGAATGGGGTCTTGCTTGGACGCCTCGACCGACCTCCGGCGCGGGAGCGATGGGTACGAAACTCATCATCTCGCAAGGGGACCTAGACGCCTGCTTGCAGGAGCACCAGGACGCTGTTGCCGCCGGTGGACTCGCCAGCAAGATCGTCCTCAAGGTCATCTGCTGAGTGCGCCGCTTCCTTCTTTCGCCTTTCTTCTATCTCTCTTCCGGGACACTCTTCTCGTCTGTATCACCCTCACGAACCCCCGCGTCGCTTGTTGTCGTTCTTCATACCACCACCTCACGCCTGCCTCACGTCTCACGACTTCTTCCCACGAACTTCACGACGGACTTTTGCCGTCCATCTCTCGCTCTGTAGCTTGCATAGCATACAACCCGCTGTAGTACAGTCAATCACGATGACCTCGTGGTCCTCCTCCTCGCCGGCCAACCTCCTCCTCCTCCCTTTTGATCACGCTCTCGCTCATCTGGTGCTGCTTCGCGCCGCCCGTCTCTGCCGCTGCTGCTCTCTCGCCACGCTCGTATGAGCTCGCATGGGCGCGCGGCCGTCGTCTACTTCGAGCGCGATCGACCTGCCCAAGGCGGAAGCAGACCCCGCCCTTCGCCTCGACCCGCTTGCCTGCTGGGGATGGCCTCTGCGAGCTTCATGCCGCCGCCAGCGCCTAGACTGATCGCTCCACGAGGCGCCGTCCGCTCCACCACCGCCTGCCGACCGTGCATTGTTCTCATCTCGTCGCTCTCGACGCTGCCGTCGCTTGCTGGCCTGTCGGGGCACGCTGAACGTGCTGCTTGCCAGACGAGGAGGCTGCTAGGCTTAACCGATCTTACCCACGCTCGTTCACCGGCACAGCAGCGACCACTTCCTCCTCCTCCTCGACTGCTCCCCTCGGAAGGCCCCACCCTCAGCTCAAGTCGACTCGGCAAATATTCCTCTGCACTCAAAACACCCACACAGTGCTCTCGTACACGCTGCACGTTCTCCCTCGGCCGGTCCGTCTCGTCCTAACGTCCTCGCCAGCCTCGCGCTTCCTAGAACACCATGGCCAGGGATCGTCTTGCGGCTATCAGGGTGCGTTCAGATCTCAGTAGCAGGCTGCTCGCTCGGACTAACCGACCCTTTGGCAGGCCCAGCAAGCCCAGCGGTATGCTCAGCCTCCCTCGGCACCGGAACAATCGAGTCGAGGCGGCCATTCCTGGGCATTCAGCGACCCCTACTACGCTTCCGAACCACAAGACTTTAATCCTTTAGCGGAAGAACAAGAGCGGCCCTAGCGGGACCCGCCGAGAGGACTTGCAGGCTGGAACGCCGATTACTCGATGGCGGGCGACGATTCAGGCGGGGGCGGGACGGTCGTCTACAGGACGCAGTCATCACACGGGCGCTCCAACTCTGCCGGCCGTGATGCGGGTCGACGACAGTACGGATCTCAACCCGAGAACGTCCCGCCGCCCGTTCCCTCCTACAATACCGGCCCTCCCATCGACTTTACCAGCGCACCTGTCTCGCCCGATGTCGCACAGTACGTTAACACTCCGCCTGACATCGCTCCTCCGCGCGACTTCGACCCGAACGACAGCCGGTCTCGCTACGCCAGCAATTACTCGCCTAACTACATGACGCCTGATCAGCAAAGGCGCCACGAGACGCAGTATATTCCGACCAACCCTCGGATGACTCGTCAGCGGAGTATCTCTGGCGGTCCACCGGCTCACGAACGCAAGACGAGTCTCATCCCGATCGCGCCTGTGCCGCCTCGCCAGGCGACAGGCGGGCTGGGCGTCTCTTACGGCGACCAGTACCGGTCGGAGAAGGCGAGCACGGTCGACCTGGTCGAGCGGGACGACAGCTTTGAACGGCGAAGCACTTCGGTCAAGAAGGGCGGGGCGACGGTGTCGAAGGGCGAGGTGCCGTTCGAGGAGATGGGCGAGTTCTTCCAGGAGGCGCGCTCCCTTTGACCCCAAGTCTCACGACTCGCATGACTGACAGTCAGGCCCGCAGATCTCGGACCTCCAGCAAGCCGTGCGAGAAGCGAACGGCTCGATCCAAGCGATTGGCGACCTACACTCTCGCATGCTCTCCATGCCATCGTCCGAGGACGCCATGGCGATCGAGCTCAAGTCTCAACTCGACTCGACAACCGCCACGACCCGCGCGCTCTTCACCTCGCTCAAGAACCGCTTGCAAGTCCTGCAGCAGGGAAACGCCAACCTCCGCGCGATGATCCCGCTCGGCCAGTCGCTGTACAACCTCTCGCTGCAGGACATCGATGTGCGCGAACAGCAGGTTGGCGCACTGAAGGAACGGTTCAAGGATGCGATCCAGCGCTACACGGAGGAGGAGAAGCAAAATCGCGCGAAGCAGCGGGCCAGGCTCGAGCGGCAGGTCAAGGTCGTCAACCCGAACCTCGATCCGGCAGAACTGCAGGAGATTGTCAAGAAGGCGGAGGAGGGTGACGGCGCGATGTTCACGCAGGCTGTACGTTCGCTCTTCTTCACCGTCTTCGCGCTCGACCTGACTCGCTTTGCTCTCGCGCAGCTGCAGACGAACAATTATCGGTCGCATGCGGCGAGAGGAGCGCTGCGGGAGGTGCAGAACCGCGCGGCAGAGTTGGCTCGTATCGAGCAGACGATCATCGAGCTCGCACAGCTCTTCCAGGATGTGCGTTCCATCCTGTACTTGCTATGGCTTGTTCTTGCTGACGATGGTTTGACAGATGGCGGTCATGGTCGAGGCGCAAGACGTTGCCATCGTGAAGATCGAGCAGAACGCCGTCCTCGCCGAGACAGACATGGAGAACGGCCTCGAGAACGTGCAGAAGGCGGTTGTGCATGCGCGCAACTACCGCAAGTACCGTTGGTGGTGCTTCGGGTTCATCGTCGTGATCATCGTGCGTCCTCTCTTCCCCTCTTCCTCCTCGGCGATTGCGGGCGCCCCCAGGCGACTCCTGCGACTGACTTGCCACCTTGCCACATTCCTCGACAGATCATCGTGCTTGTCGTCCTCTGCGTCGAGCTCATCCCGCCAGCGATCCGAGCCGCCCAGAACGATCGCAACGCTCGCCAGTCTCGAAGCAGCGCATCTGCCGCCCGAGCTGCAGCCACATCACCCGCCGTCCAGTCTCTCATCGCGTCGTCTTCCGTTGCGCCGAGTACTGCATCCACCACAGCCGCGCCAGTCTCGACGAGCGCCGCATCGGGTTCGTCCAGCTTCATGGCGTCGGCGGCGGCGCCATCCTCATCAAATCCAGCATCCGCCTCAGCTACAGCGTCGTCCACAAGCTTGTCTTGAGCGAGCAGTGAGTCGCGGCGTCAACTGGAAGGCGTGGGTGGACGCACCTTTTGCAACCCCTCGTCGACCTTCTCATCCTCGTCTACTCTCTCGCGCGCTCCCTCTTCGCGTTCCGTACCTCGCCGTTCTCTTAGACGTTGCATTCAGTATCCTTGCATCCATGCAGCGTTTCAGTATGTCCATCCAGCGAGGCGTGCCAGCGTGCAGCGAGTTGCCAACTTCTTCGCTTCTTTCCCTTGCGTCTCCCTCGTCTCGTCCCGACTTTGCGCTCGTCTGAGCTGCTGAACACGATGCACTCACGCTTGACACCAATATTCCTCCTTCACCCTGTCTGCTCGCACCCGACGGCTCGGCTGGCGGTCGGCCTCCACCAGCAGGCTCTCGCTCGCTCCTCGCACTCGCTCGTGCTGCTTCCTGCTCGATACACTCGCTTGACAGCTTCTCGTGACCCTACAAACAGCTACACACCCCTACAGTGCGTCCACATTCTTTGCACCCCGCTCCTCGCCCTTGTCCCCACGCGTCATCGTTGACCGTTCGCTCGTCCTCGCCCAAGCAGTATACAGAAATGTAGGTCATGCTAGCACTTCGACGTGCTCTGCAGAAACTGACTAGTACTGTCCCGCAGGTCGCACCCTTCGGATGGCCTCCCTCGCCCGACCCCTCAGCTCCCTGAGAGCATGCTCGAGTGTGTTCGGCCCGCCTGGCGTCTCGCAGATCTCGCCAGCTGACGAGGACGACCCACAGGATGCTCTCGATGAAGGGCAAGGTCTCGATCGTCACTGGCGGTTCCGGCGGAATCGGTTTCGCGGCCGCAGAGGGTCTCGCAGAGATGGGCGGAGACATCGCGCTCGCGTACCGGTCGGCGGAGGGCATGGACAAGCGCGCGGAGGACCTTGCGAAGAAGTTTGGCGTCAAGGTCAAGGCGTACAAATGCGATGTCGCCGACTACGACGAGGTCACCAAGCTTGTCAACGATGTCAAGAGTGACTTTGGCCGTGTCGACGTCTTCATTGCCAACGTGCGTGGTCTCCAATTGTCCCTGTGGCGCAGATACTGACCGTAAATCGCTCCACAGGCTGGAATGGTGCGCCGAAGCCGACAAACCCTTCCTCTCGCTTCCCTTCTTGACTTCCATCCTCTACGCAGGGCGGATCCGGCCGCATCAAAGACCTCTCGCTCGAGCAATGGCGCAAGATCCAGGCCGTCAACTACGACTCGGTCTTCTACGCCATGAAGGCGGTCGGACCCATCTTCGAGGCGCAGGGCTCGGGCAGCTTCATCGCGACTACCTCGATCTCGGCACACATCGTCAACGTTCCTCTCGACCAGGTGAGCCGGACCCTCATAAGGAGAGATCAATTTGAGCTGACGGTCGAGTCTTCCAGTCCGCCTACAATGCCTCGAAGGCTGCCGTCGTCCACCTCTGCAAGTCGGTCGCGCGCGACTGGCGCCTCTTCGCTCGCGTCAACACCATCTCGCCTGGGTGAGTGCGAGTCCACCCCGAAGAAGCGGTCCTGGGCTGACGCTACCGACTCGCAGCTTCTTCGACACGGCCATGGGCGCAGCTCCCGAAGTCGCCGACACCGGTAAGCTGCCGAATTCCTCACCGCACAACACATAGACGCAGAATGAGCGTGTTCGCGCTGCCTGATCGCTGACATCGCCTTCTCGCGCAGTGTACCGCTACGCTGTCCTCGGTCGCCAGGGTGACCCCAAGGAGCTCAAGGGCGCCTTCTTGCTTCTCGCCAGTCAGGCAGGCTCGTTCATCACCGGCTCGGATTACCTCGTTGACGGTGCGCAGCTATCCAGGCTCTCCTGACTCGCAACTCTGGCTGACCTTCTCTTCCCTCAGGCGGCTACACCCTCTCGTAAACCTTATTCGGGCTGCAGATACCCCCTTCCACTCTCGATCTCGCAATGAAAAAGCCGTCAAAGAGTCCACAGAATGCAGGTTGCAGCGAGAAAGGCAGAGCTACTCAGTCCCGCCTTGTCGACCGGCGACGGGCGCGGTCTCCGTCGGCTTCCTCCTCGGCCTTGCGTTTCCTGCGAGACGAGAGTGTGAGCAATCAATCGAACGAGAGAGCGAGAAGCTGCGCACCTGGACTCGTCGTGACCGGGAAGATCGTCCTCGTCGTCGCTCCAGTGCGTCCTCCGCTTCCTGCTGCCTTCAGGCGAGTACGTTGCGCCCCTCGACTTGTAGTCGTCGTCCTCGTCGTCTCGGCGACTGCGACGCGAGCTCCGTCCCTCCTCCTCGCGGTCCTTCGCTCCGCGGATCCGCAAGCCAGGCGAGGCAGAGCGGTCCTGGTCGGCCTTGTCGGGGAAAAAGTCGGACATGCCGCGCTTCTTGTCCCTGCCGTCGTCATCATCGCGGCGCGACGAGCTCCGGCGGTCATCGTCGTCATCCCGCCTCGACGAGCGCCTGCTGCTCGTGCGAGTCCCGTCCCGCTCCCTCTCCCGCTCTCTCTCCCGCTCGCGCTCGAAAGCCCTGTCGCGCGACCGCTCACGGCTCCTCGCCGAACGCTCGCGGCTCCTCTCCCGCTCGTAACGACTGTCCCGCCGCGAGCCGCGCTCGTACTCGGGCGAATCGCGCCTCGAGCGAGTCCGCGCTGGCGAGCGATCGTAGTCATCGCCTCCGCCGCCGTAGTCGAGCCCTTCGGACGGGCTGCCAGCGTCGCCGAAGCGGTCTTTGTCGCGGTACGAGCGAGCGCCACCGCGACTTCCGCTCGCACCAGCGTTGCGAGGGCCAGTAGGGACGGCGGTGGAGAGCGCGCGAGGTCCGGTAGGGACAGCTGCGGCAGGACCAGTCGGAACGGCGGCAGCAGCTCCTCGCCCGCGACCCATCGCCGCTGGTCCAGCGGGAAGACCGCCTCGCATGCCCATCGGTCCCATCGGCAGTCCACGACCGCGTGCGGCACCGACACCAACGCCTCGACCTCGCGCGGCGAGAGCGGCGGGGGCGAAGGCAGGGTTCATCGCGTCCTGCAGGAAGCGACCTGTCAAGCCTTTGATGCAAGCGAAACGCGGGAAGGACGTACAGGTCCGAGACCAGCGATGTCGCCAGACTGAATGTCCTCCTGATCGAAAGCAGCGGGTGTAGCCGATTCGTCACCATGTCGTGAGGGCGTGCCGGGCTCCTCTATGGGCAGAAGAGGATTAGCTGCGACCGGTCGCCGAGAAGGATCGGCAGGACCTACGCTTGATCTCCTCTTTCGCGCCCACTCCGTCGTGCTCGCCTCCTGCGCCGTTCATGGCGGCAGGTCCAGCCGGGGCTTGAGGCGGCATTGGCGTCATCCCGTTCATGCCAGGCATGCCCATTCCTCCCATCCCCGCCGCAGCGCCGGGCGGCATACCACCCATCGCCGCCATCTGCTGCGCCATCGCCGGGTTCATTCCTCCCATGGGGCCCATCGGACCACCCATCCCTGCGGCAGCCATCATGCTCATCTGCGCCATCTGAGCCATCTGAGCGGGAGGAGGCATCGTGCCAGGCTGGAAGCCCATGATGGTCGCCATCAGCAGCGTCTTGTTCTCGGGGGAGAGCTCCGCCCATGCTTGAGCGATGTTGCCAGAAGCGAAGCCCTGCGCAAGCAACGAAAGTTAGCGAGAACTGGAGGTTCTGAGGGAGCTGCGACATACGATGAACGGGTTCGCGCTTGAACTCTCGCTGCCCCGCAGCTCGCGCTGCTTGCGAACATAGTTCTTCCACGTCGCCTCGTTCATTCCGTAGTTGAAGTAGTCGGCCATGTTCGCACCCGGCTTCCGCCACGGCTTGTCCTCGAGCGCGTCGATGTCGACATCGAAGATATCGTTGCCGTTGACATCCTTGTGCACGGCGTTGACGTCGAAAGTCGGCGTCGCGCTCGGTGTGAGCTCGAGAGGCTTAAGCGACCCGCGCGGGACGAGTTCTGCGACGGGCGCTTTGAGCGGCGTGCCATCCGCTTCTGTCGGGACGTCGGGCTGAGGAGTACCATCAACCGCACCAGCAGCGAGGATTGCGGTCGAGGTCTGGTCGGTGGCAGTCGCCTCAGGCTGGGGAAGGGAAGGCGGGCCGACCGATGTTGACGACGTTGCCTTGGCTACGCCAGGCCGGTCGAGCGGGGCGTACTCGGTCGTGGCAGATGGCGCAGGTGCGGTGGCGGCTGCGGCAAGGTCGAATACAAATCAGCTGAAAGGACGGATTGGAGGTTCGAACGAGACGAACCTTTTTGAGGAGATGCAGCGACGGGGGCTGCAGAACGGCGTGGCCTACGTTAGAGAACCGTCAGTGATACGCCTTGTCGCGAAAACCCCAGTCAAGACGCACGCAGGAGTCGGAGCAACACCTTCGCCGTCGAGGATGATTTCGAGGTCCTGGAGGAGAAACGGAATGGTCAGCAAGCGTGCTGCGACCTCACTTCCCGAGCGAGACACGCACATCGTCACTCTCCTCGTCCTCTTCGTCGCCCTCCTCGTCACCAGCGTCTCCGCCGTCTTGCGCTGGAGGTGCTGTGGGGGCAGTCGTGCTGGCGGGCGGGTCGAGGGTCAGCTTGCCGCGCGCTCGCGAGCACGAGTACAACGTACGCCTGTCCACCTCCCAGTCCACCTGCAGCTGCGCGCAGAGCATGCGGTGAGCGTGAGTTGCTTTGAGCGATGGAAACGCGAAACGCACGGGGAGGAGCTGCATCGGCCGTGCCTTCGCCGTAGAGGAAAGCCTCGTCGTCGTCAATGTCCATGGCCGAGCTAGCAAGCAGAACGGCGCAGTCTGAGCGGAGTGAGCGGTGTCGACTTGGCCAACCTCCTCGAGGACGAGGTCAATCCACTTCCACTCTCGCTGTCTCGCGCGAGACCCGCTTACTAGAGCTCGCTGGGACGATGCAGACACCAGCTTTCACCGCAGACGACTCGCCGTCCTTCCGCCGGTCTTTCGAGCGCTGGAGGGCAACCCTCTCCTCCTTCTCTCCGGCTTCATCGCTGCGCTGCGACACACAGACTGCGTGGGCGGAAGGGACTGGACTGCCTGAAATGGCGAACGAGGGCAAGACGCAGGCAGAGCTCGAACAGGAGGCGAAGGACTGCAAGCGGTGTCAGAAGTGGAGGGACGAACTCACTCGAGACAGTGCGTCCGTTCATTCTTGCTGTTTGCAAACTCAGCAGTCATGAAGAGACTGTTGTGGACGCCGTCTACGCCTCGTCCCGAACTGATGGTCTTCCCCTCGCAGGTCCCATCGTCCGCTTCCTCCTTACCCACATCTCGCTCCTCCCTCCTCCACCAGACGCCCCTCTCGCTCCACTCGAAGGCTCACAGACTCCCCATCTCCCCCTCCCTATCACCTGCTCGCCTTGTCCACCCACCATGGCTGGAGGATACGCCTCAGGACTCGGCGTCCTCCTCTGCCAGAACCGCTTCATGAGCCGGAAACACATGGAGGATGCTCTGTCGCACGAGCTCATCCACGCGTGGGACGAGCGACGATTCAAGCCGAAGGGACAATGGGGCGAGGACTTGCGGGCGCATGCTTGTACCGAGGTGCGTTCCCTTCCATCCGCTGCACGCTCTCTCGCCTCCTATTCCCGCTCATTTCGAGCATATGTCCTACAGATCCGCGCGGAGAACCTTAGCGGCGACTGTCGACTTGGGCGCGAGTTCACCCGACGGAATTGGGCGTTCACGAAGCAGCATCAGGCGTGCGTTCGGCGACGAGCGATCCTCTCGGTTGCCGCGAACCCAAACTGCAAGAGCCGAGAAGAGGCAGAGCGGGTGGTCAACGAGGTGTTCGACAGCTGCTTCCCTGACACGCGGCCGTTCGACGAGGTGCGTTACTTGGCCGCTCTCCTTCTGGTCGAGCTCGTTGGCTGACGGCGCTCCCGCTTCTGCGCAGATCTACTGAGAGCCTGTTGTTGTCTCTTGCAATCCACTGCATCACCATTCTCAAAGAGCGTGCGCCAACGAAGTTGCGAGTTTCGAAGAAAGCTGTCCGGCATCATCACCTCCTTCGCTGGCGCTAAGCTCCTCGTAGACTCTCTTGTGTGCACGTGTCGGACAGCTTGTCGTCATCCTTGGCGGCGCAGAAATTAGTCGAATCAGTTCGAACACCTCCTCGTCGTCCCCTCCTCCTCCTGGCTTCCTCCCTCATCCCGCTACAGCTTGTACCGGCTTATTGACTGTCTCTAGCTGCTACAAATGGCACCCACACACCCCGAACTCCTTTGGGCGCAGCGCTCGTGCGTCTCACCCACTTCCACACCCCTCATCGCACCCACCGCTGACCTCGCCCTCTCGTCGTCGCAACAGCTCAGAGACTGACCCTGAGCGCAACATCATCTACCTGACCATCAACGCGCCCGAACTCGACCCGAGCTACACCCTCTCGGTCGACGGCAACAAGCTCAAGTTCGAGGGCAAGTCCCGCGAGGTTGCGTCAAAGGGTACCGCCACGACGCTCGATGCGAAGGACTACGCTCTCGACCTCGAGCTGTTCGATGAGGTTGAGGAGGCGAGGCGCGGCTTGACGGGCAAGGGTGTCCAGGTCGTCCTCAAGAAGAAGAAGGCGCAGGAGGAGTATTGGCCTCGTCTCCTCAAGGAGAAGGGCAAGAACTCGCGCATCCAGACCGACTGGTCCAAGTGGGTTGACGAGGACGAGCAGGACGAGGCCGCGGCTGCCGACGTGAGTTGCGGACGCTTCCTTTTCCTTAAACTCACTCTCGCTGACCCTCGTCTCGCTTGCCAGGACGACTTTGGCATGGGCGGTGGCGGCATGCCCGACATGGGCGCCATGGGCGGTATGGGCGGCATGCCTGGAATGGGCGGAATGGGCGGCATGCCCGGAATGGGTGGAATGGGCGGCGGAGCAGGCGGCATGGACTTTGCAAGCATGATGGGCGGTGGCGCTGGAGGCGCTGGCGGTATGGTAAGTGTTCGTGCGCCTTCGTCTCACGTCCGTACGCTGACAAGGCTCGCACGTAGGACTTTGCGAAGATGCTGGAGCAGATGCAGGCGGCCGGCATCGGCGGCGGCGAGGCGGGACTTGGCGGCGCAGAGGGTGGCGAGGACTCGTCCGACGACGAGGGAGTGAGTCCTGCATTTTTCCCGCCGAAAGAGACATGAACTGACGCGGACGTCCTCACAGCCCCCTCCTCTCGAGGAGGCATAAAGCGATCTCTTCGATACCCGTCGTCTCCTCGCATTCTCGTAGCAGCAAAGTAGGCTCAGCAGTTCTTGCAGCACTCAAAGGAAAAGCAGTAACCGCACATAACTCTGCGTTCGCACAACGAGAGGAACCGAGATAGACTTTTCGGCAAGAAAGGGAACCAACGCCTCTACAACAAACGACCCACGAACAGGACCGCCACCCGCTCAGGCAAGAGCCGACTTGACGCGCTCGAGCTTGAGCTCCAGCTCGCGAATGACGGCGTCCTTCTCCGCCAAGTCGGCCCTCAGCTGCTCGTTCTCCTCCCGAAGAGCCGCAACCTCGCCGTCGTCCTTCGACCCGCCGTTCGACGTCGCGGAGGTGCCGTTGGTTGCGGGCGCTTGTGGCGGAGGAGTCGCAGCGCGAGGTGCGGCAGCGACAGGTGCAGGCACAGGCGGAGGAGGAGAGGCAGCACGCGGAGGAGTCGCAGCCTTGGGGGCAGGTGCCGCTTTCTCGACGGGAGCAGGGGCAGGGGCAGCGGCGGGCGCGGCGGCCGGAGCAGCAGTCGGCTTGTACGGCTTGACCGGCTCGGACGACGAGGTCGTCTTCCGCGTCTCCATGTCGACCATGATCGGGTTGGAAGACTTGCCGCCGAACCAGTCGGCAGCGGAGAGGGCGGGCTGGTCGGATGGCGCAGGAGGGAAAAGGTCCGCCTGGAACGCCTCAGACTGCGAGCAACGAGATGAGTTAATTCACCACCCGACAAGCGCCTTCGACTAGGATTAGCGTACCTTGCGCGGCACGATGAACGAGACCGGCTCAATGGTTGTGCCGACAGCTTTGTACGCGCGGGCGATCTCGTTCTCCTCGACGTCGACGGCGTGCGCGGGCGCGAAGCACATGCCGCGCTGAGGCTGCGAGCTGCCGTAGTCGGAGCTGCGGGAGAAGATGGAATCAGTGAAGGCTAAGTGACGGGCAGAGTGGCAGACGCACAGGTAGAAGAGCTCGTCGTTGTCGTACTCGTACATGCGGACGTTGCCGTCTCTGCGAGAGCGCACTGGTCAGATTCTGCTTGCCAGCACGGTTCCAAAGCCCAGACTCACCCCTTGCCAGCAAGGAAGAGGACGCTGCGTGAAGTGAGGAGTCAGCGACTGCTGCAGACGAGAGTAACGCTTCTACGCACTTGGTCCCGGCGCTGAAGAACGGCATGAGCATGCCCGAGCTCTGGTCGATGTTCATCTGCTTAATCGGGCCCTTGTTGAGCTCCCTCGCGTCCCAGAGGAAGAGCTGCCGGTCGCTCGTCCGCGAGAAGCCCGTCGTGACGATCCGGTCCTGGTTGCCGAGGTGGAGGACCCGCGAGCCCTTGACGCCCGAGTGCGAGTCGACGACCGTCACGGCAGCCGAGCCAGCGCGCGGGTCGAAGATGCGGAGCTTCTTGTCCTTGCAGCCGGTAGCGTACGTCGAGCCTGTCCAGTCCCAGTCGATCGACTGGACCATATCGGCATGCGTCTCGCTCTGATAACTCGATTTCTGCGCCTCGAGGTCCCAGATCTTGACGTCGGTGCTGGCCGTCGCGAGAACGCCCTGCGCGACCGGGTTGAACTTGACGTGACCAGCTTTGCGGCCGTGAGCGTTCTCGCGCCAGAGAGGCTCCATGTCGGGCAAGTCCTTGCGGTCGCGGTTCCATGCATCACGGATGATCTGGTCGTCCACGCGAGTGAGGGCAACTTTGCCGTCCTCACCGACCGAAGCGACAAGCTCGTTATCGAAGGGGGAGAAGGCGGTGTCGAGAACGGGAGCGGTATGCGCGCGAACGAGAGGGAAGATGTCGGGGAGCTTGCCAGTGATGTCGAGCGGCGTGACGACGTAGGCTCCACCGCCCGAAGCCTGCCAGTTGACCGCGAGGTACTTGTCCGACGCGGAGACGAGGTTCGTGTCGAACGCGCTGGCGCCTTTCGAGTGCTCAAAGTCAGCGAGGAAACTCGGAATGGGCAGCAACGGTGCTACGTACTGATCTTGATGTTGTCGTAGCGGTTCTCCGGCTTGGCCGGCGAGCCGTAGGTATGCCTGAAGAGGCTGGAGCGGACGAATCGGCTCATTTTGTCGCTTGTCTACTTCTGCGTCGCAAGGAAAGCTGGAAAGCGTTAGTTCGTGTTCGGCGCGCCGTGAGGAGTGCATTGACGAGGCAACAAGGTCCCTTCCACACCGCTTTCCTCGCCAGCATGGGGTCCTGCGGATACCGCAGGCGCTCAGGACAACGTATCTGCCTGGCTTAAGCCCTTCATCCGGCGTTTCCACCCTCCTCACCTCCTTTCCCACATCGGAACCTCCTCGGCCGGCCAACGACATCCGCAATGGCCACAGGCAGAGGAGCGAGTGTACGCACATGTGGTGAAGGGAACGAGAGCAAGAGCTGACCAGGTCACCGCAAGTGCGAAGAGCGAGAGGACGTGGTGCGGTTCGAGGACAGCGAGGCGGGGGAGTACGAGGGTGACGGCGCGAAGAGAGGCGAGGCGGGGCTGGCGAAGGGTGCGCAGACAGATCACAGCTTCGATAAAGCTATCGCGCGAGTCTCGAGCAGCTTGCGAGGTCTGGCAAAGCGTGGAAGCGGATCAAGGAGCGAGAGGGGCGGGGCCGAGCGAGTGAAGCAAAGTGACAGCGATGAAGGCGAGAGAAAGGGTCGAATGCAAGATGTAAAGCCCTTTACAATGCAGGGTACAGCACAGCCGAAACGTCGGCGGATCTCAAGCGACTCCTCCACTCCTCCTCCTCGCGGCCTCAGAGCGCACCCGCCGTTTGGCGCGCCTTCTCCCTCTCGAGCCGCTCATACAACATCTTCACGGCCATCGAGATGCCGTTGGGGTCGCCAGTGATCGTCACCAACCGCTCGTTGGGCGACGAGCCAGGCGCAGGCTCGTCCGCGTTGTTGACCTTGATTTGGCACCCTGACGCCGCGCGAACCTCTCCGATCCTCGCTCCGCCCTTGCCGATGATCGAGCCGACGAGCTCGTTCGGGATGTACAGCTGCTGCACCTGGGTGTTGCCGCCGGACGCGCGAGGCGGAGGAGGGCCGGCAGAGTATCGCTCAGAGGGAGGAGGACGGCCGTAGTCGCCGCCAGGACGGTAAGTCTGGTTCGACGTCGCGACGGGATGCTCGAGGAGAACGGTGCCGACGTAGTAGACGGCGATGTGGATCGCATCGGCAACACCCGAGACGGACAAGACACGCTATGAGCGAACAGCGAGAGCCCACAGTCAGCGGGGGCGTAAAGGCAGAGTACAGCCAGAGTACAGCCCGGAGCTCACCTCAGTGCTACCGGGCAACATGGCCTCGCTCGCTTGCAGGCGCGCGCCGGAAGCCTCCTGGATCTCCTTGATCTTGCTACCGGCCTTGCCGATCACCGAGCCCATGCGAGAGTTGGGGATGATGAAGCTGCGGCAGGCTGATGGTCAGAAGGGAGAGAGTTAACGAGAAGGCGAGGAACGCACCGGATGGTGACAGCGCGAGAGCCGGGGACAGAGGGAACATCGAAGGGCTCGTCGTTGATGCGGCGGACGATGAGACCGAAGGCCTGTGTCGGCAGAACGAGTCAGCAAGCGTAGCAGATGCGAAGAAGGCAAGCTGGACTCGCCTTGGAGACAGCGTCGAGCGGGCCGGTGACGGACATGATGCGCTCAGGGTTGCCAGCGACTGACTCGGTGATGTTGAGCTTGGCGCCGCTCTTGTCCCTGATCTCGCCGATGTTCTTGCCCTGTTTGCCGATGATGATGCTCGCGTCCTGGGTGACGATGAGCGTACGCATCGTGATGGTCTGCGCTGCGGGCGACTGGGCCGCGCTCGAGTCCTGCGGCGCCTGTTCCGGGTTCGGGTCTGCAGGCTTGGCGGGGATGCCGCTCGAGTCGACGTTCATTGGTGCGCTGCCGTGCTCGGGCTTGGTGTCGTCGCCGTTGTACTCGTCCTTGAGCAGGTTGTCGCCGTCATCGTCAACCTCGAGCTTGGCCGGCGCCGATGCAGCCTGGTTCGCCTTCTTCGCGGCAGAGTCACCCGAGGGAGAGGACGAGCGCGAGCGTTTGCGGGCGAGGTCGTTGGAGGCGGTGAGCGAGTCGGCCATTTTGGGAATGTCAGGGAGGACAGAGGGAGGGTCAGGGGAGGACGGGAGGGTCACGTCAAGCGCAAAGGCAATGAATCAGTCGCTCGCTTCTTCGAGGTGCGAACCAGCGGCCCAGGCAAGGGAGGAGTCGTCCGGGGAGATGAAAGTGGTTGAGACGGCGACGAGCGACGGCGGGGCTTGGCGGCGAGTCCGTGCGACGAGTGTGTGGTGAGTGCAGTAGATTGGGCGGGACTGGATCGGGTTCACCGCGGGAGGAAGGGCAGGGTTAGGGACGGGGAAGGGCAGGAGGAGGGGACGCGAGAGAGCGGCGGAGAGAGCGAGGGATGGGCCATACTGAGCCGGTCCGAGTAGAGTGCGCCTAGAAATGCTCTCTGGCAGGCTAGACTCACCTGTGCGCGCGTTTCTGCTCGTGTGGGAGAGGGAGAGAGAGTCGAGCCTTACAAAGTCGAGCAATACAGATTTTGTATCCAGACTTTGTATTCGACCCCACTTGCAAGTCTTCTCGCTCCTCCGTCACGCCGTGCTTCCTTGGTGCTCCTGCCTGACCTGCTGACTGCTTGGTCTTCTGCTTGCTTCGCCGACCTGCGTGGCGCCGCATTCCCTGCTCCGCGGCGACGCGCTTTGCTCGACTTCGAACAGAATCGCTCTTGACGTTCAGCAAAGGCGTGTAGCGGTGGATCAGTCGCGGGCAAGACGAGTTGGACATGTTGGGACTGCTCGGGAGAAGCGTGCGTCCTGTCGAGCTGCTTTCGTTGTTGACCTTCGGCTAACCCAGATTGACATCCCCTCTACCGCAGCGAGACAACCCCAAGTTGCGCTCCCCCGACCTCAGGAGACCGCACGTGTCGACGCGGAATCGAGGCGGCGGGCGGCGACGACGGATACCCCTCTTCCTCCTCCTCGCAACGACCGCTTTCGTCCTCGTCCTCTGGCATCACCTGTCGGAACCTTCCGCGCCGGCATCAAGGTCAGCACGAAGTGAAGCAGTACCGGCAGCATCGAAGCGTCTGCGGGAGAAGCTGTCCTTGCGCGGTCGGATGAGGCGAAAAGGCGGATCGTCCCTCGTCCCGTCTGCGCAAGCTCCCTTCGTCCTGCCCGACCACCTTCTTCCAGTGCACCACGACGCCTCTCTCATAGTCTACAGCAACTCGCCCGTCGCGCCCACTCGTCCTCCTTCGAACCAGTTCCTCCTCGAGACACGAGCCGACCTTTCCAGGCCAGTCGTCGCCATCATCACCGCGACGAACAACCCGCGCCCAGTCCTTGTCGACACTGCAACGACATTGTTCGGCCAGTCGCTGCAGAACTTTGTCTGGGTCATCGTCAACGACCACACGGACGAGACCGCAGCGCTCGAAGTTCTGGAGCAGGTCGCGAAAGACCCGCGCGTCGTCGTCATCCAGAACCGCGGCGCGAAAGGTCTCGCAGCAGGTCGCAACGTCGGACTAGAGTATGTCTTCCGGCAGTACAGCCCGCCGCCCAAGTACCTCGTCTCGCTCGACGACGACGACCTGTTCGAGTTCACGGCGCTCGAGAAGGCGTGCTGGATGCTCGAGTCGAACCCGGACTGGGACCTGGGTGGCTTCCGATACGTCAAGTGGGGCGCGTCGAACGAGACGGTCTTGACGGGCGTTCACTCGAACTCGGACAACTACCTCGTCGGCAACTTTGTCCCGAACGCGGCGGTCTACACGAGCAGGGCTGTGCTCGGCAGCGGCTGCCGCTACGACGAGCTCGAGTTCCAGGATGGCGGCGAGGACTGGGATTTCTGGATGTGTCTCGCCGAACACGGGTACTGGGGAGGTTCGCTCCTCGAGCCGCTCTACTGGTGCGTCCGCTCTACTGCCTCTCCAGCTCCCCGCTAACAGACACACGCAGGTACCGCGTCAACTCGCCCAAGTTCCGCTCGCAGCGATGGGGCAAAACCTTCGTCGACGGATTCGGCGCCCTCAAGCGGCACATCCAGACGAAGCACGCTCGTCTTGAAGGCAACTTCCCGAGCAAGAAACCGGCACGCAACGTACCGCTTGCGCCTGTCTCGTGGAACTCGCCGTTCGAGCAGGCGTTGGCGCACACGGACAAGCAGATCCTTTTCGTCATACCCTGGCTATGGATGGGCGGAGCCGACATCGGTGCGTAAGGAGCTCTCTCGCATCACAGCTGCCTGTCGATCATTCTGCGGCAAAACAGGTGCTCTGCACATGATACAGCTTTACGCCGCGGCCGGCTACCGCGTCACGGTCGCCTGCACGCTCAACCAGCATCCCGAAAGCGTCGAGCTGCGCCCCTACGTCCTTCAGTACACCCACGACGTTCACATTCTCCCCTCCTTCCTACACGTCCACGACTTTCCCCGGTACATCAAGCACCTCGTGCGAAGTCGCGGGATCCGGCAGGCGCTCGTCAGCCACAGCCAGCTGCTGTACGAGCTGCTTCCGGCGCTTGTCGAGCAGCTGCCGGACGTCGAATGGATCGATGTGCGTGACCGTCCTTCCGTTGCTGAGTCTTACCCAAGCTGACGAACCTTTTTGCGCCAGTACCTGCACAACGAGTCCTACGACAACTGGAAGTCCGCAGGCTACCCTCGCTACTCGATCATCTCGCAGCGCTACCTCGCGCGCACGATCACGTGCTCGTACCACCTCAAGAACTGGCTGCTCGACAACGGCCACCTCGACCCCGACCGCATCGGCGTTGTCAAGCTTGGCATCGAGACGTCCAAATTCGTGCCCGCGACGCCCGCACAACGCAGTGCCGCAAAGGCGGAACTGCTCCAGGTCGAGCCGGAGACGCTCGTGATCACTGTGGTCGGTCGCCTCGACCCGCAGAAACGGCCCCTCCTCGTCCCGCGCATCGCCGAGCAGCTCCTTAAGCGCATCGACCACGACTTTGTCATCATCATGATTGGCAATGGCGAGCACCGGGAACAGCTGTTCGAGATGATCGAGATGCTCGACATGCAGGAGTACGTCAAGGTCCTCGGCACGCAGAGCGACCCCAGCCGCTACTACGCCGCCAGCGATATCTTCCTCCTGCCTTCCGTCAGCGAGGGCATCTCTATCGCCATCAACGAGGCGATGGCGATGGGTCTGCCGGTCGTGACCGCTCGAGCCGGCGCTCTGCCTGAGCAACTTGGTGAATTCGATGCTCACGGTCGCAAGGTGCACGGTCGAGCCGAGCTAGGCGGCATCATCGTCGACCACGAGCTCGACGAGATCAGCGATCCCATCGCGTACGCCGCCGCCCTCGAGTCCCTCATCGTCGATCCGGCTCTTCGCGCTCGACTCGCCCGCAACGCCCGCAAGCTCGTCGAAACCGGTTCAGACTGGCGTACGACGCTCGCTGGACTATTCGACGAGCTCAAGCTTGCCCGCAATCTACCCAACTTTGGCGCCGGAGACTCTCGCTACCCTCACCCGTCCGCCTATTATGCCACGGAGGTCCTGCTCGCCGAGTCGTACAAGCTCGTCGACATGGGCTCGCAGTGTGCGTCAATACGTCCGTCCCGCATTGCCGTAAAGGCTAACGCACTCTTGGGACTCGCAGATCCCGCCCACCGCTAGACCGACGCAGCTTTCTCTCACGCTCCCATCGCTCTTCCTCCTCTCCCACTACTGTCGACCTTCCGCATCTCGCCGACCATCTACATCGTCATGTCGCATCTATAGACGCTGTTGTCACCCGGTATCCGCTCCTGCATCGCGCTTTTCACGCCGCAAAGTCCGGTCTTCAGGACCGTCCCTGAGCGCTCTGGCCCGCCTATTGGTCCGTGTCGTCCCAGCGTAAGTTTAAGTCGTCCTACAGCTCTATTGTCGCTTGCCGCGCTTGTTCGACCGCCCGTCGCCGATTTTTGGAGTCGAGCACCGCCTCGCTCGCTTGTTTGCTTCCGCTACAACTCGCTCGCTCGCCTTTTCGCTTTCTTGCTGTGCTCACGAGGTGACAGAGGTCTCCATAGACCAGGTGAGCTTACTCTGCGGGCCCCTCAGTCGTCGCGTGCTGACATCTTGCCTCGTCGGCAACTTCTGAAGCACGCGATACGAAGTCGACGATGCAAGCCACCGAGCGACCGCAGTTGCCGCCAGAACTGCTCCTCGACATCCTATCCACATCCTCCCGGTCGACCCTTCTTGCCTCGTCGCTCGTGTGCCGAGGTTGGCGGGCCGTCGCTCAGGTCGTCCTCGAAAGTCACCTATCGCTGCCGACCAAGCAGGTTGCGAGGGCGTACCTCTCGTGTCCTGGCCGACGGTCAAAGACCAGGTCTTTGACGGTCGGCGCCGGGCTCTCTATCGACGAGTACCTGGACCTCTTCGACTGTTGCGAGGGAATCGAGGAACTGGTCCTTCTGCCCGACCGGTCGCACCAGCGCGCCAAGTTCGACCTGCGGGCGTTCAAGACGCCGGCGCTAAAGGGTGAGTGCGCGCACGCAGGGCGGAGGGACGCCTGCTGACCAGCCTTTCCTTCCAGGACTCCGTTCTCTACACCTTGCCGGCGCAGCTTTCGAAGACCTCGCTCCAGGCGTTGGCTGGAACCTCCCATTCTCCCTCAACTACCTCACCTGCAAGGGCACGTACAGCGCCCTCCCCCGCCCGATCCTCGCCGCCATCGTCGCCTCTTCCCGCTCGACTCTCCACACCCTCGACCTCGACTGCTACGGCTCGCACACCTCCGCCCGCGCCTTCGCATCGTGCTTCGGCCCTATTGCGTCGACTCTCCGCGCCCTCGAGCTCCACGGATCCGCCGAACGCCAAGTCGCGCCTTTCCTCCCCTTCCTCTCCTCCTGCACCGACCTCGTCCTCTTCACCTGCTGGGAAGCCAATCCTGCCGTCCTCTCCGCCCTCCCACCTTCCGTCGAGCAGGTCTCGATCGGCAAGAATTTCATCTTCCACTCCGACGTGCCCTACGAGCAGCTCTTGCTCGAAAGCGGAGTCCTCAGCACCGTCAAGCGCGTACGGTTCACGGGCATCAGTCAGGCGACGCTGCGGGCGCAGTTTGGCGCGGAGGACCTGTTGCAGGAGTGCGCGAGGCTCGGGGTCGAGGTCGACTTCGGCGTCCAGCCTTCACGACTAGCGGGAAGATATGGCTGGCCCAAGTTTGGCCGAACAAAGATGATCCCTGGGCACTAGACGTTGGCGTAGATTGTAGACAGCCTCGATAGAACGGGGTTCCTGACCGTAGATTTGGGTAGACTCTCGCTGGCAAGACTCGCACGTCCACCGCCTCCGCCTTCAGCGGGTGAGAATACTTCTGCCATGCATGCTTGAGAGGGGTACAACAACTGGAGAGTAAGAAGGAAGTGCTACAAAGCCGGACAATCGCCTGCGGGATGCAGATTATCAGCGACGTTGCAACGCGGCGAGCGTCAGAACTCACCTCAGCACCGCCTACAACCGCTTCATCTGCTTTGTTGCAGTCCTCATCTTCCCCTGCACCCGGTCCGTGCCCGTCTCGAGCTGGTCGAGGATGTCCTCCTGGAGAGACAGCTCCGAATTGATCATCTCGCCGAGGTGCCGTTGCCGCCGCAGTGCCGCAGTGAGCGCCTCGAGCTTCGTGTCCTGGTCGTCCATGTATTGCTGCTGAAGTTGCATGATGCCGCCGTTGTCGAGCGGGCGAGTCTCGGGCGTTTCAAGGGAAGCGGCCGCTGCGGCGCCGAGAACTCGTGTCGGCTGCTTCGTGGATCCTGCTCCGGACAGCAAAGCGCTCCGCGTGCCTGAGGTAGGCTCGACGTCGTCCGCCTTGCGTCCGCTACCTATCCGCGGCGCCGTTCCTGCCTTCCTCCCCAGCTCTTCCACCTCGCCTTGCAACCGCTGTACCGCCCCGCTTCGTCGTTGCAGCTCGCCCTCCGTCATGCCATCCTTGGCAAGCGTCTCGAGAGCTCGAGTAAGATCTCCTAGCCGCCGGACGAGGTCGACGAGCTTCGTCTTTGCGTCTTTCGCGGTCGCGTGCGCCGCGGCCGAGTTGGCGAGGAGCTGCGAGTCCCGCTTATCGAGCAGCGAACGCAGCTGTCGTCCCTCCTCCTCGAGAGCATGGTGCTCTGCCGTCCAGGTCGTCGCGGACCATTTCCTCTCGCTCGCCCCCACCTGTCCGTCCGGCGGCGCCGCCAGGAAGTCCTTGAACGCCCTGCTATCCCGCCAGCGAGGATCGCGGTCCGACAAGATCGCCCTCAACCACCGCTCGAGCCCTTCCCGACGCTCCTCAAGCTGTTCGTCCGACAACTCACGGCCCGCCTTGAGCGGGGAGAGGAACCAGCTGCCGGGGTGTTTCGGCGGCAGAAGAGCGGGAGGAGGTGCGCCGCAAGTCGCTGTGAGCTTCTGATGGAGGTGGTCGAAGGCAGAGTAGCGCTGCTGGACTGAGTAGCTTCGTGTCGGGAGGGAGACGGCGATGGTGAAGGTGACATGGGGGTCGGGTTTGGCGGCGACGCGGGTGAAGGAAGGCACGGAGAGTGTACTGATTGGGTCGTGTGAAGCCGACTTGGCGAAGGACATCCTCCGGAGCGATGTTGACAAGGTCAAGCGGTCGAGGAGGAGGCAGAGAGAGGAGGAGCAGGACTGCCGCAGCCTCATTACCAGCCAGACTCCATGCAGCAGTGGAGGAGAGGTATTCAGAATACATCAGGACATCGCGAGGGAATACTGGGAGACAAGAGAGACAAGAAGGGGTAGCCCGATATCAACGAGGGAGGGGTTTCAAGCAAGTGTCAAATAGACGGAGACGATAGACAGTAGGATGGACAACATGCTGCAGCGGCCGTTGAGACGCGCGAGACCGTGCGAGATGTGTTTGCATTCGAAAGAGTCGAGGGAGAAAGGTGTTGTAGGCGAAACGAACCGCCTCATCCGGCGCCGTTCGAGCCGTTCTGCTGCGGTGGCGGCTGCGCTGGAGCGCCGTTGGGCATCCCATCAGGACCAGCCTGACCGGGAACGCCTCCGACGCCAGCTTCTTCCGCCGCAGCGGCCGACACGATCCCGTACGCCAGCGCGCCCCACGCCGTCTGTGCGAACGGACTGCCGGGCAGAGCCTGGGGAGGCATAGCAGGCGGGAGCATAAACTTCTGCTGGCCTGGCTGAGGCGGGAGAGGGGGCATCATGCCGGGAGGGAGGTAGGCTGGCGGGGCGAAAGGATGGGGAGGCCAGATCGGCGGGTGATGCATGAGGTGAGGCGGAGGTGCAGGAGGGATAGGCGGCAGCTGCTGCGGAGGGGGAGGCGCTGCGGCCTGTTCACCGGGATTGGGCGACAGGAAGGACGGCGGCATCGGTGTTTGCGGCGGTGCGGAGGCAGGAGTGCCGGTAGTCGACGCAGGCGTGACTTCCGTAGACGCGGCAGGGGTAGGGAGGTGGCTCGATGCGAGCGAACCGGCGCCAGAGTTGTACCCGTCCGACGGCGACCCTGCGCCGCCAGTTTTGGCGACAGCCGCGACAGACGCTGCGAGATTCGCCTTCGCCGCAGCTGCCGCTTGTCGTTTCTGCGCCAACGACGCCGGGCGATTGACCTTATGCAGCTTGTCTGTGTCGGGAGATGCAAGTCAGTAAGGCGTGAGGGATACGAAGGCACGAGGCGGAACGCACAGTATAGCGAGCAAGCGTTGCAACACAGCCTGCCCTCCTGGTCCTTTCGCCACATGGGCGTACTCGTCGCGCCGCAGTTGCTGCAGCTGGGCGGAACGCCGCTCGCCGCCGCTTGAGCGGCTGCACCGTTCGACGACCGCTTCGAGGCGTTCGACTTGCCGAACGTCTTCGGTCGCGGCTTCGAGTGCAGCTTGAGGTAGAGACCGCATCTGCGCGAGGGTGGAAAGCGAGGTCAGCATACGAGAAGCGGGAGACGAAAGGATGGGAGCCGGGACGCACGCGTTGCACAGCAGCTCATCGTCCGGTCCTCGTCGCCAAAGCGGCGTCGTGATGCTCCCACAATGCGAGCAGACCGGTCCATCATGTCCATCGCCCGCCTCTTCCTTCACTAACCGCCGCTGACCGTTCCCAGGCAACTGCGTCGAGTGCGGATTCCGGTTCTTCTTCCCGCCCGCCTTGATCGGCACCGTCGAGGTCGAAGCCGCTGGTACGCCAAACCCATCAAAGTCGCCTTCGCCCATCGCAGCCTTCGTCTTCTTCCCCCCTCCACCGACCGCATCCGCCTTCCTCTTCCCCTTCTTCCCCTTCGCTCCAACTCCTCCCCCATTCGCAGCCAACAACGCAGCCTCCTCGACTTGTCTCACCGCATCCGCAATCTGGTCCCCACCATTCGCATAGGGGTTGTGGTACTTGACCGCCGCATCGCGGTCGACCGCCTCGAGCGAGTTGGCTCGACTCCGCAAGTGGGCAAAGGTCATCCCTTCGAACGGATCCTTCTTGACTTGCGTCAACAAACCGTCCGAAGAGCCGGTCGGGCCATCCCCACTTCGTCCCTCGAGGTCTCGCCAGACCTGGTCCAACCCGTCGTCGCCGCCCGCCGAGACGGACGCCGAAGCAGACGAGAACTCGCCTGTTGCCGGACCTAGGTCAAGCTCGAGTTCGCCGAGAACGCTGGGTTCGGGCGAGGGCGTCAAGAAGCGCGGGTAGGGCGCGATGACGGGCTGATACATTCCGTACGACGAGAAGAAGGCCGGAGGAGCGCCGCTTGGCGGTGCGGATGAGAGTGCCGAGGGGAGATCGGAAAAGAGAGTTGCGGTAGGCGGGAGAGCGAAGGAAGGTGAGGGGATGGGCGGAGGGATAGCTGGGTGAGTAAAGGGGTATGCGCCCGCTTGAGCTGCTGCTGCGGCGGCGGCGGCGGCAGGGTCGCCCACGACAGGCTGCGGAGGGTGGTAGAAGTTGTTGAGGCCGAACGGGGCGGGAGGCGGAGGCATCGTGGCTGGAGAAGGCTGCGAGACCTGCGCCGGCAAACTTGGCGGCTGGAGGGACGAAGACTGCGCCTGGTCTGTCGACTCGGGGATGACGGCAGTCCACGAGGGAGTCGCGATGATGCGACTCTGATTCGGCTGGGAGACGGCGGGAAGGGGAGAAAAGGTCCAGTCGGGAGAAGGGTTGTAGGGGAGTCGAGGCTGAGGAGCGTGGATGGCGGTTTGTTGCGTGTTAGGCGAAGGTTGAGACGTGACGACTCCATTGGGCTTCGGAGCGCTAGAGGAAGAGAGGACGCCGAACGTCGGAGGCTGAGGCGGAAGACTGGCATGCGCGGTGGGCTGTAGAATTCGCAATGTCAGCAAGTATTTGGGCCGCACGCTTCGCTCGACGCACCTGCGCCTGCTGCAGCGTGGTCCTCAAGAACGTTTCGAGGTCCTCGGTAGCCTTCCTGCGTTCGTGTGCTTCGACACTCGCGTGCAAGCCGTAGAGGTCGGGATGGGGAGAGTTGAGGGAGGGCGACGCATGTTGTACGAGTCCGTGACGCCGATCCATGTGCCAGCGTCGCCACCAGAGGTTTTCGATGCGAGAACCCTGCGGACGAGCAAGAACCGACGAATGCGGGACGAAGGTCAGCGGGCGCCGAGGGGACGCGCTGGAAGCCTGGGTCCGCACTGACCTGGTCAAGTAGCTTTCTCGCTTTGCCGTTCCAGGCGTTCCAGGTGTCTCGAAGACGAGCGAGGTCTTCGTCGCCGGGGGCAGACGTCGCGGCAAGGGGATCGAACGTCGACGGCTGGAGACGGCGCAGCGTCGCGAAGTGTGGCGCAAGCGAGCAAACGAGGTCAGCGCTGTCCCGTGCGACGTCTCGCTGCTCCTGCACGACTGTCCTCGTCCCCCCATCCGGGCTCGAGCACGACTTCCCCACAAACTCTCCGCACGAGTTGGATGCGTCCCCCTCGAACTCCGGCGCGTTCACCGTCCGTCCTCTACGTCCGACACTCCCTGACCCACTGTCGGGCCCTCCAAATCCGCCTGCATCGCGAGCGAGAACCGTGCAGGTCCGTGGGATAGCTCCGGGGACGCCGCGAGACTCACAGGAAGCCGAACGACAATGGGCCTCATCCGGTGCCGCGCGAGCAGTGAGCGACTCGGGCGTGTCTGCTAGTCGACCTCGGGCGGGCGAAGGTGGAAGAGGGGGTGAGGAGAGGTTGCCTGATGCCAAAGTGGTGGTGAGCGGGAGCGAGGCGGCGAGGCGAGGTCAAAGTTGGCGGTGCGCGGCGAGGGCGTGTCTGGCGTGTGTGTAGGTATGCGTGTGGGCTTTTTCTAGCAGCCCATGGCTGGCACGGCGCTGGTGTGGCTGAGGTCGATGGAACGGGACGATGGCAGGAGCGGACGGGCTCGCGCCGGTTTGCTCGTGTGCGAGTCGACTGTGCGAGTGGGTAGGACTGTCTAGCTTGTAGTGGGTGTCAAGCAGTCGCGCTGTGAGCTGCACGGCGAGTGTGGGAGCAATTCGACTCGCCAAGTCAACTTCGCCTTCGCCTCTTGACCTCGCACCGCTCACTCGCTCACACAGCTCGAGCGCGTGCATTACAGCATCTACAGGACTGACACAGGCTACACACGCTTGCTCACACGCGACTCCCGCCTCAAGCGCCCTCGCTCGCCGGCTTTTCCTTTGTCTCATGGTGCACCAGGTTGGCGGGGCACAGACGACGAGGCCGAGCACGACGACGGGTCGCGAGTGCATCGGAACACTTTCTCGTACCGACCGACTGGCGCGCTGGCTGCCGGCGTGTGTCCTTGACCTTGCTCGCTTCGACCGTTGACTATCGCCGCGCGCCTTATCCCCACGTGCACGCTGTGGATAGCCGCCAGCTCGCTTTCGTGGACGAGGATACGTCCAGAGCGACACGGCGAAGCCTGCCAGCTCGGCCACGGCGAAACTGCTCACGTTTCCCCTGCCGTGACGTCCTCGAACTGCTCAAAGACCTATGCTACACTGCGCCATCTGTCGCTGCTCTACAGCTCGTCCTTCACATGCTCCTTCACCCGCTCCCCCTCCTTCCCCGGCGCACCCTCCTCCGCCCGCTCCCCCTCTCCCTCTGCCTCTCCCTCTCCCTCATCCCACACCCTCCCAAACCCACTCCTCAACTTCTGATGCGCCTCACTCCCCAACACCGCCTGCGGGGGAACCTGCAACGTCCGTTTCTCCTTCTGGAAGCCTTGGAGGTATTGGTGCAGGCCCGTGTGGACGACGGGTTTGCCTTCCCGAGATGAGGTGGAGTCGGAAGAGGAGGAGCTGGCTTTGCGGATGGCGCTGAGGAGAGCTTCGACGGCGTTTTCGGCGGGAAGAGCGGGTCGGTGCGGTTGCTGTTGAGGAGGGGCAGCGAGGCGGGCGGCGGGCGCAGCAGCAGGACCGTCGTGAGGGTGAGCGTGCTGGCGAAGCGCTTGCGCGATCGTGTCGTGCATCTGCAGCAATCGCCATCGTCACCAACAGAAACCCCCAACGAGCGAGAAAGCGCGCACGCACCAGCTTTGTCAACTCCTCCAAACTCTGCACCGTCGTCCCTCCCTCCCTCCTCTCGTCCCTCCCTTCCTCTCCCGCGACTCCATCCTCACCAATGATCTGTCTCCTCAACTCGCTCCCACCAAATACGTCCTCACCTACTTCCGTCACGGCAGACTCGATCTCCCCCGTGTCGGGGTCGTAGACGAGCGTGAGGGTCGCTTCGGATTCGAGGAGGGAGGAGAGTGGGGAGAGTGGGTCGGTAGAATCTGTCGAGGGGATGGCGGTGTCGGGCTGGGTCGAGGGCGGGTCGGGGTCAATCGGCGCATTGGCGACAGGTTCTCCCGCCGTCGCCGCTTCAACCGTCTGCTCCTCCTTCTCCGCCAGCCCCGGCGCCTCTTCGCTCGGCTGACCGTCCACCAACCCTCCCTCCCCCTGCGCTCGCAACTTGCGGACAACAGGCTGGCATTCGATCGACGCTGCCGGTTCTTGATGCGAGTTGTGGCCCTCAAGGAAGAGAGGTTCGCCGCAGAGGCGGGGTGTATGGATGAGCATGACGTAGCGGCAGACTGCGCCGGCATGGAGTGAGCGAGAGAAGGAGGCAGCGAGAGGAAGGGAGCGTACTGGATGTTTCGCGAATCAGGGCAATGCGGTCAATCGTGCCCGTATTGCAGTGGAACTAGCCAAGTGGGAGAGAACATCAGCATGCTCCTCGGCCACGCAGAGAGCTCAAAGGAACGCACCTGCACCTCGACTTCTCGCGGCAAGCCCGTCTTGTCGCAGACCGTACCGCCCTGCCACGTCTGCGTCAAGTACCTTCCTCCCTCGTCCCAGCCCAATCCCTCTCCTCCACCCAGCCGCGAAGGAACCTGCGCGTCCTGCCTGACAGCCGGCGAGCCCGAGCCGTACTTGGGAGTCATCGAGACGGCTGTCGCTTCGGGCATGATGCCGAGGGTGTAGGACTCGGAGTTGGGGTCTTCGGCGGGCCCGACAGAGCCTAGGACGCGGACTTCGTGGAACTGGCGGATCTCGGAGCCGTAGCTGTTGCGAGCGAGAGTCGAAAGTCAGCGAGGAGCGCGCATCTCGGCCAGGTGGGTCGGGACGCACCAAAAGCTGTACGTAAACCATCCTTGCTTCAGATACAGACAGCTCGACCGCATCGGCTCCAGCAGCGCGAGCCCGTGCGTGACGCCCTTCTCCCGCTCCTCCGCCCTTACAAGCGCATCCTCCTCAGCTCGCGTGTCTGCCCGCTTCTTCGACTCGTCGGTGACGGCTGGGACGGTGCAGAGGAAGGCTTGGCCGTTTGGCGTGCGCAGGAGGTGTCGTTTCGCTGGGTACGAGTGAGGCGGTGTCTGCGGGAGGTGGGGAGGATGCGCGCCCGTGACAGCATGTGGGAAGGCAAGAGCGGGCCAGACACGAGAGTACCCACCTCGAGAGGCTCCTCCAGCAGTTCGCGCGCCGTCTCATTCAGGATCGCCCGCTCGTTGAGGAGGACGTGGTAAGCCGGGAAAGCCTCTGTATCCCGCGGCGAGTGTGCGGACAATGCAAGCGTCTGTCGCACGAGAGCAAGTACGCAGAGCAGCCCTGCGACTTTCAGCGGCATTCTGAGGGTTTGAGCGGACGAGTGTGAACGGTGCAGGTCGAGGAGCTGATGAGGAGTTGTGCGGGTGGTGGCAGCTTCGTGGGGGCTACTGTGCCCCTCGTTGACATCAATGCGCTTGCTGCAACTCAAAAGGGAAGCCCTTGCTCGTCCAGAGGACGTTGTGCAGGCGCCATTCGAGTTCCCCTCTTCTCCTCGCACGTCCCGACTTCTCCTCTTGAGCAACTCGCCCCAAGAACCGTTTCCTGTAGCAGAAGAGCCTGAGCTTACGAGAAGCCACCACCGTACCGAGCTTCTCCCTCTCGAAATCACGGTCGCGCTGGCCAGCGAGGACCTGGTTTCGCGTTGCTTTCACGTCCCTTCGCCTGACGGACGCCTCCGCGCTTCCCTCTGTCGAGACAAGGCACTGCTCATCCGGCGTGAGCGGAGAGGACTACCGCAGCCGGTAAGTGTAGCTTTCGAGGCCTTCGTGACTTTCCTTCCCGAGCGCTCACGGCCCCTCGTCTCGCGAATCCCCTTACAAGCTGAATCGCATTTTTGCAAGACCCACTCAACAATGACCTTGCGGCAGATAGACGCCCTCGCTGTGGGGGGACTTCTCTGTCAGGCTTCGCAAGGCCTTCGCAAGAGAAGAGCAACGCGGCGTCTCAAGCGTTGCAGCACGTGAGTCGACTGTCACGACAGTCAGGAGAGCTTGCGTAGACAAGGCTGTAGTATCTGCTGGTAGGCAGACGGCAGGCAAGCCCTCAGCCCTCTGCAGGAGGTGCCGCCTTGGAAAGTGCGATCTGTATGCACAAAGGAGCGCGCTCATCAAGCAAGTCTTCGTAGCTCAGTTGGTTAGAGCGTCTGACTGTTACTACAAGTCAGCCTTGTGCACTGCACATCAGGAGGTCGACAGTTCGAACCTGTCCGAGGACGTTTCCTTTTTCACTCCCGCTCGCCCCCTCGTTCTTTCCTCTCTTCCCTGCACTCCTTTCCTTTTGCCAGCCGTCTACCGCACGTCAGGGAAACACAACTGCGACGTCGCTCAATGTGCGATCGACGACGCGTCGACGGCGCGTTCTCCTCGGCTTGGGTGACGGAGGTTGTCCTCTTTCCTCGACAACGTCTCCTGCTCCTTCGCGCTCCAGCTCAACGTTACGAGCACCGACGCTCAATCGCTTTCCACCCGTCAGCAAGCCGCACGATCCTCCCGACCCTTCGACCATCCCAGCTCTCTTCCTCGCTCTCATCGCTCCTCGCTCAGGCTTCCGACCATGCTCCGGCTGCTCTCACTCGCCTTCAGCGTCGCCGGACTGCTCACAGCTATCACCGGCGCGACAGCCCTGGGCCTCAACCCGAACAAGAGCAACTGCGCTGTCGTCCTCGAGAACGGCCGGCTGGTCAACATCTTTGCCAAGAACAAGCGTGCGCTCATCGTAATCTTCTGTGCGATGGCGACGCTGACGATGCAATGGCGCCATAGGGACATGGGCGTGGGACTACCTCCCTTCGGCGGATGCCTCTGGCGGGACAGTCCACCTCGTGCGTCGCCTCCGCTCCTTCGAAGCCTCGCGAAGCTGATGGTGTCTTCTGCGTCCGCAGAGTGAGACCGATTCGCCAGAAGACGGCGCCTGGCACGTCGTGCAAGCGCAAGGAATGAACAGCTCCGTCATCACCCTAAAGTCCGTTCTCCGTCCTTTTCCTTTCGCTTGGCATGACTGACCGAAGCCCCGGCAGCCTCGCCAGCGACGAGGAGAGCTTCCAGTGCATCCGGGTCACGGGCAAGAACCGCCTCGCAACGACCGGAGCCTGCAGTCTCGAAAAATCGCAGGTGCGTCGACGAGTCGAGTCGCACCGGCGCTGGCCTCCCGGAAGCCGTCGCTCACACACGCCTATGCCGCAGTTCACCATCTCGTGCGAGTCGTGCGCACCGCTGTCAACCTCGCTCACAACCGGCCTCGCTCTCGCTTCCGGCTGCCAACTCCGGTCCGTCGCCAGCCCGACGCAATGCCTCTCAACCATCTCGCCTACAGCCGACTCGCCTTGGAAACTGTCGGCGATCGGAACGCGGACGTGCGCTGGGCTGAGGGGATGGGGACAGCTTTGGGATCTCGTCGTCGCATGACGAGCCAGGGATGCGAGGCGGACGGTCGCAGGTTATCTGACGAGTTGTTATTGCACGTAGAGCGCCGTATATACATGGAAGAACTGCAGTCGAGCTGTGTGCGAGTAGCGAGGTCAGCGAGCCTGTCCAGTCGAACTCGGCTTCGTGGTTAAGCGATCAGGTCGCGTGGTTTTCTAGGCCACTAAAAGCATGTGCATCGTTCGGGTGCTCGTCGTGCGAGTCCCTTCAGTGCCCAGTGCTAGGATTCATCAAGTCGCGAGGAATGAGGGAAGAGGAGGAGAAGACTCACTTTGCCCGCACTCTTTCGAACCTGCGGCCGCATTACCTCGCCGGCAGAGTCCACCAGAGACCCTGAGCCCGCCCATGTGCCTCGCGCGACTAGTGTCCTCCCAGAACCGTGGCCGTTGCGAGGGAGAAAACCTTCGAGGACAGCGACCAAGACCGCGCGTGAGCTGCGACGGACGCTCAGTAGCGAGACGGGACACAGCAGCAGCACAGACCGATCAAAACAGCCCTATCGCGGTCGGGGTGCGAAGCGAGTGAGACGGATGAGGACAAGCCGTGTACGAATACAAACGTGTAATCTCGTCTATTCATCAATACAAAGTGAATGCAAACGCGCCCCTTGGCTCCTCTTGCTCGCCACACACATTGCTCACGGGCCGAGCATGCTGCTACGAAGCCCAAGTGCTCTGCTGCTGTCTCTGTCTGCTGCCTGCGCCCTCCAGATCCCCTTCAGCGCGCGAACGCCCCTCGATGATGCCCGCCCCACCTTCCCGCCGTTATCAGCCTCAGCAGGAGTGTCAGCGGGACAGGGACTGAGGAGCCTGACACTGCGACACGCCGTCCATCTATCGACGACCGAGCAACACCTCCCGCCTTCGAAGCGCGACTACTCGTCAGGAGAACTCGATGTCCTCGCCGACCTCACAACCTACTCGAACACCCAGCACGTCAAGACTCGGCGCATTCGGACTCAGCGACCGAGTTCGCAGGCTGCCTTCCAAGCGGCGCGGAGAGCGTCGTACTTCACGCCGCAGCGAGCGATGGGACTCGGCCGCCTGCCGACCCTCCAGGAACTCGAGGACGCGGCGCTCGGCAGCACGCTCGAGTGGGACGAGGTCGAGGTTGAAGTGCCGGACACGAGGGATGTCGAGACGTTGGCGGCGTTTGGGAAGATGACGAGCAACGCTTACACGACGCCCGACGCTGGAAACTGGTACGATATCGGGTCGGGGTGGAACCGCGTGCGTCCCGATTGCTGCACCGTTCAGCTTGAGGCGATGCTGACAGTTCTGTACGCAGAGCGACTCGTTCGGGTGGAAGGAGGACGGCATTCGAGGGCACGTCTTTGCGGACGAGACGAACAGCACCGTTGTGATCGCCATCAAGGGCACGAGCGCGTTCATTGTGGGCGGAGACAGCGGCACATCGAAGAATGACAAGATCAACGTGAGTCGCCGAGGCTGCAAATCTCCTCGCAAATCCCGACTGACGTTGAGCTTCTTCCAGGACAACCTCTTCTTTTCGTGCTGCTGCGCACGCGTTGACTGGTCCTGGTCGACCGTGTGCGATTGCTACGACGGAAACCGTCAGTGCCGACAGGACTGCATCGAAGAGGCGGTCATGACGAAGAGCGCTTACTACCCAGTCGCGACGGTGCGCTAGCTGCAGCTGTTCTCTATCGGCTCAGACGGTCTGACCTGTCTCGCCTACAGGACCTGTACAATAACGTCAGCGCCATCTACCCTCACGCGCAGATCTGGCTCGCCGGTCATTCGCTTGGCGGCGCACTCGCAGCGATGCTCTCGCGTACCTATGGCGTCCCCTCCATCTCGTTCGAGTCGCCCGGCGACCTCCTGCCCTCTCGCCGCCTCCATCTTCCCCTCCCTCCGCCTCCCCGGAACCGCTCGCGCGACCATCTCACCAGCCACGACGACAAGCGCCCGAAGCGCTCTTTCGACGACGAGTTGACAACGCACGTCTACCACTCCGCCGATCCTATCCCGAATGGCGTCTGCACTGGCGCGTTCTCGACTTGCGGACTCGTCGGGTTCGCACTCGAGAGTCGCTGCCACACGGGCAAGACGATCATGTACGACACGGTCGGCCGACTCGGGTGGAGCGTTGATATCCGCACGCACTCGATTCACGTCATCGTCGACAAGCTACTCGTCGATGATTGGGGAGTCAAACCGAGCGAGGTGGACGGGTCGGCGACGGGATCGCTGGAGGCAGCGGGACTGAGGCGGAAGCGAGGAGGTTGGTTCGGCTGGTGGCCAGGACGAGGACGGAAGGACGAGGATGACAAGGGCGGCGACAAGGAGGAGGAGCCGGAGCCAGAAGACGGCCAGCACGGCGGACGAGGCGTGCCCGAGCCGCACTTTGAGGACGAGACTTGCTCCGACTGCGAGAAGTGGACCTACGTCTGATTCGCCCCTGCGCATGTATAGTATTCCTCCTTCTCTCTCTTCGCACTTTGTATCTCACTGCACCTGTCGTTCTCCTGTCGTTGCTACTAGCCTTTCCCTCGTTCTGTAGACTCGTTCTTCCTCGTTTGCTTTTGCATCGTCGTTCAGCAGTTGCTCCGGTATCCTCAGCGCGTTCTGCTCATAGTCTATGTGTGCTCTTCCCGCCAGAGATCGTGCGCCGGCCAGTTCCTCCTCGAGGAGAGCATCGATGCTTCTCTTCCTCCTTGCCCGCCATGGCTGCGACTTCGGCCGGGCAGACCGGCCCAGAAAGTGCACTACAAAAGCTTGCTCGCCGACCATTCACTGTCTCGCTCCTCTCGCTCGCCGCTTCCCCTTCCTCGACTTCATCAGCTGCACCGCTTCACTCTCGACACCTCAAGCGGATCCACCTCGCGCCGGAGATCCTCAAGGCAGTCAAGATCTGTGCCGGAGATGCGATCGTCATACGCAAGATGGGAACCCAGGCGAACGGGCTGGAGGAGGGGATGAAGCAGCTCGAGCTGGACGAGGCGAGTTCAGGGAGATTTCACGTCAACTGGGGCCGCCAGCTGACTGTCGTCTCGCTCGAGCAGTCCAGTACAGGTCCAGTGGCAGGACCGCGAGGAGCAGGGTTTGCTGTCGGTGTTGCCTGGCCAAACTTCACCATGTCCGGCACTTGTGGGTCCCTCTTTTGTCCGTTCTTTACGTCCACCCTGTTAACTGACGTTTTCGCCCCTCGTCAGCTGTCTTTGTCTCGCCTCTGCTTCTCGCGAACGCCGGCTTGTCCGTCGGCGACACCGTTTCCGTCTCGACGATCGGCACTTCAGGCGTCGAGGTCCTCGAGGCGGACAAGATGACGCTGATCTACGATTCGAAGGGCAAGCCAGGCAAGGACAGCTTCTTTGAGGCGTACGTGAAAGAGGTTCTCGGTGAGTCGCGCTGCGTTCTGCTGAAATGTGGCTCGGCAGCTGACCTTCCTGCTCTCCAGTCGACGTCAAGTTCGTCGCGCAGCATCACTTCGTCGAGGTCACCTACAACGGCATCCTACGACGACTGCTCATCATGTCGGCAACCGGCAATGTCGTCTCTCCCCCCGACGCAGCTCCTCCCTCTTCCGACTCTCCCGCTCGCGAACAGGTCTTCGTCATCTCTCGAACGACGCACGTTTCTTTCCGACCACCCGGGTCGCCCGCTTCGTCTTCTGCAAAGTCCCGCACTCCGGCTTCGACTGCACGAGGAGGCGCAGCGGGATCTGCCGCCTCGCCTTCACGAGGCGACTTGCCGGGTTACGAGCAGATTGGCGGTCTCGAGAACCAGATCGAGCTGATCAGGGAGATGGTGGAGTGGCCGTTGACGCGACCAGAGCTGTATACCCACTTCGGTAAATACCTCCTGCCTCGCTGCGCAAGTCCGCTTGCAAGCTGACTTCCATCGATCAGGCCTTCGACCACCCCGCGGTATCCTTCTCTACGGCCCTCCCGGCACCGGCAAAACCCTTCTCGCTTTCTCCATCGCCCGCTCGACCGGCTCGACTCTCCTCACGATCAACGGCCCCTCCCTGTCTTCCGCCTACCACGGCGAGACCGAAGCGCGACTACGGGAGGTCTTCACCGAGGCGAAGCAGAAGAGCCCCGCCATCATCGTCATTGACGAAGTCGATGCACTGGCACCGAATCGGGAGGAAGGCGGAGAGGTGGAGCGAAGGGTTGTTGCGACGCTGCTGACTTTGATGGACGGCCTAGAGGACAAGGCGGAACCGAAGAGGCGTGGCGAAGAGGACGAAGAGGACGAAGAGGACGAGGAAGACACTGGGGAGGAGAAGGAAGCGCCACGAATCGTCGTCATCGCCGCGACGAACCGACCGAACGCCATCGACCCTGCGTTGCGACGACCAGGCCGCTTCGACAAGGAAATTGAGATCGGCGTGCCCGACGCCGCTGCGCGACTTTCCATCCTCAAGGTACTGCTGAAGCGGACACCACATGCCATTCCTGACGACACACTCCAGTCCATCGCCGCCCGAACACACGGCTTCGTCGGTGCCGACCTGTCTTCCCTCGTTCATTCCGCCGGACTCTCCGCCATCAAGCGGTCATACTCGCTTCTCTCTTCCTCCTCCGCACCCTCGCTTTCGTCCATGCAAGTTCTCCCGTCCGACCTCGACGCCGCTCTTCTCTCGACTCGACCGTCCGCGATGCGCGAAGTCTTCCTCGAGACACCCAAGGTCTACTTCAGCGACATCGGAGGGCAAGAGAACGTCAAGGCGAAGCTCAAGGAGAGTGTCGAATGGCCTCTCTTGCACCCCGAGGCGTTCAAGCGGCTTGGCGTTAACCCTCCTCGCGGCGTTCTCTTGTACGGCCCGCCCGGTTGTAGCAAGACGCTCATTGCGAAAGCTCTCGCGACCGAAGGAGGCCTCAACTTTATCGCAGTCAAGGGACCGGAGGTCTTCAACAAGTATGTTGGCGAGTCGGAGCGGGCGATCAGGGAGATCTTCCGCAAGGCGCGAGCTGCGGCGCCTTCCATCGTCTTCTTGGTGCGTCAGATCTGTTGACTCTCTGGCTCTACCGCGCTGACGTGCGTGGCCTGCTTCAGGACGAGATCGACGCGCTTGCGCCGGCACGAGGCTCGGACGAGAGTAGCGGACCGACAGGCGACCGCGTCCTGATGAGCCTCTTGACGGAGATGGATGGAATCGAGGAGCTCAATGGCGTCGTCGTCCTCGCCGCGACCAACAGGCCCGACGTGATCGTGCGTCCTGGACTCTACCGGCTTGACGACAATTCGGCTCACCATTTCTTACCCACAGGACCCCGCTTTGATGCGTCCTGGCCGCCTCGACCGCATTCTCTACGTCTCACCACCGGATCTCGAGGCGCGCAAGCAGATCTTCCGGCTCAACTTTACCAAGATGGCCGTCAATGAGGATGTCAGTGTAGACGAGCTGGCTGAGTTGGTGCGTCCCTTTGGCCTCTGTCTGTGCTAGCAGGAGCTGACGGTCACGCTGCTCCCAGACGGATGGCTGCTCTGGCGCCGAGTGCGCGTCAATCTGCCAAGACGCCGCCCTGTCCGCCATGAACGAGGACATGAACGCGCCGAATGTGCGTCTCGCCTCACGCTTCTCCTCCTCCTGATATGCCTCGTCGCTGACTTCTACGATACAGGTTCGACGAGAGCACTTCGTTACGGCCGCAAAGACGGTCCGACGACGGATCACGCCGGAAGTCATCCAGGAGTACGAGGAGTGGCGGGATCGAAGCGGTGTTCGCAGCGCGTAATGGCAGCCTAGATCACGCAACGCGCAATAGACGTGCTCAATGGGTATCATTGCGAGTTGCGGATAGAAAGGGGAAATCTAGATACAATGGCCGCTCAGAACTCTTCGCCCTCGCTCGCCTCCTCCTCGTCCGTCAGCTCGTCCTCGAACTCCATCGCATACTCGCGCCAGTTCTTCCGTTTCCGCCACGTCCAGCCGTCGCTCGCGGGCGGGATGGCGACAGGGAGGAAGAGGGTGACCCAAGGACTGCAGGGGAGCGCCGTCAGCATCTGGATCGGAAGCAAGGCGAGAAGATCACGCACTATCGTCCCTCATTTGCAGGTCCAACGTTGAAGAACTCGCGAAAGTTCTGTCGCCAGCCAAGGTCGTACGGGTTGCGGAACGTCCGGCCGCGAGAGATGGCGACCTTGCGGTACCAGTCTGCGCAACGACAAGCCGTCAGCTAAGCTGGCCATGATAGGTGTGAGGGGACTGACCATTGTCATTGGCTTCGACGTTCGTCTGGTTGCGAGCGACAAGGAGAAGCTGTTTGCCGCAAAGTTAGCGAGCGACGAAGCGAGATGCGAAAACCTGAACGCACTTGACTTGCGCACATGAACGAAACGGCTAGCCCCATGACACAGGCGAGAACCTCCATCAGCAGCACAAGGAGGCGAGGAGAGCGGTGGTTCCACTGCTTGACGAGGGAGTAGTCAGCTCAGCAAGTCGAGCAGGGACAGGTTCAACGTACTTCTGCGTTCATGGTGAAGGACATCTGAAAGCAGCGCTTGGCAATCCCGAAGCCCAAAGCTGCTGCTGTCAAGCAGGCGACGGAGAAGTAGCACAGGAAGAGCACGAAGTAGCGCTCGTTGTGCAAGCCAACGCAACCCTTGATCCAGGGGCAGCTACAGAAGTTTTCGTCAGGTTGGCTTGCAGAAGCAACGCGAGCGTAACGCACTGATGGTCGAACTTGAGGATGCAGGTCTGGCAAACTGAGCAGTGATGGGTTCGCTCAGGCTTTGGTGGTCGTCCTCCGCTCGGTGTCGACGGGCACTTCTTGCAGCTCCGTGCATACCGCCCGCTGCGGCCGTCGGTCTCGGTAGGCGGCGGCTCGACTCGCTGTCGTTCCCGTCCTTTCGTTTGCGCCGCCTGAATCTCCCTCACTATCCGACGCCTGCCATGTTCGGCTTCACGGACACGCGGCAGCGAATGAGATGTTGCAAGTTGCAGGAGGAGCGGACCGATGAGGGGTAGGGGCTGGGCCGGAGGAAAGGTGCGAGGAGGATCGAGAGGAGAGCCGGCGGTTGTCGTGATTGCCATGAAGTACTGCGGGACAGTCGTCAGCGATGGGAGAATAGTTCACGGTGACGGTGCGCACGTTGAAGGAGAACATGTGGACGACCCAGGAGCACCATGTTGTCCCGAGTGCGAAGCTCCACCAGGAGGAGTCTGGCGTCAAGAAGTGCTCAGGGAAGACCGCCTGTGAGCTGGAGTCGTCAGAGTCACTCCTTTTGAGCATAGCGACGAGTCGACTCGCCTCGAAAAAGGCGAAGGCGCAGGCTGAGATGAGCAGAACGGCGAGGGAGACGAAGAGCGGGCCCAGTCGCCTCGAGGCAGCGTCAAGCCTGCGTGCGACGGTCTTTTCGAACTTGCGGAAGCCCTTGTTGACACAACGGCCTGCACCAGCAATCACAGAAGAGCAGGAGAGCATGAGGTTCACCGGGAACCATATCCTCGGCAGGTCCGTCCGCTACCATTCAGCCAACCTCGCTGAGTTGCCTTGCTGACGAAGCTAACGACTCGCGAGATCTACACGCTCGAGGCTTGGCCAGGCGCACGAGGCAGCCACGCGATGCAGGACGTTCAGCCTTCCCTCGACTCGCCATCTCTCCCCGGCAGAGAACCGCTCGCCTCGTCGCTTCCGTGGGCGATAAAGGGGGGCTGATGGAACACCTCGCACGGGCAGGACATCGCTCGATTGCTGGTCTCGACGCTTGGTGCCCGGACTTTCGGCTCGGGCGATGGATGATGGACCCTCTCGCCTCTCCCCCTCGTCCCGCCAGCCTTGCTCTCGCTCCTACCAGTCACTGCTTGCTGTGCAATCCCTTACGACAGTCTGCCTCCGCGCGCGACTCTCGTCAACGCCTGTGATTGCTGCCCACTACCTCCGTCGACATGCTTTCGCTCGACGAACGCGCCAACGACGGCTTCTGGACACCTGGTTCGTTCTCCGCGTCTCACGATCGCATCCACAGACTGACGACGTCGTTGGCAGGAATGGGAGAAGCAGGCTTCTCCGCAACAGCCTCCGCCGAATCCGCCCAGGTCACCCCAGTCGTCATCAATCCCAAAGCCGTATCCGCTGAACTTCGGCCAACCGTCATCTTCACGACTATTGTCAAGATTGTTGCGCCGGCGACCGTCACCCAGCTTGTCGAGCCAGCACAAGCGACGCAGGCCATCGATGCCGCAACGAACGTATTCGACGGGACCGTCGCTACGCCCAACAAGGCCGTCCAAGGGACAGTCGCACCGATCAATCCGAAGGCAACGATCGCCTTAATATCTTCGCTCGCGCCGCCTCGCGTCTTCGGCGGAGCAAGCTCGAGCGGCTTGATCCGGATTCTCGGCGCGACGGCGGCACCTTCGGCGCTGGATCAGAACGAAGCGCTCACAACGCTGCAGCCTACGAATCCGATCAGCAAACCTATCGTCCCGACATCCTCCTCAGAACGCATCTTCCAGCCGTTCACGCAAAGCCAGATTCGAGTTGCTGCCGCCGCGACCGCCTCTTCGTTTCAGCCTGAGCAGCAAAGGTACGTGACGTGTCCTCTCACTATCGCGTTGGTGCTGACACGGAACAGCGTTCAGCTACGCCCCTGCACCCGTCGCGCCGCCAATAACTGCGACCACCGGGAGCGAGAAGATCTTTGCCGGCACATCGGCTACCAGCCACGTTGCTGCTGCAATCCTTCCGACCATCTCCACGTCTGCGACACGCCTCGCGAGCTCGGCCACAGCGCCACCTGCCGACGCGAACGGCTATAACCCTTCAGCCGCCTCGGATGGTGCGGGGCAGAAGAGCGACTCGGCGATGGCTTCACTTGGTACGACAGCCGCCCCTAGTAGCGTAAGGACCGCATCAAGCGCTACGCACGTCACTAGCGGCGCGCTCGCCGAAGCTACCGCGAGCGGGCAGTCGACTTCCTCACCTCGCAGCGACGCCTACAACTCAGCCTCCCTCTCGCTACTATCGGCTCTCCCTCCGCCGGCCTCAAACTCTGCAAAACCCTCGACCTCCTTCCCATCCTCCAGTTCGCGCGGCTTCACCGCTTCGCCCGGCGGAGTCGCCGCCGTCGCCCTCGGCAGTGTCGTTGGTTTCGCCGTTCTCGCCGCCTTCGCTACCTACGTACTCTGCTTTTGCCGTCGTCGACGTCGGCAAGCGAGGCGAGGACTCGTCGAGCTCGGCAGCGACGCAGGCTCACCTGGAGAAGAAGGGCAAGAATGGCCGTCTCGTCCGCTGAGCAGGGCAAGTCGAGACGGCGTCCGCGAGATGCGCGAGCTCTGGCGCCAGAGCATCGGCAGCGAAGCCTCCACTGGTCTCGCAGGACCGGTGCCACCTACCGAGTCGGCTGTCTCGCCAACTCTGGACGAGCGACCGGTTTCGTCGAGCGACTGGACCAGCTTTGCGGGTGGCCATCCCTGGACGGACGCGGGCGACTCAGCGGTATTCAGCGATGCAGAGCGCCGCGACAGCGAGTCGACCATCGGAACAGCCATCCTCAACTGGAACAGTCGGTTTGCAGCTGGTTTTCCGACCTCAGCCCTCGCCTATCCTTCGACCGCTGCCAGCATTTCTCGTGCACCTCATCCCCTGCGCACGACGGTAAGGGCCTCGACGAGCTCGCCTTCACAGTACTCCGGCACAACGACTCCAGCGCTCGTCACTTCGCCTCGCTCGACTTTCCAACCGCTCTCGCCTCGTGCGCCTGCGACAACTCATTTCTCCGGCAGTGCAGGCGCTCCCGTCGTCCCTCGCACCTCCGCCTCGACTGGGTCGGCATCGCAACCTCGCACGAAGCCGTCTTGGATGGACTCGCTCGATCGCGTCATGGGATCCGCCGCCGACCTGATGGCCGCCACGCTCATCTCGACGGCGACGTCGGCAGGCTCGAGGCGCGGATCGACAGCTGCGAGGTCGCTCCGCGGTCTGCGGCGGGCTTTCGGAGGCGCCAAGGAGGACGACGAGGAGAAGGGCGAGAAGAGGGCGCTGCATTCCGATGAGAAGGAGTTCGGCGAGAAGCAGGACTACTTTACCGCGTATCCTGGCCCCCTCGCACCAGTCTCGCCTCGCGTTCGGTACGAAGAAGTGGACCGCGCCGTCTCGCCAACAAGGCCTCTGATGGCATACTCGGCCGCGAGAGGAGCGATGGGTCTACTCGCACCGCCCAGGCCGAGTCACTATCGTGCTTCGTCAAGCTCGTCGTTCTACGGCCCAACGCCTCCTACACCTCGCCTCCAGCCTCGAACCAGCCCTCGCCTAGTCCCGCTGCCGAACTCGCCGGAGGAGTCTACATCCCCCTTTGACGACTATTACGCAACGGAGTCGCCCACTTCGGCTACCGCAGCCTTCGCGGCTCTTGTTGAAGCGCAAGGACGAGCGGCTCGCAAGCTACGAGAAGGAGGACAGGCGTCGACTCTCCTGCACATCCCGCCTTCTCCAGCCATCCCACCTCGCACGCCAACCCCAACGCTCGGAGTGAACCGTCCTCTCTTGACGCAGCTCAACCCGAGTCCTCGGCCCTTCACGAGGTTGCAGCAGGTCGATGGTGTGGAAGACCCTTTCGCGGATCCTTCGCCTCTCGACACGCCTTCTCCCGTCGTCTGGGTCGATCAGACGTCCCAGGCGCCAGCCGCCTCTGTCACGATCCGCCAAACCGAGACTGTCGAGACTCGCCCTTCCTCCACCGACGCCACGATTGACGACGAACCCACTCTCAGCTCTGTCCGCCGCCATTCCGCCTTCGCACAACTCTACCTCCAACGCCGCCTCGAAGGCCGTCAAGCCCGCCGCGCCTCAACTCCGACCTTGCGCGAACGGTTCGAGCGTGACGCGAGGAAGAGGCCGTCGTCGATGGCTTCCTCGTTTGTGATTGACGCGCGTTTGGCGAGTCTGGCGTGTGAGCGGCTTGGTGAGGCTGGCGAGGGCGCGGAGGAGGCGGAAGACGAGGAGGACGACATCTCGAGTCTCGACTTCTCGTCGTCGGCAACGGAGTCGTCGTGCGAGGCAGGCAGGGCGGGGACACCTTTCGGGACGGACGAAGAACGGATGGGGAGGCGGCTGAGGGAGGCGATCGAGCGCGAGAAGGCGGCTTTGTTGATGCTCGAGCGGAGGAGACGGTCGCTGGCCGACAGTCTTACGAGCAGGCGAGGCTCGTTGGCGGGATCTGTTGCTGGGTCTGTAGCATAGTCTGTCTCGCTCGGGTTCGTATGCTATGGCATGTCGTGCTCTAAGCTAATGCAGGGAGTGAAGGAGAGGTCTAAAGCGCGGTGAGGCTACGAATGATATGGGTCATAGAAAGCAGAAGAGAGGGAAGAGGATGTGGGAATAGGGCGAAAGGTGCGGGAGGAAATCTACAAGAGGAGGAGCGGTTCGGCTCCTAAGGGTGGAGAGCCTCGTGCGCCCGCTCAACGGCGGTAGGGCTAGCGAGCGGCGCCTCGACGAACTTGTCCGGTCCAGGATTTGCGTCCCCAGCGGACGGCGAGACAGCTGTTCCCTCGCTACTGTCGCTGCCGGTAGTCATCGCTGGCGTGGCGGGGTCGTCCAGCGCAGCGGCCGCAAACTCCTCGCTCAGAGGCGTGACGCCGTGCGCGTCGTCCGTGCCGTTCGTCGCCGCTGCTGGTGCCGCTGCCGGTGCCGCATCGACGTCCGCCTTCTGCGTCGCGACCTCCTTCGTCCCATTCGCCTGCTGGCCCGGCACCCTCGCGCCGCGGATGATAGCCTCATCCAAGCCGCACTTGCCCTCTCCATACTTCCTCCACCGCTCGAGGTTGGCCGCCTTGCGCTCCATGCACAGTTTAGTCAAGGCCGGGAAATACGTCTTGTGGTCGTACTCCATGTTGATGTCGCCGCCGAAGATTTTTTGAAGCTGGGAGGCGGGGATGAGGGCGGTCGCGTCGGCCTTGTCGAGGAAGCGGATCTGTGATGAGAACTGTGAGCGAAATTCGAGCGAGGTGAAGAGCTGGCGGTCGCACCTTCTCCTTCGTAACCGGGTCGACAAACGGCGAGACGAGCTGCGCGACAGACGGTCAGCTCGATGCTACTTGGATGGAAGACGTAGAACGCACCTTGTAGAAGGCAAAGAAGATCTGAGGGATGTTGACGCAAACCGCCCTTCCCAACCGCTCGCAATAATAAGTTTGCAGAATCTCCAAGCTGCGCCAACCGACGCCCATCAGCACCGAGTCCTAGGCTTGGAGTAGAGGGAGCAGACGCACACTTTCCGCGCCTGGCTCAGCGTTGTAGGCTGGCTCTTGGCGTCTTTCTGATTTGCGCCAAAGTCGATGCAGAGGCAGAGCATCTCCGTTGCGGGGTCCGTCGCGGGTGCAAGGTCGATGGTGCGCTGTAAGAGAGGCTGGTCAGCGGAAAGACGTAGGGGACGAATGAGGAAGACGCACCTCGAGACACCAGACGACGAAAGCAATCTGTTTCGGGCTCGTCTCCGTGTTCTGCCTGTTCGGGTGCTGCATCGAGGAGGACCCCGGATCATCTCAGCGCTATCCTCGGAAGCTGAGCGCAAGAAGCGAGACGTCTCATCGACGCACCATGTACAGGACCGGCCTGCAGTTGATGTCGTAGCCCATGACAAGCTCCTTCCCCGTCTCTCCCTCGTGCGACACATCCTCCTCTTTCATCTCCTCGACGCCGTACTCTCGGCGCCAGACACACGTCTCCTCGGCTCGACGGACTCCCGCTGCGTAGTCCCACTTGACGGCGCGTAGACAGCGCGAGAAGGCTTGGCGGGACCAGTAGCATTTCTCGACGTCGGACAAAGGGTGCAGGTCTTCCATCTGTTTGATCGAGCATGGCAGGATCGAGGCAGAGGTTGCGGAAGTACCGGTAGCCGAGAAGAGAAGCGAGCGGTTGCGAGTGAGGGCGACGGCAGTGTCAGTGGGTCAGCCACGTCCAGCAGCACGGCTTGAGCGAGTCTCTGGGACGCACCTCGTCGTTGGTGGGCGTCGCGCTCCTGCTGAAGAGGCTCCCGAACCTGCTTCCTCCGCCGCCCTGCTCCTTGGCCCACCGCGCCTTGAGCGCCCTGAGTGTCCGCGGGAGCGTGTAGTCGGGTCTGTTGAAGTGATCTACGAGGCGGTCGAGCTTGGCTTGCTGGTCGGCGGAGAGTTCCTTTGGCGCGACCGGTTTCGAGGCTGGGTCGGGATGGGCGAGCGGGTACGAGAACGGCGTGTCGGGGTTGCCTGGCGGGCTTGGTAGCGAGTCTTCGAAGGCAGTCATCGTCACAGTCAGCAAGTCTAGCGAAGAGTGAGAGCAAGAAAGTCGTCGGGAGAGAAGCGAGCTGGTTACCTCAGAGCGGCAGTCAGCAACGTCGCTCGCACCGCTCAGCTAGGCAAACGATGGCACGCTCGAGCTCACCAGAAGACTCGCCTGCTCCGCCAGACGAGGACCGCCTCGCGCAGCTCGAAGCGCTCCTTGCAGACTCGCTCTTCTCAGCGCCCACTCGTAATCACCCAGCACCCGCACCGGAAGACGCCGGTTCCCGCCCAACCAAGCGCAAAAAGACAGAGGAGAACGGCGAGGCTGCGCAAGACGCGTCGGAGGCAGGAGCGTTGACGGGAGAGGGATCTGTCGGTTCGTCGGCTCTCCTCGCTGTCTCGATGAAAGGTGTACTGACCTTTCCTGTGCAGCTTTCCGCCTGTTCAGCACTCAGAAGACACCGCAGAAGGTCGTAATCAGGGAGGCAGCGTCGCCAGAGCCTGTTGTCCGCGACCCACGGATCCGGTTCGTCCTCTCGCTTCTTGGTCGCAAGAGTCCGCCTTTATTCACCGACTTTTCCCACGCAGAGATGTCGACGACGAGTCGCCCGAGGCGCGAAATCGGCGACGGAAAGCGATCGCGTCGGTCGCTGTCGACGGAGAGTCTGTCTTGTCGCAGTCTCGCTCTCTTTTCGTGCGTCTTGATCCCTTTCACCAGTCCTCTTTCACATCTCAACCGATACTATTGGCTCGGGCAGTCCGCCGATCCGCCCTCGCATCGCCTTACGCACCGCCTACTCGCCCGTCCGCCCTCTGCTCCCTCCCATCCGCTCGCCTCCTCCTCTCATCCCTTCGTCCGCCCCTCATCCGCAACCCCCGCGCCGACTCTCGCGTTCCTCGACACGCTCCTCCCTCCCTCCTTGCTTACGAAATCGCCTTTCCCCGTCCCCTGCATCGAAGACGACGACAAGCTCTCGGCGGAAAAAGACCCGTCCAAGCGGCCTCCAGAGCGACCGCACGACGGCCTGATCGCGCGTCGACCATTTGAGGGTGTGTATGCGCAAGGAGAGGGGAGAAAAGAGCGGATGCCGAAGCGGAATGAGGTTATGCGGCTTGGAAAGGGGACGGGCTTGGGGCGGCTGGTTGTCAGGGCTGTGTACCCTGAGGAGGACGCCAAGCTGGGCATGGGAGAGGGCAAGAAGCGGAAGAGGGTGTCCAAGGAGCGCAGGGAGAGGGAGAGGGCGAGACGGAGTGCGGTTGAGACGGGAGCGAAGTCGTAGACTCGCTCCTCCTCCTTCACGATCCCTCCGCGCAATCCACGGTTGACGAGAGACAATGCAAACGATGCAAATGACTAGACAGATACACCACGTTTCTCCCTCGCTCTTCACAACCCGATCCAGCTCGTCTTCCCACCGGGGTTGTGCAACCTCGTCTGCGAGATCTTGATCCTGTTGACCGTCGCGCCCGCCGCTCCTTGCTCCATTCCCTGACCCTCCTCCAGAATCGCCGACATCCGTCCTCCCTCGTTCGAGCCCAGCATCGGGCTCGGCGCAGACGCGAACGCCGCTTCGCTGCCTCCCAGCACGGGACTCAACGCTCCAGCCCTTCCACCTCCAACGCCCGAAGAAGTCGAGAACGTCGCGCTTGTCGGGCTCGCGAGGCCGCCGAGCCCTCCGTTAGGACCGGAGAGGGGAGCGGTGATGGCGAGGTAGACTTGGGCGGACCACTCGAACCAGACGCGCTTCTTGGTATTGTCCGTCAGACGCCAGATCTGGACGTCGAGCTCGGAAGAGGCGGGGAGGTAGATGGGGTCCTGCAGAAAAGAAATAACGGACGTGAGTAACGCTTCACGATATTCGTCCACGCCGGCGATGTCTCGAGGATGTAGAGTCTTTAGCGAGGCGTGAGAGAAAGCGTATGACTCACGGCGAGAGGGAAAAAGATGGGGAACCAGCTAAGCATGTCTCCCGCCGCCCGTTCAGGGTGGATCGAGAGCATCACGTCGCCGTAGAGGACCGCCTCGAAGTAGCCGGCAAAGCCGTGGCAGACGCCTGCGCGGGGGATGTGGAAAGAGAGGTGGGCGGAGCGGGCGTTGTGGTGGTTCGTAAAGGGAAGGCCTGCGAGCGAAATTTGGGTCAGCCTGCGAGGAAAGGAGAACAGCGGAGCGACGTACCCTGCTCGTCCGTAACGACGTCTGGCCGAGGGTGGTCGAACGTCCAGCACTCCTGCACCTTCTCGACTCCCATCCGCCCGCCCGACGCGCTGAGCGTGTGGAACTGGGAGAACATGACGACGTAGGGCTGCTCGGCGGGCTTGGCGTCCATGACCGTTGCTGCTGAGGCGACTTGCGGGTTCGTGACTTCCGTATGCAGGCGGGAGGTCGAGATCGGTGCGAGGTAAGAGGTGTACGAAGCGGGAATCGAGATGCCGTCCGCTGCGAGCGAGACCGGATCAGCTGTGATACGCGCGAGAGTGAGCACTTCGACGTACGCTTCAGCGTCCGCATAACACCGTCGAGGCACTCGGGACTCAGCTCGTTGTCGCCGAAGGAACCGAGGAGCTCGCTGACGATGATATCGGCCTTTTCGCGCGGGTTGAAGCTCCGCATGTCAGAGTAGACGAGCTTGACCTGGCTACCCCACTCGAGTGCGGAGCGTTCTTGCAGGCTGTGCGAGGCGACTGTTAGCACGATGAGGGGCGTAGGAGAAGCGAGAGAACGAACATGACGAAGGCGCTGGGGTTCTTCTCGACGGCCGTGAGCGAGATCCGCCGTTGCGCCCGCTCCGCAGCTCGCAAGCAGCCCGCGACAAGCGGTCCCCGTCCTGCACCGACGACAAAGATGGTCCTGCGGGAAGAGGGGAAGTCAGTCTGCGCCCGGGCCAAACTCGCGTAAACCGAGACGCACGTCACCATTCCCTGCGGCCTGTCCAACAACGCCCTGTAGACCGCCTCCTCATACTGCCTGTACTTGATCGGGTCCTTCTCGAACCCCTCGTACGTCTCACCCTCGAGGTTGTCCATCAACGGCTGCAAAGGCTGTTGGAGGTGGTCCATGTAACCCTGCGCGTACTCCTCGACGGGGACGAGCTCCTGCGACTTGCGGTAGAGGAAGCGGACGTATTGCGCGTAGGCGAGGTGGCCGCCGGACGAGTGCAGTTGGCGGTGCGTGCCGGAGAGGATGACGGTCGGGCGGAACTGCAGGCCATACGTCTTGGCATCAGCGTCGTCCGCTCACAATGCGAGCGCTAAAAGGTAGCGCGACGGGCCCACCTTGAAGATGGCCTTGAGGAACGCCTGCATGCTCTTCGAGAGGACGGGGTACGCCTTGGCGTTCGGGATGAAGGTCGAGCACGGGAGGAAGACGTGCTTGAGGGGCTCGGCGGACCAGCGGCCAAGGCTGCGTGCGGAGGGAAGCGGATTCGACAAGTCGAGAGCTGCGCGAGGATGAGGTGAGAAGGTCAATCTGCGAGGGGGGTGAAGGCGAGCGCACTGAGGCTGAGGCGAGGCGAGTAGTTGCACATCCCTCGCAGGGTGTTCCACATCTCCCACGTCTCGCAGCGGTCGGCGTCGCCTACTGCGGCATGGAAAGCAGGAGTGCCGGGACGGGCGGCGAGTTCGGAGGCCGTATACTCGGCGACGGGCAGGCGGATCGAGATCTGCACAGGCGCCGTCAATTGCGAGTTCTTCATTGACTTGAAGAATTGCTTACGTTGATGTGCCAGCTGCTCGCCAACGCGCCGTTGATCGCGCGCGCATAGTCGGCCAAAAACTCGCGGTTCTCAAGTTTCGGCGGAGGGAGGATGATGGTCGCGATGGAGAGGTAGGACGCGTAGGCGATCTCTTGTCGCAAGGCGAGCTCGGCGTCGAAGCGGATGCCCTCAACGGGCGAGTCGAGTTCGAGCCAGTCTGAGCCGAACGCGACGAGGCTGCCGGCTTCCTCTGCGGGCGTATTCACGACGAGTCGGCCATCAGCGATGAGGTCTCGTGATCACAGTGGCGGAACGGAAACGCACCGCTGCGCGTGATGTTGACCTCGTTCCGCAAGAAGCCTCCTCCGGACCTCCAGAACTCGGCCTCCCATCTCTGCCTCTCCTCCTGGGCAGTCGGCACCGTCCCCGCCAACGCTCCCAAATCCGCCTCTGTCGCGCTCGCCGTAATAGTACACATCCTCTCCCACCTCTCCTGCCAATTCCCATTCGTCAACGGGACCGCAACCAAGTCGTATTCCGTCTTGCCTCCCCTCGCGCTCGCCGCGTACCCTCCCTGCGCAGCCTCGGCAGGCGTAGGTTCCCGCGGAGGGACGTACAACATGTTTGAGACGAGTTGCATGAGAGGAGTGCCTTCGGCGGGCAAGGGAGGGCCGTAGCCTGCTCCGCTCCCGACCACTTTGGACGGCTGCTGACCCCGCGCAGAAGAGGAGGAAGAGGTCGTCCCCGACCCGGAGAGGGGCAGGAGGTCCTGCGTGAGGTGGAGGGCGATGGGAAGTCGCTCCATGTTGCGCGAGGAGGGTCGCGTGCAGCGAGAGACGGGGAGGGCGCCGGGAAAGGGATCGGTCGTGCACGGGCGAGACTCTGCAGCACTGTTCAGACCGTAGCACACCAAGCACGAGCAAGCGAGAGTTCGAGGTTTGCGAGAAGAAGAAAGTCGCGCGTCGACGCAGAGACCAGGGCAATGGCTCCGCCGAGGTCGAGCGAGCGCTTTGCAAGGCTCGCAGTGACTGGCAGAGATCACTGACAAGGACTCTCAAGCGGCAGACGCAGCGGAACGAGGCAAGCGCTCCTATCGCTCTCCTCAACGGACTCGCACCGACTGAGCGCACGAGCGACGATGGATCATTCCCTCCCCATCGACACAGTACGAGGATTACAGCCCGTCTCCCTTCCCAGCCACCCGTTCCTCCGATCACTCTGTTTGACGAGAGAGAGAAGAGAGAAGAGGTTCGGCGGTTTAGGCCTCCTGGCGGGGACCGCCACGGCCGACACCACTGCGTGGTGAGCAACATAATTAGTGAGCTGGCTACCGCTGGATGCAGCCATCTCATGCCCAGCTTCGTGCGAAGGCCGAGCAAGTCGAGGCATCTTCAAGCAGCGGACGTGCAGACTCACGCGAACCTGGGCTTGAAGTCACCCGCACCCTCCTCCTTGGCACCCTCGCGGCGCCTGTATCCCTCCTGGTCACCGCCACGGGGCGCGCGGTACGCACCCTCGGGGCGCTGGGCCTGGCCGGGACGCGGGGCGCGAACCTGCTTCTTGTAGGTCGCGGGGACGATCTGTGCGAGAGAGTGTGTGAGCAGGAGAAGGTAGGGGAAGGACGGAGGGGGACGAACCTCGGCGGGGAGGTGGAGGTACTCGCGGAGGTAGTCGATACCCTCGGGGGTGAGGGTGTACTGTTGCGCGCCGTCGATCCGAGGTTAGCTCGGGCTGCCTACAATCCTGCCAGAAAGGAATGCTGGACGCACGTAGTAGTACTGCCACGAGAAGTGGGTGGTCAAGTACCCGCGCGAGGTGAGCGACTGGCAGGCCTTGATGACGAAGAGGTTCTTGACATCGAGCTCCTGGTGCTTGGGCGCGTTGTAGTCCTTCTTCGCGACGAGAACGCCGTCTGTGCACCGTGCGAGCCGACTGTCAGCTCCTGGGTGGAATTGGAGGTCGAGGCGTGAGTGGAAGCGCACCCTTGAAGAGGTTCTCGTAGATCGTGCGCCTGTCGGCCTTGGGAATGATCATGCTGGGCCTGTCAACGCGGGCGTACAGAGCGAGCGTCGGATCGAACGAGGGGATGGAGAGACGAGCGAGGTCAGCGCGGCCGTCCCAGCGCAAGTCGCGGCACACCTGGTTGTCCCGTCCTCGCGAGCTGTTCCCGTGCATGCCAGTGTCCTCCAGAGCTCCCGCTGGACCACCCTAGCGAGCCTCTGCCCTCCGAACGGCGAGTGCAGCGTGTCCCCGCCTGCTCGCCTCGACCCGCCTGTCCCGACCGCATGCGTGCCCATCCCTCGCCCGCCCGTCCGTGCGCGCCCGTCCACCGTTCCAGCGTGCGCGTGTACGTGTGCTCTGCTCGTGCGCACTGTGCAATGCAGCGCTGCCTCGCGCGCGTCGAGTGTGCGTGGGTTGTGAAGTCTCTGCTGAGCTCGAGGTTGGGCTGGCTGTGCTCGCTCGCGGTGTCGCTTGGCGGGGATTGTTGGTGGGTGGCATGTGAGAGTAGCAGTGTGCAGCTCACGCGAAGAGGTGACTCTAGGTCGTGTGGACGGACGCAGGAGTGAGGAATCAAGCGAGGTGCGCCTCGAGGCGACGAGGACAACCCGCGAACTGGCTCGCTCGCATCCAGCTCGAGTGGGCTGGGAATACTTGCAAGTGAAATATGAGAGCGTACTGGGATTTACCGGGCTGTCAAAGCGGGACTCGGAGCGAGTGGCTGCTCCTCGCTCTGCCTGCTGCTGTCGCTTGACATCTCGCTCACCACTCGCCAGCTCAGACTCACGCTGCGACTGCTCAGACTCGCTCGCTCGTACTCGCGCGCAGCCATGGCGAGCCGCGCCGCCCCGCCCGCCTTCCTCACCCCCTCGCCCACCGCTCTCCGCAACGCACTCTCGATCCTCGCCGAGCGAGAACACCTTCGCCGGACTCTCGCAGCCGAACGCAGGAGCGGATGCCAAGTGCGGATACACGGGCGCGGCGAGCCCGCGAACGGCGCGACGGACGATGACTGCGAGGGGTGGTATTCCGTTTCGGCGGGAACTTCGCGGGAGAATGTGGCCAAGAACCGGTGCGTTTCGCTTGCGGGTCCTACACGGGCACTACTGAGAGTAATGTAACCGGCAGGTACGGCGACATCGTTGCGTACGACCGGACTCGCTGTCTGCCCCCACCTCGAACGACTGCCTCGTCCGACGAGGCAAACTATGTCAACGCGTCGCTCGTGCGCGAACCTGATCTCGGTTTCGACGAGAGGGACGTGCCTAGACGGTGGTGGGTCGCTGCGCAGGTCCGTCTCGTGCCGCTTCATCCTTCGAAACTTCGTCCTAACCTTCGACTCCTCCAGGCGCCTATACCGCAAACACTCCACGACTTCCTCTCCCTCCTCCTCACACCTCCCTCTTCCCTCGCACACCAGTCCCTCTCCCCACCAGCCACCGAGCTCCCTCTAATCAACCTCATCGTCCAGCTCACCCCCCTCGTCGAAGGACGCCGCCAAAAATGCCATGCTTACTTCCCCGCGAACGTAGGCGAGACGGCACGGATACCGTCTGCGAGTGGAGAGGAAGGGGAGGGGGTGTGGATTCGTTTGGAGGAGAAGAGGGAGAGCGAGGGTGCGAGGGAGAGTTTGCTGGGAGTGGGAAAGGAGGGGGATGAGCAGGGACGGAAGGTGGTGCATCTCGAGTATTTGGGATGGCGGGATCATGGTGCGTTTGCCTAGACTTTGCCCTCGCCGACTCGGGCTGACCACGTCTCTACTCGCAGGAGTTCCGGAAGACGCCTCCCACCTGCTCCGCTTCATCCAGCGCGTCCACTCGCTCAACGCCTCCCTCTCACTCACCCCCTCCAGCTCACCCTCCCCAATCCTCCTCCACTGCTCAGCAGGCGTTGGCCGAACAGGCACCTTCATCGCCATCTCCTCGCTCCTTCCTTTACTCTCCTATCTCTCCCTACACCCCTCCACACCTCTTCCAATCCCACCACAAGACCCTTCCCATCCTCTCGGCGCTTACCCCGCACATCGAACGCTTCTTGAACCCAACTCGGGAGCGCAAGAGCGGGCGGTGGTGGATTATGTAGGAGCGACGGTGGATGGACTGAGGGATCAGAGGACTACGATGTGTCAGACGAATGAGCAGGTTGGGTGGGTCTGGGAGGCGCTGAGGGAGGCGTGGAGGGCGGGGCTGTATTGAGCGACTGCAGGCGGGAGGATGGAGAGGAGAGGAGAGGAGAGGCGAGTTGTAGATAGCGACGGGTGGGGTTGTTGTGCATCTCGAGCATGTCTTGCGCCGCACAAGTCGAGAGGAGGGAAAGGCAAAGAGTCGTTACAAGCAACAACGGCAACTCAGAACGAAGCACGACAGGCCTCTACGTACTCAGCCACACGCCTCGGCTGCACGCTCACACATCCACCAAATCCCACTCCTCGTCGTCCTCCTCATCCTCCTCTCCTCCTTCTCCGAGCACAACAACTCCACTATCGCCCATCGAGTCGCTCGTCGTCCTCGTCCTCGTCCTTCCAGGCTTGATCGTCGAGGTTGAGCCGAGGGAGGAGGGAGGTGCAAAGGCGAGGGCGGTGTAGTGGGTGACGGCGTGAGGGAAGGAAATGGGGAATGAGGAGGGGGAGAGCGTGGTGTGAGGTGGAGATGGGTCGGGCGGGAGAGGGGGCCTGCGGACGAGCGTTGGTCAGCGGACTCAGCCTGATCTAGTGCAAAGGGAACGACGCACGCATCTGCTGCGTCGACGCCCGCGGCCTTCGTGATAAGCGCGCCAAGGTCCTCCAAGTCCTCCAACCGCAGCAGGTCCGCGCCTCTTCCGCTCCGCACCTCGCGCGACCAAGCAATGTACGCCAAATCAAACGCCAGCGCAACCGCACCAACAAGCACCGCCTTGGCCCTCTTGGTCGAGCGCTTTGTCCCTCCCGACGCAGACGACCGCAAATCCGATTTCGAAGACCTCGCCGACTTGCGCGACGAGTTGTCGTCCGAATCGACTTCGTCCAGCGCCGCCTCCTGCTGTGACTTGCTGTTGCGAGCGGAAGAGCCGGATTTGCGTACTGCGAAGCACAGCGGCCAGCAGTGTCCGCCTGGACCGGCACCTGCGACGCGCTTGCGTCCCTCCTTGCTCGAGCGAGCCGAAGCGTCCTTTTCGCGCTCCTCGCTCTCGTCTCGCGCGTCCCGCAAGCCCCAACCAGGCGTCGCCTTCACTCCGGCCTTGCCCGGCCCGAAACAGCTGGGCAACGGCGTGAAAGGCAGGAGGACGCCTTCGTAGAGTGCGAGGAGGCGCGTGATGTGTAGGATGTGCGAGAGGAGGGCTTCGAGCTCGCGCGTTGGGAGGGTGAGGAGGGCTGAGAGTGGAGGAAGGGGGAGGGAGGCGAGGGTGTAGGCTGGAGGAAGGCTGGAGGGAGACTGGCTGGCGGTGAGTGTTGCGGTCGGAGGATACATCGACTGGTTGAGCGGCGTCGGGAGGAAAGGGTCGGGGAGGGGCTGCTCTGTCCGCTGCAGGGCAAAGACGGCGAGCAGCTCGACGGATAGGATGCGTCGAACGCGAGCTGCTTCGAGGACGAGTTCGTTGTTGCGAGAGACGAGAGATTCGAGCTGGCCCTCGAGAGCTGGTAGAGAGTGAGGTAGGGAGAGTGACGAAGTTGTAGGGCCTTGCAAGGCGAGAGACGAGAGAAGCGATCTTGCGGTCGACAAGTTGGCGCGCCGAGAGGCGATGGCCGCTCTCCGAGCGATGACTCTCTCTTGCTCTGCAACGAAGGGTGTGTTCAGCACACTTCACGCAAGCCCGAGGGAGTGGGCGCACCCGACTCATTCGCCGTCTTGCCCTTTGCGACCGCCTCCCGCGCCGCATACGCCCGACTCGCCAGCGTCCACTTCTCTGCCTTCATTAATCGTTCGTCCTCGACCCCTAGAGCCGCGCTTCTGCCTCCGCCGGGAGTTGTGGCGGGTCGTTCGGTACCCGCGAGGAGAGCAGCGGCCTTGCTCGTGACGAGGGTGAGAGCGTTCCGCAGTTGCTGGCTCCGGGCGTAATGCTCTGCTAGTCTGCGTCCATGCCGGCGCTCAGCATCAGTTCTGCTCCCGTGTCGACGCCGCGAATCAGTCATCAGGACGAACCTCTGCGAGATGCAGTCGTGGCAGAACAAGGCCCTGCCAGGCTCCACGCGCAGGCAGGCGCCGCACTGCGAGCTCATACAAGCGTGTCCAGCAGCAGCAAACACGCCCTAGCCAAGTGAGAGGTGAAAGTCGCTCATCAACTCGCGAAGCCCCACCTCATCAGTTTGACCCTGTACAGCTCCCGCTTGCTCGACTGATGGGCGCGGCAGTGTCCCAGCCGCAGTCTGCGCTTACTGCAGCTGCTTCGGCGGGCAAGGCGCAGCCTGGCGCGGACCCGTTCTTCGCTGAACTCGGCGGCGAGGTCCACTATGATCGCTCGTGCGTACAGCCGCTCATCGGACGATGCGTGCCCTGATAGGCTCTCTTGCACTCGTAGGATGGGCTCCTCGCGGTTCCTGAAGGCTGTCAGGGGGAGGCATCGCCAGGGAGCGCTCGTCGTCAAGGTGTTTGTCAAGCAGGACCCCTCTATCTCGCTCAAGCCGTTCGTTCGCAGGCTGAAAGGTGCGTTAGAGCTCTTATGTGTACCATTTCCGCTGTGCTGACAGGTAGGCTATCGAATTGCGCAGCCGAGCGGGAAGCTCTCGCGGATTGTCCGAATGTGCAGGCTTACGGAAGAGCAATTGAGACGGAACGAGCGGGATACCTGATGCGGCAGTGGGTTGCAAGCAACCTCTACGACCGTATCAGGTGCGTCGCCCATTGCAAGAGTGCGAGGCGAATCATGCTGACCGCTTTCCACTCTCGCAAGTACTCGACCTTTCCTCTCGTCCGTCGAGAAGCGGTGGATCGCCTTCCAGCTTCTGACTGGCCTCAAGTACGCACGTGAGCGAGGGGTACGTACAGTCACGAAAAGGCAAGGAACTTGAGCTGACCCGTTAACGCTCTGGCAGATCTCGCACGGCGACATCAAGACCGAGAACGTTGTCGTGACATCGTGGAATTGGGTCTACCTCACCGACTTCTCCTCCGCCTTTAAGCCGACGCATCTTCCGCTCGACGACCCCTCCGAATTTTCCTTCTACTTCGACACCTCATCGCGTCGAACCTGCTACATCGCGCCCGAACGCTTCTACTCTTCTGACTCCGAGACCGCCAAGAAGAAGGAGTCGCTCGAGATTGGCAAGCGGGACGGCAAGATCACAGAAGCGATGGACGTCTTCTCGCTCGGCTGCGTCTTGGCGGAGTTGTGGATGGAGGGGACGCCACCGTTCACACTCAGCCAGCTCTTCAAATATCGGCAGGGCGAGTACAGCTTGGAGTCATACCTAGCAGAGATTGAGGATATCGAGATTAGGGTGGGTCCGATTTGAGCGCGCTGTTCGACACCTCGCTGACTCGGTGGTTTGCCAGTCCCTCATCCGAAGCATGGTCTCCCTCGATCCCTCCTCTCGACTCTCCTTCTCCAACTATCTCAACCAGTACCGCGGAACCGCGTTTCCCGAGATCTTCTACACCTTCCTCCATCCCTTCCTCTCCTCCCTGACCGACTCTGCCTCGTCCTCCGCGCCCCCACCCGTACCGAGCCGACCAGGAACAACAACACCCGTTACTGGCGATGGCGCTGGACTTGCTGCGCGACAGGAGCACACCCTCTTGCGGACGGATGCGGACGACAAGATTGAGCGAGTGTGGACGGAATGGGAGATTGTCGCGCGGTATCTGGACGAGACGGTGCCGAAGGAAGACCTGCAGAAGGATGCGCCAATATCGGACGAGCGACATAAGCGCCACTCGCCTGCAGAAGTGCGTATTGTCCTCCACTTTCTCCTCTGCTATGCTCATTCGGCTTTTCGCAGACCTTCTTCCCGATCTGCTTGCACCTTCCCGGACAGGAGGGCAATGTCGTAGCCTCGGGTGCTAGCCAAGGTGCGTCTCGTCGCGCGTACAGCTTCATTCGCACAGCTCACCCGGACTTGCCTGGCAGACGGACCAGCTCTCGTCATCCTCGCCCTCGTCTGCGCAAACGTCCGCAACTGCGTCCGACCAGCATCCGTCCTACGCGCCCTTGAGATCTTGCTCGCCCTGAACCGCTACTTGACGGATGAGACGCGGCTTGACCGCCTCGTGCCGTACCTCGTCACGCTCCTTTCCGACGATGCGGCGACGGTGCGAGCGATGGCACTCCGGGTACTGACGCAGACGGTACGCTTGTTCTGTGCGATTTCTTCCCTGCGTCTCGCTAACATGCCTCTTCTGCAGCTCATGCTTGTTACTACGCTCACGCCTTCGAACGTCGACGTCTTCCCCGAATACATCTTCCCGAACGTCCGACCACTCGCCAACGACGTCGACATTCTTCCTCGCGAGACCTACGCACTCTGCATCACGCCGCTCGCCCGCACCGCCCGGAGGTTCCTCGACTTGGCCGAGGCGCTCAAGACGGAAGGCGCGTTCGAGTTGTCGGGACTGCAAGACTTTGAGAGTTCGCCGTACACGGTGAGTCGTCTTGGTAGTCCTGCAGAAGCCGCTGAGCTGACAAGCCGCGTGGCAGGGCAACTTCGACTCGCGCCTGCAAGAACTCCACGCTCTGGTGCAAGAGCACATTGGCCCGCTTCTCACTGACCCGTCAACTGCCGTCAAGCGAGCCCTTCTTTCGAACATTGGCGACCTCTGCGACTTCTTCGGCCGTCTCAAGGCGAACGACGCAGTTCTCGCTCACCTCGTCACCTACCTCAACACGCGCGACTGGCTGCTGCGGAAAGCGTGGAACGAGCACGCTGTTGACGTCGCAAAGTGCGTAGGGCCACGCAGCCTTGAGGAGTACATCCTCCCGCTCATCACGCTCAGCTTGGCCGGTTCGTCCACTCGCCTCTCCGCCGTGATCTGCCTCAGCTCACCCTTCGTCCCCCACAGACCCTGAAGAGTTCGTCGTCGTCCAGGTCCTCGAGTCATTGACCTCGCTCGCGTCTCAGCGGCTGCTCACAAAGGGCAAGATCTGGGAGCTAGTCAGCCCAGTCGTCAGCTTCCTCTGTCACCCGAATATCTGGATCCGCGAAGGCGCGGCCCTCTTCCTTTCGACCGTTGCGTCCCTTCTCGAGCCGACCGACAAGTGGTGCATCCTCTACCCGACCATCAAGCGCCTCCTCCGTTCGGACGTCAAGGAGATCACGGCGCTCTCGCTGCTCGACAACGCGCGAGAACCTATCTCGAGGGTCGTCTTCGAAGCTGCGGTGGCGTGGGCCGGCAAGAATGGGAAGAGTCACTTCTGGTCGGCGACAAAGGGACCTGCGAAGGGCGCGCCTCGAGATGCGGGTGTGCGGACAGACGAGTGCGTGCGAGTCGGCGAATTGCTTCCCTACTCATCGCTGAGATGTTGCGTTGCAGAGACCATGCTCAGCTCGAGCGGCTGAGGCAGCTCGGCATGTCGATCGAGGACGAGTACAAGCTGACGGCCATGCGAGATTACATCGCCAAGATCGCGTCGAGCCGACAAGCGTGAGTCCGCAGTCCCGGTCGATTCACCAGTGCACGCTGACTCGGTCATACCCTCAGCATGCCTTCACGAGGTTTCGACTCGCCCGACGCCCTCACGCCTTCTTCGTCGACCGCCAATCTTCAAGACCTCGGCATCGTCCCGCAAACCATCTTCTTCTCGGTACGGTCGCCTGAAGAGATGCTCAATGTCGCAAGGAGTCGACTACAGGGCGACACCCTCACTCGCCGTTTTTCGTCAACGTCCGCGACTAGCTCGCCCCGTGCTCCTGCTTCCCTCGACCTCAACCGCCCTGTTGGCAGTCGCACCGTCAGCGGACAGCCCATCGAGGACTTGCGAAGACGGCTTGCTGCCGGTGCAGCCGTCAAGTCGGATTCGTCAGCATCCCCGGCCAGCGTGCAGGATGGCACCGAATCCGACTCGACCGCTCATGCCCCGACGCCGAAGGCTGACCGCCTCGACCTGCATCGCACCGTGTCGAACGCTTCGACGGATGCGTCAGAAACCACGACAGCGACTACAGCAACTTCGACTTCGACGGTCCCGAAGGTTCGTAGCCGGATCCGCCTGAACGCTGTCGAGGTCGGCAAGGTCACCGCAGCGGTCGCCGAAGATCCGACGAACGCGATGGGCCTATTCGACGTCGACGCGCGGTACAAGGCGAGCGCAGGTGACGGCGCGTCGGTCACTGGCGACGCTTTCTCGCAGGCGCCGACTCCCGTCGAGAAAGGCGGACCAGCGAAACAACTTCCTCTGCCGCAGCGCTTGGTTTCGACATACGGTGCGTTTCTCGCTCGCTCGACTGCACTTTAATCGCTGACCTTCGCGCTTGAACAGAGGGCAACGATCCGAACATCAAGCAGCTTCTCGAGCGGAACTACCTCGACAGCTACCGCGAGCCGCTGCCCGAACTCGGTCCGCATGTTCCGCCAGGCATCCCTCGTCGCAAAGCGCTGCGAACGAATTTTCCGCCTCGCGAACGGACACCGAACCGACCGGAAGGCACGCTTATCGCTCACCTCGTCGAACACACGGATGCCATCGTCTCGATCCAGGTCTCGCCAGACCAGCTCTTCTTCGTTACCGGCTCTCTCGACGGCACAGTCAAGGTCTGGGATGCGATGCGCCTCGAGAAGAACGTGACGAGCAAGTCAAGGCAAACGTTCCAGCAGGGCGGCAAGATCACGTCGGTCTGCATTCTCGACAACTCGCATTGCGTTGCGAGCGCTTCGACGAACGGCTCGATTTGGATTCACCGCGTCGACGTCAGCTTGTCGGGCCAGATGCCGCGCTACAGCAAGCCGCAGCTGATTCGGCAGTATACGGTCGACGATGGCGGTCATGCGACCTGTCTCGCCAGCTACAACACCGGTCCGTTTGCTCTCCACGTTGCCTCTTCTCTCTAGCTGACTTTTCGTCCCGCAGACACCTCGACCAACCTCGTCTTCGGCACCTCCCTCTCAAGCATTGTCGTCCTCGATATCCGAAAGATGCGCGCCGAGCACGAGTTCGCCAACCCTCGCCACTTCGGTCCAGTTACGGCTCTCTGCCTCGACCGCAAGCACCTTTGGCTCGTCTCGGGCACGGCAAACGGCGTCTTGAGCGTCTGGGACCTCCGCTTCGGGCTCTTGCTGAGAAGCTGGAGTATCGGACCGAGGCGGATCCACCAGATTGCGGTGCATCCGGTCAAGGGTAAAGGGAGGTGGATCGTTGTTGCGGCCGACCCGGACGACGGCTTGTCTTCAGCTGGCTCGTCAGACTTCAGCAAGCCCCGCCGCTCGAGTTCGGCTGCGACTGCCCCTTTGCCCGGCACGACTGTCGCCGAGGTCTGGGACATCGACCGCGGTCACAAGGTGGACGAGTTCCGCATCGTCTCGCCGCAGCAGCAGTCGGCGCAGAGCACCGCTCTCGCAAACCGTACCAACGTCTTCGCCAGCAGTGCTCCGGCGACGTCGAGTGTCTCGATGCAGGACGCCTCGCTCGACCCAGCCGCCGCAATCGAAGCGCTTCTCGCCGCCTCTACCGCTCCTCAGCCAGCCGCAACCGCCAAGTCGAGCGAGGCAGGTCGACAAGCTGTTCCGCCCATCCAGCCAACGGTTCGAGCGTTCCTCCTCGGCACCGACTACTCGATGCAGACGACGACCCGCCCAGCCGCAAGCCACCTCGTCACGCTGCAGGATCAGCAAGACGGCTACGGTCGCGAGGCGGCTGCGAAGGGCGCGGCAGGGAAGGACAAGGACGGAGGGTTCCTCATTACTGGCGGGGAGGACCGCAAATTGCGGTTCTGGGATCTGGGGCGCGTCAGTAGAAGCGCAGTTGTGAGCGGTTTGGGCATCGACGAGGAGGTGCCGACGTTCAGGTGCGTTTGTTTCGCTCGCGTTGTTTTCTGGATCTCGCTGACTCTCCTCGTTCCGCAGCACGCATACGTCGACCGTCCGCCCTTCACCGCAAGCCGACCCCATTCAAAGCACGATCCACCTCGAGTCGACCGCTCCTCCTCCCACCCCCTCGCAACCTTCCTCCTCCTCTCGGCCCTCCCGTCCCGCCGCGCCCCCCTCCTCGCGCGTCCACCGCTCCACCCTGATCGCCAACTCGCAGCAACAGCTTCTCCGCGCACATCAGGAGGCGATCACGGCTGTCAACGTGCTGGACTTGCCGTTCAGGTGCGTTGTGAGCGGCGACAGGGCGGGTGTCGTGAGGGTGTTTGAGTAGCTTTTGCCTGTCTGTACTGGTTGTCGAGTTTGTTGTAGCAGTAACGCAGCGTTCCTCGTCTCGCTCACTCGTCCCGAGAGACCCGACTGTGCGGCGAAAGCAAGGAAAGAGCTGGCGTTGGAGCCGCTCCTCCTCTTTGGCCAATTGCAAAAACTGCGTGGATGGATAACCTAGTTGTTGAAACAAGCACTGAATGTGGTGGGGTAGGTACTGCGGGGAGGACGAAGGTGCGCCGTTGGGGGCGCGGGTACGAAGAAAGGGGGTGTGGGTGGGGTACTGCCGAAGACGAGGACGAAGGGGACCGACGAGGACGAGGGGGAGACAACAATTGACCGCTGTTTTTTGTTCACACGAGAAGAGAGGACGACGAGAGACCGCCTTCGATGGCGGCCGTGGTGGACTCGACGTCCTCGATCTTTCGCTTGCGGTTGTTGGCTGCGCCTCCGGGTGCCGTCCTGTCGCCGCCGAAATGTCAGCACACGTTCGAGCGCGAGCGCGAGGGCGCAGGGATACGCAACGCACGAGACACTCTTGTCGACGACCAAGCTCCTCAACCATCCATTCTCCGTCCTCAACGTCTCGACCTCCTTCTCGAGCACCGCCACGCGCTCCTTCAACTCCTTGGCAGTCTGCTCAAGCGCCTGCTCGCGCTGCTTCTTCTTGACGCGGAAGCGCGCGCTCGCAGCCGTGTTGCGACGGCGGCGGTCCTCCTCGATCGCGAGCCGGTTCAGCTCTTCGTCCGTCATGCCCGTCGTGTCGATACCCTCGGGGAGAGGGAGCGAGCGGCCTCCGACGTTGGCGGCGGGACTCGCGGCGGCGGCGGCAGCAGCAGCGGCAACAGCAGCAGCCTCCTTCGCCGCGGCAGCCTTGGCAGCGGCCGACGTGGTGCTCGTGCGCTTCTTCTTCGCCGCGCCGTTGCCCTTCCTCGACGTGACGGTCGAAGCGGGCGTGTGCGCAGCCGAGGTCGACGCCTCGGCGGGCGAGAGGGTCGCTGCGGATCCGGTGGCCGGGGTTTGCGGGACGACGAATGACGGGAGGGACGGCTCGACGAACGAAGGGAGGCTCAGAGCGGGGTCGACGAGCGATCCGGCGAACGCGGCGTCGCCATTGTTTGCGCCGCCGAGGAGCGCGGAGAGGTCGACGGTCGAGGTGAAGTCGGCGGGTGCGACGGTCGACGGCTGCGGGTGCGGCTCTTCGGCGGCGAGGGATGCGCCGAGCTTGTTGGCGTAGTGCTGTGAGAAGCCGAACTCGCCGACACGGGCGTGCGGGAGTCCAGGCGACGAAGGGACGAGCGGTTGGGCGGGTCCTGCGTCGGCAGGGGGCGAGTCAAAGTCGAACGCGACGGTGGTCCACTGCTCGAGCTGAGCCTGGAGAGCGTCTGGGTCGCACGGGAACGACACTGCGCGTGCAAGGAGAGCGTGTGAGCGTGCGACTCGCTTGAAGGGGTCCCTTTGTGATGAGCGAGCGCACGGGTGAGGTCGCTGCGGTCTCGCGCGGGCCCGTTGGCGGGCGTGGTGCCGGGCGACGGGGCCAGCTGCAGGCTGGCAGTGTCAGTGCGTGTCCCGATACGCGCATCGAGCGGTGAGCGGGCGCACCTGGTTCAGCTGTGAGCGCGGGACCGGGGACGAGGACGGTGTCAGCTCGCGCGCTCGCGGGAGTCGCTGTGGGTCGGCACACCTGTTCAAATGCCCACGAGTGGCCGCTCATCGTGGCGTGCGCTGTTCCTTGAGCGAGTGAGAGCGGGCGATAGAGACGGACGCAGGCTGACACAGCCAGAGTCCCTCGGCGCGGGACAGCTTCAACCGGCTCAACTTCGCAGGACGGGCGCAACGTGCGTGTGATAGAGTCTAGTCGGTACACGCAATGCTCTACACCCACTCAATCCCGCGCAACTGCCGTCCGCGCACGCTTCCACGCCGTCCACTGCCGCGAAATCATCTCGTTCGTCACCAGCGTAACGACCGTGTGCGGTGCGATCCTGCAGGGAGCATGCAAGGAGTCAGTACAGCCGGTACTGCGAAAAAAGAACGCCTCCGCGGCGAGAGCGAGGCGAGTAAGGCCGTCGAACGCTCCAACTCATCCTCGACCTCGCTCGCTCGCCACGGAGGCTCCAGGGACGCAAAATACTCGCCTCATCAGGTGGGCTGACGTTCCCTTGTATAGTCCAGCGAAGCCCTCGGTCCTCCACGTCTTCCAGAGGCAGTCGATGGGGTTCTTGTCTGCCAAAGCCAAAGCCGAGGTTAACTTCCCCGTCCGTGCTCGGCTGTTCAGCTTGTGAGAGGAGAATGATACGCACAGAGTAGCCCTCGAGGCTTGCCGTCGGGCCCGACCGAGTTGGGCGACTGGTTGTACATCCGCGTCAAGGCCGTGTCTGCGAGGCGAGGACAGAGTCAACGTCGTCAACTTTCGCTCTGCCTAATCCCACATGCTGCGGTGCCCAGAAAAGTGCACAGGGAACTGGCGACAAGGGGAAGGTGGGTAGGAGATTCGAGGACGAAAGGACGCACCCGCCGGCTGCATGACCGCGCACACGCACATCCCGCTGAACGTACTGCTCAGCAAGTACACTCCGACATTGTCCCCCATCCCCCACCCATTCAGCGTCGTCTTGGCCAAATTGTACGCCGGCAACTGCACGCTCGACCCCATCGCGGTCCTCAACATGGCTGCATCGACTCCGCGCGCGAGACCCTTGACGCCTTCTTTTCGCACGATGCTGGCGAGTCCGTTGAACGCGCTGGTGTAGTGGTGTTGTGCGCCGACGGGGTTGAAGGGCGAGTAGGCTTGCATGCGCGCTTTGACGAGGAAGAGGGGGTTGCCGAGGATCGCTACTTGTCCGCGATGGCCCGTATTAGCGCGTCACGTTCGTCTCAGATGAGGGGGGGACTTGGACGAACCTCCAACAACGCCGGAACTTGCACCCGCCAACAAACTCGTCCATGCGTGAACCGAGTTTTGCTCGTAACCCGCTACAGAGTTGATCGCGTGTCGGAACGGCTCGAAGAACCCTAACCGCGAGCCGTTGAGTGCGACCTGGTATGCGTACTGTGGAGACCGCAACGAGATCAGCGGGGAGAACCAAACGAGCGAAGGAAGCAAGACGGGACTGACCGCCGCTCCCAATCCCCGCTGGATTCCCCGCAAGCCCTCGAACCTCCAGGTCTTCTGCATGCAATCCAGCGCGCTCGTGTACACCCTCCCGCTCGGCCCAGCCTTGACGCTCGCATGAACCTCGGGAATCCCAGCTGCTGCCGCGCCTGATCCGGCAACCGCAGGCGCGAGCTTGATGTGCGCGCGTCCTTGCAATTCACCGTCGAGCTGCAGCCGTGTCTTGGCGACCTCCATCGGGTTCGTAACTGCCAGGACGGAGCGAGGTCAGCGATGTTGTGGGGGGTCGAGCAGGATTGAGGCGAGATGGAGCGGCGAGACGGGACTCACTCGTGACGGCCGTGCATGCTGCGAGTGCGCCAGACACGAAACCTGCAAGCGAGCGCCCCACGACCTAGTCAGCGACCCTGCGCGACTTTCCTCCCTCGAGGGATCCCGTCCCGCTTTGTCGACGGTGCCGAGGTCGACAACACGCATCGTTCGAGTCGGAGCAGCGCGCGAGCGTGCGAGAGAGGGTCAGGCAGCAGAACGAGATGGCTCACCCTCTGTCAAGCGGTGCGAGAGGGTCAGCCGAGCGTCCGGGTGTAGATTCAGACTTGATCTCGCGGTGGAAGAGAGCGAGAGAGGGGCGCACCGGCTGCGGTCAGCTGGATGGGTGGTTGTGCCGGCGTCTGCGTCGCTGCCTGTGCCATCGAGCGGTCTCAAGCGCGAGGTCGAGCGGAAGGGGTCGAGGCGGAGCTGGTGAAGCCGCGGAGTTGAAGTCGGCACCGACACCCTCACTCGTCTGGCTGGATTCGAGCAGCGCTGCATTGACTGCAAGAGCTCCCAGATCAAGATCCAGCTGGGCCGACCGCGAACCGAGCCGCCGTCGCCGTTCTGCTCCCTAGCCTCGAAGCGACGTCGACCCCTCGCACGGCCTGTACGGGACTGACAGGGTCGTTTACGACTCTGGAGAGTCGATTTCAACCGTATGAGGCTGCCTCAACGCCTCTCCAAGCCTCACACGACTCGCCAACTTCTACCCACTTCGTCATTCACTCTCGCCGGACGCCCTTCCTCTTCTACCGCTGTCTGAGCTTCCAAGTCTCCGCCGAGCGACGCTTTCGAGTGCATTTCACAGCCTCCGCGCTGCGACCATGCCTTGGAACGACACCCGACCCTGGATCAAGGATCCTGCAACCCGTTTCAGCTCTCCTCCTGATCCTGCCATCCTTGCCCGACTACATGACGCACACTGCCATCCGAGCGACGACGACGAGTTTGTGCCGGAGACGCTGCGAAGACTGAAGACGGGGATCCTCGTGAGTTAGGTGCGCCTTTCCCTCGAAACGCTGCTGAAGCTGACGGACGGCCCGAACAGTGCGCCATGAGCTCTTCGCTGGCGAACCAGGAGAAGACGCGGGAAGTGTACAAGGCGGACCCGGACAAGGTCGTCCCTTTCTTCGGTGCGTCGAGCCTTTGAACCTGTCTAATCCGTCTCTTTCGTCAAACTTACTTCCCACCCTTCGCAGGCCTGCATCCCTGGTTCTGCCACCCGATTTCTTTCGAGCCACCAGATGCTGTACCGGCCAAGGCAGACCACTATCGATCCCTCTTCCCCGATCTCTCCGACTCTTCCGCCGCGCGTCCATCCCTCTCCTCCGTCCTCGACTCTTTCCCCGATCCAGTCTCCATGTCGACCTACCTTTCCGACTTGGAAGCCAACCTCTCAGCACATCCGACCAGCCACGTAGGCGAGATCGGTCTCGACCGCGCCTTCCGAATCCCAACTCCTCCACACATCGCAGCGGACAAGCGCAACCCAAAACATACCGACCTCGCCACCCCCCTCTCGCACCAACTGCGTATCGTCGAAGCGCAAGTCGACCTTGCGATCCGGCTGGGCAAGAACATCAGCCTGCATTCGGTTCGTGCGCCGCAGGAGACGGTGGATATGCTGAGGCGGTTCAAGGAGGTCAAGGGCGAGGGTTGGCAGCGGATACGTGTATGCTTGCACTCGTTCGGAGGGAGCGCAGAGTCGGCCAAGCAGATACAGAAGGGTGCGCTTCGCTTTCCTCTTTCCTCCTTTCGATCAGCCCTTGACCTCTCTGACCTCCTCGCAGCACATCCGAACGTCTTCTTCTCGTTTGCGACTATCATCTCTGGTCGCTCTCCGCACTTCCACAAGCTCCTCCAAGCCATCGAGCCGGACCGCCTCCTCGTCGAGAGCGACTTTTCCGACACGCGAGAGATCGACAACCAGGTGCGTCCCCTCAAACGACCACAGTCTTTTCCCAATTGACCCCTCAGCGTTTGCAGATCTGGGAAGTCTTCCAAGAGATCCTTACCGCACTCTCCTGGACGCCCGAAGAAGCCGTCTCCCGCCTCGGAGCAAACTGGGAACGGTTCGTCTCGCCCATTGACGAGCGACCAAAGCCGAAGCTGAGCAACAGGGAGAAGAAGCGCGAGCGGAAGAGGGTGGACCTGTACGTCTCGGACGAGGAGGAAGCTTGAGATGAAGGGGGGGAGGAAAGGAACGAAGTCTCTCTCGCGTAGGCTGGCACTACTGCAGACAAGCGAGTCGCTACTCCAACAAACATGGGCTGAAGCGACTGCGCGAGGATAAAACCGAGTGTCCTATACGAGGTGCGAGCGAAAAGCGAAGGGAAGAACAGCACAGACGAGGAGAGACGGAAAGGTGTACAGTAGGATGAGAAGAGGAAACGCCAACAGATACGGGTGGGGTGCGGTATGAAGATGCAGCGCGAGGGTGGTGGGTCGGCGGGATAGACGAGGCGCAAGCGAGTCGATAGGTGGTCATGCGTGCGGCGTTGAGCCGGCAGTCGTAGTGTACATGCGAGAGAGTAGAAAGAGCGGCGGAAGGGGAAGGAAGGGGGGATTTCCCGGGAGAAAGTCGCCTGTGCCTCAAGGACGAAGCCGACCAGTCGCGACTGCACCTAAGCCTTGATCTTCTTCTTGTTGAGCGAGATCGAGGCGACCGACGACGCCGAGTGACTGCGCTTGAGGTGCGTGGACATGGCACGGTCGACCGGTCTGCGCAAGCCCGTCGCCGAGCCGGACGGGACAGCGTGCGCAGCAGCCCTCGACTCGCGTGGCGTGCGAGCCCAGGCGTTGATGAAGACGACGCGCTTAGCCTTGCGGTTGTAGAGGAACTGGAAGGTACTCCACAACAGGCCGCCGGTCGAGTCTTCGCCGTTGTCGCCGCCGAAGTATTCCTCCGAGTCGGCGACGGACGAGGGCGTGCCCGGCGGGAAGACCGACGCGATGCTCTTCATCGGCGAGCGAGTCGACCCAGCCGACCAGGGGAAGCGGGCGAGCGGCGTCGATGGACGGGCAGGGTACGCCGAGTGGCCGTCGACGCCGTCCATCTCAAACGCCATGCCATCGTCCGCCTCGAACGACTCGTCCTCTCCATCATCCTCGTCGTCGCTCTCGGCAGCGTGCGGGTCCGAGTCGATGTCGGGCGTGTAGGTGTAGACCTCGCACTCGCTCAAGTCGATGATCGGGTCGAGAACTTGACGGAGGAACGGGTTCGTCGCGATAGGGCCTTCGTGGTCGGTCGGAGTCGTGCCAGGGAGAGCGAGCGAGTCTGAGTAGGGCGACGAAGGGATGCCGAACGCAGATGCGCCCGGGAAGGACGAGAACGACTTCTGGCCAGTCGGCGACCTGAGGTGGTCGAGCGCGGCCGAAAGCGACGCCAAGACGCCGCGCGGGCTCTCCTCGCGACGGAATGACTCGGGGCGGACCTTGGAGAAGTCGTAGTCCGGGAAGGCGACGTTGAGGAGGCCGATGAGGAGCCAGAGCGTCTTGCGGCTCTGCGGCTTGTCGAGTGGGCCGAACGCCGAGTCGAGCAGGCCTTGGTGGTGCTCGGGCGGAGAGACGGACGTCGAGAGCGAGAGGTCCTGAATGAGCTCCGACTCGAGCGTCTTGAAGAGCTTGCGCTCCTTCGAAACCTGCTTGGTGGAGTAGGCTTCGATGCGAGTCGTGATCTTGAATGTCGGGGTCGACATGCTCAAGGCGCTCGACAACACATCGAGTTCAGGGATCTCGAGGAACTAGTGTAGGCAAAGGAGAAAGAGGGGGGAGAAGAGGGGGGTCGAACAGGAAGGCGTCGGCAACGAGGGTTCGCAGGCGGACGGGCAGGTTGGTCGCGGGTGGGAGGAATGCAAGGTGCACGTTCAGTATGCATTGTATGCGCCAGAGGAGGTGGGAGCGGGGTATCACCTTCATCAGCGGATGCGGGGGCGGACGGGGCGAGCCAGTTCAGGCGGCGGACAGCAGGACAAGGGAGGCGTGTTCGGCGGTGCGTGTGCCTGTAGACGGGTAATTTAGATGCACTGCATGGCGTTACACACCGATACGAGGCGTCCTGGGTCAGCTCGACTCGTTGCCGGACCCCCTCGGCCTCAGTGCAGGCGCATGCACTCGGGACTCACCAGGCGATACGGGCGGTTGTGGGCGATCGGACGTTGTTGTTGGGCGGCTTGGGGAGGGATAGGGCGAGGGAACGGAACCGCAATGTCTCGCTACAGCTGAGAGATTGACGGGAGGGTGTGTGGGCGATGAGAGCGTGGGCCGACGAGCAGACGATGCTGGCGGCGAGTTGGTGCGTGTGAGTGCGAGTGTGAAGCTCAGCAGTGATTGTGCGGGATCATCCAGCAGCGTCCGAGGTGGTTGAGGTGAGTGTCGAGGACAAGGGCGGCCGGCAAGAGGCGGGACGAGAGGATGCACGTTCGCTCTCGACAACATCGCCTGCTGAGCAGTCTGAGCAGCGTGACAGGGCACAAGTATCGCTCTGCACACAACACACGACTGAGCCGGGCCATCGAACGCGTCCGCCGCCGTCGACGCCGCGCACAACAGCCCGCTTGTTTGGCCTTCGCTGAGTGGCTCGCGGTGTGCGGTGAGCGCTTGCAGAGCGTTGGGGGACTCGGGCTCACGTCTCGGAGCAGCCTGCGGGGACAGGCGAACCCGCAGAGCGCTGCCGCGTGAAGACGACTTCTCCACTTCGACCTCACCGCTTCAATCCTCGCAAAGCGTCCGCTCGGTCAGTACGCGCGATAGGATGGGCTCGAACGGCACGACACTCTGCTTTCGCACTGGGCATCCTTGCTGTCGCCGACGATGGTCGCAGGCCTTGACCTTCCCAACAGCTCTCGACTTTGCAGCTCGCCCGCCCTCGCCCAGCAGCCACGCACGACTCATACAAGCCCGACGAGCTTCCAGCCCAAACCCCTTCGTCCCAGCTTCAGAACGGCAATCTTGGTCGAAACCGTCGTCATCCAGACGGATCGACACATGAAGACCCTTCGACCATTCGACGGGTTCTTTGGCTCGCCGCTCTTCAGCATCGCACTTCTTTATCAACGCTTCACTTGCGAGAGTGCCCCGTGGCTTTGACGGCAACCCTCGTCCGCCAGCCTGCAAGCGGACCTTCCTTCCCAGATCCCCTCTTCCGCCCTCATTTGCCCAGACGACCCCTCGAACATCGACGCGACATGTCAACGGCGACACCGACGACAAGGGTTACTTCGCCTCCGTTGCAGGACCCGGTCGAACGCGCTTCCATGCATTCTCTGCTCAACTTCAAGATCCGCAAGCCCAGCTACGGTCCTCGCCATCTCGCACTGAAGAACCACGCCGTGGCTGCGATTGGCGAGTTCGTCGGGACTTGTCTCTTCTTGATCTTCGTGTTCGGAGGTACAAAGTGCGCCGAACTATCCGCCTCCGCCCGCCGCCATACTGACCCCGATCCTCGTCCCGACAGCGTCGCAAACATGGCTGTGTCGGACGTGAACAGCACGGCCAACTCGAACCAGACAGGCTCGACTGCAGCTTTGCCGAACACTTCGAACCGTGCGTCTCCTCGTTGCCCGCGGAGGGATCGCTCTGACCGTCCCTTTCCGCCTCAGTCCTGTACATCGCCTTCTCCTTCGGCATCTCCTTAACGGTCGTCGCATGGTGTTTGTGCGTCTTTGTATGCCAAGCGCAGGTCTGGGATCAATACTGACCGACGGCGTCTTGCGCGCAGCTACCGAGTCTCCGGCGGTTCGTTCCGTCTCGCTCGTCTCTCTCTCCACTTTCGCCGACTTTCTCTCTCGCAGGCCTGTTCAACCCCGCCATCACGCTCGGCATGTTCCTCGTCGGCGCAATGTCACCCGTTCGAGCCGTCATCCTCGCCTTCTCGCAGATCCTCGGCGGCATCACAGGCGCGGCCATCACTGAAGCTCTCTTACCAGGTGCGCCGACCTGCGCAATTCGCTCGCTCTGCCGTTGACCATTTCCTCACGCTAGGCAACCTGATGGTTCGCACGACGCTCAAGACGGGCATATCTGTCGTCCGAGGATTGTTCATCGAGATGTTCATGACGGCGCTCCTCATGCTCGCAAGTGCGTTGCTTTCTAGCAACTCGAAAAGACACGAGTCACTTACCATCCTCCTCGCAGTGTACGTTCGTCGAGAACTCGCCTCGCTCGATGCCTGACTCTCTCCATTACGCAGTCTCCTCCTCGCTACGGAGAAGCACAGCGGAACGTTCTTGGCGCCTCTGCCAATCGGTCTTGCGCTTTTCTGCTCGGAACTGGTCTCGGGTGCGTCCCTTCCTCCGTTCGTCTCTCCTAGGCGCACTGACCCAGCTATCGATGACGCAGTCTACTACACCGGCGGTTCTCTCAATGTCAGTAAGATCAGCTCGCACCGTATCATCTTAGACAAGCGCATGCCTCCCTGCGCAAGATCTGCCTCGCAGGCCGACAACTCCGATCCCTCACTTCGGCCTCATGCGACCTCCGCTTCCCGGGAGGTTCAAGCTGGCTGATGCGTCTCTTCACGCAGCCGGCTCGCACTTTCGGTCCATGCGTCGTCCAGCACAAGTTCGAGTCCTACCACTGGCTCTACTGGGTCGGACCTGCACTCGGCGCCCTCGTCGCAAGCGGCTTCTACCACTTGATTGTGCGTCTCGTTCACACTCTCGGTTGACCTCCTTGCTGACCTGAATAAGCCTGCAGAAATACCTCGAGTACGAGACGGTGCTTTCGGAGGACGACGAAGACGAGGAAGATGAGGAGGAGCAGGTCGCGTCACCTCAGCAGGCCGACGCGCCTGTCTTGCAGATCGCTACCGACGCCGCGGGCGCACCGGTCGTTCAGGCTGTCACCCAGATGGCGGCTGGCGGGAAGGTGAAGGGACATCAGCGCTACGTTATCGAAGGTGGGTGGCGTTTTCGCCCGTCGATGAGCGAGTCTGACGCTCTCCTCCGCAGGAACCGGTCTTGCCGCTGCACTCCTGCAGCGCATGGCAACAGAGCAGCACCAGCAGCATCGGACGGGCCCTCACAATCGCGGTCGGCAGACGCCTTTCACGAACCCAGCTTACGACCAACGCTTTGAGCGCCTCGAAGGCATAATGAGCAAGCTACTCGACGCAGTCGAGCAGGGTCGTGCGGGCGGAAGCAGTGCGAGCGTTGCGACTACGGCTGCCGAGCACTCGCTCTCCGCCGAGGAGAAGGTGTAGGCCGTCTTCGACTATCTAGGACGTTTCCGAACACCGGCGTCTTTGCGTTCGCCATCAGCTCCAATGTAGCCATCCTTTGCATCTCCCTTTCACCCCTGAACGTCAGGAGCTGAAGTTTCCGACAGCCGCAAGGACGCACGGTACGACTTCGCCTCCCGCCAAAACCGCTTCGCAGAACGCACTCGACGCAGCATTGCGGCCGCTTCTTCCACCGGATCCTAGTCATTAGCGTTCAACTTCTTCGGCCAGGCGGTATCGAGCTCTCAACCGTTGACCTTCCCAAGGCGGTCGCCGCACAGCGTCAAGGTCGGCTCTGAACTATCGTTCGGCGAAAGAACCGCTCTCTCGTTCCCGCGCTGTCGACAATGCGCGCCTGTGTCCGCCGCAGACGTCGATTCGGAAGACTAGGCGCTTCCTCGTATCGTCATGCGCCAGGCGACTTCTCACCTTGACCTTCTGCTCGACTCTCTGCTACGCCTCCTGCTCTCCTTAGGTCTCATTCGCTTGTATCTACCCGCTCAGAACGACGCACGCATCAGCTATGCCACGAGACGGCGACATTCCACCTGCCCGCGACCCGCGCCGCTCCCGTCTCAACTGGCATATCCGCAAGCCGACGTATGGACCCAAGCGTCTTGCCGTGAAGAACCACTTCATTGCAATGTGCGGTGAGATGGTGGGAATGACACTCTTCATGATCTTCAGCCTCGGCGGGACGACGTGAGTCTTTCCTCGTTCCAGCCAAATGCGCCTCGCTCATTCTTCTCTCACAGCGTTGCCAATATGGGCGCAACGAGTGTCACGGGCCAAACGCACCCTGGACAAGATGGCTCAACGGCCACAATGCCCAACACGTCAAATCGTGAGTCGTCTCACTCCTCTCCCAACCTCCGCCGGCTCACGACTGCGTTTTCTTTCCAGTCCTCTACATCGCCTTCTCGTTTGGCATCTCGCTCACCGTCATTGCGTGGTGCTTGTGCGTCATTCGAGAAGTTCGCGGAGCATCGAGACGAAGGGTTGACTTGGAATCTCCTTATATCGCAGCTACCGAGTCTCCGGCGGTTCGTCATCTCCCGCTCGCTCTTCTTCCACTCTTGCTTACTCTTCTCTTGAACACTCTGTCGACTCTCGCACCCCTTCCCTCACTCTTCTCCCAAATGGTCGGCTGTCGGATCCGTACCTTCGCTGTCCGCCAGGCCTGTTCAATCCCGCCGTGACCCTCGGCATGCTCCTTGTCGGCGCTCTCAGCCCTCTTCGAGCTGCACTCCTGGTCGTCTCGCAGATCCTGGGCGGCATCACCGGCTCGGCCATCATTCAAGCTCTTCTGCCGGGAACGCTCAACGTCCGAACGACCCTAGCCAGCGGCGTCAGCATCGCCAGAGGGCTCTTCATCGAGATGTTTATGACTGCGCTATTGATGCTAGCCAGTGCGTTGCATCTCCGCCATTCGCGCTTTGAAGCTGCTGACCTGACCATCTCTTGCAGTGTGCGTCCCAATGTCGCGTCGCTGCCACAACTCCTGACCCCCTCTTCCGCCGACAGTCTACTACTTGCCGCCGAGAAGCATCGCGGCAATTTCATCGCTCCTCTCCCCATAGGACTCGCTTTACTTTCAAGTGAACTCGTCTCGGGTGCGTCTCGTCTTGAACGCCCCTCAATACGCTTCCCTAGCTCAGGCTTTCTCCTTGCAGTCTACTGGACCGGCGGGAGCCTCAACGTGAGCTGCTGTCGACATAGTTTATCCGCAAAGCGACTCTGAACCTTCACAACAGCCCGCCCGCACTTTCGGCCCCTGCGTCGTCCTCACAGAATTCTCTCGGTATCACTGGATCTACTGGCTCGGCCCTGCCTTGGGAGCGACCATTGCAGCGGGATTCTACCGCTTCATCGTTCGTCCTGCTCGACCTTCGGAAGTCGCTGTGCTGACCTTGTTCTCCCGCAGAAATTCCTCGAATACGAAACTGTACTCGGTCCCGAGCAGCCCGACGAGTGCCATCATCCAGTCCTTCAGCTCAGGTCGTCGACGACTCCTTCAGCAGAAGGCGTCTCTGCTGGCGAAGGCGTCGAGCCAAGCGAAGGCTACATGATCGAAGGCGAGTTTGTCCACTTCAGAGACGAATGCAAACTGACCCGTCATACCATAGGCACCGGCTTCGGAGAACTCCTCCATTCGACGTCGTCCGAGTCTCGCAAGTCCTCGTCTGGCCAGCACCGGCACCTCTCGCTCCCCGCCTACGACGCACGTTTCGACAGGATCGAGAACATGCTGTCTCGCTTGCTCGAGCAAGGCGAGATGGAGCACGGCGCGCGCGGGTCCGGTCGCAAAGGCAGCCTTGCGACTCTCGTCGAACACCCTCCATACGAACACGAAAAGATCTAAAGAAGTAGTTCTATGCATGCCTATTGTCTATATCCCGTAGCACTTCTTCGCATTCTCCCTAGCTTGCCGCAATACGTCCACGGTCGTCCACATCCTCTCCCCATCAGCCTTGCTCTCGTTCAGAACCTTGGCGACAAATTCTGCTGTCCAAGGGAGGACGCCGCCATGACAGAAGGGATAGCGCTGCTTGGATGTCATGCCGATCTGCTTCGAAGGGAGATTGGCGGGAGCGAGGTAAGGTGCGTCCGTCTCGAGGAGGATGCGGAGGCCGGCGGGAGAGTCGGGCGAACAGCTCTTGCCGAGGCGTAGGACTACTTCGGCGCTATTGACGTTCGAAGCGTAGGAGATGACGCCGGTGATGCCGATGAAGAGGTTTGGGAAGTGTTCGAGGAGAGCGTCGGCGAGTTCGGGTGCATCGGTGAAGCTGTCGCGACTAGGAGTTAACCTAGCATTCGAAAGACCCGACAGAAAACCTAACGCACCAATGAATGTGCAGACGCTCTCCCTTTGGCACCTCTTCTTTCAGGATAGGCAGGATATCGGTATCCGCCTTTCTCGTGTGAATCGTGATCGCCTTGTCCTGCCCAGACTGCACCGCTAGCCGCAATTGCCGCCGAAGGACCTCCTTCTGCACCTCGCTCGCCGGCTGATTGTAGTAGTCGAGGCCAATCTCGCCCCATCCGACGCATCGAGGATGCTTGTGCGCCTCGACGAAGGTCCGCTCCATCTCGTCCGTGTAATGCTGGGCGACGTCCGGATGCGCGCCGATCACGAAGTGGTAACCCAAGTTGTCCAAGGCGGACAGGTCCTCGACGATTTCGTGCCAGTTGGCGACGGGCGGCGCCTCGCACCACACATCGACAACTTTCGAGATGCGATTCGACAAGTCGGCCTGCAGAGTGGATTCGACGAAGGCGCGGATCGAGTCGTGCTTGCCCGCGGGGTACTTTTCCTTGTCTGCGACGGAAGGTCAGCTCGCTCGAGGAGACTAACTGGCGGCAGGGGACTCACAGGCAAGCCAAGTCGAGAGGACGTGAGTGTGGGTGTCGACCAGCAGCGAGTCTCGGTCTTCCAGCTGCTTTAGATCGTCGTGAATCGGCAGGACAAGCACGTCCTCGTGCGGTGTCCGCGACTTGCCGGAGCGAGAGGAGGAGGCGGAAGCCGGAGTCGAAGACATGGGGTGCGATAGCAAGGGTGTGAAGAGGATCCTAGGAACTCTGAGACGGCGCAAGAGCATGCAACAGCAGAGCCTGTCGCTGCGAGAAGTCACTCGCCGGTGTGGAAGAGGTGAAGGAGGGGGTCTGGAGGTTCGCCTCCTCCCGCTCGCACCCACACCGCTCGTACTGCTTTGTGGAGCGCTGGTCCTGGTTCGAAGCACTGCTTGTATCGACTGAAGGGCGCTCACGATGGCAGGGTCGAGGTATGCCCCTTCTCTCATCCTCATCGCTTCACTCGCCGAAATCGCATGAGCCGGGCTGACGACAGCATACTCGCGCGTGCGTGCAGGCTAGACCGCCTCATACTCCTCCTCGACACCGGCTCGACACCCTCGGTCCGCCTCACAGCCGCCCGACAGCTTGGTGCGATTGCTGGCACTCGAGTCGCCCATCCGTCGACCAACTCACACGGCCATGCGAGCGTCGGGACGGACGTCAAGCTCGAAGAGGGAATGACGGGAGCGTCGAAGGAGGGCGTCTGGCACGGTGTTGAGGGAGAGTGGAACGAGGTTATCGGTTTGGCTGCGAGGGTGAGTTCGTCGTGTTCTTCCCTGGCTGTGCTCGCTGATTAGGGTCACTCCGTCGCCAGGTCCTCCCGTTTCTGCAAGCCAAATCGATGGATACCCGACAAGCTGCCGCTGCTGCACTCGGCTTCATTTCTCGCGCAGTCGGAATCTGGGACCCTTCCTCGACAGCGCCTTCTTCCTCTTCCGCCGATGTCGCCCCGCCTACGAGTGACACGCTTTCGTCGGCTATGTCCTTGAGCGACTTCGACCTCGCTCGCGTCCTGACAGACGGGCAGCTTTTGCTCGGTTCGTCCGGGAAGGAGTATGGCAAGCTCTCGCAGCTCACAGCCGACGAGCTCGCCAAAGCCCAAAAGGACGCTCTCAAGAACCTTGGACTCGGTTTCGGCGACGGAGCGGACGACATTGGCGTAGACGTCGGTGCTGAGTTGGCGGCAGGCGCCGAGACCAATCATGCAGCGCCGTCTGCATCCTCTGTTGCGTCGACTTCGGCGACATTCGTTGAGCCGCCGCGCCCAGCATTGCCTCCGCCGCGCTTCAAGGCAGGAGGAGCCGGTGCGCTTCCTCCGCCTCGATTCAAGCCCGGCGGCGATGGCACGCCTCTCGGTAATCTCGCCGACACCAAATCGCCTTCTCCCGCGTACACTCCTGGACCAGTACCGATCCCTTCGCCCGCCCCTTCGACTCCTGCCCCCGCGCCTACGTCCGCTGCTCCTCCGCCTCCTCCAGCTGCCGCAGAACCCGAAGCCGATCCGTACGTCGGCCTTTCCGCCCGCGAGCGCAACAAGCTCAAGAGGAAGCGCAAGGCGGAAGAGAAGGCCGGCATCGCGCCGAGCGCTGCGCCCGTTCCCGCGGCGAAGAAGGCGAAGACGGCAGACCCGACACCTTCGCCCGCTCCTGTCGCTGGGCCGTCTGGGTCGCCCGCGATAAAGCAAGAAGACGGCACGGAAGACTCGAAGGTCATCATCGACCCGGCTGCGAAGGCGAAGGAGCGCGAGCGACTCGGCGGGGAGATCCAAGCGAAGGAAGCCGCAGACCGCGCCGAGATGGAGGTCGAGGTGGGAGAATGGCCTTGGCGAGGGGCGGTCGAGCGTCTCGCAGTCGGATTGCTGGCGCCCAGCTGGGAGACCCGCCACGGATCAGCTCTCGGGCTGAGGGAGATCCTGAAGCTGCAAGGTGGCGGCGGCGGAATGCTCGAGGGTTTGACGAGGAAGCAGAACGAGGAACGGCATCGACGATGGTGCGAAGACTTGGCTGCGAAGCTGCTCTGCGTCTTTGCCCTCGATCGCTTCGGCGACTACGTCTCGGATCAGGTGAGCGGGTTCCTCCCTCAAAATGATTCATGTCCTGACGGTTCTAGCACAGGTGGTTGCGCCGGTTCGCGAGACGGCTGCTCAAACACTCGCCGTCCTCCTGCCAGCCATGCCGGCCAGCTCGACCGCCGAAGTCCTGCGCATTCTTGTCGACATGGTTCATCAGCGAGACGTGTCAAAGTACATCTGGCAGGTCCGCCACTCGGGCTTGATGGGTTTGAAGTACTTTGTCGCCGTCCGGGCTCATCTTGTCGATGGTGAGATTCGAGGGAACGGGCAGCTCGTCAAGATGGAGGAGGACGAGGACGTCAAGCCGCGGATCGCGCCAAGCGGCTCAATCCACGCCCTCAAGGCAATTGTCGACGCCGCCCTCGTTGGCTTGCGCGACAAGGACGACGACGTCAGGTCTGCAGGCGCGGCGACGCTCGTCCCGCTGACAGACGCCCTTGTCGAAGCGCTTCCAAGCGAGCTGCAGACCCTCGTCGACCTCCTCTGGGCCTGCCTCGGCGATTCGAAGGACGACCTCGCGACGTCTATCGGAGGCGTCATGGATCTGCTCGGTAGGTCCACCCAGCGCCTGATCAACAGCCATGACTGACAGAGTTTCCACTTCTCGCAGCCAAGCTTCTCGCCTATCCAGCCGTCCTCGAGCTCTTGCAGTCACCCTCTCTCGAGTCAGTTCTACCCGTCCCTCGCAAAACCGACGCAGCTGACCCAGCCATTGAGCAGAACCCCGCTTCCTCTGCTCATTCCTCGACTGTTCCCGTTCTTCCGCCATACCATCACGTCCGTTCGCCTCGCCGTCCTCCACACGCTTCTCGTCTTCGTTCGGCTGCCCTCCGTCAACTCCTCCTGGATCGATGTCGGCCTCCTCCGCCTCGTCTACCAGAACCTCATCTTCGAAGAGCGGCCTGACATCCGGCGAGCATCCGAGCAACTCTGGCTCGCCTGCCTCTACAGCTTCGGAGCCTCTTCCGCCGCGGTGCAGATGCTCGTAGCGTACAGCAGCCCAGTCCTCTCGGCATGGTTCGCCCTCCTCACCTCACCGATCGGCACGCCCATCAACCCCGCCCTGCTCTGGTCCGCAACAACAAGTCTGAGCGGTCACGGCGGCATGGTCCACAATGTCGACAAGCCCATGCTCAAGCAGGATCTCGCCCTCGTTTCCGTTGAGGCGATCACACGAGGTCGCATTGCGGGTGCCACGGCTCTCGGCGCGTTGTTGGCCATCTGGCCCGTCGAAACGCACGACGACACGTTCGCCCCTTTCCTCGAGTCGGCGCTCGCCTCGACGTCAGCCTTCCAGCGTTTCCTCGCGGCGACCGTGATTGAGGAATGGGCGAGCCAGACGGTTTCCAGCGGACTCGTCAAGCCTGAGCGATCTCTCGCGGAAACATCGTCACTCGTCGCCCGTCTCGTCCCTCGCCTACACGAAGTCCTCGCCACGGACGCCCCGGCCACCTACGCCGAGAACGAGCGGATCCTCACCCGCCTGCGCTCCGACTGCGCGACGTTCTACAGCGCCTTCGGCTCCTTGGGCAAGGTGCCGTCTGCCAAGCTGCCGTCAGTCCCCGACGTTTTCGGTCTTCAGCAGGCGCAGGTGGTTGCGAACAGCTTCAACGCTCTCGCAGCACTTGTGCCGTCAAAGTCGAGGAAGACGGCCATTCCGCAGCTGGAGGAGAGGCTGAGGAAGCTGCAGAGCGGCATTGCATACTTCGAGGGCGTCAAGTCGAAGCACGACCGTCAAGTTTTCGCCGCCATCGCTGGCGCCTGCATCGCCCTCCAGGCTATCCCAGCAAAGATCACGCCTCTTCTTCGCAGCGTAACTACAAGCATCAAGGTGAGCTGCGCGACTCTCCCTCGGCGTCGCGTGCAGCCATTTGACATCCACTTGCTTTCGCAGACGGAGGACAACGTCGACTTGCAGACGCGCTCGGCCCGGTCGGTCGCCGCCTTCATCGACTACTGCTCGTCTCCAGCTTCCACGATTCGTGTCAACCCGTCGCCGAAGCTCGTTGGCAACCTCTGCGCCTTCTTGTGCCAGGACGAGACGCGAACGCCCATTTTCGCCTCCGCCAAGTCGAGCAGGGCAGGCATCCTCACACTTCAGTACAGCCCGGCCCGCGGTACCGCCGAGAAGGCGTCGAAGGACGCACTCGCCGAGACGCCCGAACAAACGGCCGCGAAGCTCGTCTTCCGCGGCGCGCAGCTCGCACTGACAGAGCTTGCGTCCCGCTTTGGGTCTGAGCTGCTCGACAAGGTGCCGAAGCTATGGAGCTGCATGGCAGATCCGTTGATCGAGATGTACGGCTCCGGTGAGTCGCACGTATCGCTGAACACTTCCCCCCTGAGCTGACCGTTCGCGCGGACTAGGCGATGTCGTCAAGGGCGACGCGGTCTTGTCGGGCGACGACCGCAAGGCGCAAGAGCTCATCGACTGCCTGACGGTCCTTCCCGTCGCGTCTGCAAAGCTCGAGCCGACTTTGCATAAGCGGCTTGCCTCGCTCCTCCCTGCGCTCGCCATCGCGACTCGCAGTCGCTTCGCCGTTGTGCGGTACGCCGTCGCCAAGTCGTTCGCGACGTTGTGCGACATCGTCCCCGTGGATGGCCTGCGTTTCGTCGTCGAGAGCGTTGTTCCGGTGCTCGCCGATCCGCTCAACGTTAACCACCGGCGTGGCGCGATTGAGCTCATCTCCCGTGCGCTTCACCTGCCTCCGCGACGATTCGTAAAGTAAGGCTGACGAGCCCACATCGCAGACATCGTCGACCTCCTCGACGTCAAGATCCTCCCCTATGTCATCTTCCTCGTCGTGCCGGTCCTCGGCAGGATGAGCGATCCAGACGACGACGTCCGGCTTGTCGCTACGAACACCTTCGCCACGCTGGTCAAGCTTGTGCCGCTCGAGGTAGAGTCGTCCTCTCCGTCTTGTCAGCGTCTTTGCGCTGACTGCTCGTTGCGTAGGCTGGCTTGCCCGATCCTCCCGAGTTTTCCGACGAACTGCTGGCAAAGCGCGCAACGGAACGCGAGTTTCTCTTGCAGCTCCTCGACGGCAGCAAAGTCGCCGAGTACAAGATTCCCGTCGACATCGGCATCGAGTTGCGCAAGTACCAGCGCGACGGAGTTAGCTGGCTCGCCTTCCTCGCCCGCTACCAGTTACACGGCCTCCTCTGTGACGGTGAGCTGGGCGCGATCAGCTCACTTCGGTTTTGAAGACTGACGCTCTCTTCGCAGACATGGGCCTCGGCAAGACGCTGCAGTCGATCACGATTCTCGCAAGCATGCATCACGAGCGCGCGGAGCGGTACAAGGCGACCAGGGCTCCGGATGCCGTCCACCTGCCTTCGCTCATCGTCTGCCCGCCGACTCTCACCAGTCACTGGCAGCACGAGATCAAGACGTACGCAAAGGCGCTTCGACCGGTGATCTATGCCGGACCTCGCGCAGAGCGCGAGCAGCTCGTCCGCAACTTCGCCAAATACGACGCCGTCATCATGTCGTACGACGTGGCGCGCAACGACATCGAGCTCCTCGCCCCGATCGATTGGCATTACTGCATCCTCGACGAGGGCCACATCATCAAGAACGGCAAGACGAAGCTGACGAAGGCAGTCAAGTCGCTCAAGGCGATCCACCGTCTCATCCTCTCCGGCACGCCGATTCAGAACAACGTCCTCGAGCTGTGGAGCCTTTTCGACTTCCTGATGCCCGGCTTCCTCGGCTCGGAGAAGGCTTTCAACGACCGCTTCGGCAAGCCCATCGCGGCGAGCCGAGACGCCAAGAGCTCGTCGAAAGAGCAGGAAGCCGGCGCGCTCGCGCTCGAAGCTCTCCACAAGCAGGTTCTCCCGTTCATCCTCCGCCGCCTCAAGGAGGACGTCCTCGACGACTTGCCGCCCAAGATCATTCAGGACTACCACGTCGAACTATCGCCCCTGCAGAAGCAGCTCTACGACGACTTCTCGCATTCTCAGGCGAAGCAGCTTGTTGACGGCGAGGTCAAGAGCTCGTCGACAGCGAAACCTCAGCACGTCTTCCAGGCGCTTCAGTACCTCCGCAAGCTCGTCAACCACCCTGCTCTCGTCTTCAAGCCGGAATTGCCACAGCATCAAGCAGCTCTCGCCAAGGTCGCTGGCGCGGACGCTTCGATCCGCGATCTCGCTCACGCACCCAAGATTCGCGCTCTGCAGTGAGTTTGCCTCCACTTCTACGCCTCTCGCACCGGCTCAACCTCGGTTCCATGCAGACAAGTGCTTCTCGACTGCGGCATTGGTGCTTCGAGCGCGTCGGACAGCGTCTCGGACGAGGCAGTCTCGCAACACCGCGCCCTCATTTTCTGTCAACAGAAGATGATGCTCGACATCGTCGAGAACGACCTCCTCCGCAAGCTCATGCCCTCCGTCACGTACATGCGGCTCGACGGTTCAACCGACGTCTCGAAGCGCCACGCCATCTGTCAGACGTTCAACGCCGATCCGTCCATCGACTGCCTTCTCCTGACGACGCACGTCGGTGGTCTCGGGCTCAACTTGACGGGCGCCGACACCGTCATCTTTGTGGAGCACGACTGGAACCCGATGAAGGACTTGCAGGCGATGGACCGCGCTCACCGCCTCGGCCAGAAGCGGGTCGTCAACGTCTACCGCTTAATCATGCGCGGCACGCTCGAGGAGAAGATCATGGGGTGCGCGCGGTTTCCTGCTCTTCCTTCCGCGCATGCTGACCCGCCCCTCGCACCAGCTTGCAACGCTTCAAGCTCAACATCGCATCGACCGTCGTCTCGCAGCAGAACTCGGATCTCGCCTCGCTCGGCACCGATCAGATCCTCGACCTCTTCCAGGTATCCGATACCGCACCAGCCGCCACCTCCGCCCCGTCAGGAGACAAGCCCATGTCGCAAAAGGCCATCCTCGAGTCGCTCGACGACCTGCCCACGGAGGGCGAGTATGGCGACCTTGACCTCTCGGCCTTCACCGCTTCGCTCGCTTCATGATTCATCAACCACTACTCTCGCTGTCTATCTCGATACCCCTCGCTTTGTCGCATGAGCTTTGTCGCATGATGCCTTACCCGCTTGTCGCTACCTGTCAATCGCAACTTCCCCATAACGCGAACGGGATCGGGAAGCTCATCGACCGAAAGGCAAATGCAGATGCGATGCGAGAGATGCGAGCGGTATACGGTGCGAGATTTTGGCAGGGAACGTCTGCTACAGCTTCTTGCCCACCTGCTCAGCCAACGCGAACAGCCGACCGTACTTCCGGTCGATGTCCTCGAGCTGTTGGACAACGTCCTTCTGCCGCTTCTCCAGTCCGCCCAAGACGCCCTCGTTCTCCTTGAAATCGCTCCGAGCCCCACCAGCCGTCCTCCCGTTGGCTGTAAGCTGCTTGGCTTGCACCGCAGCAGCTTCTTGACTCTGCGGCTGGCCCTTGCGAGCCGACATGCCGACCGACCAAGCGTGCTCCTGCATCTCCCGCCAAGCGTCGATGTCGGAGATCATCCGCCTCAAGCGTCCGCTGCTGCCGGGCGTACCATGCGTGACCGATCGAGTCGTACCGCGCTGGAGATGCTGGAGGCGGGAGAGTGGTCGAGCGGGAGTTTCGAAGGGCGAGGTCGAGCGAGGCTGGAATTGGCGGGAAGAGGCGTGCTCGGGCGCTGCGACGGGCGCATTCCCGGTCGTGCGGTTCGGAGCTGTCGCGTCGAATTCACTGGCGTCCGGCAGCGTGAGCAGCCCGCCCCACTCGCGCGCCTCCCAGTACTCCCGCTCTTGCTGCCTTGCGCCATCGGCTGTACTAGGTGAAGGACGCAGGATGGAGAGGCCGGGCGATGAGAAGAAGGAGGAGAAGTCGATAGAGCTGGCGGAGATGGCCTGAGAGCGAACGAAGGAGGGCGAAGATGGCAAGCCAGATGGGGCGGGAGGAGGTACGTAGACGGGAGTCGCTGCTCAGAGGAAGAGGGTGTCAGCTGCTGTCAAAAGAACTCGAAGCTCGGCAACTCACTCTCGCGCAGCTTGCCCCAATCAACTTTTGCGAACCAGGAAAGCGACTTCAGCTTCGCGAAGGATGGCCGAGACGAGGGGTCGACGAGCATGCTGTGGACCGGATGTCAGCTTGGAAAGGATGTGAGGGAGAGTGAGGCAGACGTACCAGCGCATTGCTTCACCAGCGGCTGACGAGACGCTGTCGGTCGTTGGGAAGGTCAAGTGGCTCTGGCGGATGTGGTGCGTGAGGAAAAGGTCGACCGAGGGGCGGCAAACATGCTCACCTGCCACTGTACAATGTGCTCGTACGTATCCGAGATCTCCTCGGCGAAGAAGGGAACCTTCCCGTAGAGCAACTGGTAACGGAAGCGTCAGGTCGTCGCTTCACACGCCCGTAGGATCGGGGCGGCACACACCTCGTAGAGAACGACCCCGGAAGACCAGACATCAACCTCAGCACCATACGCCCTCTCTTCGTCCTTGCCAGCCACTTTCGACGGGCCAGCCCCGAAAGCCCCATCCTCCTCTTCCTCCTCCGCCTCCTGGAAGACCTTCTCCGCATGTCGCAAGACTTCAGGCGCGATGTAGTCCGGCGTACCGACGAGCGCGCGGCAGGACTTGCGGGCGATGGAGGAGGCATTGGGAGAGAGGGGCGCGGCGGAGCCGAAGTCGGTGAGCTGGAGGTGGCCTGAGGCGTCGAGTAGCAGGTTTTGCGGCTTGATGTCGCTGCGGATCCGCAATATGAGCAAGAGGTTCGGTAGAAGATGAAGACGCTAGGCGTACCGATGTGCCCACCCTTTCCCGTGCAACCACCCGACAGCATCCAGCAACTGCGCCATCCACCCTCGCACCCAATCCTCCGAAAGGCCCCTCTCTTCTCCCACGACCAAGTCTTCGTTCACCTTCTCCAGCAGTGTCCACAAGTCTCCGCCCGATGCGTGCGAGATGACGATGTGGAAGGAAGTGGGTGAGAGGAACGAGGCGATGAGGCGAGGTATTCGACTTGAGGCGTCTTTCGAGCGGCCGAGTCGGAGGATCGCTAGTTCGTGTTGAGGTGATTGTTGCTGCGACAGACGAGAAAAGATGTCAGGGGTCTGCAATAGCAAAGAGGGAGTTGTAGGCTGGCTCACCGCCTTCATTCGAAACGCCCACCTCCGGTCAAGCGTCTTCATGACGTACAATCGGTCCATCCGCGAGCCTTCATCGCCAGTAAGCGCCGAGGAAGGCCGCACAAGCTCGACTCGGCTGAAAGAACCAGAAGACGAGAGCGTTGAGAGAGGTGGAAAGTCGTCGAGCGTGAGTGCGGCGCCGCGAATGCGTTTGAGCGGGGTCGGCGGCTCTGCAAACCATAGTGTGAGCTTTAAGGTAGGTGCCTACGTCGCGACTGGCGCACCTCGCTTGTCCTGTTCCGCTGCAAGCAAGGCCAAGTGGAGCTGTTCTTCGGGAGACGCGGTAGACGGGCTCGACACGGCGGGCAGGTCCTTCAGCCGCTCGAGTAGCTCATGCCTTCTCTTGCGCCAGTCAGACATCGCCGAATAGCCAGCAAGCAGAGTTGAGAGCGAGATGTGAGGTGTTCAAGGTCGAGGAGGGGGTCAGCGAACTGATCAAGCTCCCCCATCTCACAGCTCACCGCTTGCTTCGGACTGGAACAGCTTAACAGGCTCTTTAACTGCTCGTACACGCCATGCCATCCGCCGCTGCCAAATCCAAGGCGTACTCGAACCCCGTCGCAACTCAAGCCGGTTCGTCACATCTCGGGGAGACTGTCGCGCAACTACGGCGCGGTGGGGCTTGCAGGGGCGCTGACAGGCTCACGTGATGGCGCAGATGATGTCAAGTACCGTCAGAAGTACAAGGAGTTGAAGGCGAAGCTTGCCGAGATCGAGGAGGTGCGTCGGGTCTCCCTCGAGGATGCGTAAAGGCTCCCAAGCCCCTTGCTGACACACTGCGATGTACAGGACAATACAAAGCTGTCAGTGAAGATTCTGAAGAGCAAAAAGGCGATCCAGCGGTTGCGGATAGAGCGGTCGTTCGTCCGCTTCCTCGTTCTGTCGCTCGCTTGACGGCCGGCTGACGTCTTTTGTCACTGCGCAGCATCCTGTACGACCGACTGCAAGGCACCGTCGCGCCCACGAACCCCTACGCCCTGCACACCGTCACCCACCTCTCCAACCTCGCCGCCTCTTCTTCCTCCGCACCCTCCGACCCCTCCGCCCCTCCCTCAATCCTCGCACCACCATCCTACGCCCTCACAGACCCCGCAGCACCCTCTCTCTTCCTCCGCCAGCTCGACGCGCAGAAACTCGCGGCATTGCAGCATGCGGCTGTACCGACGGAGTATGGGGAGAAACCGCTTGAGGGCGTTGTGGGTGAGCAGCAGGCGCAGAGGGATCATAAAGCGTTGTTGACTGCTGGAGGAGCGGTGAACGGGCGCGCGCAGGCGGGACAAGCGCAGGGACAGGTGCATGGTTCGGCAATGCATGCGCCGGGCGCGCCGCATGCTGCCGTACCGCAGGCTGTCGAGGTTCCGCATCAGGAGCCGCAGCAGATGGTGGTGGACCAGCCTTGAGAAGCGTGAAGGAGGCGAGTGAGGCAGAGGGACAGTCTCCAGCTTGTTGTACGCCGTGCCTCGTCTGTAGCTGTACATTCTCCGCATTCTTCCTGTGAACAGCTAGTCAAGCATCTGTCTTCGCAGTCCAGCAGGATCAAACAGCAGCGAACGAGCTACTCCTCGACCACGCTTCTAAGTCTCGTCGCTCGCAACGGTGCTCGCCTCCCGCTGCTTCATCTCCGATAGACTCGTTCTGCATTCCAGCTCCTGCACGCCGTCTACGAGTTTCCATCGCATCCAGCCGGCGAGAGTGGC